AGACAACCTTTGATTTCCGACTTTGAAGACTTGTTCAACATATGCGATGGACCGACACAGAGAGAGAGATACATTTTATGCTTTGGAGAACGACGACGAGAAACGGAGATATGGAGATACTGAACGATTTTTTGCTTGTTTGCACCTTTGTAACCAACCGACCGAGAGAGAGAGGGGGGGATACTTGAAATACGGGAAGACTTTGGAAACTTGCATTGCTTGCGATACGGGGTGGGGCTTAGAGATCCATAGCGAACGCCTCGGCGTCACTCTCTGCGTCCCTATCCTCTTGCTCTTCCTGATGGATAGCGTTTGCACCAGGCGCACGATCTTCCCTCTCGGCTTCGTGGTCGATCTTGGGTGAGCGGGAGATGGCAGCGGGTAGATCGAATTTCGGCGGCGAACGAGAGAGCGGACTCGAGGCTAGGTTGAGCAGCTCATCGCGCGAATAGGAGATGCGAGGAGTTCCACCGGGTGTGGTCCCGTACACCGACGTGGATGTAGTGTTGCTGGTGGTGGAGGTGTGGGGGATGATGGTGATGTTGGACGACATGGTTGCGAAGAAAGAAAAGCGAAAAAGATGTTGATAGCAGAGTGGGGGGAGAATGCAGTTGCGAGTTTGGGGTTAGGGATGCAAGTAGTGGGTGATGGGGAAGGGCGGAACAGTGGAACGAGACGGATGCGTGCAGAAGGAAACCTTGAGGAACAATGGACAACGACCAGAGGATGAAGGATGACGATGTTCAACGTTTGACGAATGGACTCACAACTTTATATACTGTGTATGCTGTCTTCACCCTCCCCTGGGAGCAACGCAAAACACCTTCTCTCTCTCCACCTTGGCCAACGCAGGGTCCACAATTCAACCCTAAATGCCGAAAGGAGTTGGTGTGGACAAGATAACATCATGCAACCTCCCTCTGACGTGGAGCCCAATTTGCTGCCCTGGGGATGGTCCGACCGCTGCCTGCTCCACTTCGCCAGCTGTCAAGGAGAAAAAAAAGCTTTGTTTTTTTTGTGTGTTATCTTTGACGTAGATCACGTCTTGATTTTTTTTGGTGGGTCAGTGTCATGTGAGTCGTTCAGGACTCAGACCCCCCCATTGCGCACAGGCTTATCTTTCATTTACCGCACGCAATTCCACCCTCCAGCAAAACCCCCCGCAATAGGAGACCCTGTTCTTTCCCCCCTCCGTTACTACCCGAAGCTCGTGTACCGCTATCTCAAGCGCTTCTTTTTTTTTGATAGGTTCAGTCAAAGATCGAGAATGGACCATATCGCGTCACTCACCATCTTGGGCAGCTAAGCGACACACCAGAACTGAGACAAGTACTAAACCCCTCGGGCCAACGTCAAGGCATGAACGGTGCGTTGAGGAATCACACTTATCTTATCGCGCCACCCCGCTCAATTGTCCGAAACAAAAAGGCATACTTCGTTTTCGCACAGATCATCCCTTTGCAACTGCATCTCGATCACACAATCGGGCAAGATCTTGCCGCCTTTCTGGTCCACTAGCTGAATGTGAAGGAGGAACAAGTTGATCGGTACCAAAGATTGTGTGAACGCTAGCTCCAAACCTTATTCCTGCATTTCGTCATTCGCCTCCACCTCATCGTCACCACCAAACACCTCCTTCCTAGGCAACGGTAGCTCGTCATACGCCTCTCTGTACGACTGCGACCACTTCGGATACACCCTCTTGTACAGATTCATCAGCACGGTATCCATCTGCGAAATCGGTCCGTCAAAGTGTGCCTTGTAGTATCCATGGGTACCCAGACTCTCGGTAATGTGACCTGTCCTGCCCAACTTGGTGTGCAGGGTGATCGGTTTGAACCAGTGCACGTCCTCTGGGTTGAAGAACATGAATCGGATTGTCGCCGTCTTCTTGTGCACCTTGTACGGGTGTCCGCTGAGCAGGATGCGCTTGGCGTTGATGCGCGTGGGTCCGGCTTCGAGCAGGTTGCCGAACCCGACGAGGTGCGGCATCTGAGCAGCGGAGACGCCGCGTTGGTCGTACCCGTGTTCGCCGTCGAGCGAACGTTCGCGGAGCAGCACGGCGGGTGCGGTGGATCCGCCGAACGTGATGGGTGCGTAGACGGTGGCGACCGAGGCAGAGACACCTTGGCGTAGGTAGCGCTCGAACTTGTGGACGTTGTTGACGCCTTTGCCGCCTCCACGGCTGTGCTGGCTGAAGATCGGGTTGATGCGGAATCGTCGTGGTCCCAGACACAGCACCAGCGGGTCTTTGGATCGAACCGGTGCCTCGTACTCCGTGTTGCGCGTAACGGTAAAGTTGAGCACCGACTTCTTGTGTTCGTGCCTCAGCAGTCCGAACAGCACAAAGGGGACCGCGCAATCTACCGGCGGAAGCTCGCCGAGGTTGTTGGCGCGAGCACGAATCGCCGCCGCACGAGGCACGTCTTTGATCCACACCGTAACGCGGAATCCTGGCTGCACACCGTCCAACAGCGCAGCGCCTTCCACACGACGACGGGTCTTGTGGAAGTCCTCGAACTGGAAGATGCGCGCGTAGTCGCGCGGCAGGTCCTCGTACGGATCCCAGGGTGACGTTCGGAACGACTTGAGCCCACGGTAGCGTGCAAAGCGTGTTCGGGCGGCGATCTCGAGCGGCGTGTCGACTTCGTCGGGGAACTCGGCATCGTCGCGCTCTTCGCGCTCGCGCTTGCGCTGTGCTTGGTAGGCGAGGTACTCGGCTTCGGCCTGATCGTCGTCGACGTCGTCGAACGGCATCTCGGATGCAGCATCGCTCGTCTGGTTCTGCTGCGCGATGGCGCTTGCCTTCATACGCTCGTAGTCGTCGATGGCCTCGTTGACTTGCATATCGCCTTCCTGATCCACCAACAACTCGTCGTCTTCGTCCTCTTCAGCCATCATGGAATCCTCGTCGTCGTCCTGCTCGTCGTCCTCGTCCTCTTCGTCGGACTCGATGATCCAGGCGGCACGATACTTGGCATTGTCCTTGGCGTTGCCGCTTCCCTTGAGGATGGTCTTCGGCGTGGTGCCTGGCAGAGCGGGCGGAGGAGGCATCTCGCCATCGGCCTGTTGCTTGGCGAATCGCTCGGCTGCCTGCATCTCCTCCTCGGTGGGCCACGTCTGCTCGTTGCCCATGTCATCCGGCTCGTTTTCGGAGACGAGATCGTCGGCGAACTCGTCATCGCGCGACTGGAGCACATCGCCTGGCGTCAGGGGGGCATCTTGCGTCGCTTCGGCGTCGGTCATGGCGTCGTCTTGATCTTGACTGTCAGCGTTGGTGGCGCTGGCTTTGGATCGCTTGGTGCGTGCGTTCGGCGGAGGAGCGTAGGTGATGCGGTCGACTTCAAAGTCGCCGTAGTCGGGAAGGTGGATGAGTCGGTCGGCCGACATGGGCGCGCCCCGGATCCAGCCGTGCACTTTGAGTGTGCCTCGCTCTGCTTCTTGAGAGGAGCCGTTGGCGTCTCCGTTGCCATTGCTGTGAACCTCAGGGGACGCCTCCCACTCGGCACCTTCGCTCACCATCCACGCGCGGAAATCCCTCCACGCCACACGCTTGGGTGTAGCGGTGGCAAGTGTGCGGAGGAGAGCACCTCGCTCAGCTCGATCGTCGAGCGCGTGCACCTTTTCGACGTCGGGCGAAAAGTACTTGGCAAAGCTGAGCAGCGACTTGCGCACCTCGTTGGCGGCTTTAAGTGCAGCACCCGCCTTTTTGCTCCCTCCGACACCGGTGGCGCCATCTGGGTGGAGCGTTGGAACGGCCACGACAACGGTGGGCAGACCCTGGGCTTGCAAGGTTCGAAGACAAAGCTCACCCCAGGATCCAGGGTCAATGGCGGTGGATGCTGAAAGGACGAGAAGAACAAAGTCGGCACACTTGCAAGCGTCGAGGATGGGGTAGAGCGCGCCATACGGAAGTGGCAGGAACTGAATCGTCTGTCGGAACCGGGTCGCCTCGAGCTCGCAGTATGGCAGGCCCTGTGCGAGCGCTTCATCGACACTGCGACCGGGAACAGGCTGGACGCCGCCGTCGATGCCTTCTTCCTGGATCCTCCTGACCGCTTCCCACGAGTCGCCATCCTCTGCGAGATCTACGACGGCGCAGATTCGAGGTGCACCAGCACCTGCACCTGCGAAACCTTTGGAAAGACCATCTTTGCCTTCTCTCGACGAAGAGGACGAAGCGGAAAACACACGGTTGGATTGAATGAGTGCGTTTCGCTTGGATCGCTGTGCCTGCTTGGCGTGGTTTCTACGATGTTGGCGGGAACCGGCTTCGTTGCCGGACGCTGAGAGTGGTGATGATTTGTGCGAGGCTAGACGGGAAGTGTTGGACACATCGCTGGCGGATCGACCCTTGGATGCTTCGCGGAGTGTGGTCTTTGTGGCGTGCTTGGACTTGAAGGACTTATTGGTTTGCCTCAAGGACGAGGCACGGTGATGGTGCGGCATGATGAGAAGCGAGGTATGCCGGCCGTCCACAGCAGCTGTGTCGTCGACCTAGCTTCAAACGTTGCACTGTGTGTGCGGTGCGATCGAAGCAACGACAAGATGAGGTGGTAATCAAGGACGACGGTGTGTGGTGCAGAAGAAGATCACAGATGCAGCTCAGGGTCCCTCTCTCTCCTTCTCTCTCTCTCAAACTTTTCTTTTTTCGCGGCTGCCGTGCCACTCTCTCCAAATCTGTGCTCTGAGAAGAAAGAAATCTTTTTTGGAAGAAAATCCGACCAAATTTTGAGCTTGGATCCGCTCCACTTGAATTCCGTCTCCCGACTTCTCATGTTGAGCTTCTTCATAGAGCGGACTGTGATGCTCGCTGATCAACAGCATTCGCCCCTCGCACTCTGTGGTCCACTTGTCTCGAAAGTGAACACAGTGCAAAACGAAGCGCGATCGAGAGTTGGGATGCTACGACGACAGTGTCTCGAGAAGAGATGGGCAGCGGCTCAGTGAAGGCTTGTTTTCGATCTTCACTCTGTGGTCAAGCATCACTCTCGAACAAGCTATCTGCTGAAGTGGGAGACTGGCGGGACGTTCGGTGACTTCGCTTCGTTTTAAGCATACAAAGATTGCCTCATACGAGCTAGACGGGACACAGGAAAGGGCTGATGGGTCGACTTCCAAGCTTGGACGAGCGCTGAATCGTTTGGTAGCTACGAAGATCGATGCTGCATCCCATCTCGCTGGCAAAGCATGATCAGAACCCGACCTGACTCGGTGTACGTGTCCCCGTCGGTGTAGGTGGCTGGCTAGGATGCGGGCTGGGCGTAGGTGGTGGAGCGAAAAACTTGAACCTGAGCCGATGCAGAATGGGCAGCTTGGGGAAGAGCACGAAGAGCAACGCCGAGAAGTTGAGGCTGAACAGCAAAGGATTGTACCTCGTGTAGTGCGTCGAGATGAGGAACAGACCGATCGGTACCGACGTCAGCCACTTTTTCGCCGGCGTGTACTGCGCGCCTTCGTCGATCTGCTCCCACAGGGTGAGCTGATCGTACACGCCTGCGTTGGACTCGAACGGCGTTCCGGTCACGTAGTGGAACATGAGGTAGGACAGAGCCATATACCCTAGATTGACGAGCGTCCACGATGTATCTTGCTGCATGGCAGGGATGACGTCTAGCAGGATCTTGGCGACGAGGATGAGCACGACGTGGATCACCCATGCGCCCTTGTAGTTGACCCAATCGGCGTTGGCGTTGAATCCGGCGGATTGATCGAGCATCTCCTCGTGCGTCTCTTCGACGCGCGTGACAGAGACGAGCGAGGACGATCGCGCGCGGTTGTGCGTCGGACGCTTGGTAGGTGGCGGAGCGACACCTGTGGAAGAGCCGCTTGCGAAGGCAGTGCCGGGCGGACTGATGTGAAGAGACGGCGGAGCGCCGGCCTGCTTAGCCGAAGACATGATGAAGCGTAGGTATGAGTGGTTTGCGAGTCGAACACGCAGCGAGCACGGCTTCTCTGAGGGGCTTGTCTCGTCGAGCGTGGAGAAGACCGAAAGTGAAGAGACCACGTCGTTCCGATTCTGTTGCTTGTCACCTGCGGTCGATAGAGGACGTTAAGGGGGCGGAACAGCCGCACTGCCTTGAGACTCGATGCGACTTCCAAACAGCGACAAGTGCTTCGAGAGGGCTGAGTAGATGATGCAAAGCAAATGGATGACGGTGTCTAGTGCCTTTCCGCAGCCCGATGAGATGACGGCGACACGCACACCCACGCCGAATCCTAATCTTTTGCGGACGGGCCGAGTCGCGCGCTTCTTCCCCTGCTCCGATTCTCCCACAAAAACTCCAAGCGCGAAGTCAAATCGGATCACCCGATTTCTCAGAACAACCACAGACAGCCAAGCACCAACTCGCAACACGATGCGCAGGGCCGCACGATACTGTATCTCCGGCAGTATTAGTTCCGGAAGACTATATCAGGCTCAAAGCATCCCGGACGCTCGAACAAAGCTAGTTTCACGCCGCGAACAAGGACAGTTGGACGGCGGGTGAGTGAAAAGCCTGAGCATGATGAAAACGACTGATCTAACATCATGGTCTCATCGCAGAAATTCGAGAACAACACCTCGAACGCTCAAAGCACGTTTTCAGAGTGCCACATTCGAAGCATCAAATCGATTGTCGTGACTGAGAAATGGCCGCGGCAGTCAGTTGGCTCGATGTCTACGTTTCGCAAATCGTCACACAGCAGCAGCGGACATTAAAAAAAAACACGACTGCGTGTCAGTTCGGCGCACTGACCGATGAGTTTGGCTCACTTTGGCGAGCGGGCCTCCACGCATTGGTGAGCATTCATTCGAGTGTTGGACTCGCTACGCTTATTTCTTCTCGCCTAGGCATTCTCCTCGTCAACTCGTACAGACAGCCTTGCCATCGTTCCACCACCATCACAAAAACATACCATGGCGCTTCCATCCACTCTCTCGGTCGCACAGGCCCACATCGGCGAGGGTCTTCCCGTCTCGCTCATCAACGCCGCATCGCAGGCCCACCCCAAACCCATCAACCAGACCTTCACCTACGGTACGGCTGGTCTGCGTACACGCGCCGATATCCTCGACAGCACATGCTTCCGCGTCGGTCTTATCGGAGCGCTGCGCTCCAAGAAGCTCAAGGGCAAGACCATCGGCCTCATGGTCACCGCGAGTCACAATCCTGAGCAGGACAACGGTGTCAAGATGGTCGATCCGCGCGGAGAGATGCTCGAGGCGTCCTGGGAGCCGTTCTGCACCCACATTGCCAACGCTTCCACCGACGAAGAGCTCATCACTTCGCTCGAGAAGCTCGTAGCTCACTTCAACATTGACCTCGCTGCACCCGCTTCCGTCATTGTAGGGTACGACACGCGTCCGTCCTGCAAGCAGCTCGTCCAGGCCATCGTCGACGGTCTCTCGGCTCTCGGTGCCCACACCATCGATGCCGGCCTCAAAACCACTCCGCAGCTCCACTACCTCGTCAAGAGCCTCAACACACAAGGCACACCCGAGTCGTACGGCGAGCCCACAGAGCAGGGCTACTACAAGAAGCTCGCAGCCGCCTACCTCAAGCTCGTCCCCGCTAAGTCGGATGTGCCGCCGCTCGTGGTCGACTGTGCCAATGGTGTCGGTGCATATGCGCTCACCAACCTGATCAAGTACCTTCCGGAAGACCGCATCGCCTTCCGTCCGCTGCGCACCAGCACCACCACGCCAGGCGCGCTCAACAACAACTGCGGCGCCGACTACGTCAAGACCAACCAGTGCCTTCCCGCAGGCTTCGAAAAGGAGAACTTGCAGCCCGGAGAGCGCCTCTGCTCGTTCGACGGAGACGCAGATCGCATCGTCTACTACTACCTCACTGGTCCTCCCACATCCAAGGAATCGTTCCGCCTGTTGGATGGCGACAAGATCGCCTCGCTCGCCGCCGGCTACCTCTCCGAGCTCGTCCAGGCTGCCGGCATCAAGCTCGAGCTGGGCTGCGTTCAGACCGCCTACGCCAACGGCAGCTCCACCAAGTACCTCAAACAGCGCGTCCCCGTCACCTGCACCCCGACGGGAGTCAAGCACCTCCACCACGCCGCCGAGGCCTACGACATTGGTGTCTACTTTGAGGCCAACGGTCACGGCACCGTCCTCTTCTCCCCCTCTGCGCAGCGCAAGATCAAGGAAGCCACGCCATCCTCTCCCGCAGCCCAGACCGCGCTCGAGCAACTCGCCGCACTCGTCGACCTCATCAACCAGACCGTTGGCGACGCCATCTCGGACATGCTGCTCGTCGAAGTCATCCTCCGAGCACGTCAGTGGGGTCCAGCAGAGTGGGATGGCGCGTACGAGGATCTGCCCAACAAGATCCTCAAGGTCAACGTCAAGGACCGCTTCGTCTTCAAGACCGAAGACGCCGAACGCAGGTTGACCAGTCCAGCCGGTCTGCAGGACAAGATTGACGAGCTGGTGGGTAAGTACAAGGATGCACGCAGCTTCGTCCGTCCCAGCGGAACCGAGGACTGCGTCAGAGTGTACGCCGAATGTGCCATCGCCAGCGAGCTGGCTCCCCTCGCCAACGGAGTCGCCAAGCTCGTCTCGGATTACGCCTCGTTGAGTTGAGTGTCCACGATTAGTGTCTGATCGCAATCGATGCCATCCTCATTTCGATTCTCCTCGTCCTCCCTGTCTTTCGCTGTATCTCTGCGGACGTGACTGAGTTGATTGAGTCGACTGCGACTGACAAGATGTGACAGACTAGATATGACTGAGTGAAGAAGGCTGTCCAATCGTAATTTCGGACCAGCCGAAAAGGGCCCAAGTATGCCCTGTATGAATGCATTACGCGACACCTCACACAACGAATTGTCTTCGTGGCCTAGTTGGTTAGGGCGTAGGTCTCATACCCACCAACGATCCTGTATTGACAGGAATCAACCTACGGACAGTTACATGTTCAGACATCCTAAGATCGCGAGTTCGACTCTCGCCGAGGACACAATTTTTTTTTGCCGTTTTGACCTTTTTGATACCACCACCGAACGCGGAGACACGAGGGGAACTCACTCAGCAGATTTGGAGCAAGATTGATCAGAAAATGGCCGAGTAATGGTGATTTGAAAATTGTTCGAGATGGTGTCAGTGACGCCTGTCAGGCGGTAAAAAAGAAAACCACGCAATCAAGCACAGTGGCGTGCTCACTCAAGATTTTTGAATGCCCACAAACAGCATTTAACGCTGCCGCCGAAGCCTGCTGTGGACATCGGACAACTCGTATCGTCGAGGGAAGATACCAGAGATAGCCGCATGAGCAGTCTCTTCGCCTTCTAGACCAGAAAGGATGCTGCTTGTCTTCCAAAGCTGAGTTCGGTATTGTTCTCGGAGCTGCCAACTGTGAGACGCTAGGTCCGCTCTGTGGCGGGACCTTTGAGGCGACAAGACAAGCTTTCGCGGAGTTGATCCGCGTGAACAAAGAGAGTGCGGAAAGTGCAACAAGTCTTCTTCCGATCTGAACTTCACTCACTCTTCGAGTTGTTGGGCTCTCTCGCTCTCTCCTTCTCTCTCTTGCTCGACTTTCTCCGTGATGTGACGGACACATCCGAATGGACCTTCTGGATGAGGCATGTGACAGCCCGCACATTGAAACAATCCGCAGGTTCACATTCCTATTGATTGGGACGTGAATTTAGCCATCATCAGCACATGCACCGATCCAGCGGGAAGCGTCGAGAGCAGATCTCAGACAAATTTAAAGCTTGACCTTGTCGTCTATATAAAGTCAAGCCGATACTCATCGCTTCATGATCCGCCTGCCTCAACGTGTGCCATCTTTTCCTTGGTTTACATCGTCGTGATGGATTCATCCACGACTGTCAAGGTTCTGCTCGCCGCGGCTGCCTTCCACGAGCTGGAGCAGGATGCTTGGGCAAAGGTTGAAGAATCCGGATACGAACACCACGAGTATCCCCGTCACAAAGTGGTGAGTATCTTTGGATTGCCAACATGGTAGGAAGAGACTTATCAACACCCACTTGCATTTTCTCCGAACGGCAGATCGAGGGAAATAAGCTCGTCGAGAACCCTACCCCGTTTGACATGATGGCTTCGGTGATTGTCGTGTTCGTCATGACCCCATCGCAACTCAAAAAGTACGACGACCTCTTCTTTGCCGAACATCTCTCAGAGCTCGACTTCCGAATTGACGTCCACAAAGCCACCATCCATGCGGAACGCGACAACGACAAGAGCGAGCGTATCGTTCAGTACGACCTCGATATGGAGGCAAGCGACGTGGACAAGTTCCTGGAACAATCGCACGAGATCACCTCGCACCGATACTTTGACAGCATCTGGAAGCAAGGTGATGCCAGGCGGGAGCAGGATGAGGAAGGTGCAGATTGTCATACCGAGCCGTTGCAGACTCACGGCTGCGCATGTTTGAAGCACATGCGAGCTTGGAGTCAGAAGCTCAACCTGCTTTGGTGCCCCACTTGCAAGCCTGACCCCGACCAAGCCAGGATGGAAGAGGACGATTAAAGCTAGGCGTTCTTCCTACGCAGCTCGCCGATCGATCTCGTAGCAACTGCACCCGACTCTTTTGTCGCCACTGTCGACACACCTCACGGCGAAATCAAACATGTTGCATCGATGTTGCATCGTGCCATCACCGACTCGGTTCTTCCATGATCCGTTGGATTTTTCGCTACGTCGCATCATCTCATACTTTCTCGGTCACCCTGGCGACCGTCGTATTCTCCTGCATTGCGCATAACGGCTTCGTCATCATCAAGTGTGTTACTCGACTCGTATGCAAATGAAAGTCCAGTCCATTGACTTAACATTTTACCAAACCGGGCGTGACGCGTGCCTTTTGCTCTTTTTCCTTTGGACGTTGAAAGCCAAAGACTCATTCAGCCAAGCCAGCTGAGCCGTTACGGTGTCGGAAAAGCCGGTTCGAGTCGGCTTTGCGCTTCGATTTCCAAGCAAAGCAGGAATGATGCAACAGCGCTGCTGAGGAAAAACAAGATGACAGCCGGTAATTCGAGGAGAAAAACACTCGAGGCGGGGAAGAGGCGCGGGGCCGTGGCAGCCGATTTTTCCAGTCATCGAACCGGTTCCGGCTCACCTTTGGAACCAGCGAATGGTGTTGTGGACATTGCACGTTGGCTCAGCCTGTTGCTTCCTTCTACTCTTCCACAATCACTCCATCAACACGGTCGCAAGCATTCGGTGAAAGCTTTTCGGGACTCGAGGCAGAACATCGACCGACTCAGCCGAGCAAAGCACGCGGCCCTTCGATCTGCATCTGCAACTGCGTTTGCATCTGCGTACGACGAGCACAACAACCGCACTCGCCTTGCCTCGGTCGTCGCACACCAAGATACGGGACTTGGAGGACACGCTCATCTCGACGTCGGTGGAGCAGAGGTGGAGTTGCGGCAGTGATTGCGATCCTGTCAAGTAGGAGGCATCTTCGACACCATCCAACATGGCAGCTCGACGTCCTCAGCATCCTCCATTGTGCGAGACCGACCACGCAGCATCCGATCCACGCGACTCGACGCATCTACCATCACAACCACCATACGACCTCAAAGGTAAAGCTCGAGCCTACGACACCGCCCAAGATGCATTCTCAATATCACGCTCCAGCGCCTCGACGGCGTCGACGCCTGCAGTCAACTCGATCCTCGGCGATACATCCGACAAGACGAGCTGGAACTACGTCCTTCGCTCCGGTTTCGCCGGTGGTATCGCCGGCTGCGTCGCCAAATCGGCCATCGCACCGCTCGATCGAGTCAAGATCCTGTTCCAAGCTCAGAATCCTGAGTTCCAAAAGTACTCGGGCAAGTGGTTGGGCGTGTTCCAGGCCGGTCGCGACATTGTACGCTCCGATGGACCCTCAGCGCTGTTTCAAGGTCACAGCGCCACGCTGATGCGCATCTTTCCATATGCAGCCATCAAGTACATGGCGTACGACAAGCTGCATTTCTACCTCATGCCCACCAAGCAGAGCGAGACGTCGGCGAGGTTGTTCCTGGCTGGATCGGCAAGCGGTGTGCTTTCAGTCTTCATGACATACCCATTAGAGCTGATTCGGGTACGATTGGCCTTCGAGACCAAACGCAAGCGACAAAAGGGAGGACTGAGAAGGATCATCGGCATGATCTACCGCGAAGGCGCGACGGAAGCACCGTTCAGCAGCGATGCCAGGAGGAGAGCGGCGAGGATGGCACAGCAAGCAGCGCAGCAGGCGAATCTCAGCACTTCGGCCACGCAGAGTGCCATCGCTGCGGCTGGGTCGACGGCGAATTCGATCGAAAGTGCTCTGCGTGCAACGGATCCCAACGTACCGTCATCGGCTGTTCCGGCGGGGAATCGATTGCTGGCCAAGTATCCGATCCTCAAGTTCTACCGAGGATTCAGCGTGACGGTGATGGGGATGATTCCGTATGCGGGGACGAGTTTCCTCGTGTTCGGTCGATGCAAGACCATGCTTCAGGACATGTTTCCGCCGTCGGAACCGGCAGCGGGTGTAGCGGGTAGCAGACGACAGTGGTACTGGCCGAGCAAGACCGTGGTGGACCTATCGGCAGGTGCACTGGCGGGGGCGCTCTCGCAGACGGCGGCGTATCCGTTCGAGGTGATCCGCAGAAGACAGCAAGTGGGAGGGATCATTCGACCCGGTGCCATGCTGGGCATGTGGGAGACCGCAGCGTGGATCTACAAGACGAGCGGATGGAGAGGATTTTATGTTGGTTTGAGCATCGGGTTTCTGAAGGTGGTGCCGATGACGAGCATCTCGTTTGCCGTTTGGTTGGGGATGAAGAGGCAGATGGGCATCTAGCGAGGACGTAGTCGAGGGAATGACAGTGATGTTCGGCTGCAATCAGCGCGATTTCGCATGACACGATCGCACTGTGGATTGATCGTGGGTATCGGTCTATGCTTTTTGATCGATTGGGGCCGCGCGGGTCCCGAACACGTTGGATTGCACATGGGCAAGAATTGTTTCAATGGCTCTGTTCTTCACTTGCACTGGCTTGGGACCATCGCTTTCGACCTGCAAAGACGTTGCCATTGCGTCCGTTCTGAAAACAATTGACTGTGAAGCGGCAAATTTGACCTTGATTTGCCGGTACTTCCAGAATGACGGTGTCGAACACTTTGAAGACCTGAACCAGCTCTGGACGGAGTGATGCTCCCGAATCTACCCAACTCGTCGTCTTCCGTTCCGACTGAAAGCCGTGACGTTGTCGGCCACTGCGATGCTCAGGGATCCCGTTCTGAGGTTCCTGCTACCGGAAGAATTTCCTCGGCTGCACCGGTCGGCTTTTTTGCCGACAGAAGAACGTAGCGCTTGGACCAGCGTGGACCGACGTGGACCCTGTCTTTCACTAGCGACAACAACATCATCTGCTTGTCTGATCGACTTAGCTCGATCATCGTTCTAGCAAGGGTGATGATCAGCTGCCGACTGATCCCTCGTCTCTCTTCATCTCGGCTACGGCTTTCGCCCTTTCATCCGCGGAACCTCGTCGACCCCGCATTTCGGTCCCACCGTCCCACCGCAACTCTCCGCACGATTCATCCCGCGTCCTCAACCCCACACTACTCGGCAATGTCTACATCCACGTCCGCTCCTGCACTGCCGCCGGAGCCACCGGTACCTGCTCCTCTCACGATGGACGAAATCAAGCATTTCCGCTCTTCACTCTCGCCCGCCATCCGCTGCTCCACGGAAACGTGGCTGGTCGTTCTCACCTCCGCCATCGTATCCCTTGGCTGTGGAGCTGAATCTATCATCGATCTATACCATCTCGCTCTCTCCTCCTCGTCCGATCTCGCATCATCTCAACGTAAACAATCCTTGATTCAGGAAACGCTCGTCAAAGGTAGCGTCATCTTCGGTATCCCCCCCGCTCTCGATACCATCTTCCCTCTTCTCGAACACATCCGATCAACCAATCCAACCTTTCTCCTGACTTCCGATCACTTCTCCCGGCAATCTCTTCTCTCGGAGCCAATAAGCTCGCTGAAAACTCCAGCGATGAAGTCGCTAGAAAGAGTGTATCGTCACAACCTCTCGCCCATCCTCGACAGCAAAATGTCCGACAACATGCAAGACTTGAAATTCCTCACCATCCAGATCAACTACGGCTTCACCCTCTCCTGCGATGCTGTCATCAACTGGAAACTGACAGAGTTGCTAGTACTAGCTGCACTGGTAGGCAGAAATTGCAGAGCTGAAGTCCTCTGGCACATGCGTGGTGCTCTCAGAGCAGGGTGGAGTAGAGACGACGTGGATAGTGTGAGAAGTACGGTTAAGGAGTTGGCGAGAAGGCTGGCTGTCAGAACGGACAAAGTTCCAACCTTGGACGAGGTTAAAGAGGATAGCAATGATTGAAGACACAGAGCAGCACACACGAGACACCTCCTGGAATACAAGATGGACATTGGTCGAGGAAAGGAAAGATCATACATTGTACGATGGACGATTACCCACTTCTCGCCCCACCGACAGGCTCATCCGGATCGCGCTTGAAAAAGTCATTGACGCCCGAAGCGACGTTGCCCCACCAAGAGTCTCCCTGATTCGCATTGGCATTCGAATCCCCTCGTCGTCGTCGTCGTTGCTGCTGTTGCTGCCTTGTCCTGGAACGCGTATTATACGCCGTCCCCTCCTCCACCCCCGCTGTGGTGCGGAATCGATCGCCGACACCTTGAAACCAACCACTCGGGTCCTGCTGAAACCTTCGCAGCTCGTCCTGTACCTTGCCCGTTGCTCTGAGCGCAGACAAGGCGTCGATGCCCTGTCTCTGGCCCTCGGTGACGACGGTGCGGAGGAGCGAGCCGAAATCAACTCCTCCGTCCGAAGGTTCGGTGTCGGAGGAGCGGCCGAACATGTCGGCAAAGGCGCTGTAGCCTGCACCTAGGTCGTCTGCAAGGTCGTCGTTGGCGTCGAACGAGAATGCACGTTTGTTGGCTCGTGTGCGACGACGTGTTGATGATGATCGTTGTTGGCGACGGCGGGCATTGCGAGCTGAGGCTGAAGAACCACCGGACGTGGTGAGATCCGGAAGCTGGGTGTAGAGGGTATTCATGAGCGGACCGAGCGAGTTGACTGAGCAAGAGGAATGGAATGAGAGCTCGGTCAGCCTTTGAATACTGTCGCAATGCAGAGCAATATGGCAGAGTCGGAGCGGATAAGGAGAGAGGACATTGAGTCAGGGATCGACAAGCGTCGCCGTGTTGGGATGCAGTTCTACTTACGCTGGCCAAAAAAGCCTCCTCTGCCGGGTACTGTCCCTGTGCTGTTGATGGCATCAGTGTTGTCGGTCCACCACGCCCATATGGCGATGAGACCACCGATGATGGCGCCCCACTTGATTCCGAACCACGCGAGCGATAGCATGGAGCGAACCGTCCTGTACGCGGTGAGGAGCGCAAAGTAGGCGAGGAAGAAGGTGATGAGCGGCGGAAGCAGCGTGGACGACCATGATGCGGGGTTGTTGGCGCTACCGAGCAGGGTGTAGATGAGATTGGAGAAGCCTGCTAGCACTCGAAAGACGGGATCAGGGATGACGCTGGAGAGGAGGTCGTGGAGCAGGCCACTGGCGTCTTGTGCAGCGTCCGCCATGGTTGCACAAGGAGGGTTGCTGGTCCGACGTCGAGTTGGGAGGGTAATGAGCAAGACCTTTGAGGGATGGCTTCGCCTTTTGTAGCCAGCTTCTTCGATGCCGCTGCCTCGCCGACGGAAATGGAAGAAAGATTCAGAATGCGATAGAGTGAAGAGCGACAAGAGTGATGATGTGGACAAAGCCAACAGAGACGTGGAAGGTGAGAAGGAGCGAGTCTGCAGTAGTCATCCACGCTCACATGGTCCCTGCATCGCGCGACCTTTCCTGAATCACTTTTTTTTGGCGTAAATTTACGTGGAGGAGCTGCGATTTTTCATTACAAGCGATTCGTCCGATGTAACAGACGCACAAAAAACGACGTGGGAGCACGGCCCGGGATGGATAAGCGAAGATGATTGTCGGCATTTGCCGATTGGAAGAAAGGAGTGCGCATTGCTCACTCGGCTATCGATCCTCTCACCTCTTACCATCATCGTCCATCTCTTCAACGACAACAATGTCGCGCTTCCTCGGGCGACTGTCTCGCACACCTTCGGCTCAATCCATCAAGAGCCAGGCTTCTGCTGATAAACAGCTCCCGCCAAAGACGTCCGACATCCTCACTACTCCCGCCCCAGGATGCACCCCCAAACCTGTGGAACCTATATCGGCTGATCAGCAACGCAAGCTGGCAGACCTCGAGCAGTACATTCGTCAAGTCGCCTCCGATACCCCTCCGAAAGACGACTACCAAAAATGGGAAGACAAGTGGCTCAACGAACACAACCTCTACCAACGCTACCTGCGCGCCGCAAAGGGTGATCTCGACAACGCCAAGAAGAGGATCAAGTCGACGCTCGAGTGGAGGAGAGATTTCCGTCCAGAGATCATCGCACCCGACAGCGTATCAAAGGAAGCAGAGTCCGGCAAGCAGATCGTAACCGGCTTCGACAACGACGGCAGACCGCTCATCTACCTCAGGCCCGCCAGGGAAAACACTACCCCCAGCGATGCACAAGTTCGCTACCTCGTATGGACTCTCGAACGTGCCATCGACTTCATGCCACCAGGCGTTGAGAACTACGCCATCATCATCGACTACCACAAAGCCACCACACAGTCCAACCCTTCCCTCTCCACCGCCAGGACCGTCGCCAACATCCTCCAAAACCACTACGTAGAACGACTCGGTCGCGCCTTTGTCGTCAACGTCCCCTGGTTCATCAACGCCTTCTTCACTGCTCTCGGTCCCTTCCTCGATCCCATCACAAAGGACAAGATCCGATTCAATGCCAATCTCGCCGACTTTGTGCCTGCAGAACAGCTTGATGCCGAGTTCGCCGGAGGCAAGTACAATTACGAATGGGACTTCCAAAAGTACTGGAGCACTTTGATCAAGGTCGGAGGCATCGCACAGGATGGCACTCGCAACAACGATGGCGCTGAGCAAGCGACATCCTCTCGGGCTGAGGTGGACCCGGTGCAAAGACACGCAGATGCTATCGCAGCTACACAGCTTAGTGGAGATGGTGCTACCGAGGGTCTTGGTGCCGCTGCTGGCAGTACTGCTGCTCTCGCCGTTGCCGGAGGCGGAGCTGCTGCTGCCACTGCTGCTGTCGCCGCTGGAAATGCTGAAAAGACATCTTCGTCCGCCTACAAGTACCTGAAAGGCACTTCAGATTACGAAGATCTCCTCTCCAAATACGACACCTTCCTCTTCGACTGCGACGGTGTATTGTGGTCAGGCGACGAAACCATCCCTGGTGTCGTCTCTGTCCTGCAGAAACTCCGTCAGCGTGGCAAGTCGGTCATCTTTGTCACCAACAATGCCTCCAAATCTCGCCAGACCTACCTGAAAAAATTCGCCGGCATGAACATCCAAGCCTCTCTCGACGAGGTCTTTTCGTCTTCGTACGCATCGGCCGTCTACCTGAAAAGGGTGCTCAACTTCCCCGCCGATCGCAAGGTGTACGTGATTGGTATGCACGGGATCGAGGAAGAGCTCGACGCCGAAAATGTCTTGCATTGCGGAGGCACCGATCCGGAGGACAACAAGTTTTTGCCTGCGCTCGATTTCACCTCGTTGCAGAACGACGATGCCATCGATCCCAAAGTCGGCGCTGTCGTTTGCGGATTCGACATGCACATGTCCTACATCAAGCTCGCCAAGGCCTTCAAGCACCTTACTCGACCCGGGTTCGATGGTCCCGTCGAAGCCAACGCCGAGGGAGGCGGATGCCACTTCATCCTGACCAACGACGACTCCACCTTCCCCGCCAAAGGTGGCCCCTGGCCTGGAGCAGGAAGCCTCTCCGCTCCCCTCATCTTCTCCACCAAACGCACCCCGACCATCGTCGGAAAACCTCACAAACCCATGCTCGACTGCATCATCGCTACAAAGCACTTTGACCCCAAACGCGCCATCATGGTCGGCGATAGACTCAACACCGATATCGAGTTTGCCAAAGCAGGAGGGATCGCGAGCATGTTGGTGTTGACAGGTATCAGTAAGCGCGACGAGATCGAGGGCGAGGAGGCGAAGACAGTGCCAGATTACTTGATCGACAGCTTGGGTGATCTGGATGCGGTTGCGTAGATAGGGAAATAGAAAGATCGAATAGGTTAAATAGAAAGATCGAATAGATTTGATTCGGAGGCACATGATATGCTTGAACTTTGAAACGCAGACGTGTGGCTACGCCCAGACGGCTTCTCCGTACACCGACGGGGGCTTCCGAGACGTGGACAACCACTCTTTTCTCGAACTCTCTCCGTCTCTCCCTCTCTCCCTCTCGACCTCCGCTCCGCTTCGGCTTGCGGCGTAGACAGTGACTAGCGAGCCGACACATTGTAGCAGCTGAGTCAATGAAACACGAGGAGAATGCGTTCCCGCAAACCCGCTGGATGAGCATATAACCCTTCCTTTCCGCTCTTTCGCTCCAATACACACACATCCTTCGTGTCATCGAACAACCTATTGTGGTTCTACCATCCTGCAATTCATTCACCTCTCAACCTCAGACCGCTCATATCTCTCCGCCTTTGACCCTGTGATCTACATTCCAGTATGCCAACCTCGACCACATCCCACCCCCCTCCCCGTCCGACATTCGATCAGGCAACCTGCGAGATTATCGTTCACTATCGCGTCCCCTCTATACACATCTCTCCGGCTGATTTTGTCAATCCTGTTTTCCTCAATCGACCTGGCGAGCTTTCCACAACCGACTTGGATGGCAACGTATATACAGCAACACATCACATCAGATGTCTGCTGTCCGAGGTCTCTCAATGTCTTGCAATTGTTCCGATGACGTTCGTGAGGGATTTCAAAGTGGTCACCCCAGGTTACTTGAATCCAAAGAGGGAGGAAGAGGACGGTTCGGAGACTTCAGCAGACGAACGTGTTGACAATCCTCCAGCAACGCAGACGAAGTGCGACCAGCAGGAAGCAATGAACACACATGTCGATGCGGACGAAGAAAGCCAAGACCAGCACAGAGAGCAACAGGATTGCGATCACGACAAGCGCCAGAGGCCGCTCGGAACTCTTGCAACTTATCAGCTTCTCCAGCAGCGGCAATGGCAGGAAGCTCAGCAGCCGAAGTCTGATGATCGCGACTATGACGACTTGGACGATATCGTCCCCGACTACAAACAGGACGGAGAGGATGTGCAGCAGGAGTCGGTCGGCAGATCGAACAAACGAAAGGTTTTACCCTTTGGATCTACGGTCATGGAGGCGCTGCAGGCTGGAGTGAAGCGCAGGAAGGAGGCTTAGGCGCAGCATTGCGACGGAAGCTGGTCTCCCACGAATTCGACCATTGTCAGTATACAGGTCCACCATCTTGGTCGCAGTCAGTCCTGCTTGAAAAGCGTCGCGGTTCTACGTCAAAGATTGAGTGCACGAGAAGAACGCTTGATATTGTAGTCGACTTGTTTTGGTGCGTGGCAGCCAGCGTCAATTCATACGGTCAGACCTCGGCGCTCCAGTGCGGGATTTGTCGGGCAAAGAATACGAGGTGCGACAAGCACGCACAAGCTGACATGGCAGGCCGCCGAAGCCAGAGCTGTCAGGTACACCTTACGCCTATGAATCGAGCGATCGAGACGAGGGGTATCACCCGATCGGTCCAATTCCAAGAGCTCGCTCTCGACCCGACACGACGGGTTGCGGTTCGCGGCTGGCGCCCGGGAAAACACCCCCGCACGGTAACCCGAGAAATGCGGCGTGAAAGAGATGCGGGGTAAAAGACAACATTGTCAGACAGTGTAGTGCCCTGCCCCCAGCTTTTGTGACGACGGGTATCTGATGCAGCTCACACCAATGCGACCTTGTCAATGTTCAGACAGTGAATGCTCAGTCGTCGCATTCTGAAAGCCATGGACGAGTGGGTCAGGCAGCGAACAGAAGATGAGGGTGAAGAATCCTTGAAATCGGGGTCGATCGGGTACCTCAGCAGAAAGCGGACATCTGAGACGAAAGAAAGACAGGAGGGATCGTGCAGCTCGACAGCCGGATTCGGTGGAAAATACAGGTTCAATTGGGCAACGCGTCACTTGCTCTCCAGATCTTTTGCACGCCCGGTTTCAGACGTCGAGCAAAACTCCATGTGACCAAAACGAGTAGATCGACGAGCCCCGCTTCCTACCCTTGCACCCTTGATCCACTGCAATGCTCACGCCATGGTTCTCGAGTCTTGGTCCCTCTACACATCGCTGTGGCTGCTACAGAAACAGATTCGGACTGCTTCACAGTCAAAAAGAAAGATAGGAATTGGGAAGTGGTACTCTCACATCGAAATCATGTCCGACAAAAAGGGCGCAAGCGGGGCGGGGGTTGATCAGGACGGATGCGAGAGAGTTGCAAAACGCGAGCCGCTCGCAAATATCGTCGCCTTCCGCTCCTAGAGCGAATAGACAGAGACAGGCAGGGGCGCCAAAAAACATTAGAAATTCAATCTCCGATCGAAGTGAGGCGTAACAAGCTGCATGATGAGGTCTGTCGAGGATTCCCCCTCTGCATGACGCTTGGGAAAACTCTCTCACTCTCTCTTTGCGCCTGGCTCGAGGCGTTTGAAGGTCCGAACAAACATCCGCATCCATTTTTCACGCACACGCCTCCCCTCGACGCTTTGGACGGAGAAACGTACGACGTCTGCCATGGGGGAAAGCGGGAACTGTACGTTGATGGTCGACAGTGTCACTGAGACGTGACGTGTTTTTTGAAAGTATACTGTTCTGTTAAAGTGGAGATCGCAGCCTGGTTGAAACGCCAGGGAAACCTTCTCTTGCATTTCTCGTAAAGTGGGGAGGCCCTGTCGATTTATGCGAGCCGCGCCCTGTCGCACCTCTACCCTCCAGTGCATTCTCCTGAAATCCAGACTAAGAGTTGAGTGAAATTCTTTTTTTTCCCCCAGTTTTTAGCTCGCTCTGGCGGCGGCGGCTGCTGTTTTGTGTTGCTCCAAAACAAAAAATCGAAAGAATAACCCCGTCGTGCAGATGGAAACCTCCTCGCTTAGCCGTTGTATGCAACCACAATCGACGGTCTAAGCGAGCGAGAGAAACGCCAATTCGCCCTTAATTTCGCTTCTGCCCTAGACACTCGCCTCGTGCCCGTTTTGTCGCAACGCCCGTCGACTGTCAAAGGCAGAGAGAGCTGGTGTGGGTTGTGCGCCCAATCAAACAACTCGCCTCTCGCGGACTAATGAAGCTGCGTTAGTGCCGGAAAAGAGGAAATTCCCCGCTCTCTCTGTCGATCCTTCTTTTTTTCAGCACCTGCGTTCGAGAAAGAGAGGCCCTTGCTTCGTGCTAAGTCGTCTGTGTTGCTGCGTTGCTTGCTTTTTTTGCCTATGCCGCGCTCTGCATGGTCAACAATCGATCCTGCGAAGCTTGGGCCGCCTTTGTGCATCTACCCTTGCACACAATGGAAGGCATCGTACTCGCTCTGCCAAGAAGTCAGCATGGACACAAGCTTTCGCATTGAGAGTTTTTGCGGGTAACAATGCCGCTGAGTCGAGCCGGAGGAGGAAAAAAGAGAGGGAAAAGACAGTGGCAGGGAGGGGCTGAATACGATCTGCGGCATTGGTCTCGCGTAATTCTTCACTGTCCGCTATTGCAGACAGGGCTGGAAGGGGAATTTCTCTCTTTTGATACCCCGCTCAACACTTACGTTTCCCCTCATACGGATGGATGGGAAGGGACCAACAAGGTTGGATGATGTCGTAGCCTCCTCTGCTTTTCGCTTCGTCTAGCAAGCAGGTTGCACGCAAGCTGCGACTCTGTGTGCGTGTGTGTAACGCCCAGCTTCTGCCCCGCTTTGTCGTCTGCCGCCCGCCGCCGCCGTCGCCGTCGCTTGGCCCCTCTTTCCCCCGCTTGAGCCTCGAGCCCCTCACATCGTATGAGCTACTGCCCCTCAGCCTCCTTTCTTCACTTCCAAACGTCGTTGTCGTTGTTGATCCTCCTACCTCATCTTCTCCTCATCCTACCATCCGTCCTTCCCGGTCCACCCCTGCTTTCGACTCGACCGACTCGACTTTCCCTACACTCATCATCATCATCGCCAGCATCACCAGCATCTGTGTCCGTTCGAAACCTTTGACCAAGGCTGCGCATCTGTAAATCATCGCCACATTTCATCCACATACTCTATCGGCAAACTTTACACAAGGTTGTGCAACCCAATCTCGCCTCTGTCGAGCCTCACAACCCGGGAAAATATCACCAACACATCTCGTTCAACAAGTTCCAACAGGTCTTCACTCCTTTCGACCAACCGAGGCGGCACCACGGTGGCCTCTCTCGTATAAACCTCACAAGATGGGTCTTCCACCACGTCGGTCGCTCACGGTCTCCGAACCGGCACGCAACAAGCTACCCGGCGCACCGCACCCGAACTTCTTCCTCGTCGTACGATTCCTCCTCACCGGTCTCGTATGCCTCCTCTCGCTCGCCACCGCCATCATCGCCATCCTCGTCGTCGACTACTACAACAAGCATGATCCCATCATCCGCCCCTCCTGGGGTTCCCTCATCTTCCTCATCATCCTCGGTCTCTTCACTCCCATCATCTACTTCGGTTACAACATCTTCCTACCCTTGATGCCGTTCATCAACTATGGAGATTTCCTCTACAGTCTGTTCATGGTCAAGATCGAGCTGCTGTTGCAGTTTGCGATGGCGGTGTTGTGGGTGTCGGGAGCGCTGGCGTATGCGTGCGATTTGCGCGGCAAGGAGAATTGTCAGTTTGATGGGTATTGGCACTACGAGAAGCCGGCGAACTTTGATCATGTTTGCAAGCTGATCGAGTATGCGGTGGGTTTTGCGTATGCGACGTTCGGTGTGCAGGCGGCGTTGATGGTGGTCGAGTTCTTGTATGGGATGTACATCTTCCTGTTTTTGGACCAGGAGAGTCTCAATGAACCTCACTTTGAGTGGGGTAGGAGGGCGTACAACTACGCTCAGCAGAGCAAGCAGCAGCAGCGTCAGGCTGCGATTGGTAGATCCCCCCGAGCAACGGCGTTGGGAGGTGCTGGTGGTGCCGCTGCTGGCGCTGGTGCTGCTGGAGTGTACAGGAACATGGGCAGGAGGAGTCCTGCTACCGAATCCGTCACGAGCCAAGGCACGAGCGAACGAACGGAAAGCAGACGAGGTGCAGGCTACAACGACCCGGACATGGAGTCGCGAACTTCCGCCCCCGTTTCGCTCGGCAGCAGAGGCAGGAGGGGCGTCGCCTACGGGGGCATGGCGGACGACGACGAGGAGTCCCAGATCGCCGGTCGACCCCGCTCGGCAGCGAGCACGGGCGGTGGAGAAGCCGGACCGTTGGCGTCCGCCGCTGCTGGCGCAGGTGCCGGTGCAAAGGGTCGAAAGACCAGCTCCAGAGGCGGCGGCTCGAGGAGGGCTTCTAGGCGTGGTCCGCTGTCGGACGAGGAAAGCGGTTGGCATCTGCGCGAGGACGATTCCGAACGCTAGATGCCCGACCACGAATGCTTTCTCTTCCCCGATCACTCGACCCACAAACATCAGAGCATGAACCTCCCTCCACTCGCCGCCCGCCTGCCCCGCTGAGATCGTAGGACTCTTGCGTACGTCGTTGCCTCAAGACGACACCGCTCGACCAGTCGCTCATCTCTAGCTTCCCCCTCCTCTCTCTCCTTTCTTCATACACACTCCCTTACATCATTCCCATGGCTAGCGTATAATTCCGCATTCTTCAACTCTCACTTTCTTTCCGCTCCTGCTCTCTCAACTGTCTCTTTTCTCTTCTTCGCTTTCACACACCTTGCTCTTCACTTTTGGTTTTTCTCCCAACCGTTTTACTGTCGTTTGATGTCTTACTCCGTCGATGCTTTGTCTCCTTGCTCTGATTCCACAATGGAAGTTCTATCCCCCATCCCCGCTAAACTATGTGTGCTCTTGGGGTGGTTCGCCGTTCTGCGAAAGACGAAAGTTGCGTGTGCCTTTGTTTCCGGAACAGTGCGTGACACTTCTATGCTCACCCGCAACTTGTCGCTCGCAGGCAGATGTATCGTGTCAATGTGCAGAAGCTGCGATGGCGCCAAGCAGGGTATAAGATTGATCGTCGGTTACAAGTACATATGAGCAGGGTTGCTTTCACTTCTGCTTGCGCACCAGACCAAAGGCATTCGGTGCGTTCTTCTTCTTCTTCACCGCAGGTATCGATGCTGCTAGCGTCGTGGATGGTGGTTTCGCTACAACGTTCGTCGCAGCCGCAGCCTTCATCGCTAGCAGGTCGTGCACGTCGGGTTCGGCATCTTCGTCTTCCAGCTTGCGCTTGACCGCAACACCGTTTCCGTTCGAACCGGTCGAATCGAGCGCTCTGCCGAAATACTTTTGCACGAGGGCTTCATCTTCCTCTGCCGCTCTTGCGTGTTCCTCCTCTTCGAGACTTTCTGCGGTGACCGCTGGAGATGGACCTGTGGATCGATCGTGCAGTTTGGCGAGAACTGCATCTGTATCCACGCGTTCGAGTCGGGCGTTGCGCGTTCGAATGTCTTGCAGCGCATCCAGGATCTCCATCTCTCTCCGTGAGTCCAACGTCCTCGCTTCCAACTGCTTCATCGGATCCCCCTCCATCTTTTCCAGCTTCCTCTCCAGCTTCTCCTCCTCCGTCAACAGCTTTTCCTCCTCCCCTTCTTCATCGTCCTCTTTTGTGGGAACGAAATTCCTGCTGGCCCCGTGCTCAGCCGTGTAATCCGCATTCTTGGGGTCGGTCTTGAAGGTGATCTCGGCGGAACACTGGGTGCAGCGGATGTAGAAGCGGAAGATCTTGATGCCGTAGTAGTCTTCGCCGAGCACGAGCTCTTTGCGGGCGTTGAACTTCTTGCCCTTGTATATGTACTCGCCGCAGGAGTTGCATCGCATCGAGTAGGGGGCCATGAGTCGGACGGTTTGCTGGGCGTCCTTGGGTGCTTTGCGACGTGGGATCTTGGATGGATCAAAGTCCGGAGGGTAGTAGTGGTTGAGCGCTTTGCGGTCCGCCATTGTAGGAGGATGGAGCGCTGCTGGACAGCGATATGATGAAAGATGGTGAGGGCGAGCAGTGTAGTGCAGGAAGAGAAGGTGGGATAAATGTGCGGAAAGGCTGAGTTGGGCGTTTGCATTGAACCCTGAATCGGGGAGTGCCCCGACCCCCGATTCAGGGACTCCAAAGTGGAGGAATGCGAGTGTGTGTCAATCATGTGTGCCAAACAGTGCCGTTTGTGACATGTTGTCCTCCCGCCACCGTCCTCGCACCATCACCTTTGACGTAGGATCAACGACTCGTGTCCAGCACTTCACATAATGACTCCATAACCGCTGCATCTCAATTCAAAAAAACCGGCAGTCATGGTGCCGGCGCCCACCAAGCTGAGCTCGACCACGAGCAAAGCCACTTCGAAACGAAGTGCAGCCAAGCGCCTCCCCGTCGCCTCTTCCTCCAACGCCGCTGTCGTCGATGAAGCTGCTCTGAGGCTCTGCAGACTCGCCTCGTCCCTCCCCAGCGAGCTCATCACCAGCATCCTCGAGTTCGCCGCAGCAACCGCCATCGACAATCCCGCGAAGCTTCGACTCCTCTGCCTGTCCAAATACTACCATGATCGACTCTCGCCCCTCCTCTACCACACCATCGCTCTCTGCTCTTCCTCCACCATCCACGCCTTTGCCTCGCTCGTCAAGTCGAATCCCAAAACAGCGCGTCACGTTCGACGTCTCTGGGTCGGACCCGACTCCTCGTCTTCGGACCTCATCACTGCGCTCTCGCCTCCCGCGTACAACGAAGCGTCTAACATCACGGAAATGCGAGAGCACGTCCACACTTCGGTCCGCTACATCCTACGCTCGTGTCGAAAGCTTCAAGACGTCGCACTGGCAGGCGAACTGCTCAGCCTTCACGCCGCCCACACGTACGGTTCAGCCTGCCAACCGGTGCGGCTGACCAGCGTCAACCCACACAGCTTCGTCGGCGGATTCTCAGCACCGATCTTCCGAAAAGTCAGGGTTTTGAGGATCGTAGATACCAATCTGGCGTTCGAAGAGGCGGACGAGATCAGGACCCTGGCGGAGTTGGAGTGGTTGATATGGACCGCTCCGAAGGATTACGGTGATATTAGCAGGGATAGCAACGTGTTGAGGAGGTTGTTGCAGAGGCCTAGGAAGCACTTCACCGAAGTTACAGAGGAAGGAGAAGGCCAGCGTACGAACGGTCAAACACCATTGTCGCCAGCGACGGCTGCTACTGCAACACCGATCTCCCGAGAACCGCCAGCTCAGGTGGATCGAATGGATCAACTCTGGATGAACCTCTCCGCTCTCGAGCTGTCCGAAGGTCTAGCTCCAGCAAGACCGAGCAAGAACGACCGGTTTCGACGCTTGACCATCCAATCCGCTCAGAATCGATGCGCCGAGTTTCGACATCTTCTCGCCGACTCCTTCCCGCTCCACCCAGCATCGACTTCATCCTCCTCTTCCACCATTTCGGATCCGACAGGCGGGTTAGCAGCAGGACTGGATGCAACGTTCGAAGATCTCGAGAGGGAATGGGATCCCGCGTTGAACGTTCCGACGATTCATCCGACGGTGTTGTCAGCAACAGTGTTGGACGAGTGGGATGCGTTGAGGGATCTGATTAACAATGCTGCGGGGCAGTATAGCAATTTGAGCATGTGGGATGTGGATACGAGCGGCGGGGCAGGTGGAGGAGGTGAAGCGGAGGGAGATGCGGAGAATGCGCTGAGGAGACAGAGGTCGGTTTGGGAATGTTTTGGTGATGTCGGGGTGTCGGATGCGACAAAAGGCTTGCATGCGATTGCTCGATGATGATGAGGGGAAGGCAACATTGACTTCATACAGATGGAATCTATCCAGTGTGAGTGTGTGAGTGTGTGTGTCTACAATGGTGTCTCGATACAAATGAGTTGGGTCTCGAGTGATGTCAAATTGAGCATAACCACCTGTCCCGTCTTTGCGAATTCCGGGACCAGCACAACCCTACATCCTTTCTCCTCCCTGTCTTGCTCCTCCTCCTCCTCGTCAAACCGATACACTGCACTAGCATACGCCGGCTGATTTCCCACCACGAGCACATCCGGTCTCTGCTTCAGCACAAACGGATCGCCCGACTTGAACGGATAGCACCACAACGTGTCCGGCGCAGTAGGAGCCAGATGACCCCACTCCAACGTACGCAGTGCCATCTCGATGCGCGACTCGTCGGATTCCTGGACGTACTTGAAGATGTCGTCGATGTTTTGACCCGAGGTGGCGAGGAGGTTTCGCTGCTGGCCGACGGGTAGCCACGCTGGGTTGGTGTGGCGGTGAAGCGAGTCGAAGCGACCGGCGCGAGGGAGCAGGGCAAAGTGGATGGGCTGTTGTGGGATGGCGACGGATGCCGGGTCCCTTTCGCCGGGGAGCAGGTGGACGGGCATGGCGGAGCATAGATCGGTGAGGAGTTGGTCGAGCGCGAGCGTCGGTGCGGACGAGAAGGTGGGTTGGTCCTGACCGTAACGCTTGGGTTTGTCCTCTTCTTCAGTGCGTGTGGGTGCGGCGACCGAATTGCCGGCGATCACGGCGGCTACGATGTTGGACGCTGAGATGCGGTCGTCCTGCTCGCCGAGTTCGCCTATGAGATACTCGACGAGGAGCTGCATCGAGAGCTGTGATTCGAGCGCTGCATCACCTCCGATAGCCAGGCCGCTCATGAGCACCGCCCACTGATCTTGTGCTTCGTCGACGCTGTGCTTTGACTTGGAAGTGCCGTTCTGGACGCTTTTGGGCGTGGCTTGTGGCGGTAGGGAAGCAAAGACGGCATCGACGACGTCAAAGTCTCCCGCGCGCGTCTCCGTACCCAGCACTGCTGCAACAACGCCCGTGATGAGCATAGACCTCAATGCCGTACCACCACGAATCGCGTCCCCGACCAACTTGACTCGACCTGACTGATCTTCGATGAACAACTCGTCCTTTGCATAATCCACAAACTTGGCTCGTACCGGTTGCGGTGCCAGCCACTGCTCTCGTGTCAGGTCCTCCAGTACGTCCGGTTTGAGGGGCATGGCGCAGTACACGTTGCCGACGACGTAGCAAATGTCACCCTGACGAATGTCGAGGATCCGATCGACCAGCTTGGGCGGGTCGTCCATCTTGACCCTTGCAGCGCCGCCATCGGAAGAGGGGCCGGCATCGGAAGAATCGAGCTGCGACAAAGGTTGGGACTGAGACTGGGAGAAGGAGTCAAAGTTGTCGATCCATCGTGATTTTGCTCGCGGAAGGATGCGTTTCTTGAGGTAGGCGAGACGGTAGTCGTACAGTTGGGCGTATTGTTTGGAGTAGGAGCGGGAGCCGAGCGGGACGAGGAATGCCTTGGAGAGCTCGGCGGCGGTGGTCTCGTCGGAAGGTGGAGCCACAGATTGACGCTCTATGGTCGATGGCATCGTGTATCGTGTTTTATGCCGTAGTGGTTGCGGTGGAGAGGTGAGGAGGAGAAAGGAGCAAGAAGAAGAGGAACAAGAACAATAATGTGCATTTCATTTCATCGTGCAAGCTGTGACCGACGCGTTGATTGATCCCGAGTCGCGTAAATTCACCGCTGAAAAGCCAGAGACCAACACCTTTCGGATGGTCCGACTTCCGTTCTGCGACGCTTTTTCCCACGACTTTGGTCGACTATCGCACCATCAATCACACGGTCACATCCGACAACGATGCGCAGCGAATCGTGACTGTCGCTGCGCTTCATCGCCATGCCATTCGAACCACTCGACCTGCTCGAGATCCCGCCGCTGCCATCGTTGGATCTCGAGCAATCGGCTCACGTCCGCGATCAGCTCGTCGCATCGACATTCCTCTCATCCGCGTCAACCACCTTGTCCGGTACCTTTCGCATCCAACCCCTCCTCAGCGAGTCCGAACCCGGCATCGATCCAGTCCTCGAAGCATTCTCCAAACGCAGCATCCAGCACGAGGCAGAATCGACACATACGTTCGAGCACACAACATCTTTTCCATCGCTCCACCGCACCTCGAACAGCGACGTCGATCTCGACTCTTCTCCTGGCCCTTCACGGCGTCCTGTGCGCCGATCCGCCTCCGGCTCGAGTCTGAGCTCGCACGAATCTTCCATCTGGGATGAGGATCTCCGCATCCCTGCAAAGCCAGCATCGGTAAAGTTTAGAGGATCGCCTGCCAAACCCAGGATCCTGGACCTTGCCGTAGCTGAGTCGTACGGCTCGCATCAACAGGGCATCCTCGAGGCCATCCACGAGCTGGCACTCAAGAACGTCGTAGCTGAATCCCAAGATCAGCATCTTGCTCCCGTGCATCCGATCCAAGACGTCGTACGATCACTCGTCGTCACAGCAACAACCGGCACATCCTCACACCACTTTCAATGGGATCCGGATTCAGCTTCCTTCGCATGGTCCGCAACCTTGCAGCATCGCAAAGACGTTCGTCAGCTGCGAAGGAGAGCCAAGGAGCAAGCTGCGTTGCACGCCTCGTTGATTGCAGCAGGCGATCAGGTCGATCCGCCTGCGCAGCCTCCACCTGCCATGACACAGCCCTGGATTGGCACAGAGCGAATCGAGGGTTGGAGCCAGGCCGCGTCGGACAGCGTCATTCGCCCCTTTCTCGATATTGGTGCGCTGCTACGTCGGATCGATGACCGTGTCCTCGCCATGCACCGGTCTGCCTCAGCACTTTGCAGTGAAGCGACGGCACTAGCAGCAGCCCTCGACACCGTAATCACCTGGTTCAAGAGCGAGCTTTCCTCACAGACTTCCACTCTGGCCGGCAGTATCCCATCCAAAGGTGTCGGCAGCTCTGCTGTCCTGAACGCCCATGCCGAGCTACAAGCTTGTTCCGCTGTCCTCAGGAGCCTTGGCAACCTCCTCTCCTGCGGTCAGCCCCGTTTGCCGCCCTTCCGTCCACTCGCCTGGCTCGAGTCTACTCACGCCACCCTATCGCATCTCCATGCTCATCTCGCTGCCTCGCTCGCTTCCGGTGCACCATCTCTCCCTTCTTCCGTACTCGCTTACTTACTCGATCGAACCAGCATCACCTGGCGCCAACAAGTCGCCCTCTGGGTCGGCTACCCTGGCTTCGAATCAGATAGAACGGGAGAGCTCGACGATAGACCTCCTACTCTCAAATCCAATTCCAGCTCGAGCTCGTCTCACATCTCCTCTCCTTGGAGCGGCGCTCTCGTCGATTGGTCGCTTGATGAGCGAGGCGAAGAGGACGTAGGATACACACTCAAGCCTTCGGCCGTACCGAGCTTCTTGCCCTTTCGTCACGCCAGAGCTTTCCTCGAAGCTGGTAGAGCGCTGAGGTTGCTCAAGAAAGCTGCTCCAGAGGACCATCCACTCGTTCATCACTGGTCGTTGAATGCGCAAGAAAGAGCGTCTGTCAGGCGTGTAGATCTGCCAACATGGCGTTGGTCGTTGCCCGACTCGCAAGCCCAAGTCAGCGCAGTCGAAGAACATATCGTTCAATTCAAACGCGAAATTGCACGATGGCGAAGACAGAGACGCAACACGACCGCTGCAAGCGCAGCGACATTCAGCACCGCTTCATCGCCGCTTGCCTCATCCATGATCCTTGCGCAGACTGCCGACGACACTATCAAACAGGTCGCACCTGTTCACCGGGACGAGGAGGCACTGCCGATCGAGGATCACTTCGAACGCATGTCGCAGCTTTTCACCGCTCTTCCCGGCATCACCGACTCGATGCCGATCGGAGGGACACCTGTGCATGCTGATCAAGCATTGAATTCCAGTCACGACGTGCCTACAGCTGACGATGCGGAGCAGTCGCTGCTGCTGTACCTCTCCTCAGCCGCCTTTCCTGCCGTAGCACAGCACGCCATCTCGCAATCATCCTTCGACCGCGTCACGCAGGCCAGCCTCGTTGCCCCATTCGAGAGCTGGGCTAGACTCATCAACATGTCACTGATCAGCGTCTTTTTCCAAGATCTCGGACTGGGCACCTACCTCGAGACCTGCAAGCGATTCCTCCTGCTCGGAAGCATCCACTTTGAACGTCAGGTGGTGTCAAGCCTGTTCGACGTGGACCGTGCCAGCGTGCTGGACGACGCTTCGGCGACCTCTGGACGTGCAGTCGTGGCCATGAATCGCAGATTGACTGCCGAAGGGGTATGGCCGCCCAACGACAGTCTGCTTTCATCTGCGCTCAACACGGCTGTCATCGAGACGGTTTCGGGCATGCGTCACGCGCACGAGGAGAGACTGCATCGAAGCGGCAAGACGGAAGACGCAGTTTCGCTCGCGTTCAAAGATCTCGATGAGAGGCTCTCCTTTGCCGTCGTCGAACCGCGATCTTCCTCGGCATCAAGCAAAGCGAAGAACAAGTCCAAATCCAAATCCAAACCGACCTGGACCGACCCTTCGTCCATCGACGCCCTGGATTGGCTCACCTTGTCTTTCCACCCTCCGCCGCTCATCTCGCCGCTCCTCACGCAGCTGGCGCAGTCTCGCTACCAGCGTCTGTGGAACATGCTGTTGCGCATCAAAAGGTGCAAAGTCGCCATGAGGTCGGCATGGGCGTGTACGTTCAAGTCTACGAGCGCAGCTTTCACCTTTGACTTCCGCACACGCTCGGTGATGCAGCAATTCCGATGGGAGCTGAATCACTTCCTCGATTGTTTCGGAGGATTCGTGGAAGAGGTCGGCATCGAGTCGCATTGGAGTGGATTCATGCAGAGGCTGGAAACGGTCAGGCGCGAAGTGAGCGACGAACTGTCCTCTCGTCGAACGGTCAACGGTGCACAGGGGGAAGCGACCGAAGCAGACGCCGATCTGGACGAAGAGACTCTCGAAGACGAAGAACGAGCTGCGCTCATGACATCGTCTCTGGAGCTCAAGGACGTCTTCTCGCTGGCTCGATATCACGAACGCGTGCTGGATCGGATGCTGTCCACCTGCTTCCTCAAATCCAAGCAAGCCGGGTTGCTCGCCATCGTCAACGACCTCCTGCAGACGGTGCTCGACTTTTCGCAACTCTGCTTGGACTTTCACACGCCCGCAACCGACGAGATCGAGCCGCCGACGTACGACGATTTCGCAAACCTGCATCGATACTTCCGCTCCAGGATGGACACCCTCATCCAAGCGTTGGTCATCCTCAAGGACCGGTCCCCTGCTTCTACCAGCCACACAGTCACCTCTGCTGAGGCCCAGGATGGCGTGGATAGCGGCATGGCAAAACGACGTCAAGACGTAGAAGCGGAGAAACTGCGACTGGCACAGGACGAACTGCAGGATCTGCGGATGCTCGACATCGACGAGGCTGGCAAGAGCGTCGAAGAGAGGGAGCGCGAAGGAGTGGCCAGCGTTGAGGTGTTGTTGGTGAGACTCAATGCGAGCGGGTTCTACGGCGAGGTGGATTGATTTTCTGCCACAGCTCATGCACAGACGTGGAAATGCCAAACAAGCGACTCTGTTGTGTAGGAATGTGCAAGATGGAATGTGATTACGAAGATGAGATTGCGACTGCGAAACCTGCGAGGGATGAACTGGTGACACTTTCGTTTGCTGACATTGCTACATTGGAAAACGGATGAGACGGAAATTTGAACTCGACACACTTGCGGAAAAGGAGATCTTCGGGACCAGGTTTGATCTTAGGGTGGTGGGTGCTAGGTCATCACTCGGACGCACCTCGAGCCGAACATCTACTCTCGCTCTCCGGCCTCCAACACCTTCCTGGCCTGATCGGGTCTGTGGTTCTTCTTCATCCTTGTCGGAAGATCCTTATTCTTCTTGACGCTGACCTTTTTCTCCTCCTTGCTCGCGTTGACCTGGTCGGCAGAGGTGACTCTGCATTCGAAGTGAGAACGACCCTCGCCCGGGTTCTTCTTGGTTCCGGGCCAGTGTCGAGCTTTCGAAGTGGATCCGTGCGAGAGGTCGTCGTACTGATCGGATTTGTACGAGGGCAAGGAACGAAAAACGGACGAGGTGATGTGCGAGGAAGGATCGTTGTTGATGGAGGAGGTGGAGGTGTTTGAATCGCTGCGAGGTTTGGTCGACATTGTTTGCTGCGTTGACAAGGGGCTTTTGTTAAGGGATCAGTCGGTGTGGTATCGTAGTGGGAAGGAGAGCTGAGTTGAACAGTCGGAGCCGTACTTATAGCTTCTTCGGGCTGCTCAGCACAGCGCTCGGATCACTCCCGACACTAAGGAAAAGCACGCAACCGCACACTCGACAGCACACCAACTAACAGCGTTAACTGTGTAGGCAGATCCAGCCTTGCAGGAGAGAAGACGCTTCGGCCATTTATTCGACCCCCAGATAAGCTCCACTGTCTTCTTTCTGCCCCCAAGCCGTTTCGGTTGATAGCTGTAGTCATGTGTCTCAGTCACCAAGGAGAGAAGGCTCAGCCCGTGTGACCCAGCCCTGTCCCCTCACGGCACAAATGGGCAGCCCGCCCGCATTTCGCACAGGGTCCAACGGCAGCTTTATTTTTTCTCTCTGCGCTGGAACGTCCGTGCGTTGATGCGTCGAAAAGTTGAGACTTTCTCGAATAAACCCCGTCATTGGACCCCACACACCAACACACACACTGTACCGCGTGACCTCACCCTCGCACAGCCTCTCACGACATGCCAAGTCAGGCTTCTACACTGCACTCAAGCCTTTTGAAGACGTGGATATTGCATTCTTCTAGACGATAAACACTGATCACTCGTGCGTGAAGTTGGCCTTCCTCTTTTCGGCGAAAGCCGCCATACCTTCCTTCTGGTCCTTGGTGGCAAAGAGGCTTTGGAAGAGTCGTCGTTCGAAGCGCGTTCCTTCTTGCAAGCTCAATTCGAAGGCTGTGTAGGTCGTAGCCGATCAGCGACATGGAACAAATGAGATTGGATGAAGGAAAAAATGTCAGCGTTGTCCACTTTGTCTCGAGTGTGTTGCACGTCGGCGACATCTATCTCAGCTCTGACGCGGAAGTCGGCGAAAATGGAAACACTTACAGGCATTGACACCCTCCTTGGCGGCCTGAACGGCGATCTGGCCCTTCTTGGCGATGGTGGAAGCCACCTTGACGGCTTCATCGACAACGCTACCCTCGCGAACCACACGGGAAATCAGACCGCGACGTTCGGCATCGTCGGCGCTAAAGTTGCGTCCCGTCAGCACCATCTCCATCGCAGTAGACTTTCCAACAGCCTTCGTAAGACGCTGCGTACCCCCTGCACCGGGAATGACGCCGAGGTTGATCTCCGGCTGACCAAAGTTGGCCGTGGGAGAAGCGAGGATGATGTCGCACATCATGGCCAACTCGCAACCACCGCCGAGGGCGAATCCGCTCACGGCTGCGACGATCGGCTTTCGCACCGTGGTGAGCTTGGTCCAGTGGCCGAGGAAGTTGGTCTTGTACGCGTCGGCGTACTGCTTGTCCTTCATCTCCTTGATGTCGGCGCCGGCGGCGAAGGCCTTTTCGGAGCCGGTGAGAACGATGGCTCCGACCTCGGGGTCGTTGTCGGCGATCTCGGTGGCTTCGTTGAGTTCGTGGAAGAGCGCCGAGTTGAGTGCGTTGAGCGCTTTGGGTCGGTTGAGCGTGATGAGCGTGACGCCTTTGGCGGGAGACGAGACGAGGATGTTTTGGTACTCTTTGGCGGCGGCAGCGGGAGAAGAGAGGCGGGGGAGAGAGGTGGAGAGGTTGCGCGTGGAGGGGAGTGCAGCGACGCGCGGAGCACTGGTGCGCAGAGCGGTACGAACGGTCGAGGCCAGCATGTTTGTGTGCGTGTGATCGTTACGTGGTGACGATTGGGAATGTTGGGGATGATGGTGTCGGTGAAGGCAGAAGAAGACGTGCTGCTTGCTGTCCGAGAAGGATGGTCAAAGCGACCGACAAATGCAACGCACTCTTCTCGGCTCACCCGGAGCGCCTTTCAACCGGAAAACCCGTGAAAATCGCGCATCGCTCCGCTTTCCCCACAGCGCACATGCATCGAGCGGCATTTTGCATTAATAATGCTGACTGATGATAGCTAACAGGTTAAGTCCGATTCGAGCCTCCTCTCCGTGTAATTTCTGGCCTTTGGCTGAGCGCAAAGCTTCCAACAAGCACCTTTGCCACTTTTGACAATTGAAATCCTCCACCTCGATCCTACCGACGCTTCCACCACACAATTTTGTCCGGCATACATCAACCATGACGGCGATTCCAAGAGTCAACACATCAACACTGCGCTCAGCTGCTCGCTATGCCTCGGCGGCCAGCAGCAGCTGTGGTAGCAGCAGCAACCTTGCTCGCATTGCACCGTTTGCACGACGCACCATGATCACCACAACCACTTCCTCCACAGCGGGACTTCGATCTCGGTCCCTCGCACCACTCTCCAGTGTCAACCCATCACCACTCGTACGCATGCAAAAGCGATCCATGTTCATCCAAACAGAATCCACACCCAACGAGGATTCGCTCAAGTTCCTCCCTGGGCGCCAAGTGATGGACTCGGGAACATACGAGTTCCTCGACACGCGCTCCTCCATGGCCTCGCCACTCGCCAAGAAGCTCTTCAACATCCCCGGCGTCGTCTCCGTCTTCTACGGTCCCGACTTTGTCACCGTCAGCAAAGACTCGGAGCACCAGTGGTCCACGCTCAAACCCGAAATCTACTCGAGCATCATGGAATTCTTCACCGCAGGACATCCTCTCTTCACCGACCCAGAATCCGCCACCGGCTCGCAAGACACCGTCATTCTGGATACCGATTCGGAAGTCGTAGCGATGATCAAGGAGTTGCTCGACACACGTGTTCGTCCAGCCATCCAGGAAGACGGCGGTGACCTGGAGTATCGTGGTTTCGGTGAAGACACGGACGGCATCGTCAGAGTCAAGTTGAAGGGCTCGTGCCGTGGATGCGATTCTTCCACCGTCACGCTCAAATCGGGTATCGAGAGGATGCTCAAGCACTACATCCCTGAAGTGCAGGGTGTGGAACAGATCCTGGATCCCGAAGAGGAAATCGCGTTGGACGAGTTTGCAAAGCTGGAGTCGAAGCTGGAGAAGGATCGCCAGAAGGAGCGCGATATGGGATTCTCGATTTGAATGCAGCGCAATTTCGTGACCGCTTTGTAACTCGTAGTCTTACCCTTCTTGTCGAAGCTTGGAATCATGCATCACAGCGTCTTTTCTTTTGGCTTCCGCTCCTACTGCTTGCTTCAGTCTGCGTTACTGTGTGGAACATGAATAAGACCTCCTGGTCGAGTCAAGGTCACCTTTGTCGACACCCTTGCTGACAACAAGCCTCCTCGTCCGTCCCAACCCCAACTCACCCAGAGTCTGAGCTCAACATCGCAAACTGACACCTCTGAACAACGCTTAACGGAACCACACAGACCACAAGTTGTCAAAGACATGTCATCAGAACAGAATCGAAAACGTCATCTTTCATCGTGCGAGCATAACAAACATCACATGAGAGACTACAACGTTAAGCCTTGACACGGCCAATGACGGTGTCGGCAGCGTACTTCTGGATGACCTTGCGGTCGTGGAGCATGAGGAACTCCTCAGTAGCGTCGCGACCGGCGTAGAGCATGAGCGCCTTCTTTCCACCGGGGTGGTCATCGAGGAATCCAGAGACGTTGAGCACCTGACCCTCTACGACGACCCAGACGTCCTCCTCGGTGGTGTGCTTTGCGACCTCCTCCATGGTGTACTCTTTCTCCTCGAGCGTCTGCTGAGCAGCGGCGGCACTGCCGGCCTGCTGCACCGCCTTGTCCGTCTGGGCAGGCTGGCCCGCGGCGACAGCGGAGGGGACAGCCGAGTTCTGCGACTGGGCAGCCGAGGCGGAAGAGGCCTGGTCGCCGAAACCAAACTCGAGGGTGATGGTCTTGGTGTTGGGGTCAGCACGTACGCGAGTCTCCAAGTGGTTCGAGATCTGGCCGAGACGAGCGGTGGCCTTGCCGGAGGCAAGGTTGCGCAGCAGGTAGCTGGAGGCAGTGTCACCAGCAACACGGCCAAAGACGACACATCCGAGCAGCGAGGAACCGCCGAGACGGTTGGCACCGTGAACACCACCGGCGATCTCACCGCAGGCAAAGAGACCGGGGATGGACTTGCCCTGGTTGTCGACGACGCGCGATTCGGGGTCAATCTCGAGACCACCCATGGTGTAATGCAGGACGGGGGTCATGAGGGCAACGTAGAAGGCCTGGTCCATGCGAAGGTCCGAGTTGGAGAAGAACTTCTTACCCCATGGGCACTTCTTTTCGCCCTTGGCGATGGCCTCGTAGTCCTTGAAGGTGCTCTGAAGCTTGTCGGCAGGGATGCCCATCTCCTTTGCGAGGTCGTTGGCGCTGTCGAAGCGCTTCATGAGGCCACGACCGGCGTAGTGCTTGCAGTGCCACTCGATCTCCTTGGAAGCCTGCTCGTTGAGGATCAGGCGGACGGGGAACTTGTTGTTGTCCCACATGCGGCCAGTGACGTAGTCACGGTGGCCGAGCTCGTCGGCGAAACGGTTGCCCTCGTTGTCGATGAGGAGACCACCGCAACCACGGAGCGCCTCGGCGGCGAGGAACTTGACCTTGGCGTCGGGGTCCTTGGGGTCGACGAGACCGGTGGGGTGAACCTGGACCTTCTCGAGGTCGATGAGACGACCGCCGATGGAGGCGACCATCTTCTGACCGTCACCAGTGCAGTGGTCACCGTTTGTGGTGGGGAGGTGGACGAGGTCGGGACGGTACTTCTTGAGGAGCGAGTTGACATCGTCAAAGTCGGCGGCGTAACCACCGGTGGCAAGGATGACGGGACCGGACTCGGTGTGAGTCTGACCCTGGTACTCGTACTCGACACCCGAGACCTCGCCGTTCTGGTGGACGAGCTTGGTGACACGGGCCTTGCGGAGGATCTGAACGCGATCAGGCTCTGCCTCGGCAAGGTCCTCGAGCTTCTCCATCTGTGCGTAGGTGATGGTCATACCGGGGAACTGAGCGCCACCACGGTGGGTACGGGGCTGCGAGTGACCGCCGAGACGCGAAACCTTGGAGAGATCGAGAGCAAAGCGGTCCATGAGCCAGTTGACGGCATCACCGGACTTGCCAGTGAGGACCTTGATCAAGTCGTCCCTTGCAAGGTCACGGGCGGACTTCTTTGTGTCTTCGAAGAAGGTCTTGGCCGAGTCTGGGATGCCCTGCTCGGACTGTGTGGTGGTACCGGCACCGTTGATACCGGAAGTGGCCTTGGTCGAGTTACCACCGAAGAAAGGCTGTCGATCGAAGGAAGGGGAGAAGCAAGGTGAGTCAGAGGCTGCGCAGGAGGAAGGGAGATGTTCGAATTGCATGAGAAAACGGTACTTACGTTCTTGTCGAGGACGAGGACGTTGGCGCCGCGCTCGTAGAGGGTGTGGGCGGCACTCAGGCCGGAGAGACCGCCACCGACGACGATGACACGAGACATTGTGTGAGGTTGTGTGCGTGAGGTGGGAACGGGGAACGAGAGGATGTAGAGCAATAATCAAGCTGCAAAGAAGCGCGAAAATGTGATGCCAAAGGAGGGGGTGAATGCGGGGGGATGGTGATCACGGAGAAAGGGTAAGATGAAGGTTCCGGAGCTCAGAAGGAATGGCGCCAGGTGTTTATAAGGGACGGAGAGGAGCTAACCTGGAGAGAAAGGTGGCGGCTAGCACAGACGCACGCTGGCCGTGCTGGCAGAACACAGGCGAGATGCTGAACTCTAGAGGTGTCCAGGTCAGGGATAGGGCGTGAGCGGAGCAACCGAAAAAAGGGTTCCAACGAGGGTTCGCCCAACGACGGCGGACAACGCTGCTTGGCTGGTAACCGAACACGCACCTCGCTGTCTCGCGCGCGCAGATTCACGGGTGGGAAGAACAGAAAAAGGCGGAGAGAGCCAACCAGCAACTGCGCATTGCACAGTTGAACCGAGCAAGGGGAAAAGAACAGAAGAAAAAAGCGGGGTTTCCCCACACAACTCGCTGCCAGAAGACCCTGTCGAACACTGCTTAACCGCTGTTGCTGCACTACCTTGGAGATTCTTTAAGCTCGGGAAATCCAGAGGGCACACAGACCAGCTGTGTTGTTCGCAGCTCCCGTTTGCCACTGCCGAGCCGCGAGTGCCCTCCGACTTCGCTTGTGTGGAAGCTTGCATGCGAGTTCGGCCTTCAGCCAGCCAGCTGCAAGAGTTTCGAAATGCACACTCGAGCCCGAAGTGTGCCTTTGAGGGACCGCCTGGTAGATTGCAACGTCTATCGCCTCCGAGTCCAGCAGGTGCCTCGCCAGGCTTGCTCTTGATTTCATTTTTCACGAGGCAATCTGTCCACCTTTCATCACACACGCCATGCATGAGGTACGCTCGGGTGTCCCGTGCCGTGCTTAGCTTTGTCGGTGTTGGCGAGATAGGGACAGCCCGAGAGGTGCAGCAACCACGTCGACGCTACATGGTCTCCTGGTGTTCAGAATCAACCTGTGAGCTGCAAGATGAAGCATCTGTATTGGATAGAGCCCAGTGGAGCGGCATGCGAGCACCTATCGCTGTGATTTGCTGTGAGCTGATCGCTCTCTGCAGAGCCCTGCATCGGCTGGAGCGGATCTTTGTCCAACGGAAATGCTCTGTAATGTCTCACTCGTCCGGTCAAAGCTCAGGCGCGACTGCGGACCCTGTTTGCCACGCCGCACAAGCACTCGCAGTTCAGCCCTCGTCTTACTGCGCGCGCCATCATCTTGTCGCATGAGGGTAACGTATTCATATCGTCGTTGGTCGCTGCAAACTGATGGGAGCCACAGTGGCTTCCTTCTCTTGTACGTCTGCTTTGATATGACAGATGTGGTTCCATAGAGACACAGCAAGCAACACCACCGCCATCAGTGCCCGCAGCGTGTTCCCCCATCGTATCCGAGGGTATAGGCGCTGAGAGATTCAATCGGAGGCGTCTCGTCTCAAAGAGTCCTGCAAGAAAGATCCAAGTTGTCGCCATCAGACGTGCCAGCGTCGATGCTAGTTGACGACCGAAGCTGGGATGCGTTGGATGAAGCATACTGATCGATACTGAATCGTGAATGAATCGGCGATTTGAAAAATGGTCCAAGTCGAAAGCAGCTGAGAATCTGACATTGTTCGGGTGGGCAAATGACGTCGCGTGAATGTTGTGAATCTCACGAGGAAACTGAGACGACAGACGCCGACAGACGGGCGCAATGGAATCTCCACTTTGGCCAAATCTTCGTACAGCGGTATGGTCGGATCGCCGGCCAACTGATCGTACCGGACGACGTTCATCCTCTTTCTCCACACCACCTCCGTTCGGTACGAACCATGACGATCGGAAACGCTTCTGATTGATCACGCGCCAAGATACCGATCAGTGTCCGCCCCCGGCTGCCGAGCTAGCGTCGGACGCGCCACCAAGCCTTCTCCTCAGCACAGCATCCGATCCCAGCCTCGCTCGTCATGCTGCGCTCCGGGTTCACGGCTGCTTTTACAGCAGCGACGTCTTCGCTCCCTCAAACAACTCGTACCGCACTCCATGCATCGCGAGCCGAGAGGCTGGCTTCGAGCGCTGCATTCTCGCATCCTTGCCTGTCATTCCAATCGAGGCACTTCTCCAGAACCACCAGGCTCTTGGCTCCACCCCAAGACTTTCGTCCATCGACATCCCGAGACACTGCCTCCTCATCATCTGACGAGTCTGCTCCTCCCAAGTCCACCGATACCAGACCCTTCAAGAAGCAGTACCCTCCCGTTCGTCCCCAGCCCAAGCCTATCAACTTCGACCAGCCTGCCATCCCCAACCCACACGAAACTGCTGCTGCGCACGCCAAGTTCCGTCGCAACAGCCGCCGCTTCGGGGCTGCAGCACTCGTAGCTCTCATCCTAGGTGCTGTCGTGTATCAATTTCAAGATGCCATTCATCTAGATGGTCCTCAACAACAAAGCAAGCGCCCACAGCTTCCGCATGATGAGATGGAGCGCCAAGTACGCGAAGCTCAAAAGTCGCAAGCCAACGGTGCCAACTTTGCTTTGCTCGCACTCACTCGGTCCACCACCATCGCCAAAGCCGTCGCCCTCTGCGTCTGGGACTATCGTTCAACTTTGGCTAAAAAGCACGCCACGCCCGCTGACGATGCCGAGGAGCTACGACAGTGCCACTTGCGATCCGCTCACCGAATCTTGACCGCTCTCCAGACAAACGGTGGTCTCTACGTCAAGCTTGGCCAGCACATTTCCGCCGTCATTCTTCTGCCTGTCGAGTGGACCACCACACTTCGTCCGCTCCAGGATCAGAATACGCCCACGCCGCTTCCAGAGCTCGAGGCCATGTTCAGAACAGAGACTGGTATGACCTTTGACGAGGCCTTCAGCGAGATCGACCCCAAGCCCATTGGCGTAGCATCGCTTGCCCAGGTTCATCGTGCCATCGATCGCAAAACTGGTCAGCCGCTCGCTATCAAGATGATGCACCCTGACGTAGAGCGCTTCTCCGAGGTCGACATGAAGACCGTCACGGTGCTCGTCAAGTGGGTAAAGCGTCTTTTGCCCGAATTCAGCTTCGAATGGCTTGCCGATGAGATGAACGAAAACATGCCTCTCGAGATGGACTTCCGTCACGAAGCTCAAAACGCAAAGCGCGCTGATGACGACTTTGCACGCTACCGCACCACATCCGTCTACATCCCCAAAGTCAAGTACGTCTTCAAGCGCGTCATGGCCATGGAGTTTATCGACGGACGCCGTCCCGACGACCTGCGCTACCTGGCTCAGCACGACATCGACCGCAACCGCGTCAGTCAGGAGCTCTCGCGCGTCTTCTCCCAGATGCTCTACCTGCACGGCTTCTTCCACGCTGATCCACACGGTGGAAACGTCCTCATCAGACCCGCGCAGCCGGGAAGCCGCTCACGCTATAACTTCGAGGTCGTCCTCCTCGATCACGGCCTCTACTTTGACATCGACCCCGAGTTGCGCGCCAATTACGCCAGATTCTGGCTCTCGCTCCTCAAGCGTGCCAGCCCCGAAGTCACTGCCGAGCGACGCAGATACGCCAAGCTCATCGCCAACATCGACGATGATCTCTATCCAATCTTGGAGAGCGCCATCACTGGCCGAGCTGGTCTGGAAGGCAGCGACCCCACCAACCCTCGCGGTGTCAAGGATCGCAATCGAGCCGGCAGTCTGCTCGAAATGGACGGCGGGACCAACCTCACCGATGACGAGCAAGAGCACATTCGTAAGACCGTCATGGAGAAGGAAGGTCTCTTTGTCTCAATCATGGACCTCCTTCGTCGTCTGCCCAGACGCATGCTCATGGTGTTGAAGCTCAACGACCTCACACGCTCGCTCGATGCCAGCCTGCACACCACGCACGGTCCGACGCGGCCTTTCCTCATCGCTGCGCGCCTGTGTGCGCTCGCCGTATACCGAGACGATCTGACACAGCTCAGAGAGCGACGCAAGAGCGGCCAAGCCAGTCTGCTCACCTCGCTCTCGCTCTGGAAGGATTATGTGCGCGCGTGGTGGTCTTACGTCTACTTCTACCGTGGTCTCGCATTGATCGAGATTGGATCCGACATCCGCGCAAGGTGGAAAAAGATTGTTCAATTCGGTTCCAACAGGGTGGGACGCGGAGGCAGTGCAGAAAAGGCCAAGAGCGCTGCGGCTGGACTGCAAGACCAAGCCGAGAGAGATCTAAGGGACGATGAAGATCGCAAGCGTGCTCGGCTCGCATTGGAGAAAGAGCCACGGCACTGAATGAGCGCGAGCTAGGCAACTCAGCCCCATTTGTACATGTTCCTGCAATCATCATAGACCATTCATAGATTTGTTAGTGTGGTGCAATTGAGCATCTCGACTTTGATGAAACGCGACTTACCAGCCCATAGGACCTTCGTCGAGTTGGAACGTTCTTTGCCCTTGTTCGTCTGCATGAGATGCGCCCATGGCCACAAGTGCCGCTGTGCGGTGGACAACATCCATCGGAATAGCGAGTATGTCAGTCGTGGCCGCACGCGGTATCAAATTGAGGCGAAGCGGAAGTACCTACGCAAAAAGTGTTCGGGCGTGGGATGAGATGGTAGAAAGTCATTCCTCTGATCGAGCTCCAACGCCTTGGTCCATTTTTTTTCGTCATGAGATGCGGGACTAGCGGTCATGGCCTCGTCCAAAGCCGAAAGAAACGTCTGCGAGTACTGAGTGGAGTGAAGCTTGCCGAAACCGCGGCCACCCCCAAGCGTAAACATTCTCATCATGTCGCGAAGATTGTGCACCGACATACCGCCGCCAACGATGGCAAAACCCCGTTGACGAAGCTCGCGAAGCGATGCGCCGAGCTTGAGAGAGGCGATCGAGGATTCGGAGGCGGGGAGCGAGACTTGTGTGAGCGACAAGGTGGCCGGAAGCGTCGAAGGAGTGTCGACGGAAGCTGATTGGGTTTTACGCTGCTCCGGTGTTAGTTCCTCCAGGTAAGGTTTCTGGAAAGCCACCTTGAGGGGACACCACACACCATGGTCAATGCCGCGCTTGATTGGATGAGCGGGCACTCCTGAGCTGCGAAGGTGGTCGAGGACGAGCGCCGAGATGTTGGCAGGATTCGAGGACTCGACTCGTTGCTTGTAAAAGTGGTCGGGAAAGTTGTAGAAGTCGTATACGAGCGGATTGTTTTCGTCGACGTTTACGTAGACGCCTTGTGTGAGGTCTTCAGGTTGCCAGTGCGCGCTGACGAAGATGAGCCCGCGGATGACACCTTGCTGATGCAGAGCCCGCACCTCCTTGCCCCACTCAAGCCAGTGCTGGTAGGCAAGATGCTTGTGCTCGAACATGGTGGGCGGGCCGCCATGGCTGACAAAGTAGGCGGGTGCCTGAAGCGTTGACATTGTTGTGTGAGAGACAGAGCTGATCAGCGCTCTAGAGGTGATGAAGGCTAACAGAGTGACGAGAAGGCCGAGTACAGTTGTGGTCCTCGTCAGCATTCGATTGGTGCAGTGATATTGTGGTTGATGTGGATGGAGCTGTTGACAGACGGGTACCTGGGGCCAGAAGTCCGAGCCAGCGAATGCGACTGGTATTTGTTATAGCTCCTGCGCCTGCTCAAGGACGCGTTAAGAGAGGGATGATGTGCACTTTCGTGAGTGCGGACCTCGATGTCGCAAACGGAGATAGTGGTGGTGGTGGGGGTCGTAGCTCGGTTGTCACGGAATTAGAGCTCGAAGAAGTGGTCCCTGCAGAAGCTCTCTCTCTGGCTTGCCGCGGGCCGACGGCGATAGAGGCAACTTCCCGCGGATGCTCGCCATTAATCTCATTTTAATCGAGCTGTCACAATGCGTGCGCTGCAGACACACCGCTTCTTTTGCTTCTTCTTCTCTGCTTTGCGAGAACAGCTCAGCTGGCACTGTCACCTCGTTGGCTCGACGCATTACATCCAGACTCGACTCATCCGAACATGCCGAGTTAGACGAAGCTGTGTCGAGACGAACGAAAATGAAGCGTAAAAGCCATGCACTAGGGTCTTCGGATCCTGCCTCTGGCAAAAGCGCAAGAGGCAGGCAACCTCTTCAATTGCTCACGGCGGAGCAGCGCAGCCGGCTCCCATACACCTTACCAAAAGATTCTTCTGCCGGAGCAGACGACCCATCGACCGTGTGTCGGGAGGAATGTAGACCCTCGGTCGGCTCCATTGCGTCAGTCTCGGAGCTCGCGGCCCAGAATGAGGGTCTAAGTCCAAGGGACAGGCAGAAATCATTGTCGAGTCCGAACAGCATCGAGGAACCGAGCAATGATGAGCCCGAGCAGCGCGTACCTTTCTCGCTTTGGGCTTCTTCCATCGTTGACATGGTGCAATGCGATCCGCTCTTTCCGACTAAGCCCGTGTCGATTGCCACAAGCCGATCAGGTGCAGTCACTGCGCTTCTGCTCAAGAAGGGATTTCTCCGGCAATCAGCACGCCCAGACGTGCTCGTCGCAGCCCTGTGAGTCAAGCATAGCTCAAATAGCTCTAAGGAGGTCTTTGGTCATCGTTGCTAAATTATTCGTCTTTTACTGGAGTAGGCCGTATGGTATGTCGTCGGTTTCATCGCCAACTAGCTCTGGCGCAGCTTCTTAAAAACGCATTTCGTCTCCTCCTCCTCTTTGCTGCCATTTCTGACCGCTTAAGACAGCGACAACTTCATGAGACTGCAGACAGCGTCTGCAGCGGGCAGCTCACTTCGGGCTTACTACATCTTTGACGGTCTCGGAACCGAATGCCGTGTGCTCGACGATTCACTCGCCGTCGTAAAGGTGACATATCTCGGAGCGTGTTCGATCAACAGCATCGAGCACATCGATACAGCAACACATGTTCGAGTGTCCTTGACACTCATTCACGGCAAAAGGTCGGTCCCAGAATCGTCATCTCCCTCTGACTTTTCACTATTGCGCAAAGTGGATCATTCCTTTTTGGGATTCCGGTGTCGCGTCTGCGGACGAGCAAATCGCAAGGACAGCTTGAAGAAAGTCAACTGCCTACATTGTGCTACTGCTTTCACGATTACCGACGAACAAGCCCCCACGCTCTTACCGCAGAGTCGCAAAATGGAGCTGCGGTTCACGGGTTGCAGCAGCGACCTTGGACAAGCCAACATCCTCTTGGCTGAGAACGCCATCACTCAGCGTTCAGTCTCGACCTTCTCCGATGGTGTTCGGGTAGGTTGTCTCTTTCAGCTGCAACCAATTGACATCAAGTTCTGACTACAAGACCTTTGAACCACAGGTGTGTAGCTACGAGACGAAGGCGGCCTCAAGTAACGCTTGTTCGTCCCTCAACCACACGACCACCCTTCACCACGTTCTCCGTCCTGGTCATGCGGGCAGCTTCTCGGTAGCCTCGCTCGCCCTGCCATCGACTCCGTACGTCAACACTGCAGCTGAATGTGTCCAACGTGAAAGCGCCCCCCTGACACACTTTGTCTGTCTGCGTGTCGTCCAGATTTCTTCGACTAAGCAAAACGATCGAGTCGCAATGTATGTACCTCTTATACTGATAGATTCACCCCATCAGAACTGACCTTTTTCATTCCTCGTCCTTCTTCTGTAGCCCATATACGAGGTTTTGTGCTAAGCTTTGGCCCATGGAGTCAAGGTCTTTCCCAGCTCTCAGCAGAGCGACACGCTTTTTCCTCGGCTTCCAAGATCGGTACTGAGCAGATCGCACATCTCAGGGCATCTGTCCAGCTGGCTGACGCTACCATTCGAAAAGGGTATCGACCACTGGGCTGTCTCTTCCTTTTGCTGCAGCAAAGTCGTCTCAAGGTCAGTGTGACTGAGCTGCTTCGTTGCGCTTCAGGCGTCTCTGATCATACCTCTTGATTTCCTCTCGCTGTCCAGATCGATGCGACGGCTTTTCCGACGACTAGCAGGTGCTTTGGCGTCGTCTCGTGAGTAGGGTTCACCGTTTCATCTTACCCACTTCCACCACTGACGATAAAATGACGACTACTTCCACACCTGAATACAGGCTGTCCGAGTCGACTGTCGTCTCCATCAAGTCCACGAATCCAAACGACACTGCGGCCGTTGCCAAAGGACGGCAACAAAAGGAGTCCTCGCTCGGATCCTTCGTAATGCAACCACGAGAAGCATTGGTGGCACGAAATGATCTACTTCAATCTGTAGAGGTGAGTGTGTTCAGGCTTGATCGAGGCGCTACAGCAAAGCTGACATTCCTCGAGCTTCTCGTAATGTCACGCTTGAACGGCAGCTGGAGATCTCGTCGAGCGGCATCTCTCTTTGGGCAATCGCGTGCTTCTCTGACAGTGTCGGAACTGACTAGACAGGGCCGATGAAGCACAGGCACTCATCGCTGAAGCTTCTTGTGATTCGTCAAGATGATGGTCAAAGCGGCTCTCCGCTTCGTAGCAATCGAAGATCCTCGATCTGCAATGTCTTCGGGGTGCATGAACCACAAAGCCACGCGTAGTGACGGCAAGCGTCCAAATTCAATTGAGTTTCTGATCAGGGGAAATTCGTCGCTAAAAGGTTTGAACCGACTGAGTCGTAGTGGCGAATATCAAGCAAGACAAACAGCTCGATCTGTCCAGATCAAATCGGTGCACGAAATATGAAACTCCATTCAATGCTGCTGAGCTAAAATATCCGAGCAGACATCTGATTGCAGCAAATATCCATTCACCATACTGTGCAGCTTGATACACCACTGAGGTGACAGATCCCGTCCGTTTTTAGAGGCCATTAGAGGGGCTCACTTGATTAGGCTTATTTTTTGTGAAGGAATCATTGTAAAACGTCTGACATGCATCGTTCCACTTCGATAAGAGACGTCAAACATTCCATAAGAACCTCCAAATTTTATTCGCCACTAATTAAAGCCCGATAAACGCAGTGTCAGGAGTCAACAGTGTGGCCAACATTTGTCGCGAAAGATCTCGAATATTCTTGTGTCTCGGTATTCTTAATCTTCATTGCGACAAATACGCTTGTAAAGCACATGCGGAAATTTTAGCCAAGCAATGTACCATCATTTGGCTTTTGTCTTACAAATCGGAGACCAAAAAACCTGGTGTTTCAGATTTCAATGCATCATCAATTGAGTCGACTATGTATTTTGTTGTTTCGAACGCATTTGCTGTGCACAAATATACCGTCTTGATCAGTCAGCTCCTAGATTCGCGTCTAAAACACAATACATACAAAATAGGTGCCTAAGCTCCCGCTCCGTATCAAGAGTTCGCTTAGCTGCAGAATTCATCTCATCAGACCAGACGTCCAAAGGTCCATCTTTAAGGCGTGGCTTTTGTGCTTGTTTGTGACCAATGATTTCAGAGATGCAAACAAATTGTCTTGATACTTGCGGATGCATTTCTAAAACAATGAGAGATCATCCCACATTGGTCAGCTCATGATCGACAAATCGCCTGCAATGTTTATACCGACACGTCAATTGTCGTTGAGAATTTCTGCTCTAAATTCTTGAATTTGATCGTATGCCCTCGAATTCTTGTTTCGGTTCCATCGACTTGTGGCCCGGTCGATGAATCAGCGCGTCGCCCTGGACTTCATCCGTGAAGCGATGAGCTCGACACTCCGGTCACTTCAGCAACTTTCAGACATCAGATGAGTTTCTTTGTCCTCCTCAAAGCCGATGGGCGGTCCGTCTGGAACCAGCATTCCACAATGCTCCTTCGTCGCAAGGTGGCGCTGATGCCGCTCGTTAAACTGGCGTCAACGACCCTGATGAGCCCGGCCGAAGATCTTGACCCGGCCGCGAGGTTGCCGCGGCAAGGCGCACGTCATACACTTTTGGTTCGCCATGGCCATCCTTGTGTTCGACCCTGAAAGCATTCGATGAAACAGTTCTCGCTTCGCGCAGCTGATGCCGAAAGGGATGGTCGATCGTGCTTGCTGCGGAGAAACGGACTGCGAGCAGATCGCGTGCGGAAACTATGGTCGTCGAAGCAAACTGTTCCTGGAAGCACACATCCGTTGAGTGGCTGGCGGTCTTAGAGGTGGGCAGAGCAATTGTCACAGCGTGCTGTTGTGGCTTGTCGCAAAACTGCTTTTCTGATCAACCCAATGCTCTGATCGGATCTCAAATCTGCCGACGCCGCACGATAGAGAGTTGAAGTCGTCGGCAAGGAACAGCATGAGGAAGCGACAGGCGTACGGCAACGGGGAGATGAGCATGGTTATGTAACGTCTGATGCAGAACGGTTCACGTGCAGCGTTCGACCAGATGTGCCAAGGTAGCCTCGTACAGCGACGTCACACATGTGGACTCGCTGAATCGAGTCGTCATGGTCGCACTCATGAATGAACCGGCAAACTCGATCGTGAAATCAACTTAGGATGGAAGGGGTAGGCAAGATCCGACCCAGCAATGATTCACAGGCCTAGCTTCCGAAGAGCATCACTTGTGCAAGCACTTCACCTGGTAAAGGCGAGGATGTGGCTTGGGAGGATTTCTCGGCGATTCTTTCGAGTTCGTGACTTTTAGCGACCGCACGGTGGCAAGAAGATGCATGTTGACGACCTCAGCCTTCGACGGGCGTACCCACTTGCCTTTGCTGACTACAACGTATTGATTCGACAAAGCGACATGTTCGCCCTCTCACACAGCAACAATCGCAACCAGGCGGAAGCAAACAAACGCTCACACTCGCAAAACGGTGAAAAGTACATCAAACGGACTCACTCGAGCTGAACAGCAGTCAATCACACTGTCCAGAAAACATACTTCTTCGTAACAAATTCATTACAACGACGAGAGATCAGAAAGGAACAGAGGATACATCTACGAGATCAAGCTTTTCCGCCATTTAGTACTTCATGAGCTTGGCCTCAAGTTCGATGGGGCTGACGAGGGTCTGGCCCTGGAAGACCTTGGCGACGTGCTCGGCCTTGGCGGCAACGTCCTCGCCGGTCATCTTGTACTTCTTGAAGAGCTCCTTGGCAGGGGCCGAGGCACCGAAGGTGTTGATACCGTGCTGGGCGTGCGAGTACTTGGACCAGCCGAGCGTCGAGTAAGCCTCGACGGAAAGGATGGGCTTGCCCGAGGGGAGGACCGAGAGACGGTAGTCGATGGGCTGGGCGTCGAAGACCGAGAAGCAGGGGATCGAGACGACACGAGCCTTGATGCCCTTCTCGCCGAGCTTGGCAACGGCTTCGTTGCAAATGGCGACCTCGGAACCCGAGGCGACGAGGGTGATGTCAGCCGACTCGTTCTCAACAACAACGTAACCACCCTTGGCGGCCTTCTCGATGGAGCTGCCCTCGAGCTGGGGCAGGTTCTGACGGGTGAGGGCGAGAACCGAAGGGGTCGACTTGGCCTCGATGGCAACGAGGTAAGCACCCGAAGTCTCGTTACCGTCGGCAGGACGCCAGAACATGAGGTTGGGGATGGCACGGAGAGCGATGGCGGTCTCGATAGGCTGGTGGGTGGGGCCGTCCTCACCGAGACCGATCGAGTCGTGGGTGGCGACCCAGATAACACGGTGACCCGAGAGTGCCGAGAGACGGACAGCGCCGATGGCGTACGAGACGAAGTTGAGGAAAGTACCGGCAGTGGGGATGTGCATGCCGTAGGCGGCGAGACCGTTCATGATGGCACCCATGGCGTGCTCACGGACACCGTATCGGATGTATTTGCCCGAGTAGTCGCCGAGCTGGGTGCTGGGGTGCTGGAAGTCGACGGCGTTGCCCCATCGGGTCAAGTTGGAGCCGGTCAAATCGGCGGAACCACCGAGGAGCTCGGGAACGACGTCGGCCACCTTGCCGAGGACGGTCTCGGAAAGCTTTCGCGAGGCGACGGCGTCGTCGCTGGGCTTGTAGGTGGGGAGCGCCTTCTCCCAGCCCTCGGGAAGCTTGCCGGCGATTCGGCGGGCGATCTCGGCGTGCTCGTTGGGGTACTTGTCGCCGTAAGCCTTGAACAGCTCGGTCCACTCCTTGTCGGCCTTGGCACCACGGTCAGCGATCTCCTTGTAGGCGGCGTAGACGTCGTCGGGGACGACGAACTTTTCCTTGGGGTCCATGCCGAACTTGGCCTTGACACCCTCGATGTCGTCAGCCTTGAGGGGAGCGCCGTGGGTGGCGGCGAGACCCTGCTGCTTGGAACCGAAACCGATGGTGGTCTTGACACGGATGAGGGAGGGCTTGTCGGTGACGTTCCTAGCATCGGTGATGGCCTTGAAGAGACCCTCGAGGTCCTTGTCACCGTCAAGGACGTGCGAGACGTGCCAGCCGTAGGCGAGGAAACGCGCCTCGACGTCCTCGGTGAAGGAGCAGGCGGTGTCACCGTCGATGGAGATGTGGTTGTCATCGTAGAGGGCGATGAGGTTGCCGAGCTTAAGGTGACCAGCGAGAGAGGCGGCCTCGGAGGCGATACCCTCCTGCAAGCAGCCGTCACCGGTGAACATGTATGTGTGGTTGGTGAAGAGGGGGAAGCCGTCCTTGTTGTAGGTGGCAGCCAAGTTGGCCTGGGCAATGGCGAGACCGACCGAGTTGGAGAAACCTTGACCCAGAGGACCAGTGGTGACCTCGATACCCTCGGTGTGGCCGTACTCGGGGTGACCAGGGGTCTTGGAGTCGATCTGACGGAACGACTTGAGCTGCTCCATGGGCAAATCCTTGTATCCGAGGAGGTGGTTAAGGATGTAGATCAGGGCACAAGCGTGACCGTTGGAGAGAACGAATCGGTCACGGTTGACCCACTTGGAGTGAGCGGGGTTGACGTTCATGAATCTGAACGCAGCAAGCACGATTTGCAGCCGAAGCAGGCACAAGACAAGGGGAGGTAGCAAATGTCAGCTTCTTTGTCCGAATGAATGAAAATTAGAAAAGGGTTTGGCAGCCTCACGATGCTTCAGCACAAAGAGCGCAGGAAGACTTTTAGAGCATCGTGTTCCGACGAGGCAGTCAACAGCTTTCCTGCGCTCGCTGGCATTTTCAGCTCATCGGGCTGCTCCGAAAAGACGCTAAAAGCGCCAGAGGGGAGTGAATCAGCGATTACTCACCGAGAGAAGAGGGTGTGGGCCATGGGGGCCATACCCATGGGAGCACCAGGGTGACCCGAGTTGGACTTGGCGACCACATCGGCGGCCAAGCAACCTGCAAAATCGCAAGACAAGAGAGAGTGTCCAAAAGATCATCATGTCAGTCCACGTCACTGCATTCACAATTGCACAACGGCGGTCACGGGCCAAGTGGAGTGGAAGATCGGCGAATACTTACGGATGGTGGCGATAGCCTTCTCGTCACTAGCAGCCTTGGTGAAAGACATGATGGGCTATGTTATTGCGAGATGGAATGGGAGAAGAGGGGAAAGGAAAGGTGATGGTGAGACGGAACGAAAGCAGGGGATGCCAGTGCTTTAAACAAGGCAGGAAGACAGCTGTAACTGCCAGGAGGGAGTAATCAGCAGCCGTTCAGAGGCCCAACGTCCGAGCGTCGCCAATCGATCGGTCTGACCGATGCGTGAATTCGTGTGTGTTGGTGGAAGGAATATGTGGGATAACGAGCGAGGTGCGCCGTGCGCTTGGATGTTGCGTCAGGAAAATGAAAAAGCCAAAATCCTCGAAAACGAAGATCTGAATTTTCGACACCGATCGCACATACACACAGTGTACGCTAGAATCTCCCTCAAATCGCTTCGTTCACTGCTACGCAGCTGCTACAGTCAGGTACTATTCCATCGACAGGCATGATCTGGCAACTTCGTACAGCAACACCAGTATGCTGTTGGTCAGGCTATTCTCACGTCCGCAAAGGCTGCAAAGAATATGAGAATTCTCTGCTGAGCTTCTTTCGATCAATACCAGCCAACCTGTCAGGACAGACACGAGGGACGATGTGGATCAGGATGCCTGTAGCGGCACGTCATGTCTGGATCGATGATTTGAAGTTGTGTCACCAAATCGAAACCCGTTTCAAACCCTGATTTGAAATTTTGTATCTCTCAAACTTGTTCGACCAGCTTCATCGCATCGGATGCATAGGATCTGCACTCGGCACTTCGAAACCATCACGACCCTATCCGCACGCAAAACTTTTCTGTCAAGTCTGTAGGTCGCGTCGATGTAAGATAACTGAGCCGCTGTCGCTCACATTTCTTCGTCACCGGTCCGGTCCACCGACTTCCCAAAGTCAACGCTTAGTATCCACAGATTCCCGGTGGCATCGATAGATCGCCGCAACCCGCACCCGCGGGGATCTCTGGTAGAGACACAGCTGCAAAAAGAGTATTTGATTCTGCCGCCTACGGAGCATCGTCCACTCGAATCCTACGATTGATGTTCGTAAAGTGTGGCTGCAATACTGAGCTGCACCGAGTTTGGCAGCAGCCGAGGTATCGATTCTCAGGGTTTTGGTTTTTCAGGCTGAAAGCTTCGTAAGCTCAGGTACGACCACCAACCCTGTTAGCGCCAAGCGTGCGTCTGGGGCGAAAGCGAAGCCAAATTTCCCGATAAACTGTCGGTCTTTTTGTTCTTGGCCTCGATCAACGTCACCGTGCTTCGAGTCTGTCGTCAGACTGCGCCGCCAGAAAATTTCCGGTTCCACTGCTCACGCATCGATCCGCAGCGCCGGTGGCATTCTCCCGAACGTCGTCCGAAACGTCGCCTCGTTCCATCAGACAGCATACACCGTCGGTAAACTAGGTTCTTCCGGAGCTCACCGAAGCGAACAACACTGCAACACGTGGTTGTTCTTCTCAAAGTTCGACCGGCTCGGCAAGCCGCGGCACTTCTTTGCTCGCCCACCATGGTGGACGTGATCCAGCATCTTACGGGCATCGCAGGCTCATCACATTGTGCTTTACTATGAAGGGACAATGTGTCTTTGCCCTGGTTCATGTGCGCATCCGCTGTAGATGAGACAAAAGCATCTTTTTTGCGTAGTGTAGTGACGAGTAATGCTGCGGGATTATACTGTGCCTTCACCAAGGATTCTCCGCCCATGGATCTGGCTCGCTTCCCAGCCCGGTGCCGTCTCCGCCACGTCGCTGCGTCCGCTCGCCCGATGGCGAGGGTTTGGCTCCTGCGCTCAAATCAAAGGCGTTCCTTTCTGAATGGGATGAGCCCGGCGCCGTGCCGAGTGCGCTCGTAAAGTCAAAGCCTCTGCCAACCGCCAAGCTGGGAGGCGTCAAAGCGTCGTGCGATGCTTCATGCCCGGGCGACAGCATTTCTCCGAACCCGAGACTGCTGCTCGTTGGCAACGAGTGCTTGGCACTCCTGGTACCCATCGAGATGTCATACGACGTGTCCGGACGTGCCACTCCCCAATCATCTTCCGCCACGAGCCACACCTCGTTCCTCAGCGCAGAGCCATTTCCTGCGAGCTTCGTGGTACCAGCTTCATCGTTCCTGAATCGATTGGCCAGTTCAGCTGCTGCTGAAGACGACAAGCCGTACTTGCTGGGTGCTATCTCCGAAGGGCTCTCGGCGAGCTGAATGTCCTCGTCATCATACGATGCAAATGTAAGCGAGATGCCTCCGTCTGCTGGCACCGAAGCTGCTTCCGGTAACGGGTTGCTACCAAAGGCAGCAGCAGTCGATGCACTCGCGGCTACGACATTCGAAGGTCCTGGTGCGATCTGTTCGTGCTGAGTGTCATTGTTCTCTTCACGAGGGAAAGGCACCGCGACCGACTCGGCCTTGGCAGAGAGGGGAAGAGGCGGCAGCGAGCTCTCCAATTCCTTGACCTCAATCCCAGACTCACGAAGCTCACGCAGGATCGCTTCCGTGTCGAAGTGGGCGCTCGTCGAGTTCGGTCGATCTGCTTCCGGCGTGGCAGCGCGCCCAGAGCCTTCGTGCGAAGCTCGTACCGCCTCGACGCGCGAGACCGACTGCTTGACGATTTCTTCTTGCTTCTGCTTGGCTTCTTCGACCCTGATGGCGCCGCTAGAGGGAACCGGCTCTTCTTGATGCTCCTCCCTGGGCGGTAAGTCCCCGTCGTCATACTCGTCGTACGGAGCATTTGCGGATGCTGCAGCTGTTGTCGGCGCAGAGCCAGCTGCTGAGCTGGAACGGGCCGGCGTTGCGCTTTGGCTGCTTGTGCTGCTTGCAGCTTTGCGTCGGAAGATCTTGCCGAAGCCACCCGTCGATGTGGAGACAGGTTTGAGCTCGAGGTCGTCCGGCTTTTCGTCGCGTACTATTTGCCTCTCCGGGATGGCGTTCAGATCCTCGGGCTCGTCAAAGTAGTCTGCTGTGGTGCGGAAGCCGAGCTCGCTCAGAACGAGTGGCATCAGTGGCCGGTAGCCAAGATGGCCGGGAACCACGTGAGTCACATCGACGTTTTCGATGTCCTGCACCCTTTCGACGGGATGCAAGCCGGCGATGCTGCGAAGACCACCAGAGGCGGCTCGATGCAGATAGCCCAGGATCCAGTCGCTGCGCGAAAAGGCGCTGACGAAGCGTCCCGAGACGACGCTTCTAGCCTCCTTCCAGGTCTCGTCCTTTGCGGTGACTGGAGCGCCCATGATGTAAACGTTCTGTACGATGCCGTACGCTTTGATCCTGCTCAACTCGACGAGGGCATAGAAGATGACCCTGGCGCCAAGACTGTACCCTACAAGCGTGATGGGACGCACACCCAGCTGTCGTTTCGAGAGAGTATCTGCCAGAATGAGGCCCGCAGCTTGAGCTCGGTCCAAGGCGTTGGACCAAGGGTTGTCGATGAGGTAGCCGAGCTTGGTGAGCCAGAGAGGCCATGCCAAGGCAGTGAGCATGGCACCGGCACCAGCTACGGTCAGAGCCAGGGCCTGCTGAACACCCTGCACGATGGTCTCGTTCCAGAGGAGGCCAAGCGCATTACCCATTTCTTGCATCATATCGGGCTCCCACAAGACGCTGAAAGCATCGCCCATGACGCTGTCGATGACGCTGAAGGGTAGCCTGACATCATCTTGTGGACCGCTCATGAAGCCGGGCACCGTGACGATGGCGTTGACGCGCTTGTTGTTGTGAATGGGCTTGAACTCAAAGGTCTTGACGCTGCGCGTGCGTCGACTCATGCCACGCCCTGCTAGGCTCATACCACCCACAGTGCCGGTGGACGTGATGAGTGCGGCACCTCCGACACCGCCAAGGAAGCCGCTGGTACCACCAATGCCGACAGCTCCCAACGCGGCGCCCATACCTGCACCAATGACGGGTGCTAGCAGGCCAGCGGAAAGCCCGATGACAAGGCCTCCTCCGACGGTGGCGAGACCCATCATGACCATACGCTTCTTTCGGGCCATGATCATACGCTGCTTGATGGCTGACTGGTCGCTGAGGGTCTCGACGCCTTCTTCGATCTCGAGAGCATCGGTGATGCGCTTCTCAAACTGGGTGACGTCCATCCAGGTGAGGCCAAGGTAGGAGGCGACACGCTCGAGCAGCACACGCGAGCGAGCATCGTAGACGCTGTCGGCGGTAAGGACCAAGAAGAGATCGCAGAGTACGGTCCATCGGAGGTCGAGAGTGATGGTGGCATCGGCGCTGCTGATGCTGGTGGTGACGCCATCTAGGGCGCCTGGCGGCGGCTCGAGTGCTTGGGGCTCCTTTGTGAGGCCAAGCGCTGTCGTCACTGAGCCCGGGCCTGCCTCCACGTCCGGTATTGTTGGAGTGCCATCGACGGCATCGACTGCCTTCGACAGCTGCGAGGCGGTGTTGGGGTCTGCGATGACGGGAGAAGTCGTCGAGATTGGTGGAGATTTGCCAGCGTCAGGCTCTCGGTTGGTGAAGTCGTGTTGCCTTTGGTGCGCGGCGGACGTTTCTTCGAGCTGCATGCCAATGTCGAAGCCCTCGTCTTCGGTCGAAGCATGTTTGACGCCGGTTGCAGCTGATCTGGTCGGCTCTTTGACTGTTGTTTCAGACGCTTTCGGGCGGCTGGCGCCCAAGTCGCCGTCAAGATCTTCGTCGTCTGTCTCGTTGCGCTGAGCCGAGAGCTGCCGCTGGTCATCGGCTCCATCCGATGACGACAGCTGGGTGGTGCCTGGCCCGGCTCGAGGGGATGAGGCTGGGCTGGTTGGCGGGTCTTTTGATGTGGTCAAAGTCTGGTCTCGTTGACGCTGCTCTTGTTGCTCTTGCTCTTCTTGTTGCTTTTCACGTAGAGCGTCGGGATCAAAGTCGGGATTGTCGATGGTCTGAGTGGTGACGAGGGAGGGAGCCAGGTCGGTAGCGAGCACACCATGCTCAGCTAAGGACTCGATCATGCGTTGCTCTGAGCTTTCAATCTCCATGTGCTGATAGAGACGGGCCATGACTTTGATCTTCCAGGCGTCTACGCTCTGTTTGGCTGGATCGAGATTCTTGCCGGGTACTCTGCGGATCTGTCTTACCATTTCGGAAGCTATCAAGCTGCAGAGGCCGACGTAGGCGATCTTTTGACCCTCGGAGAGAAGCTGCTTGGTGGTCTTCATCTGATTGAGAGGAGTGGCGGTGGTGTTGTCGCCGTAGGGATCGTGTGGGTCGCCATCCTGGAAAAGGTATCTGGTGGCTGCGTGGAGCTCTTCGGCTTCCTCGTCCTCATCCAGTCTGAGCTGTGTATATCCCTTTTCGGCGTCGGAGTCATCGTCGTCTTGATCGCTCTGAGCGTTTGCTGGTTTGGAGCGCCAATCATAGCCTCTTGCGTCGTCAATGTCGAGATGCTTTCCAGTTGCATTGGTAGCCGCATTTTTGGGTGGGCCTGATGATGAAGCGACATTGTCGGTTAGGTATTGAGATCTGGCAGCCGATCGTTTGTGATGGTTTCCACTGGCGGAGCGACTGGGTTTGTGGCGAGCCGACGAGCGGGAGGGCAGCGAGCGAAATCTTCGCGGGTCGTCTGGGTCGGAATCATCCTCTTCCTCGTCGCCGTATGGGAGATCGTAGGGATTCGAGTAGGCGCTAACAGGTATTGGTGCGGCTGACGTGTGCTGAGCGTTTTCTACGGGCATAGACTCCCACTCGTCATCGTCGTCCGCTTGCGCTGCTGCGCTGAACGCAGGCGGCTTGTGCGACGAGCTCATGGCTGTCGATTTGGGGGTGCTAGATCATCAGACGCCATGGGTCGAGCGGCGCTCCGAACCGTTGGGACGATGTGGAGGCGAGGAGTAGTGGACGGGTTATGCCACTGGAGGGATCGGAGGTTGACAGCAGCGGTGTCGAAGAATACGGGTCCTGATCGACGCTGTAGTGGGGGCAGGCTGGATACGGAGCGATGAAGCGCTGACGGTGAAGAATAGATGGAGAGAGAGGAAAAGAGAGAGAGAGAGAGCGTTGGCGAAGGACGACAGCGATGCATGCGAGTTGGCGGAAAGCAGCCACGCAGCCGAGAAGCAGCAAGGAGCTCCTGGTGCTCACTTGTTGGATTTCGCTCAGGGTTCAGCACAGCGAGCCAAAGTCACCGACGTGAAACGCAACCGAATCCGACATGATTTTCCTCACATTTCACGCCATCGGCGAATCTGGATCAGACCTATAGCTGTACAGGCAGGCCACCTCTTAAAAGTCACATCACTCCTTCGGACCATCCGCCGACGTTGAAGACTGTCACACGGACAGCTTGCAGAAAAGACTCAAACTCTCCCATATAATCGAAGGTGCTCACTCGCCTCTCACGGTCACGGCCAACGTAGTCATGGTTGTGTGTTGATAGTGTACAATGGTCGGTCTCGAGGCCGTTGGAAGTGCGACTGTACCAATCATGCTTTGCGCATTGATGTTGAGATGGCGAACGTTCAGACCGTTTTGGTCGCTTGCTGTTTGCGCTTGGCTTCTTTCGACTTCTCCTTTCGCAATGCGAGCCCCTTCTTGAGTGCACGCTGCCGCTTGCGTCGACCCGCACCGCGCTTGCTTCCGATCTGGTTGGTGATGATCTTGTCCTTTCCATCCACCACCTGGATGAGCTTCTTGCGGCTCTGTTCTTGAGCCTTGTCCATCTTCCTCTCCTTGGCCTTGTCACGCTTCTTGAGCCCGGTGGAGAGATGTGTTCTCAGCAGGGGCAAGTATGCTGTCTGGAAGGAGGCGAGCTTGGAAGCAGGCACCAACGTGCTGATCTTGACCTTACCGCTTCCCGAAACACCGTTCGTTGCTCGAAAAAGGATTGCATCTGTGATCCCAGACGATGACGAAGGTGTCATGTCGACATCACCGTCCTTGGCCGCTGAAGCCGGTGCTTTCTTCGAGGCGATGTAGACCGAGTGCTTGGATGTGCTTTGCTCGAACAGCTTGGTGAGCTCAGAGAGAAACTTTAGGAGAGAACACGGCCATTCCATGATGCGCGCAGAGGAGTGACGCGAAGACGATGGTCAGCTTCTACACCCCTCCAGCCAACAAAGCGTATCGTGTCAATGCTTACCTGTTCGTTGGTGACAGCCATCGCGAGAACGTCAACGTTGCCCAAGTCGGTGCTATGAAATGGTAGAAATGCAGAGAGGAATGCGCTCGGGTGGACCAGGTGCCGTATTAGGTGTGGCCAAGAGAAAGCGAGAGGTGAGAGGTGAGAAGTAGAGATGCAGCGACGACCAAGATGCACGGCGGGGTTGGCGCCTCGCTCACATGGCCAACGCCATTTTCGAAATCGAATCGGGGCACTGCAGGGAGTTCTGATCCGATTCGATTGCATTTCTGGCTGCAGCTTCGACGTCACTTTGTGTGTGACATTTTCAGAAGAATCTCCCGCTTCAATAATGTCACTCGACTCAGCCATTCAGCTTTGGCCTCTCATGAAGAACGCACACACGTCGTTGCTGGCACCGACCATCATCCTATACAACCAGCAAGAACAAGCAGCAGGCTGACTGCCGAAACAGAGGCCCCGCGATCATTCTCGCCAGACTCATCTCTGCGCCCTGCTGCGGTTCAGCAAAGACATTGTCACACCCTCATCGTCTTTGTCGAATAGCGCAACCTGCTCCCTTCACCCAGGCAGCGAGTCGAAACCGCTCAATCATGTCGCATCCAGACTCTGCTTCAGTATACAGCCAGCAGGATGCCCGGCCTGCAAAGCATCCTGCGCTCTCTCGCCCGCTTTATGCCTTCGACCTGCCTGCAGCGCTACGTAATTCGCTCCGTCTTCGATCAAGGGTCGAAGAGACCGAAGCATCTCAGCTTCTGCAACCAAGCATACCTCAAACACAACCAGCAGCTTCGCAAGACTCTCGCTCCGAGGAGGCAGGCCAACTTCGCAACCCGTCCCAGCTTCAGGTACCGCCATGCTCCTTGTGTCCATCATGCTCCCCCTTCCCATCCGTCACAGCTCAGCGTGCCCACTTTCGTTCCGACTGGCATCGCTACAATGTGCAGCTCAACGTACAGAACGCTTCATTGCTAGTGTCCGAGCAAGCGTTCGCGAAGCTCTCGGAGGAGGTCGAGAGCGCGAGCGAGCTCGAATCCGATGAGGACTCTCACCAGTCTCATTCCTCTACCCTCAAGACGGATCTCGTAACCAAGATTCTCGCCCGCACTTCGCTCAACGTCGATAAGCGACATCCTGCCGACATCACCGGTGACTCCACAGAAGCAGACGCTGCCGATTCTTTCGATGCGCTGCAGCTTCGCGCTCCACTTTTGTGGTTCATCTCTAAAGATACCGCCTCCGACGCAGACAAGCTGCACCAAACACAATTCGGATTTCACCGCAATGCTTTCCCAGATCCAGGCACTCCTGCAGCGCCCACTCTTTCGAGCTCGTCCACTGCTGCAGACTGGTACGCTGCTTGCATCGCCTCGATGCAGGCCGGGCGCATCACTCGAAAGGGATCAAAGCAGTCGACGTGGAAGGGAAAGCGTGTCAAGTCAAAGGAGGTTCAAGAAGCGGCCAAATCACTCATGATGACCGTCCTCGATGGCGAAGGGTTCATCCGAGGACTGTCCACAGCGGTCGAATCCGAGACTGCCGGCAGCAGCGACGAAGACGCTGGCTTCAGCTCGGCATCCGAGGACGAAGAGTCCTCCGACGAGACCATGTCGGCGTCCACAATCAGCCGTAATCCAAACGCCGATCCGCCACTGCGCATGTGGACCGTTCTGCTGCTCGGAGGCGGTCACTTTGCAGCGTCCGTCATTGCACTCAATCCTCACATCACTACCTACAGCGGCAAACAGCGCGGCGGCACCAACGCTCCCAGAGAGGATCGTTCGCTCATTCTGCTCGCGCACAAGGCTTTCCATCGTTACACTACCAGACGCAAGCAAGGTGGTGGTCAGGCTGCCCAAGATGCCACCGGACGCTTTGCCAAGTCGGCAGGTGCACAGCTGCGTCGATACAACGAGGCTGCCCTTGGAGACGACGTGCGTGGTCTCCTCGACTCGCCCGGCTGGAGAGAGCTCGTCTCTCGCAGCGAGAAGATTTGGATCCGAGCTGGAGCAAGGGCGGCGAGAGGTCTGCTCTGGTCGTGGGAAGGCTCCAAAGCCAGTCGAGGCAGCCCTCTTGAGGCTGCGCGCACCGACGGGCGACTCGGATCGTTGCCCTTCCCAACAAGGCGGCCAACTATCGGCGAGACCGTACGATGCTTCCTCGAGCTGGCCAAAGTCAAGGTGGAGCACAAGTCGGACGAGCAACTCGCAGCCGAGGAGCAGGAGGCGCTCGAGCAAATCAACCAGAAATCTCGCAAGGAGGCCGAAGCTAGGCGGCGAGAAGAGAAGGCTCGGGAGCGGGCGACAGCCTTGGAAAAGAGCCGCGCAGAGAAGAGCGCTAAGCCCGCCCCTCTCACCGAACAGGAGCAGGCCGAACGGAGCCGGTGGGGTCGATTGGTCGAGATGATACGCAAAAACAGGTCAGAGGCGCTCATGACATTTCTCAGCAAGAACGAACAGGACATGCTGGGTGGCAGCATCGACAGCCCTTTGCCGAACTGGCTGCTGGAACAAGAAGTCGACGAGGCAGGTTCGTCAGCTCCTGCCTCGAAGCTGATTCCGACTACCCTCCTGCAGCTGGCAGCCGAGTCCGGCAGTGACGTGGTCGCACGCTACCTTCTGGAAGACAAGCGTGCAGACCCCACGCTCGCAGCTGAGCGACTCGGCGAGCTGCGAAAGCGCTTCTCCGACGCTGATGGCGCAGACCAGCCAGGAGACACATCTGCCGAGGCGCGTCCTCACCGTACGGCATACGATCTATGTAGCACAAAAGAGGTGCGCAACGTCTTCCGTCGCATGATGGCCGAGCACGCCGAATGGTTCGACTGGGGCGGCATGTCTTCAGGCGGAGCACGTGTCCCCAGTGCGCTCACCGAGGAGATGCAAGACAACCAGACGGCAAAGCAGAAGGACCGACGAGCTGCGATGCGCGAAAAGGCGCGCGAGCGTGCCAGTAGAGCAGCTGAAAAATCGACTTCCACAACGTCTGCATCGGTGGAGGAGGAGCAAGAGGCAGCTGCTCAGCAGCAACAAAAGAGCTCGCATCACTCGACAAATCGTCTCGGCGGCAGCAATTTGGCACCTAGGGCTCTGCTGCAGCAGAGGGATGAACAGCAAGGTCTGACGCCCGAGATGCGGGCGCGTATCGAACGAGAGAAGCGCGCTCGGGCAGCGGAGGAACGTATGAAGGCTCTGATGAACAAGTAGCTGCGTCGGGTGGTGCAATTGTGACAGAGTGCAGCGAATGATGCGGGTAAGCGAATGTGATTGAACGTGAAACACGATTGACCTGCGTGAGAGTGTTCGGTACAAGTACAAGATGTGCTGAATGAAAGAGCGACTAGCGAACAAAGTTCATCGAGTAACCGCCGCCGGGCTGTTGTGTGAACTTGAAGTTGTTGGTGCTCAAGCCAAAGTTTCCGAGGATGGAGTCGCCTAGGCCTTTGAGTTTTGAGATCATTTCGTCTTTCTCGGTTTCGGCTGCTTGTTGGGCTTTTGGTTCTAGTCTTTTTATTGATTCCGATATTTGTGGTTTTGATGATGGTGGTAGGTCGGGGAGGGTGAGTAGGAGTCTGTTGTCTTCCAGGGCGGAGGAGAGGCCTGACCAACCACCGATTTGTTCGTTGGCTTGGGCGCGACGGTAGAGTGCTTTGATGTAGTTGGGTTGGTCGAGCAGGGATTGGTTGGCTGTTTTGACGGCGTCACGGTATTGTTCGAGACGCAAGTGGGTGGCGGAGACGTTGGCGTAGATGACGGAACGGAAGAGTCGGATCTGCTCTTGTTCTTCGGTTTCGAATGCAGGTGGTGGCGCTTGGGATGTCGATGCTACGTTTGAATCGCTCGTTTCTCCCTCAGGTTCGGGAGCATCGTCTATCGCTTCCACATCGCGATCGTCATCGGCAGCGCGAGTGGTATTCTTTGTGCTTGACGAGGGCTCTCGTGCGGGCAGCTGTGCGAGAATGTCGAGATAGATAGACAAAGCAGCATCGTAGTCTTGAGCAGCAAATTTGCGATTTGCTTCGGCCTTGAGTTGGTGAATGTCTTCGGAAATGTATGCCTCCTCGATGACGGCCATGATGGGCTCGCGTAGTCGCTGCTCGAATCAAGTGTGCAGACGGTCGAACGGGATGGTGGATCGAAAGGTGAAATGGTGATTGTGAAATGTGCGCTACAAGTGGAGGATCGAAACGCTGGCCGGCGAGACGCACACGCGCAGCGTGCCAAGAAAGCGAAAGTGCACGGTTGCACTTGGGCGCTCTTGAACAGCGAGCACAGGCTGCGTGCCGAAATTTTGCTCTGCCAGCTACCACGTCTACCGCAACAAGAGACATGGTAGCAGTATCGACAAGCAAAGAGCCAGAGCTGGCGCCGCTGGGCAACCAGGTGGCAGGCCATCCGGATGGCGTACAGAGCTTGGAGGGTGGACGTCTTGTGGTGAAAGACTGCTTGGCACGCGAGCTCGAGTTCTACAAGGGGGTCAAGCTTGCGGCCAGGGGAGAAGCGAGCCTAGACCATGGACAAGTGGAGCTGCTGTCACGATTGGACAAAATGATGCCAGAATGTCATGGAAGCTGGGAGGACTACACTGGAATCGAAGCGAAAGGATCGGCCCACACACCTCGAATTGTGCTGGAGAACCTGACGTTCGGATACGAGAAGCCCAACGTTTGCGACATCAAGCTGGGAACGCAGCTGTGGGATGAAGATGCGAGCGAGGAGAAGAAGCAAAGGATGGAAAAGGCGGCTGCCAACACTACGAGCGGATCGCACGGAATTCGATTGACAGGATGGCAGGTGAGTATGCGATGCTACACAACAACACTCGGATGTGTGTACTGACCTTGAAAAGCTCTCGCTCTTGCGCTCTGGTTTGATAGACGTACGATGCCGAGACTAGCGCGTATCACAACATACCAAAGACGTTTGGCAAAGCGATCAAGGCGAAAGATCTGGAATTGGGGATGCGAATGCTTCTAGCGTGCCCCGAAGAAGGCGATGCTCAAAGAGCCGAAGAGGCTGTGGCAGGGACAAGCATTCGCCAAGACGCCTCTAGGTATCGCCTGCCAAGATTACCGGAGGAGTTGGTGGTGAAGCTGCTGCGCGACCACTTGATCAAGGATGTGGAAGAGCTACATGCGATTTTCAGCAAGGTCGAGGTGCGAATGCGAGGCGCTTCGTTGCTCATTGTATACGAAGGAGAAGCGTCGCGTCTCGAACAGAGTCTCGGCCAGGTTGAGGCTGGTAGTAGGAAAGGTAGACCTCAGGTGCGCTTGATCGACTTTGGACACGCGACCATCGTTGCAAGGGAAGGACCAGATGAGGGCGTGTTGCTTGGATTAGCAACGGTGCTCGAACTAGCAAAGCGGACACTGGAGAAGCTAGAAAGCAAGCAGAGACACTCTTAGCCGGCAGTGCCGATGCAATATCAAACAAGAAGAATCGTTGCGTGTTGGACCCTTGAGCCAGACTTGACAAGAGCCACAATCGGTGATATTCCATCAACGTGGCTTGGCTCTCGTGGCAGCAACGCCGGTCAAGTTTGGCGACAATTTCCGCAAAGGCAAGCAGAAGCTGCATGCATGGCTGCAGAGTAGTGGGGTCCTCGATTGTGGGTGATTTGCGCGCTGCATTTCGGCTCACTTGAATCGCGCTGTTCTGTGCTGAACCCCTAACAGACGTCGTCGGCTACTACAAATTCGTGTTTCGATTTCGAGCCAAACAAGCCAAACTTGACTTGTGTTGCTCCACACCGAGGACTCGAACCTGTCACACATACACACACCACTCTCGTTGCTACTGCCAAGGTCACACTTCCATCACATCCTTCTCTCGTCACACTTTCATCGGCGCACTCAGCGTTTCAGATAGGCTTGGCTTCGAACCTCCTTCCCTCTCTACCACGGCAAACCGAGCTCCTGCATCCAACTCGACATGCTGTCCATTCCTCGCTGAGCTTGTCACACCACCACTCTCGGTGAGGCGCTCTCATCATGACCGCTCCGAGTCCTTCCAGGCTGTCTCTGGCGCATCCTGCCTTCGAGCCTCCACGTCCACCGCCGCACCCCCAAGCCGAGGCAACAGCATCTCACTTTGCCTCCTCTTCCAAGCTGCAAACTGGTGCCGCACCTCCCTCTCTCAGCTTTCCACCCTCGGGTCCACGCTGTCTCAAATGCCACCCCATGCCTCAGCATGCTCAATCTTCAGCTAGCACGTCCACTGCTCATCCCACTCACTCCTCCTCGCTCATCGCTCCTCCTCATCACGTCACCATTCGAAGGTACATCGGTCCGCTTCCTGTTCCTGCATCAGCCGCAAAAGCAATCGCAAAAGCAATCGCCGAAGACTGCACCTACAACGACACACGAGACTCGGACGAATCCAGTTCCGAGTCGCACCAGCTGCAATCCTCCCGAGTCGACGTCGAGCCTCAGGTCAAGGCTACCGACGACCAGCAACACCCCTCCGAGCAACCATCCACAAACGATACTTCCACATCGCACACTTGGACCGACCCATTCCGTGTCTCAAGTTCAAATCAAGACAAGCAGCATCACTCGGGGCACCCGCCTGCTCTCCTCTCCACCTCTCCCAAGGGCAAACAATCCCTTCTTCCACCGCCCCGTCCTCGCATAGTCGACAGAGATCCTTCCTCTGCCTCAATCCTCTCCAATGCTTCCTTTGTCAGCGCACACTCCATCGCTCGTTCCGCTCTGAGCGACACCGACACTGCTCAACGTGGCCAAACCATCTTTGATCAAGCTCAGCCTCAAGCAACTTCTTCTCACTCTCGTTCTGTCAGCCCTTCAAAGAGAAGGTTCGTGCTCGCGCCAAAGAAGAGCAACCAGTCCTTCCCAGTCACCGCCATCGAAGCCGACTCGCTCAAGCCTCCTACATCCATCCTCCGAACCGCTGCCTCCTTCTCCGCTGACTCAGCTCCTTACGCAGTCAAACCCATTCACACTGCACGCAGCGCAGACAACCTTCGCGTCGCCGCTCTCCGACAACAGCGCAGAATCGGCCCTGACGGTTCACGCTTCCCCACCTCGCCAACTTCTCCCCATGACGCGGCATTCAGTAAAGCTCCTATACTTGATCTTCCTTTGAATCAGATCGAGGAGGCCTTCCATGATTCAGATCCATCACGGCAGCAGCCTCAACTCACCCGGAATGATGGTGATCTTCCTCATCAAGAAGACCAGCATCACCTTCGTCGCACCGTCAACGCCAGTGGTGACACCACCATCATTCGCAGCAGCGCCGACATCAGCAATGCCGCCGCTGGTCCCTCCTTGAAACCGAAAGCTTCCTTTTCCAGCAGGTCTGAAGAGGACGCAGCCGTGACGGCTGTACCCAACAATCAAAGCCTTTTGCATCCGGCATGGGAGCAAGCAAGCTCTCCAGCCGTACGTCCGTCTGACGCCGATGCTCTCGGTGAGCCTCACGCTCCATCAGGCGACCTAGATCCGCCCTCCAGCCCGACGAAGCCGTCGCGCAACCTAGTGGGCAGAGGCTTGCCCATCAAGAAGCGTTCCCTCACCTTCACTGGCGAGCCTGCCGCCAACCACGCCAACCGCGCCTCATCAGGCATGCTTACCTCTCGCGCTTTCGCCCATCCCCGCGACTTTTCGCGCCAGAGTAGAATGAGCAGAGCATCTACTGTCGGCACTTTCAACACCGTCGGCACCATGGCCACAGAAGGCAGCTTTGGCGCCACCGCCGCTACCTCCTCCAGTCTCGCCAGAAAATTCCTCGCTGGCGGTAGCTTCCGTCGAACTGGCAAAAGGGCCGAGTCTACCCAGACCAAGAACGATCGCTTCAGTTTGCGACCCACGCGGACAGAGCCGGCACACAAACACCCCGCCTCCGGCTCTCCCACCTCGGTTCGAACACGCAAAACAGCATCGCCCTTCGCAGTGCGAGCTCGTCGTACAGCTCGCTCCACCAGCTACGCATCCCTGCGACGAGACGCATCTCGGCGTGTATCCGCCAATCCCACCGAGGCGTCACTGGCAGACTCGGCCTCAGTCACCCGAGCTCACGGCGTGCAACCTGGCGCTGTTGGTACCAGTGGTGGAGGCACCAAATGGGTTGGTGAAAGCTTTCAGATTGGCCAGCGCTTCTGGGACATCCTCGATGCGCGACGCGATGAGTTGCAAAAGTCGCAGCCTTGCTCGTGTGATCAAGCTCAGGCATCCCTTCAGCCTGGCTTTGATGTCGAGGCATCCTCCGACGGCTCCCTCGACTCTCGCGAGAAACAGGTCCAGAATCAAGCCGCTCATGTTCAGCATCTCAAGCAAAGTCCAGACGGCGTCATCACTCTGCTCGCACAAGAGGCCCAAGACATTTCCGATGACAAAACCACAACAGCCTCATTGCTTGCTCGACATGCATCTGCCTCGTCAAAGATGCCATCCGACAACCGTCTCAAAGTTTCTCAAAATGGCCACGCCCTGCATCCACCCGATGGCAGTGTCAGCGGCGCCCCGTCTGGCCGCAGGAGCCTCACTCACGACCAGTCGGCTGCTACCATTCAAACTGTTCAGCCAGACGAGACCACACCTTCGGCCATCGAAGCGCGCCAAGGCTGGAGCGAGATTGTCTCCAAGATGTCGTCCATCACAGGAGAGCTCAGCAACGGTCGCAAAGCGCGCAAAGCTGATCGTAAGACCGACAAGAAGTCGCTGCACAGTTCGCAACCCACTCCGAGGGAGGAAAATCTGAACGGCAGACTAGGCGATGAGCTCACGGCGAAATTCTCCGACCGCAACGGATCGCCGAGACCACCAACGGATTCAGATCTCAGAATCATGGCGCGATCCTCGAGCCTCGTGGAGTCAGACCGATCTTCGGCCGCTTCGAAATCCGTCTATGCGTCTCTCAACCCATCAACGCAAGCCAACGGCGTCGGCCCTCGCGCTTCGAGCCTGGCTTCGGGTAAAACACCCGCTATGACCAGAAGCGACGCTCTGTCACATCCAGCCCCACCCGCGTCGGTGGAGGCAAGCAATCCCGAGCTTGTGCATCAGCTCTTGCGCCGCAAAAGTGATCTCGGCAAAGAGCCAGGGCTTGGGCTCACGACCGACGCTGCTAGTGACCATGCCATCGCAGCCCGGCCGGTTGCTTCGCCGGTGAATCTCACGCCTGCCCGAGAGATCGCATCGCCTCTCTCGGGTCCCTTGCTTGAGCAAGATCCGCTGCCTCTTGATATCAGTCCTTATGACGAGGCACAAACACCGGCTGAGAGACCGTCTGGCCTTCTCAAGGCGATCGGCATCTCGACCAGTCCCGAGCGGAAGAAGACGGTCAAATTCGACACTGGCTCCACCCGTCCGGCCCTCAAAGGTCGTTTCACCGCCTCCCTCTTCGCTGGCAAGGCAGAAGACGGTCAAAATACATCCACCAGTATCGGTCGCGGCACAGCCGGCGATGCTCAGCCGCGACCACCGGCTGAGGTCCTCGCACGGCCTCAGCCTCACGCTCTGCAGATGCCCATGTCGGGAGATTCTTCGACGCCCGGAAGCGAAGTCTACGAGAGCGAGGCGTCCATCATCACTCGCAAGACCGTGCTCAAGAAAGACCGTATGCTCGTCAAGATTGCTTGGACGCCACACGAAGACCTTCCGAGCGATTTCGACGAGTTGCAGGCGCGCAAGTACACCATCCGAGAGGAAGATTGGCGCGAGTTTGTCGTCGTATTCAGGATGGGCAAATTGGAACTCTGGTCGGATCCGACTCTGACCAACAAGCTCGTCGGACACGGCGATCGTCTGAAGCTGCGTCTCACCATCCCGCTGTCACGAGGCTCAACTTTCGTCTCGCTCTACTCTCCCATCGACCGCATCTTCTGTTTGACTTTCCAGCCTTGGAAGTCCCTTTCAGCGCATCACAACAAAAGAGGCATTCACCTGCGCCGTCAGGGCACCGACATCGTCCTCTTTGATTGCCGAGCCCGATCTGCAGCGGCCGACTGGATGTGGGAGCTTTGGAGGGAGCTCGGCGGGCTTATTCCCGAAACGCTCGAGGTGCACGTTCCCTCTTTTGGCCTCAAGGTCAGAATCCCGGTCCCGGAGAGCATGCCTGTCGAGCGACCAAGCCCTGGGACGACACCCGCTAGTCAGCTCAGCTCCGAAAAAGCTGGCCTTTTGGCGCTCAGCTCTGTTGGGCAGACGCACGATGGGGGCGAGGGCTTCAAGCTCATCAACCGCAACAACGTGATTGCAATGGTGTGGAAGTTGTTCTGCCGCATTCAGCAGTGGCGAGAGCTCATGTCCCAGTTTCAGGAGCGCGGTGCCAGGTTGGAGCTCGCATGGCGACGCGGCACCGAGCTCGATTGGGTGATCAACGAACGCACCGTCGAGAACGAGCCGCGCCACTGGGCCGTCCTGTGCGGTGCTCTGCTCAGAGATTTCAAGCAGCCTTCCATCCTGGAACTCAGGGCAGCCGCGCACTATCCGACCTCTGTGCTGGCTGCCCCTGGCCAATACATGCAGGAACCGCCGGCTGTCGAGGGCTTTCTGTGGCGAGTGAAGCCAGTATCTGGTGCCTTGACGCGCCTCTACTTTACAACGTACGATGGCCACATCTACATTTGCCGCATCACTCGAGCTTTCCCTCCAGATCGCCACCTTGCTGTTCAGATGCAAGAGGCTTTGGACATGCGGGTTCCGCGTACAAGCGGTACGTCGCAGGGTCGCGCACCGAACGCCGCCAATCCTGCAACGAGAAACGCTCTGACACGTGCTCTTGCCAAGTTCGTCGGAGCCAACAAGTCGGTGCGTCGTGACGAAGACGTTGCAACCCTGCGTCAGAACGTTTTGGAAGCCATCAGCTACCCGGCACAGACCGAAGAGGAGTTTCAAGGCCAGATCGAAGCGTATCAGTCATTCGAGAGGCGCAGACAATTCGAGCAGGTCCGAGGCTCAGACGGCTTCATCGACCTCAAACAGATCCACACCATCAAGACGATCGGCAGCGGCCCCGTCCGTTGCCCCGGCGAGGATGACGTTCGGCGACCCAAGCGCGCCAACGATGGTCAGCTCATGCAAAAGGTCAAAGAGGACCTCGCCGTCGCTCAGCGAGATGGCGAAGAGTCGGACGAAGACGATGCAGACCACGCGACCAACGATGTCGGCGGTCAAGAGGGTCTCGAGCTTGCTGAAGACGCCAACGATGTGCGTCGAGCACGTCAGATTGAGATCACGCTCACGAATGGAAAGACGATCCGACTCGAGGCTTTCAGCGCTTCCGTGGCAAGGGAATGGGTCGAACGCATCGCCGAGCTCGTCAAGTACTGGAGACGGAGGGAGCGGGCGGACGCGGCGGAGCTCATGTATGCATCGGGGGTGGACATCTCCGAGCTGCACAAGCAGCTGGCGGGACTTCAGACGCACGCAAGCGGTATCGAGGGGGTCGATGAGCAGAAGCTTTCGCCCATGCTAGGCAACATCTGGAATTGGTGTCAGATCGAGGGATGCCGCGGCATCATCCGGTCCGGTCGACTTTTCCACAAGAAGAGCAGTTACAGCGCGTTCAAGGCTCGCGACTACGTCCTGATCGCCGGTCGCCTGCTTTGCTTCAAGCTGGTCAAGTCGGTGAGGACGACGCGAGCGAGGCAGAACAACGGTATCTTCCACCGACGACAGGATACGGTGATCCATCTGCGCGATGCGTACGTCTACAGTGGCAAGCTGAGCGAGGATATGCTCAAGAATGGAAGGTCGGATCCGGCGCAAGCAGTCTCTGGCATCGGCGGAGGCGGTTCGAACAGCGGCAAGCGTCACCGCGTACCGCGGGTGTACGCCGACGGCATGTTTTCCGTGGATGATGACGAGGACTGCACGTTTGTGATTCGTTATCGTCCGGAGCGGGTCAACACGCCGGCGGATCCGAGTGTGGCAAGCCTGCACGGCAAAGATGGAAAGAGGAGCGGACGAGGGGCAGTGCGAGGACCAGCGAAGGAGACGGCTGAGGCGCAGGATGCGTCATGCAGCGTGCCGAGGCTGGACGACAAGTCGCACAAGAGCATTGCGATGCGGGCGCGATCCAAGGTGGAGCGAGACCTGTGGGTGCGCTGCATCACGTACGAGATCGAAAAGATTGTGCGGGACGATGTGGAACGCGAGAAGAAGCTCAAGAACACGGGTAAGGTGGATCACAAGTGAGGGGACGGCAGGACCAGCTGCGGTCAAGGCGAAAGTGGGTCGAGTTGACGCCATTCATATACCCAGGGCTCACTCTCCTGCCATAGCTGCCAGTGAGTGAAGTCAGTCATAGTCATGCAATTAGAGTTTCAGAATCCAATCACACACCATGGCTTGCCGTGCTGAGACAGTTCTGCGTGCGCGGAATAAGGACTTGTTTCGTCATCAGGAGGCTAAAAGTACAATTGAGGGTCTTGAGTGTGGTCATGACACTGTCCTGCTTCAGTGTCGCAGGTCGGGGTAAATGTTGGTTCGATCAAGGGGCAGCCTTTGGCTTCTTTGCACCGTACTTTGATCTGGAAGTCTGTCTGCCGGCGACACCTGCGAGATCCTGAGCGCCTCTGACCAGATGATATCTGATACCGGGGCAGTCTTGGACTCTTCCACCTCTGACGAGGACGACGGAGTGTTCTTGGAGGTTGTGACCTTCACCGGGAATGTAGGCTGCAACGGAACGACCGTTGCTGAGCTTAACGCGGGCGACTTTGCGGATAGCGGAGTTGGGTTTCTTGGGTTTGGTGGTGAAGATCTTACTGCAAACGCCTTTGACGAACGGTTTGGATTCGAGGGCGGGGACTTTGTTGACGGAAGGTCGATGGGGTTTACGTGCTCCTCGAAGGTTTTGCTGCAAAGTAACGGAGCAGGGGGAGGAGGTGGAGAAGGTTCGGGTAGAGGCGAGGGGGGAGGAGAAGGAGGCGGAGGCCAAACGGGATGGTCCGGCCACGGCGTTCCGCAAGAGCGATGAGACGATGTTCCACGACATGGCTGAGGGACTGCAAAGGAGCTTGTCGAGGTGATGTGTGGTTGATGGTGATGATCGTCAATGATCAGGTTGTGACGGAGGCAGAGTCTGTGTGATGGCAGTGAAAGAAAATCGTTGGAAGCTTTCACTTTTCAGTCACGTGAAGAGCTAACCGGATCTAACAATTTGTCTGGAAAACCCCAAGCAGCCACGCGATGCCGAAGTCACTCGGAAGAAAAGTGGCAGCGTGTGAGCGTGCACGAACCAACACAACGCCGACTCGCAGGCTGTGTGTGTGTCTCGCCGAGTCGCGCTGTCAACTTGGACGAGCGCCTTCTTGTCGGAAGTGGTCCTTCTTGATTGCCATCACCCTCGTCTTCACGCCCAACAGCAGCATCGGCTCTGCCTACGCCCTCAAGATCGCCCGAAGACGTGATTGCTGCCGTCACCCATCCTTACGCCCCGCGGTCTCGGCTTAGATCCGCTGTCAACACGCTCACTCAGTCCGCTTCTGAACACTCGACACAGCCAGGGTCGCTAAGCACGATTTCACAGCCTTTCGGGTGACCACCATGGGTGACACATTCCTCTCGCAGCCCGAGTTCATCGAGGTGGAGCTCGGCGAGTCGCTTCTCTCGAGGACAGAAACGCTCGCCTCGTTCCGCGAGCTAGGCCCACCCGATCTGGTCCATGTGATCAAGACGACGGGTTCCAGCGCAAGATCACGCGACATTGGCTCGTATCACTACGTATCGGGTGTCGATGCCTCCTCATCTGCTGCTCTCGCTGCCTACATCAACAGCCTCACCTACGAGCTTGACCAGAACCCCGGCTTCTTCTCTAGCAAAGCCGCCTACAAGCTCAAGAGCGGCGCCTACTGCTGCTTCAACGCCTTTTCGCGCGTCGATGTGCGCGTAGAAGTGCGCATTCCAGGTTCCGTAGATGCGTACGTGGTCGATCTGCGCGGCGAGCGTCACGAGACTACGCCCGAGATCTGGCAAGAGGTCTACCTCTCTGCGCTCCTCCGTTCCATCCTCTATGCCGACGACGCAAACTACCGTCTTGCCGGCTACCGTAAGCTCGACCCCATCGCGAGTCCTGATGCAGAACATCGCTTCCTCCAAGCTGCAGAGAACCTCTTCTTCAAGGGATGGCAGCTAGGCTCCGACCCCGAGATCCAGGTCGCCACCGTCGTGTCAAATCACCTCACCGCAGGCATCCTCAAATACTTTGGCGAAGCATCCAGATACGAGCAGGCCGTCAATCTTTTCGAGAAGCTCTGGGCGAGGGAACCGGAAGTGGCAGCACTCGTAGCAAAGTCTTACGTCGGAATGAACGAGGAGATCAAAGCTGTCCAGGTCATGCACGGCGCCATCAAGGAGACACCGCAGTCCTACGCTCTGCTCCATGCACAGGTGGATTTCCTGCGTTCCAAGGGCAAGCACGAGTGGGCGCTCAAGGTGGCCAAGCAAGCCGTCAACTGTGCACCTTCCGAGTTTGTCACGTGGGCCAAATTGACAGAATGCTACATCGACCTCGAGCAGTGGGAATCCGCCTTGTACACGCTCAACTCGTGTCCCATGTTCACCTACAACGAACGCGATCTGCACAGGATGCCAACACCCGCGCGCAGTCATTTGCCCGTCAAGACGTTCATCACCGAGAGTGGGCTGGTGGACGAAGAGAGCGCACGCGACAACGAGGCTGATGTAGCGCTACTACGCTTGCCTGCGCCAGCACTGCGCGGCACCTTTGCCAGCGCGTATGCGCTGCTCGGACGTCTTGTCAGCTCGATCGGATGGGACGAACTGTTGCGCTATCGATCCAACGTCTTTGTCATGGAGGAAGAGTACCGTGCCCAGAAAGCGGCTGCAACTCAATCCGACGAAGCCGAGGATGATGCTTCCATCCGCGGCATGGCACCCTCCGACTCGCCCGCCATTGCATCCTCGACACCGCCGCAGCCGTCGAAAGCTACAGCGGACCCGGACAGCACTGACGCAGATACCAACAACTCGGTGGACCAGAGCGAAGACGAGATGGACAGCAACGAAGTGCAGCCGCCCAAGCAAAAGTCACAGCTCGGCCTCAATTCGGCTGCCAATGCATCCTCACAATCGATCCCCACCATCAAGATCTCGACCGAGTCCGATCACGAACGCGAAAAGCAGGAGTTGGAAGACTACATGAAGACCATGAATGTGTCGCCGGATCCGCAAGGCACAGAGGAGAAGGCACCGGAACCGCCAACAATCCTTGTCGAGCCTCCACCGCTGGAGAAGCCAGCGCAGGCGTCAGCGGGACACGAGCGAAGCGAGTCCACATCCACCGCCGTCCCCGGCGACCTATCGGCTTCATCACACACCAACGGTAAGCCGGGACCCATCGTCAACGGCGAACACGACGCATCTATCGCAATGGCGGAAGCACGGCAAAAGGAGAAGAACACCGGATTCTCGTTCCGCGACAAACGACTCTGCGAACGATGGCTGGACAACCTCTTCATGGTGCTCTACGAGGACCTTCGCGTCTACACCATCTGGCGTGCCGAGATCGCGCACTTCCGAAGTCAGAACATGGCCTACCGCAAAACAGGTACGGAATGGGAGATCCTCGGCGAGCTCGCATTGCGTCTATTGCACAAGGACGAAGCCCGTGACGCGTTCCAGCGATGCGTCGACGTCAAGTTCAGCGCCAAAGCGTACTTGCGGCTGTTGGAGATCTACACGGAAGCGAGGGATGTACAGCGAGGGTTGTGGACCGCCATCAGGTTGACGGCGTACCATCACAGGTGGTACATGGAGGGAAGTTTCCCGGGAGCGGTGGCGACGAGTCTGTTCAAGTTGATCAAGTCGGAAGGGTTGGCCAAAGTGAGCTATACCTTGGTGTCGATGAGTCCACCGCCGGCGATATTGAGGTTGATGCAGAACTACTTTGCGTATGCCACGGCGTTCAAGGTGCCTGGTTACGACTTTTGAAAGACGGAGGGGCAGAAGGAGGATTTTAGGGCAGCAGTGTGTTACCGGCGGTCAGATGTCGCGCAACAATGCATTTCATCCTCACGACACCGATATCTCCCCAACTCAAGTGTGAAGGTCCGTTTGATGTGATAATCGGCTGGATAGTGCTGGAGCACGAGGACATGGTCATCACGTGCCGACTTAACCGCAACCAGCGTGGTGCCCCTCTCCATCGGGGAATTTCGGGACAGGTCAACCGAGCCGCTCTCGATCCAAAGCCTCCTCCATCTCCTCGACATGCATGCAGATGTACCGCGGTACTGCGATGTACGTCGTCCACACCATCCGTTCGGGTTGATGAGAGAGAGTCCCTGCATTTTGCATCGGCCATCACCGAAGTCAAAAGTTCCAGACCGTACGAAATCGGAGTTAAGGAACAGAAGAAGGCTTACGCTGTTTCCAGAAGGCGAAGACGAAATGACAGAAATCGGAGTCGTAAACAAGCGCGGCACTGGGACGTTCCGCAAAAGACGATGAGCAGCTTTGGAACGAATAGGGGAACGTCACGCGGAGAGAAGCCAACGCCTTCACGGTGGTTTGTGGAAAGGACTCGTCCGAATCACCGCCCCTGGGGTGACGGCTGTCTCGGCAATGGTTTCCGCTGGAATAAATGAATTTTGTTTCTTTCTTCTCGGGTGTTGATTTTCGGCTGGACCGCGCCAAGAGAAACCTTTTCCACAAGGTCGGACGTCGCGAGCGGCGGCTGCTCGGGAGGAGAGCGCAAAGGGTTCAATCCTTTTCGCGCTTGCGTAAATTTTTCTTGGCGCTACCACAACCCAAACACATGTCATCATAGCACAGCTTCTTGCCAGGCAGAGTGTCGATTTCTCGGCGATTTTTTCTTTTACAACCACCTCGTCAAGCGCTACTGCTGCACGTCGATCCCTTTTCCAACACAGTCAGGGTCACACACCACATGAAACGACCCCCTGTCAGCAACAGGAAAAAGTGAAGCATACCGGCTCTACACTCTGCATGTCGATCGTTTGACCGTCGCCGCATTTCCGATTCTTTCATCTCATGCAAAGCATGCATGTTGATGAGAAGTCGGACAGCGTTGATGGAGAAAGGCTCCGAAGATGCTAATTGGGAGCCGCAGAACGCCAGTTTCGTTATGAGCATGCTCCGTTCCATTTGGTGAGATCGACTGAAATGAAGTCAAATAGGAACCCCTTGGAGGGGCGAGTTTGTGCGTTGAGAGCTTCGGATGACAATTTGTACCAGGGATCGAAGCCACAGCGAGAAGCCGATGGCGTTGACGACCACAACGAGGAGCTGACTCGTCTTCGGTTAAACAAGGAAGTCGGCAGTCGGCACAGTGCGCATGGTCGCTGAGTTTCTTTGCTACAGCTACCCGTCAGCGGAAGAAAACACACTACTGACAGCCGCCACCGACTGCGTTCTCGGTCCGCTCTGTTGGTGGGCTGTGTTTGCGTCGATCTCCGTCCATGGCAAACAAGGCTTGGCGGAAGAGCCGTGTCAGATCGGATGCAGACCGAAACAGACTGCGAAGGGGTGGAGATCACGTATAACCATTGCCTGCGCCACTTGTATGTGCTCCTCGTTTCCGATACGTCCTTGTCACCACACCTCCAACAACCATCACCCGCGACCCGTGAGACAGCAACGTCGGCTCCTCCGATAGACTCAGCATACCCCTCCCCCGCTAGACTCTCAGCTGTTTGACGCCTCGATAGACGTTTCGGACCGTTCACCTCTCCCTTCATCACCTTCAAAGCGCATACACCCCCACACCTCCTCTCTCTTCACAGCTGGGACATTATGAGGACCTTGTCCACGGCCACTGGTGCAGTGGCAATGGTGCTCGCAGCAACCACCACTACCATCGTATCTTCCGCCAGCATCCCCCTGACCAGCACGCCACCTGTAGACTACTCCCTCTTCCGTCGCTCCGTCACCGCCTCCGCTTCCGCCCTCGCCAACGCCACCTACGACTACGTCATCGTCGGCGGCGGTCTTGCGGGCCTCGTCGTGGCGAACAGACTCTCGGCCAACCCCAACATCTCGGTCGCCGTCATCGAAGCCGGTTCCTCAGGCTACGCCGACAACGCCAAATTCACCGTCCCCTCGGCCAACCTCTACGACTCCTCGGTAGGAACAGAGTACGATTGGCAGTGGAAAACCACTCCCCAACCAGGACTGTCGGGAAGGTCGGCACCTTGGCCGAGAGGTAAAGTGCTGGGTGGAAGTTCGGCCATCAATGGACTGTACTATGTACGCCATAGCGAGATCGAACAGAACGCGTGGGCAGACTTGATCGATGATGAGCAGGATTGGACTTGGAGCAAGATGTTGGATGCCATGAAGAAGAGCGAGACTTTTACGCCGCCGAACCAGGCAACGAGACAGAGCGTCAGTGTTCCGTTTGATTCGAGTTCACATGGAAGCGATGGTCCGGTTCACGTCACTTATCCCGAGACGACGTATCCTCAGGTGGGCGCGTTCTTGCAATCGACGGGGAACGTCGGTATCGCTCAGTCTCAGAATCCTGACGCGGGTCAGAGTTGGGGTGCGTTCCTTGCTACGAGCAACATCAACCCGACCAACTGGACAAGAAGCTTCTCCCGAACCGCGTATTTGGACCCCGTCACCGAACGAAGCAACCTCGACGTCTTGACGGGTCATCTGGTCACCAAAATCACCTTCAACTCGACTAGCGACCCCGAAGGAGCTGTTGCGTCCGGGGTCGAGTTCAGCGCCAGCAGCGGTGCCGCAAGTTCGGCCGTGTACGCCAGAAAGGAAGTGATCCTTTGTGGCGGTGCGGTGAACGATCCTCAAATCTTGCAGTTGAGCGGTATCGCCGATGCCTCGCTGTTGAGTAGCCTGGGGATCGACCAAGTCGTCGATCTACCTGGAGTCGGTTATCATCTGCAAGATCACTTGTCGACCGGTGTCGTCTTTTCTCCTTCCAGTTCGGCCACTATGCCACCTACGACGGTCACGGGCAATAGGGCTACGGACTCGTACGTCAACAGCGCCATCGCGTACGTCTCGGGTTCTACGATCTTTGGCCAAGACCAATGGTCGTCGTTGATCGAGCAGATGCAAAGCAATCGCGATGCATCGGTGGAAGCATACGACGCACCTGCGGCGGTGAAGGCTGGATACAATGCGACGTACGCTGCCCAGGTGGAAAAGTTCTTCCCGACGGAGATCGGACCGATCGAACTGCTCTTTGCGCTGTCCTTCGGCGGTGTTCAGGTTCAAGCTGCATTGCAACATCCTCTATCCCGAGGCAGCATCCGGATCAACTCGACGAACCCCTTCACGCCACCCTCCATCGACCCAGCATACCTCTCCAACCCCGCCGACATGACCATCCTCCGCGAAGGCTTCAAACTCGCGCGTCGCGTCGGCACCACCGCGCCGCTCTCCACCTTCACCTCGTCCGAATCCGCCCCCGGCTCGTCCGTGTCGAGCGACACCCAGTGGGAGTCCTGGATCCGCAGCACGGTGGGTACCGAGTTCCACCCGAGCTCAACATGCTCCATGCTGCCACGCGAGCTCGGCGGAGTGGTGGACAAGAACCTCCGCGTGTACGGCACCAAAAACCTCCGCGTCGTCGACGCAAGTGTTCCGCCGATCAGCTTCAGCGCCCACCTCATGAGCATCACCTACGGCCTCGCCGAGCTCGGCAGCGAGATGATCCTCCAGGACTACACGCAGGGCATGGTCGGCACCACCAACACGACTGCTGCTAGCGTCGGCGGTGGCGGTCGAGGCGGAAGCTCCGGCAGCGGTAGGACAGGTGGCACGGCGGGCGGCGCAGCAGCAGGTGGCACAGCAGGTTCGACAGGTAGCACCAGCGGCGCTCCCGCTTTTGCGCCAGCACTGGTCGCATCGTTGACCGTCGCCGTCTGCGCCACCGCTTGCCTTGTCTAGAAGTAAGAACACTTTTTCGCTCTTTTTGCACACAACTCTTTCGGAACACCACTTTATGCATTTTTGCTCAATGAACAATATTTCTGCTCGCTCTTGCCTCAACGGCCTTTGTGTGGCCCAGCGTGTGTCTGTGTGGCTGTCAGTGCATCTTCCTGATCTGCCCCTCTCATCACGCTGTTTTCTCATTGTTCCACACACCTCCGCAGAGTGAAATCAAAGGAAAATGCATTCATCGCTCCTCTTTACAAGACGGTCTCGTTGCTCTCGTACCTCCTGTACGTGTAGCCGAGGAAAGCGAGGTCCTTGCTTCCGACGCCGATGTCTGCGCCCGCCGGTGTCTCGGGCACGTCCTGGTAGTCTTCTGTGGGGAAGTAGCTCGTGTCGGTGATGCTCTTGAGCTGCGGGATGAAGGGTGCGTCGATCTGACGGATGGTGGACCAGTCTACTCCGGCGAAGAAGGGGTGGTCTTTGATCTCGGTTGCGCTGTTGCGACCCAGTCGGTTCTCGGGAGCGGTGATGAGTCGACGGATCATGTCTTCGGCTTCGGGCGAGAGGTGAATGTCGTCTGGGAACTGAAGCGTCTCACGCCACGCCAAGATCTTGCGGTAGGTGTCGTGCGCGTTTTCGGAGCAGAAGGGCGGGTAGCCGCAGAGACACTCGAACATGATGGCACCCAGACTCCACCAGTCGCATTCGTTGCCGTAGCCTTGCTGCAAGAAGATCTCGGGCGCAATGTAGTCGGGCGTTCCGACGGTCGAGTAGGCGAGCTTCCTTCGGTTGGCTTTCCAGGTAGCGATGGTGTCCTTGGACGACAGGGTGAGGTTGATCGAGTTGACCGCGACCGAGTTGCGGCCCGTCTGAGCAGGGTTCTGACCGGCGGTTCCCTCAAACAGACGCTGGTAGTAGGCCGAGTCGTGCTGCTTGTGGAAACCCGTGGAAAGACCGAAATCGGACAGCTTGATGTGGCCCTTTGCATCGATGAGGATGTTGTCTGGCTTGATATCACGGTGAATGAAGCCAAGCTTGTGAATGCCTTCGAGCGCGAGGACACACTCGGCCATGTAGAAGCGGGTGACGTCTTCAGAAAAGGTGTCGTACTTGATGAGCATGGTCATGAGATCTCCTCCTGGCAAAAACTCCATGAGGAGATAGAGGTAGGCGGTATCCTGGAACGAATAGTAGAGCTGGACGACCCACGGCGAGTTGCTCTCGGCAAGCACATCTCTCTCTGCTCGAACGTGAGCCAGCTGGTCCTTCTTGAACATCTCGCTCTTGCGCAACGTCTTCATGGCGTAGATCTTGCCCGTGTCGGTCTTCTGGACGAGTCGCACCTCACCAAAGGCGCCCTTGCCGATGACCTTGACGGTTCGGAAATCGTCCAAGCCGAGCCTGGTTCTGCGTAGACGCAAGAAGTTGGACTCGCGGCGGCCAAGCTGTGCGAGCTGACGCGCTTTACGCTCGTCGGAGAGGTGTACGCCGTCGGGTGGGTTGGTGAGACGGTCCTCGAGCTCGGCAGCGCGCTTGATACGCTCTACGGCCTGCTCCACGTAGACCTTGTAGAAGTTTTCGAGCTTGAGCTTGGCGCCTGTGGCAGCCTCTATGGTGGATTTTTGCATGCCGTTTGTCGAGCGTTCAAAGTAGACATAGTCTGCGGGCTTGTCGTTGGAAAGATTTGGCGAGGTTGACCCACCGGCTTGAGTGTACTGTTGTTGTTGCTGCTGTTGCTGATGGGCCTGCTGTTGCTGTTGGTAGTATTGCTGTTGCTGCTGTTGTTGTGAGTAGGTCTGTGCTTGACCGTATTGTGGGCTCCTTGGCGCGGCGTTGAGAGGACGGGCGGAAGGGGAAGGAGATCTGTTGATGGGCGAGCCACCTGGCGCACGCTGCATGTATCCTGAATTTGGGGCTTGAAGACCGTGGTGTTGTTGGGAAGCGGCGATCTGCTGCTGCTGAAGCTGTGCAGCTTGCGACATGGCGGGGTGCTGGAGTTGAGAGGGCGGCGCTTGAGCCTGTGCTGCGATGGCAGCCTGGTGGATCTGCGCCTGGAGGTGAGCAGGACCTTGGTATTGTTGTGCGGCGGATGCTTGTTGTGCGTAAGCTATTACGCCATAGCGGATCCGATAGAAAGCACAGGATTGAATCAGGTCAGATGAAAGAAGTGAGTAGGTGAGAAAGGAGGGAGAGACAACATACCTTGACTTTGAGCAAAGCCGCCTTGACCAGCAGCACTGTAACCGTATGCGACGGGGCTGTGGTTGTTTGCCGGGTTCATGTTGTATCCCATAGGAGCAGCATATTGAGCGCCATATGCCATCTGGTTGGTGGGCTGTTGCACCTGGGGAAGCGCACGGGCCTGTGGGAGCTGGGAGTGACCCGACTGGGGCGCGCCGTTGCGGTAAGCCATTGTCGAAAGCGGGAATAGGGGCTACGGCGTCAATGCTAAAGATCCGGAGCTCGAGGACGGGTAAAAAGTGTCGAGTTCAATGTGAGCGCGTGATGGAAGATGAAAGAGAAGTGGCGAGGAGAGCGCAGCGGAAGCGCTACAGAAACGTCGAGGCTGATTCTGAGCGGTGATAGAAAGGCCAGTCAGTCGGTCGAGCGGGCGTAGAAAAGGGGATGGTAAGAACGCGCAGGCAGCGAGCGAAGAAGCAAAAGCAAGTAAGAATGCATGCAGCTTGACGGAGGAGCCGACGACACCCTCACGCTTGACACTTGACGCAGACACAGACGCAAACGCCGAGGCCGTGGCAAAGCTTTCTGAGCTCGTCTGTCGTTTCTTCGGACGCCAGCGCGGTACAGCGTAGTGACAGCGCAATCTAGAACTCACAATTTGAGCCAATCTGAGCCGATTCCACCAAAAGTGGCACAAGGCGCGCGTAAAGCGTGGGAGAGTGTGTGCGTGTGTGTGCGTTGGCGCTTGTCTCGGCTGGCAGCGCAAAAGGCCTTGCGTTGCGCTGTGCTGGCTCGAAACGGAAAAGCCGAAATTTCAAGTCACTCAGACCAACACTCGCGCGCACGAACAACAAACACCCTTGGATCACCCGCCTCACATCACAGACACAATCACGAGAGCACACGACGCCGTCGCAAAGCCGGCTGCGATCATCAGCTTGGTCACTTTTCGACCACACCTACCGATCATTGAAACTTGGTCCACGATATTCTCACAGACGCAAACACAAGACTACTCCTCTCGCTGCCAGGCTGCTTTCGGAATGGACAATCGACGAGCATCGTCAGCCGGCACATCCGGCATCCCACAAATGCGCTCGGGCATCCCGAGACCAGGAGGAGCTGCAACAGCCGCCAACGGTGGTGGCGGCAATGCCGAATCCGCGATTCCGCGCCCTTCCTCGCGAATCGGTACAGCTGGAGCTGCGAGCGGCGCGGGCGGCCGAGTAGCGAGCGGTCCCATGGGAGCATATCGGCCTTCGTCCGCTGCTGGTCGGAGCTCTGTTGGCGGCGCTGCATCAGGACCGTCCTCGATGCTGCTTCGTCAAGCACCTGCTAGTGCAGCACCCACCACGCGAACCTACTCTGGTCTCGCAAACCGCATCAGCACGCTCTCGGCGCGTCCGCTCGACCCGAATACCTCCATCAACATGCTAGGCGACGATATCTCTTCTGCTTCCATCCTCCTCGACACTTCCATCGGCGGCCCACGCGCAGGTGCAGCACACAAGCGCTCCGTTTCTGCGGCAGGCATCGGTGGCGACGAGAGTATGTCGTTCAGCAGCAACCCCATCAAACGACCTCACTTGCGCAAACTCAGCATGGATGGCACCTCGCCCCTCCTTCTTCAAGCCGAACTGCATCCCGCCAGCACACCCCGTCCCGAATCACCAGCTTACGAGATCGCAGTGCTTCGTACACACTATGATCAGCAGCTCCTCGCAGAGGATCGCAAATACAAGAAGCTCGAGCAGGACTACGAGGCCAAATGCAAGGAACTCGATCGATTCAACCGCCAACGCGTCGAGCTGCTTGACGAATGGGACAAGCAGCAGGAGACCACCAGGTCGAAGGAAGCGGAATGGACGTCGAAGCGTGCCTCTCTTGAAGACGAAGTCGTCCGTCTTCGAAGCAGCAATTCCGAGCTGACTCACCGCAACGACGAGCTGTCGTCCGAATCCTCCTCACAAGTCTCGGAACTTCGTGCCAAAGTCACCTCGTTGGAATCGGATCTGGCCAAATCGCGTGCAGAAGCACAAGCCGCCACGACCAGAGCGAAAAGGTTCGAAGACGAAGTCGGAGCCAACAAGGCCGAGCTCGAAGATCTTCAGAACGCGCTCGAGGAAGAACAGCGTATGCGCATCCAACAGCTTGACGAGGCACGGCTCGGTGGAGCCGAGTCGGGGGCCAAGATCGCAGAAGAGTTGGCGAGGCAGACCTCGCACCTGCGAAAGCTCGAAGCCGAGAACGCGCATCTCACTGCCGAGAATGGAAGGCTTTCGCATCACGCTAGCAACGTCGAGCTGCTCAAGGAGGAGAAGCGATCGCTGGAGGCCAAGCTCCGTACGCTCGACGCGTTGCGCGACCAGCTCGCGGCTGCCGAGACCCAGGTGGCCGACTTGCAGGACAAGCAAGCCAACTGGGACACGCTGTTGAGGAACGGACTGGAAGCGGATGTAGAAGCTGCATTCGCAGCTGCTGCCAACGTAGATGGTCCGTTGCCCTCCGTGACCCCGCCCGAGACAGTCGATCGGAACACGCTTCCCAAGTACCTGTCCACGCTGCGTGGAACCGTGTCCGGGCTGGAAGCACGCTGCAAAGCTGTGTCCGCCAGCGTCGAGAAGCTGCGCGCACGAAACCTGACACTCGAAGAGGAAGCCAAGGATGTAGACGCCAAGGACCGCAAGACGTCGCTCCAGCTCACTGAGCTGCAAACGAACCTTGCTCGAGCGCAAAAGACCGAAGTCCGGCTCAACGACGAGATCTCGCGACTCAAAGCCATGCTCTCCTCCTACGAGCAGGAGGAACAGAACCACAACTCGACGTCGTACTCTGCAGCCCACGCGCAAAGGATCAGCCTGCTCGAGGGCGAGCTCGAAAAGGCGAAAGCGGAAAACGTCGCGTTGAGCGAAGAACTCGAAACGGTCTCCAAGAGTCTTGCCGAGAAGGAGAGCAAAACCGAAGGCGACGTCGATGGGGAACAAGATCTCGCTGCGAAACTTGGATCCCTCCAATCGGAAAAGACGGCACTCGAGACCAAAGTTTCCGACCTGGAGAGCAGCATGTCCGGCCTGACCCGGGAACTGGAATCGCTCGGTAAAGAGAACGAGATGCTGTGGTTGCGGGTAGGACGCGGCGAGTTCGATCAAGAGCGACAGAGATGCCTCGTGCTAGCCTCAAACCCGGTTTCGAACGATCTCGACGTCCGACGCAAGACCATGGAAGCGCTCAAGGCGGAGAACGCATCTCTGCTCTCACGCGTCGAAGAGCTTTCCGCGCTCGTCTCCACCTCCTCTTCTTCCGGTCCCACTTCCAGCAGCCAGGCGTTGATACCTCAGAGTGTCGTCGACAACCTGCGCGCCGATCTCTCCGCGCTCCAGGTATCCATCGAGTCCAAAGACAAAGCCATGCTTCGACTCAAGCAGGTCTTCTCCGCCAAAGCCAACGAGTTCCGGGAAGCCATTCAGTCGCTCTTCGGTTACAAGGTGAAGTTCCTCGAAAACGGCAAGGTGAAACTCACTTCGACGCACAATCGTTCGTCGAACTCCACCTCGCTGGTGTTCGAAAGCGAAGGTGGAAATGTGGGGAGGATGAAGTTGATGGGAGAGGCGGTCAAGTTCCCCGGATTGGTGGATGTGAAGGGATTGAAGGAGTACTGGTTGGCGGAGGGAGGGGTGAGGCAGAGCGTGCCGTGCTTTTTGGCAGCGTTGAACTTGGAGTTGTACGAGAGCTGTACGATGGCTGTTAGGAAGAGCAAGTTTGACGGTCAAGGTGATGAGGAGGAGGAAGAGTAGACAGTTGATGAAGAGATGCGCACCAGTTGTTCAACATTATGACTATTGTACAAATAAGATCACCACCACCACCTTGTATTTCTAGACCTCGACTACAAAAGCCCGATCTCAAGCTTACACAGTTCAACGATCGAACGATAGCCCAGCCAATCCGCTTCGTCCATCACCTCGTGAAGTCGACAACGCAGTTGCAACTCAAGTGCGTCTGATCGAATCGAGGAGACGGAAGACGCCTGTAGACGATAGGGTAGCTTGTGGCTGCGAAGGATGTCGAGGATGTCGCGGTAGAGGTCGCCGTTCCGGTCGAGGAAGACGTGTAGAGGAGGCGGAGGCGTCGTGTGGGATTTCGTCGATGGTGTGGGAGCGCGGGAAGGTGCTGTGTTGAGACGCAGTGCTTGCTCGTGGCCCTGGATAACGACGCTATTGTGTTCAGACCGGCTTGAGGCAGCAGAAAGTTCACTGGTGCGACTCGTCGATACGTCCGAATCGGTGGGACAAGAAGTCGAGGTGGACGGCGATGTGCGCGACGTCGTTCCATTCGCATCCATGGCTGACACCTTCGTCGCGACGACGTCGGGATGTGAGTCGGAATTTTCGATGATCGGCGCACTCTGATCCGAGTCCGATCTCTCGTGAAGGGCTTTTCTCGTCGACGTGTCGACACGCTTGCGCCGAGTCAGCTGTGTATTTTTGCAAAGAGACAATTCTGTGTCGAGCTCGTTCGGATCGGTGTTCGAAGATTGTAGAAGCTCGAGAAGGCGTGGCTCGTCGCCGTGAGCGCCCTGAAGAGTTGAGACGAGGGTGACTAATGTGGTACCCCCGATGTCGAGCACCACTTGCGATTGATGCTGAGGCGGTAATGCTCGACGCAGCGTTACATCCGGTTCTGAAGTTTGCGGACGTGACGCTGATCCTGATTTGCTGTACACATTTGTCAAGACGGCTGAGTTTCGACGGGCCTCGCAGCTCGAGTCGCTGGCTGAGCTGGGCGAAGAAGGACTTGCCTCTACGGAAGACCTGTCAGCATCCGATGGCTGAACAGATGTCTCGGAATCCGAGTCCTTCAGAGGCGGTGGCGGCGGAAGGTCCGATTTCGGCGGAGGCTTCTGCGGTGGCAAGCAATGAGCCTTGATGAAAGCCTTGCGTGGAGGAGACTCGGCAATACCATGCGAGCGCGTGATGCGGCCGTAGCTCGAGGTACTGGCATGATCACTGACAGTGCTTGGTGGGGGGCTGTACATGGCTTCCCAGGCAGTCTGAACTGCATGTTGGTCTGTAGTGATGGGGTGCTCGGGCACTGGCTGACAGGTCGACTTCGGAGAAACGGAAGTGTTGCTAGGTCTGCGGCTCATATCGAAGCGAAGGGTAGACAGGGATTGCGACTTGCGCAGAACCTCGCCCTTGATCGAGACAGCGTCGGCAGGAGCGCAATACGGGGGTGGATCGTTGAAATGATGTCTTGAATCGATACGAGATGTCGTCACGTTGACGGAATTATGGCCAGCATGTGAAGTGTGTGGGCGCTGCTCAGACTGCTTCAAGGTCGTCTTTTTCTTATCTGATTGCTTGCTGCGACGTCGAGAGGCGCCTCCCTGAAGACCCAGAATCAGGTCCCGATCAGCTTCCTCAGCCGCTCGATACTTGCCCACGCTTGAATGCAGGCAGAGGTCCGAGGGCGATGGACGGTGGCCAAATACGGCTCGACGAGGGAGAGGACTCAAGCTGTCGCTGGCGGAGAGATGGCCTGAAGCAGCATTTTGTTGCTCACTCGTTCGCTTACCGGCTTGGATAAAGTCACTGACATGCTGTTCGGAAGACTTCATGTTGATGCTGTTGGATGGAGTTCTGCTGTGACGTCGCTGCTTGAATAGACGGGTGGCGGTACCGATGGCAGCAAGACGAGCTCGCGTCGATACGCTCGAGAAGGAGAGATTGGCTGCTTCAAGCCTTTCCTCGTCGTCAGAATCGTCGAATTGGCTTTTGAACTGGGGTTGCGATCGCAGAAGGTCATCAGAAGGACCGAAATCAGGAGAAATGGGCATCTGGGATCCAAGAGTGTTGCTTCTTTGGCGCTGATGAGCATAAGCCAAGTCACTGGGCTCCACTGAATTTTGAATATGAGTTGAAGCTGCGCGAGGAAAGCTGTTCTGCATACTGTCAAACTCCGAAATGCATCGAGTTCGAGTCTGTTCGTGGTCTTGAGGCAAGTGGTCTGGAGTGGACACATATTGTTGAGGTGGAGCTGGAGCGCGCCTAGAGGAGGCGAAGCTGGACGAAGCAAAGGGGTGCACCACCCTGGAGTAGTCTTGCGAAGGCGAAGAGGCTCGAACGGGCTCCTTCACGAGCTTTGGAGAATTGTAAGTCGGCTTTGGTGGATGGTGTGTATTGGTGGATAGCGATGCGACAGATGAGAAGCGACTTGAGACGGACGACATACTGTCGAATGCACTGAAGCGGACTACCGCTCTCTATCGCCTGTGTTTAGCGCAGTGTTTCTATCAAGCGGTGAAGGTGGCGGCGAGGGTACAGACTAGCAGGCACGGCATGCAAGAGGATCAGCGGAGTTGACAAGCAGACACGGTTGCCCGTGATCTGTATAGTGGGTATGTGTTGGTTGTGGAAGTCAAGGCGCGGAGATCGATTTGAAGGTCTTTGAATGAGTGGTCGAAGCGAGAGCTGCCCATGTTGAAATGATGAAAGGAGCAAGGGGACCCCTTTGTTCATTTGTTGCAACGCATTGTCCCACCCAACTCACGATCTTATGTACCGTAGCTCCTGCACCTGAGGCCAATTCAGATTCAGATGATCAAAGACACTCAACACGAGCGTCGAGCGAGGTCGAGTGCGACGTGTCGCTATCGCGCCAGAATGGGTTGTTGCGAGCGTCGGATTACAACAGCAAGCTTTGTTCGGATTGGTTGGTTGTATTCCGCTTTGCCTGAGGCACACAAAGCTCGCTTTTCAGGACGAGCCCATCCCTGGACGACCGTTGCGAGATGAAGTGGTAGTCACTGGAGCGAAGCCAACAGCAACGACGTCGGGCGGTCTGAGACCGGGCGGAAAGAAGAGACCGAGATGGAGTGAGCCAGATGAAGCGGCATGCTTGACAGGTCGCCGGGCGCGGCTGCTGATGTAGACCGATTGCTTCATCGCAGATGCTCACAGACGGTGGCCGAGGTCTGCGAGTAGATGGAGAAGTCGCGGCAGATGAAGGTCCATCGGTGCTCGTTATCGTGATGTTATTTGGCCCTCCTCGCCCGGCACATCGGACCCTGAGGAAAAAAGGGGGCAAACAGCTAAGTTGGGAAGAAGGAGGTTATATATGTTTATCTGTTGCTGCGCATTGTTCCTCGCTGCCCAAGCATAGCTCAGCACAGCTCAGCATTAGCGGTTCTAGTCAGCCGTTGACTCAGCCAGACCTTGAACGATGAATGATCGAGCGAGGCGCCACAGCAGAGGTGGCTGGCTCCATGCTATCACAGTTGAATCAGCATGAGGTGGCCGATCCGCGTGAGATGACTGTTACAGTGTACGAAACAACATAGCCGACTCGCAGACTGTGCGTGTCTCGTCGGGTACTTTTCGAAACATCACACAAATCACCGCGGCTTAGCCTTCAGGGTTCTATTGTGCGTGGAGCGGCGCACCGGCAGGCGGGCAGCCAAGAGCGGAACTCAGCCTTAATTTCACACCCGCAGCCATCCAATCGCTGACCGCACACGACTCAGCTAGCCACCTCCACCATCCCCTAACCCTCCATCTCGATCCTTGACTCCTGCACGACGATGACGCTTCTCAGGGCGCCGCTGCCTCTGCGCCCTGGGGCGCTGATGCCATCCCTGCAGAGCATCAGCCAGTCTGCCGCCATCACGCCGTCCATCCATCCGCTCGCATTCGCCACGCCATCTTCACGGTCTGCCATCGCTCCAACGCCTTGCGGCAGCAGAGGCTATTCGAACCTTGGTTCTATCGAGAGATCCGACTTCTATCAGGCAGCAGAGGCGGAAGGTGTATCTCCCTCTCAGTTCAAGCGCAACATCCTCAGGGACAAGGACGTCTTGCTCTCTGGACTCCCCACCACGGCCACTCCAGCTGATATTCGCGCTCTGGCACGCGAGTCCAAGACGGCCAACGACGTTGCTCGCATCGAATTCATCTACACCAGAGCGTTGCGTCCCACCGGCAAAGCGCTCGTGTCCATGTCCAGCCATGTCCGTGCTCGCGCCTTCGAAGCAGATGCGCACGGTCGCATCGTGGGTGGCAGGATGGTCGCCGCCAACCTCCGCTCCACCGATGATCGCAAAAGGTTCTTCCTCCGAACATACGGCGATTGGCCTGCATCCTACCAGATTCCCTTTGATCTCATCGAGTACGAAGCCGGCAAGCTCGTCCTTCTGCGCAACATACCCAAAGACACCTTCGAAGCGCGTCTCGAGGAGCGTCTAGCCAATCGCTACGACATCAAGCCTCAGGATCGATGGCGCGCAAAACGATCGTCCTATGCCGGATATCTTCACGACAGTAAGGGCTATGGCGGCAGCCACGACGCCGTTCTTGGTGGTGTGCTCAAGCTTGACAAGCTGCACGCCGATGCTACCACAACCAGCTTTATTGTCCGCTGCCAGACCCCATCAGAAGCAATGCGTCTGGTCAGGAGATGGCACAACACCTACTTCGCGCCCGCGACCTTCGACATCCAAGATACCGGCGGACGATACCGTGTCTCGGCGTCCATTCTCTACTAGTCGATACCCCGGATTCCCATCAGTATACGTTGCACACGACAACACGAGCAACATTCAAAAAGGTGAGTCGACGTCTTCAGCCCACGTCCACCACAGCGATCAGAGCGTCCGCAGTTCCGCTCGTCCGACAGCGCTTTCTCTCCGCGACGAAGCTATCCGTGAGCCGAGTCTCGAGTTGCACCGTCCTTGATGATCGAAACCAGTGCACAACATACACACGCGCACCACAAAGAGTTACCTCTTCGCCGCTTCCTGCCTCCCACATCGCCTGGTACCGCCGCATCGCACCTCACCGATGGGCTGTTCAGAGCTTCGTGGAGGGAGTCGTCTCGATGCGGATTGCGTTCGGTCTCCCTTGGTTCCTTGGCATTATTCCTATTCCACAGCAGCAGCAGCGGCAGCAGAGATCCGACCAAGAGGCCAGACCGAGCCCCCTTGCCTTTTCCCTCACTCAACCTTGTCTAGATCAAGATCAACAAGACCGGGGGAAGCGCGGGAGTCAGCCATCTACAGCGAGGCGAGATCCCGTCGTCGATCGGTAAGCTATGCCGCACGGCAGGCCCAATCGGCGGCGTGGACCGCAACCCTACTGAGAAAAAGGGTGCGCCCAGGTTGGCCTTTCAGGTCGGCCGAATGCGCTGCGGGGTTGGCCTGTGATCCGGATCTCCTTCGTCGAGATCCAGGGGAAGGGTTGACCGCTCGTCGAGTCAGAGCCGTGTGCGTGTTTGGTGTCCCAAATCTGTCTTTCCGCGTCTCTTGAAGCTAGTTGGTTCAGCGATGGACCGACGGTGAATGAAACGACTGGAAGGCTTGCTTTTGTGCGCTGAACTCGACCCGGATCTCGACCACCTCCACTGTACAGACTGAAGAACGATGTATGACGACGTGACGACCATCCGACCCCCGACGATGAACATGAAGATGAAGATGAACGTTGGCGAGCGACAAAGTTTTGGATTTCGTCAAGCAGGTGTCCGCATCAGTCGGCTGTTCTGGCTCGGACCCCATTACTTCACCCCAATGCAAGGTCATTTGGAGAGCCTGGGGCCGGCTGATGTGCGGCACTCTGGCTTCGACTGGCTGTTCGATCGACTTTACGACTGGCGTGCTAGCTCCCCGTGCGGACCTCCTACGATATCTCTCCTCTTGACCTCAAGAGCCTTGAAGACAACGAGAAGACAGACGAACAGTGGAACGATCTGCTGTGCTCCCCCCTTGAGCGCTCTCCCAAGACATCCGCGAGGAGCAACAGTCGCTCGGCTTCAAAGCCAGCTTCTTGCCCTTTCAAGGATGCTTGTGGAGTCGTCGTCGTCCGATTTGAAGCCCTCAAGCGGCGATCTACCCTATCGAGTGTTTCAGGATCGACTGGTGCAGCTCTGACAGCTCCGATGAACCGACTCGTACGACCGAAAACGACCTCTCAAACTTGCCTGCCTGCCTGCTTGCTATGTTTCGAGACGCTATATTTGATTAACCGACTGCCCGAAAGGAACGACTGTATTCTGCTCTGGCGACCCGCGTTGGAGCAGTCTGCACACCGAGTGCAGCCTGCTTTCATGGGTGGCTGCCGTCTTATCCTGCCAAACCGATTTGGTCCGGATAAGGGAACAGGCGATTAGAAAGACCTGTTGCTCCCACTCGGTCGCTTTCGAACGGCTCTTCGTCTGCTTCTCTGCTGCCTCTCTACAACCTGCTGCTGCTTCGAGATTCTTCACCTTACGTACTTCGCACACAAATCGTCACTTCCGGCATGTTTCACTGCAAGCGTTCGGCACCACTGTATGGACATTTGGGACCCTGGACAGCGAACCGCCTTGGCGACATGTCTTCCATATTTGTCCAGAACACGGGAGGAACGACCCGCGAAACTGCGGGTGGGGTTGGTCTGGAAAGTGTAGGAGGACTGGAAGGCGGCCTACGAGGTTGGTGCTTACACCTCTGCCAGAGACCATCGCATTCGCTGCGGTTGGACTCGTTGCGCAGTTTCAAACAGAACAGAGATCTGAGACGTCTTTTGCAACTCGATGACTTGGCGCTCAGCCGAGCGACTTTGAATTCGCTGCCGACGAAGGAAATTATGCGACGAGGATGACCCTGCTCGCTGTGGTTTGGACCGTTGGGGACACCCGACTCCTCGTCGATGACGACGAGATCTTACTGACACCCGTCTTGCCCTGCCTCGCGCTCAACAGCATTCACAAAAATAATTCAGAGGCACCGTCACACCTCACGGAGCACTCCGACTCATCCACATGCTTCTCCTGCATTTGTAACACTACTCTCTCATCACATGCGCTAAGGTCTGTCAAGGGAATCATATCATTTGACAATTGCATCTCTGAGTTTGTCTGCACTGATTCCTACCAAACAGCTATACAACTAGTGAAATTGAACATCGGACCATGATTGAGAAGCGATGATACACGTAAGCGACGCTACACATCCTCTTGATCCCTATAGTTGGCCATAGGATCCTCGCTGACGCCGGTAGCGTTACCTCTGTTGACGAGTCTGTAGGCTTCGAGCTGTTCCTCTGTGATATCCTCTGCAGCGTGATCTGCAGTACCGGGGTGGTGTTTGGATTTAGCGTTGATGGCTTCGGCGTCTTTGAGCCAGTCGGGTAGAGCGTCGTAGCGCTGCTGTTTCTCCTTTGCCAGTTTGGCGGCGAGGACGGGATCGTGCTTTGCGCGTTCTTCCAGGATGGCAGCTGAAAGCTTTTGTTGGTCGAGACGGGAGGTGACGTCTCCGGAGCCGAGGTTCTTGCGTGATGTGTAGCCGGATGGATGTGAGGGGGAAGGGGAACGACGGGATTTAGAGGATTGGTGATGGCGATGTCGTCGTTGACGGTGGTTGCGATGGTGAGACGAGGGGGACGAGGTGGAGTGGTCGGAAGGTGTGATGGATCGAGATCGCGAAGTCGAGGCGGAAGAGACAGATATTGATCGACCTCGTTTCCTGCGGTGACTACCTCGCTCTTCGTCCTTCTCTTTTAGCTTGACCTCCTTGTTGACCTTCTCGCTCGGCAAAAACGTCGCCTTGCTAGCCTCGATCCCAGCCTCTCCTGTACAATAACTATTCCAAACCATCGACCTGCAACACGCATACCCCCATCCACCAACCTCAACATCGTACCAGCTCCCCCAAACCTCTGTATGGTTGTTCTCCATCACGCCTTCCTCCCACTTGCTCTTCGGCGTAACCTTTTCCAAGCCTTTGACAACCTTGCCTGCCTGGTTGTACTCGACGTACTGTTCCGTTTGACCGGTCAACAACTCCCTCGGCAACGAATCAAAGTGTTCTGCTCCGCCGTACTTTTCCAATATGCTTCCCTTGGTTTCATCGCGAAGCTTCTCCTTGCGTTGTTGGAACTCTCGATACTGACGTTCGTTGGCGGTGGGGTTGGCTTGTAGGTTGAGGTCGTTTCCTCTGGCTTCCGCTTGCCAGCTGAAGAGCTGGAGGTTGGCGAGTGCTCCTGATTCGGAGCCTTGGGCGCGGGCGAAGTTGTCGCCAGCGTATTCGGCGTCTTCGGGACGGATGTTGGGGTTGGGTGCTTCTCGCATGGTTCGCGTCTTGGGATCGTAGTAGGCCGAATTGACGTCGAGATTGTAGAGGTACTTGGCACGGTCTTCGCGAATGCGGAGGTTGCGGATGGTCATGCGTTTGTCGGTGTCGACCTTTTGTCCGACTGCATCCGCTTTGTCTGCGTACTTTTCGTCGTCGCTATCGTCTGAATCAGACGAGCTGAAATCGAGATCGTCGGCATCGCCATTTGCTTTGGATTTGGTTTGCTTCTGCGCAAGACGCTTGGCGTGCTTCAAATCTGACGAAGTTTGGTTGTCGATCTGCTCCTCTTTGAGTCGTCTACGTTCCTGTTCAATGGCTTCGAATTCCTCGACGACCTTTTTGTGTTCAGCAGGATCGTATCCATTCCACCGATCTCGTTTGGCTGCATAATCCAACCCTTGCACTTCTTGCAACATGTGGTCTCCAGCCAAGGTCTTGCCTAGCTTCTTTGCACCTTTCTTGCGCGGTCTCTCCAGGCAGTCCTTTGTCTTGTGCGACATGGAACCGCAGTTCTCGCATGCACCTTTGCGGAACTTCTTGGGCACGGCGGCATCCTGCGTTGAAGAAGAGGAAGAAGCGCCACGCTGATACCAATCGTTGATACCGGCTTTGACGGCGTATGGATCGACTGGCTTCTTTTGATGCTTGAGCGAGCGCGAACCAGTGTCCATGTACCATGGTGCTTGAGCCATGTACGAGGGAACGTGTGGGTTGATGATGTTGCCATCCTCGTCGAGCTCGGCGGGTGCACGACCGGCTTTACGATCTTCCTCGAGGTCCTTTTGACGACGGAACTCGGAACGAGAGAGTTTTCCAGGCGGGACGGCATTGCTACCGGATGCCGAGGCCGACATGATTGGCGGCGTGTGTGGATGGATCGTGTGCGAAGATGGTGGGGAGGAGGAGGTGGAGAAGAAGAAGAAGAAGAAGAGAAGAAGTAGGCTCAGTTGCAGTGAAATGTGGAGCTGCAAACTTGTGAGCGACGTAACAGACCGACACCAAATACTGCCAATTCCGCGATCCGAAGAACGCGCAATTTGGCGAATTGTGACAGCGGCGAAAAGAGTAGCAGAGCAGCAGTGTGAGTGCAAGGTGCTCAGTCTCGAGTGTGTCTGTCGTGACGCACAGATCTGAGATGTCGTCCAACTCTCGCATTCACCATCCATCAACCTTCTTGTTGCACTCGAGCATATCCGAGCTGACAATCCCGTTGACGAACGGAGCTCATCCTCTTCCACCCCACGAAGCTCGGTCCCGGTCATCGCGCCTTTTGCACTCGCGCTTCGTCAATCAGCAACTGGTCAACGTAAATGACGAAAAGCTAGCTACTCTCTCGAGTTCCCAGCCATGACGCCGCCATCGTCGCAGGCTCCTTCTTCCAATGGAGGCTTCCGCATCGCTGGCGTCGCTAGTCAAGCGCCTTCCGCATCAGCCTCAGCCTCAGCCTCAGCCTCAAATTCGGGTCCCTCATCTTCGCTGATGCCTTCGCCTGCAAATGCACCGCAGCCGCAGCCACCAAACGAATCTCCCAAGTCTCCTGTCAAGCTCGATAGGGAGAAGCACACATCTCATAGGGTACCCCCAAAACATGCCCATGCGCCATCGAGTTCCTCGCAGCCGAGGCACTGGCCTCAACGCTCACCTGTGATGCAGTCGCGATCCAGCCACAACTCGGCTGCTCATATCTCGAGGCACGACATTGACGACGACGAGGAAGAAGGCGCAATCGATGACAGCGCCGCTCCCAAGCCTGCTGCTGGGCCTTCCTCCCGACCGCCGCCTCCAAAGACTCCTCCACACCATTCCAATCCCTCGCGTTCTTCTGCAACCCATGGCCGCAATCCACCCGCCGATGAACGCAAGCATCACAGCCAAACGTCTTCCTACCAGCCTCGTTCACCATCTACGCCGCGTAGATCCTACCCATCACAGTCTAATCACCTCCGCAGTCCTTCACCTCCTGCATCATTCAATCGCTCTACCATCAAAGACCACGACATCAGCACATCTCGCCCTCACCCAGACGATCGACACCGACGTCCACAGCCAGATCGCGCAGATCACGACGTCTACCGTCCCTCGGCAACCGAGCATCGAGCCAGGGACGAACGATATCCGGCACCCGCAGGCGCACGTCTCTGGGGTCGCGCAAAGCAAGATCTTGTGCGAGCTTCCGACGACGACGATCGACGCCGCGATGACCGTGGTTGGGGCAACGATAGGCGTGGAGCCGAGAGGGCAGGTCGTGAATGGGATCGAGACTACGATCGACGCTACGACAGGGAAGAACGTGATCGCGGGTGGGACCAGCATCGAAACAACGAACGCGATCGCCGCGACGATTCGACGCGCGACAGGGATCTGATTCGAAATGGTCGAGACAGGGAGGTGCCTCCAGCTTCGATTGCCAGAGAGCAGCGATATGCTGGTTGGTCTCCTACACCACCGGATGCTCACCATGCCGATCCGTCTTCTAACGGCAACCACGACCCGCGACCCCCGTCGAGGATGGGTAGGGCTGCACCGCCGCCACCGCTGCTCTCGCATCCCGATCGCCAAGTCTCGTCCAACGCGCATCGTGATCCAGATGCGACCTCGCTGCCTAAACGTCCACGATCTCGCTCGCCGCCAGCAGGCTTGCTCAAACGCAAAGCCAACTTCAGTGCCGTTGTGCCACCCGCGTTGCCATCCGTCGTCGACAAAGATGCAGCTGCAGAGGGCGACAATGTAGCACCAGGGGCACCGCTCCCACCCAAGATCGAGACGATGCAATCACCTGTCCTCCCTGCTTCTTCATCACGTCTTGGATCCGAATCCCTTGCTCACACCGCCGCACCACCCAGTCTCCCCGGCTCCGCCCTCAACACGGTCTTCCAATCGAGTGCGGCCAACTCCACCTTTGCCACCAGCGTTGGTGGCGCCCCTACATCCGTCCCTGTCGACGCCAACTACCAAGCCACATGCGAAGCACTCGACGACTTCACCCTCCCCTCCGTCCGCCTATCCTGTCTGCCCCGCAAGCAGACCTCCTCCTCATCGTCACCTCCTACCTCTGGACGAGAACGACGCAGAGCTCGTGGAGCGTTGATCCCGCTCAATCAACGCAAATTCGTCGGCTGTTCGTCGCTCGACGACTACGAGATCTCGATCAAGCTCGGTCAAGGAACCTTTGGAGAAGTGCTCAAGGGTCGGCAGATCTTGACAGGGACGCAGGTTGCGCTCAAAAAGGTGACGATCCACGACGCCAAAGACGGATTGCCTATCACAGCGCTTCGAGAGATCAAGTTGCTCAAGAAGCTGAAGCACCCGAGCATCGTTCCCGTGATCGACATGGCTGTTCGCGCTAGTGGGGAGAGAGGCAAGCTGGGTGACGTGTACATGGTGGAGCCGTACATGGATCACGATCTCAACGGCATGTTGGAAAACCCTTCGATCAGACTCGAGCACAGCCAGATCAAGCTCTACATGAAACAGCTGCTCGAAGGAACGCTCTACCTGCACAAGAACCGCATCCTCCACCGCGACATGAAAGCCGCCAATCTGCTGATCAACAACAAGGGACAGCTGCAGATCGCCGATTTCGGTCTGGCTAGAGCCTACCGCGACCCGGGGCAGAGTTGGAAGGGTGGGTGGAGCGCGGGGGTCCAGAAGTACACGAATATGGTGGTGACTCGGTGGTATAGACCGCCGGAGCTTTTGGCGGGGGAGAGGAGGTACGGACCACCGATCGATATGTGGGGGATCGGATGTATTCTGGCAGAGATGATTACGGGAAGACCGCTGTTCAAGGGTACGAGCGAGATCAACCAGCTCGAGCTGATCAGTAAGCTGTGCGGCAGTCCGAACGAGACGAACTTCCCCGGGTGGAACAGTCTGCCCGGAGTGAAGGATGCGGATCCGAGCGGGAGACCCGATGCGAACCCGGAGGTGGAGGGGAGGAAGGACTTTGGTGCGTACCCGAGAAAGGTCAACGAGAGTTTCCGAGGAGGTGGCATGGTGGATGCGGGGAAAGAGTGTGCGGATCTGATCGATAAGCTGTTGGTGTTGGATCCGAGGAAGAGGTTGGGGGCGAAGGAGGCGCTGGAGCACGAGTGGTTTTGGGAGAAGCCGTGGGTGGCGGATGGCAGCAGTTTGCCGAGGTACGAGCACAGTAAGGAGATTGATAGGGTGAGGAGGGATTGGAAGCCCGTGCCGGTGCCGGTGGGTGCGCAGCCGGTGCCGACGATGGCGCAAGGTGGCGGTGGTAGACCAGCGATGCAGCAGCAGCAGTCACAGCAGCAGCAGTATGGAGCAACGGGTGCAGCTAACGGCTCTTCGGCGTGGGGTTACCCGAGACCAGGATTTGCACCACAGCAGGCGAACGGTGGCGCAGGTCAGCCCGCGCCGAATCCAGCAGCAGATGCATGGGAAGCCATCACCGCAGGACCACGATCGAACCTCCCCCCTGCAGCAGCTGGCCTTCCCAGCAGACCCTACCCATCCCAACCGGGCGCAAACCCCGGTGCTGGAGGCAGACACCCATTCCCGAACCAACAGGCCAACTCGCGCTTTCCCCATCCCAACCAAAGGCAGAACTATCCTTTTCCGGGACAAGCCGGTCCGCGACAGCAGCAGCAGCAGCAGCAGCAAGGCAACTTGCCCGCTAGAGCGGTGCAGCCGCCGCACGGGAGGGGCCCGAATGGAGGTGCGGGAGGAAACCCTTATGCATGACGAGGAGCAGAGAAAAAATTTGAATGTTGTTGGCTGGCACCTGGTCAGTTCGTGGCAAGTGTGCGATTTGAGAGTGTGCAAGAGACGAGGTTTGTTGTGAGAGGAAGATTTGGTTTGGAATGTGTGGGTGGGGATGCGTTAGGAGAAGCGGGCGAGGTAGCGGATGAGATGTACGAATGACTGGGAAAGGTGTGCTGGGGGAAACGTCGAGCGTCAACCTTTGACGAGCAAGGATCAGGAAACAAACACATCGTCGTCGTTGCTCACAATACCGCGCCGTCGACCTGGTGATCTGGCAAGACCAACTCGACACGCGGAGTCGCTCCACAGCACAGTACAGAAGTACGATGACGAGAACACGGATCGCTGAATGCCAAAAGCTGTAAAGGAGAGTGCGGAAAACAAGAGAATGTACAAGAGCCCGAAAGGCTGACCAATCAACGACCAAAAGTATCAGAAACAACCGAAATCCCATCATCATCGTCTCCCACAGCACGATTGCTCGCCGTCTCTTCATCCTCCACGTATTCTTCCTCCTCTTCTTCATCCCCAGCATCGGAATCGTCGTCGCTCGTGAAAACGATGGCTGAAGCCGAGTGAGACATGTAGTGCAGAGGGATTGAGATTGTCGTCCTGTGGTGGTCGTCGATGCTGAGGCGGTGGGGGTCTGAGGAGGACCAGCTGGTCGGTGTTGCCGATCGGGCAACGAATTCTGGGACTGTGTGTTGGGTCGATCTTCCAAACGTGCTAGGTGGAGAATCGTGCTCGCCGCCTGTACAGCCTTCTTCCACGCTCAGAAAGGGGGAAGTGGTGGCAAAGCGATTCGTGTGGCCAATCGAATTCTGCAACGAGGTCCGATTGTCTCTCTTCACGTCGACCTCATCTCCAACTTTGTCGACGGGATCCTTCCGAGAGCTCGTCAAGGCTGCAGCCGCATTGACCATGTTACCAGATGAACCACCTGCCCCGCTCTGCTCGCGAACTTGCTGACGCAGTCTTTGCCTCCTCCGCTTCGTGCCCTCATCCAGAGCACCAAGTTCTTCGACCACGGAAACGACATCTGGAGCGATATGTGAAGACTTCTTCGCCTTGTGACGTTGCTTATCGATTCGCTGCTGAGCGTGCACTGACACGTCGACACGCTCGTGGTATCTCTCCTCGTCGCCGTCGTCGCCTTGAGCGTGCGAATGCTTCGCGCTTGCCGAAACATCCGATCTAGACTCGATGTAAGCTTCACGATTCTGAAGTCGCAAAGCTGATGCGGAGTCGGCAATGGAGTTACTGTGGCAGTAGAAGCCTCCGATTGGCAAGGCATGAGAAGTAATGAGCGAATCGAGCACCAGCTGGGCACCCTTTGGTTTGTATCCTTCCATGTTCGTCTGCGTAGAGGTGTAAAAGGTCAGGTCGTAGGTACTTCCGCTTTGCAGACCGAGCGGCTCGTTTTGCGGTCTCTGATGAGTCCCAAGGATATCGGTGCTTGTTGCACAATTCCCACGAGTATCTGGCTGACGCTGAGAAGCGAATGGCGCAAAGACCCATGCGAAAGGCCGGGTGGTTGCCTTTTTACCCAGACCTGCATCCTCTGCTTCAACGGGCAATTTTTGTCCGGAGCTACTCTGCGAGAGATCACGTTCACCATGAACTTTATGCTTCAATCCGTTCGGTGCGTTCGGTGAACGGATTGAAGCTCCAGGTTCGAGGTCTGCAGCCGGGGACCTGCGCAGCCATTTGACAGCAGCTGCGGCGCGAGAAGCAAATCCATCGGCACCTTCATCGTCGATGGTGATCTTTTCCGAGTGCTTCCGCGCGTTCGATGACAACTGCCTTTCGATCATTTGCTTGCCAGGCGCTGGAGACAAGGAAGAACTTGAAGCTCTGGGCGGCGGTGCAGGGAAGTTTTGCGAACAGGCTGGAGGCACGAAGGCAAAATCACTGAGCGAGGCGTCGCTCGTGGTCCTGATCACGACACGCTTGTCGCGGATAGAGCCCAGAGTAGATCGTAGACTGGAATTTCGGGCTTGCTTTGCTTGAACTTCCGTATCACCGTTCGCAATGAAAGCCCTACTGTTGTACGTCAGTGACATGAAGCTTTTGGTGGAGTCTTGATGTTTCAGCCGCGAAGCGTTCGAGTCACTTTCCGAAGATGTCCGACCGCTGGAGTTTGCATCGCTCTTCTGTCTTTTCTTTCTCCCTGTTTGCAGTCTCTCAATTGCTGGTTCCTCCAGGTCTCGATCTCCGTCGAGCCTGAAGTCGGGTACAGTCAACGAGGCAAGCATCGATGCGAGCTTGACTTGGGAGGCCGGAAACAGGAGGAAGGGAGCAAAGAGGTTGAGACAATTGACCACGTACAGCACGGTGAACAGGGTCGCTGAAGCCATTGTAGCTACCTCTAAAGTCGTGTTGGCCGCCTGCGCATTGTGTGGATAATCTCGGTCGAACGTCCTCGCGAGAACAACCTAGAAGAAGAATACACCATGTGACAGAGATAACAGTCGCATCAAGAGTCAGCCGCAGGTCTCGATGAAACTCACAACCAAATACTGAGCGTGAGACACTTACAGAATGGCAAGCAAATGAGAAAGATTGCAGCATGATGGCCGTATGATCGATTATGCAATTGAACAGGAAGCGACAAACGGCCAAGTATCCTTCGTGTGTCGCAATGTCCTCGTGAAAGGCAGCTGTTTGCCAAGGAGCGGGTCGCCAATCCTTGCGGATCTTGGGTCCCAGTTCGAGCCTCGAGGTACTCTCCGACTCATTGAGAGAAGTGCCTCGGGTAGTGCACGAGTCACTTGAATCTGGAAACCAACGGCACCTCTCCCTCGAGGAAACGTCTTGTTCCGCAGAATCGCTCCCGTGTGTGGGGAAGCGCCGTCTTGCTTCAATGTTCCTCGAGATTGCATCGACTGTGACGCTCGCCATGTCGGGGGGTAAGACCCGCTTCGCAGCAAGAGCCGACGACCTTGAAGCACGCAGACCAATATTCTCGAAGGCAACTACTTCTGGTGTCGAGCAGCGCGTCAAGTTCCGTGAATCTTCGGTCGATGGCAAGCAAAGGGCGCCTTGTGGCGATGTCGTTGATGGTGATCTGGCCGTCGTGAGCGGTGGCAGGCTGCTGCGATCTACGACCGACAAAGATGGCCGAAAGGCGGCTTCGAGGACCTGTGATGCCGGAGCAGGAATGATCGAAAGTGTGGCGGCCAAGGGCGAGATCGAGAAGCCGTCCGGCTTCGAAGCCCCCTTTGCGTTGACTTCAGAGTGTGGAGTATGTCGACCGCGAAGCTGAACAAGCTCCTTGGCGACGATCCTGATTAGACAAGCCAGAATACCTGCGTAACTGACCGTGATGATGTATCCGGCAAGAGCAACAAGCTCCGAGTAGATGACCTGCCACTTCTTGAGGTTGAGCGACTCGCTGTAGGCGTCTTTGGCGATGCCAATCAGGATACTCGGAGATGTTGCCTGCCGGATGTCCAGGGCTGTATCGTAGTGAGAAAGAACCTGAACTGCCTCGTATACGAAGGTGCGATACTCGTCAAGCTTGACCGAAGCCAGTGCGACTTTGGTTCCGGCTGAAAGGCCAAGAGCAAGAGCTTGAACGTAGAGCAACACCACGGTTCCGTTCCAGAACCAAGGTGGTGCAAAGGGTAGCAAGAGAGCGATGTAGCCGAGCGCAGAAAAGTATGCGGTCGAAAATATCGAGAGCAGCATGATGTTCTCTAGCATGGCTGGTTCGAACAGTGCCGCTGGAGCGATGGGAACGCGGATCAGATAGCTCTCTACGACTTGCAGACCAAGCAAGATCACATAGATGCTAGTGAGGATGAGGTGGCAATTGACGCAGGAGGCCGTGATGAACCATCCCATGCGCGGCTGATCCTCCTTCCTGACCTGTGCGCGAGAGCCACCTGAGGTGCCGAGCTGCGGTCCATCAGCCTCGACGATGCATGTTGACGGAGATGTTCTGGTCAGAAATCGTCTATGGAAGGAAACCTTGAGCCAGCGCTTGACTTGATTGACTTGATGCACATGATAAGGACGATGTTCCAGCTTGAACAGCCAGAACGGAACCGTGTTGTTCCTCGAGCGGTATTTTCGCAGCGCAACGGCGACCGAGAAGAATGTGGCCAAGTTGATCGCGTTGAGGGTCCACGTGAGCTGCCAGTAGCCTTTCGGGTAGATCTTGAGAGCGAGAGCATCAATAAGCGTCGTTAGCTCTTGAATGGTGGCATTGTCGGAAAGAGGGAAGCCGAGCGGATCCTGGCGCGACAAAGGAATACGTGGGGGAAGGTCGAGGAGAGGTGATGGTGGCAGTGAGGAGCTGGACGATTCCATGATGAACAACACGAGACTGTGTCCGCCTTGAAGGGCTGGTACAATCAGCACTTCGTGATGGACAGCGAACAAGGGGGGCGGACATGTTCATTGAGCGATGATAAGGAAGCTTATAAGCTGTCCTTGAGAGGGAGGCGATACGACCTGCCCATCCTTTCACGAACGTCATTGATGCATCACATGCCTGTTGCAGTGCCACTTCAGGTCACAGAGAAGGTCGGTTAAGATCCTAGCGTAAGGGCTTTGCTAGTCTGCAGCCAACTCTGCGAGGACCGTGCCATCGTAAGAAAGTCGCTCTGCAAATTGTCCCGTTGTCCCTGGAAAAACAGTAATGTTCAAGCGCCCCTTTGTCCCTGGAAAGACAGTGCTCTTCAAGCGGGGAAAAGGCGTCCAGACAATGAAACCATCGTGTGCCAGTGATCACCGCTTTGCAGCACTCCATGTGAGCTGGAAGAAACGTAGGATGGTGTGTCAATGAGCGATGAGTTTTCTGCTGTGCCAGAGGATGGACGAGTCCAAAGCTTTCCGCGGGAGTCGAGGCGAGGCGGTTGTTGATTTATCGTGCATCCAGACAATGGTAACGTGACGAGCTAGGCCTCCAGCTCTCCCGATAGATTCGGGGTGGTGGCCTGAGCTTGACGTGACAGAAAAAGAGCGTCTGGGTGAGATCCCAAGCGTTCGGCGGGGCAAGGTAGGGATTGTCGGGCGGAAGCGTTCACATTCTGCTGCCGTCACGGTATCGTAAGTGGAAAGTGGTGAAGCGATTGCAAGTCGCGAGAAGCGATCTGATCGTGTGCAGGCGACAAATGAGGTGAAGCTTCCTACGAATACCAACGGTCTGTCTTTTGCCAGATAGGAGACGCTGGGGCGCACACAGTTCCGGATCATCAAACCTTTGTCGGTTAGCCCTGCTACGCCGCTTCTTCTCAATGTGATTGCGGCATCCGAATTTGCCTCTCAACCCCGGCTCATGCTATCATGTGATAGCGCCGAGGCACAACCCACTCTTTTGTAGTCATGCAGGCGAGGCCACACCATGCTTTCGTCAAGCAGCCAGCTTCGGATGATCAGCGCCAACTCGACCCGGCACTCGGGCCTCTTGACCTGCATATCAAAACTTGGCGAGGTGAGCACGAGCGAGGTCAAGGCGTGCGAAAAGCGCTCGGAGTCTTGTCACCAGCACTGTCATCAGCTTTCTGCGCTACGCCGCAAGCAGGAGCCACGGGCCCGAAGTCCACACGCATGTCGGTTCAGAGCGAGACGATTGTATCACAATGGTATTCGTCCTTGATCTCTCACTTGTCTGATCGTTTTCAACACTGTTGCAGACTCATATGAAACCGGGGAGCGACTCGTGCCCGCTTGCTTTCTCATTTCGGCTCACACTGAGGCGCACAAGACGCTTCCGACACCCACATATGGAGGCATTGGCGCTTTCCTGGCCGCCGTGGATTGATCCACAGCCAGCGAACCATTGCAGCAGCACCACTCTAGCACTCTTTTGAGCCACTCGTTCCAGCAGCTTGGGGATCGCAAAAGAGACTTGTACGTTCGTTACGATTCCAGACGGAATGGATCACAGTGTCTACAGCGTCATTTGCGAGCCGGTAACTCCGGTCAGAAGTAATCGCGCGCTTACTGAATGAGCTGTTGGAGCTTTCCGCTCTTTTGAGCGTCCAGCAGGTCGGAGCAGCCACCGAGGTGCTTCTGGTTGATAAAGATGTTAGGCACCGTACGCTGGCTAGTCTTGTCCTGCAGATAAGCCTGTTTCATTCCATCCCACAACAACGTCAGCACTCTTTCCCTTCCGTGTTCGATCATCTTTGTTTCATACATACCTGGATATCAGCGCCATCAGAACCCATCTGGTCGAGCTCCAGAATCCCAACCTTGCTCTTGTCCAATCCGAGCTTGTCAATCACGCTCTTTGCCTGACTGCAGTAAGGACAGTAGCTCTTGCTGAACACGGCAACAAGGTGCTCGGAGATGAGCTTTTCAGCAGCCTGTTTGGCAGCCATTTTTCGTTCTTCAGTAAGGGTGTTCCACTCGGGTCTTAAACCGAGGAAGGAAGATACGATCGAGATTGCTACGCCTATTTTGAAGAAGAGCTGTGCAAAACACACCGGAGAGCGATGTGTTGCGAATTTGAGTAGAGAGTGGGTGGTGATGACAAGGATGACCACAAAGGTGCTTGGACCACACTATTTGAATCCCGACGAGAAATCGAGTCGCCGCAGAAGAAAGACGGACTGACGTGCGCGGTGCTCACCTTTCCGTCACGGAAATATGTGGAGGTTTTCCAACGCACACTGCTCTCGTGCCCACTGCCCAAAGGCGTGCTTCTGAGAAATGGCCCGGCTCAAATCTGCCCAAAGAGCTCGGCATCTCCCACCAAACTGCACTCCCTTCAAGCTTGCACTGCAGTGCGACATGCGAACAGCACAGTATTTCGGCCACGATGAACCCTGAGGTGTGCTGTCTCTCATTTGGGGCGTGGGCAGTGAGTAGATCATCTAGTGATTCAAAGGACGATCGATTGATACAAGGGCGAATGCGTGTAGAATCTGGGGACTGAAAAGTAACAGTGCGAACGTGTATCGTCGGAAACGTGGGTATGATGGACTGTAGTGGATATGCGAATCTATCGGTCTCTACGAGACGGTGCATCCGCTGTTGAACCACCAACTCTGTCGGAGTTGCTCGATCCAGTGCACCACAAGGCACAGTCGCAGACGTCGACTGCGGATCGGAAGCAATTTCGCCTTCTCGTGCTCGTCGATGGGCATCACCAGCGCCATCCAGTATCCGAGCCGTTCCACTTCGTCAGCGCTGGGCATGGGACCATACGTGTGGTTGAGTCGCGACAGAAGCCATGGTGCAGAGCCGGAACGCAGCGTCTCGATGAACGAAGTGCAAATGTCAACCAGCTCCTCAATTGAGGGTTCGGCAGGGACAGGTTTGAAGGGCAAAAGACCCTCCTCTCCTTCGTCTTCATGGCCTGATCCTCGCTCGTCGGCCGTGGCCGTCAAATCAGTCGGGCTGCGTGAAGCCACCACTTCTCCACTGGCTTGAACGGGCTGGGCTTCCGGTGCGGGCTGGTGCTGACGGGGCTCAAGAACAGGCGAATGGCTGGAACGGTAAATCGACAGCGCGTCGCTTTCCGCCCGTGGCATCTCGGGTCGAGCGACGATGGTGCCTGGAAGCCCGTCTCCGCTTGGTCGATCGGCGTGTGCGTGCGCAGGAGCCGACGACGAGGGCGCCATAGGACAGGCTCGCGGACGCTCGACAGTTGCTTCAGCTGCTTTCTTGCGTTCCAGCTCGGTTCGTCGCAAGAGTACCGCCCTTTCAAGCTCGGCTTCTTCCTCGAGCGAAATGTCGTCGACGCGCTCGACACGACCGACCGTGTAGCCATCGAGCGACCCCTTTTCGAGCAGGCGGAAGCGGTACGAGCCGACCGTCTCGAGCATGCTGCGTCCGTCTGCAAGCATCTGTACCGACTTGATCTCGAGCATGGTACCAAACTCCTCCGTGCCGCCGTTGTTCCTAGAGGGTAGAACCATGCCGAAACGTGGGTTTCCGCTCTCGAGACAGCGACGCACCATGAGGCGATAGCGTGGCTCGAAAATGTGCAGGATGGTGGGCATGCCTGGGAAGGCGAGCGTGCAGACAAAGATGGGCGTCGACAATCGGGCTTCGCGCTCTTCCTGCTCGATGGCCGATTTGCGTTGCTCGTACAGACGCTTGAAGCCGTAGTGGTGCGGCGCAGACTCTGGATCGTCGTCGACGATGAAGCCGGTGCGTGGTTCTCCGCTCGCAGCGTTGACCTTGCCTCCATCGGAGCTCAACGCAATCGAAAGGCCTGCATACGTACTGGTCGACGGTGCCTTGGCATCCTGCGTCGCGTCCGAGTCCAATGCGTCTTCGTCAGAGAAGGTGGCGGTATCGGAGGTGAGGATCTTGAGCAGCGCCGTGTTGGGTCGATGGTCCTGGAAGAAGGAGAAGTTGGGCATGTCGGCTCGGCACAAGGGACATCGGTCGCCATGGTCGAGACTGCGAGCAAAGCAAGACTTGCAGAAAGTGTGACCGCACGGCGTGGTGAGGGGATCGTAGAGCAGCAGATAACAGAGTTGACACTCGAGCACTTCGACGAGCTCCGAGTGGAGCGTCGCCGCGGATTGAATGAGCGGCTCTCCATTCGGTCCCACCTTGGAAGAGAGCGCGAGACTGTGTTTGGCCTCTACGGCTCGGAGGTGGGCATCGCTCGCGGGGACATCGAGATCGGTGTCCGCATCGCTTGCAGAGCCAGTTGCTTTATGAGCTTGCACAGCGCGACGACGACGGACGGCGTCGACAAGCGCCTCGCGCCCGTTGTGGCGATGCAAGCGAGCGCTGGTAGTCGACTCTTCTGTACTCCAGTCCGAGTCCAAGCGGCGAGCTGCAGCTGCTTCCTCGGTGACCGCTTGTGTCTTTGCTGCTTTTCCGTCGCCGTGCTTCGCGCTAGAATTCGTGGGTGAATTGGGGCTGGAGACGCTACCGTCGCTGCGTCGCTCGCGACGGCGCTTCAATTGTCCTTTGCCGCGCCTACGAGCAGCGCTGTTGGAAAGAGGCGGACGGGAGTAGGCTCCACCGACACGATCGGGCCAGAAGCGATCGCTGTTCTCCTCTTCACTGAACTCGTCGTCGGTAGCAGCGTGGAGAGTCCAGATGTTCCTGTCGTCGTCGCGACCGCCGAGCGCGGAGCCACGACTTGGAACAGCTCGCAGATAGGCCGAACCGTGTGCAGCCTCGTGCCCGGTGTCAAGATCGCTTTCGTGCGCAAAGTTGTCTTCCGAATCCGAGGCAGTGGCACGGACGCCTCCTACGGTGCCACTCTCAAGTTCGGATTCATTCTGGCCAAAGATACCCATGCCGGCATGCGAGGTGGCAGGACGATGAGACCGACGAGTGACCAAGGAAGAAGCACCCTGGCCTCGGGCTGTCGATCTACCCAAAGTTGACCTGCGGCTGCGCGCGACTGCGCGAGCTCGAGAAGTGGAAGAAGAGGCTACTGATGCGGACTGGTCGCGAGATGCGCCCGCCGTGCGACCGGGTCGAGTATGGCGCGATCGTGGACTGGCGAGGGAGGGGCTGGTCGATGCTGGCAGACTGCGTCTCTGACGGGGGGGACGCGGCAGTGGCGACGAGGCGTATCGCATGAGGATGGCGACGGCCTTGCTGAGAGTAACATCGGTGCGAAGCATGTTGCTGGTTGCAAGAGACGGGAGCAGGGTGGTGGCAGTCTGGTGAGACGCGGAGGTGTTGAGAGGCTCGACGCCTTGGGGAGGAACCGCAAAGAGGTGCGCTTTGGACCGAGTCTGTGGACCGATGACGGTAAGTCGGAGTGGATGGTCTGCGACGCCCATGACGAAACCATCGACCGGTGGGGCACCAGGACCGACATCTTGAGCGCCCAAAGGCAACCTTTCCGTGTACGTGGGGATGAGCCCATAACGAGGCAGATGACCGGCCCAAACACCGATACCGCGGCCTATGGCGGAACGAGGACAGCCATGCGCAGGGCAGGGCACGGTCATGGGACTCAAAGGAAGACGTGGCGGAAGGTGACTGAAACAGGGAAGCGGCTGCACTTGGTCCTCGGGAGGGATCGATCTGGGCAGCACGCGGTCCTTGATGCACTGCATACATGATGAATGGCCACAAGGCAGTGTGACGGGGTCCTGTACTGGACGACGACAGCCTTGGCATGTGGCGAGAGTCAGGAGAACGGTGGCAAGCTCGCGGGCACGTCGACGTTGTGCTGCAGTTGGAAGGTGAGCTTGTCGTTGCGGCTGCTGGTGTGAGGTTGATGAGCCAGGCAAAGCTGAATTGGAGGACGAGGGAGGCGAGATGCCGGTCGACGGACCGTGGAGGCTTGCTTGAGACGTTTGCTGATGGAAGCGAGAAGCTGGCGTCGAAGCCATGGCAGTACTGTGAGCGGCTGGAGATGCCGATCCTGCGGTGGCTTGGGACTCGTTTGGGAGCTGGTGGGAGGACGGCGAAAGAGGTGACTCTGTGCCCTGAGGCGATTGTCGAGGCGACATCATGGTGTGATGGTCGAACGCCGAAGAGATGGGACTCTGTTGACCGCTTCGAGCAGTAGAACTGCTGGACGGCTGGGCGCTGGATCCGCGGCCGCCACTGCACGTGTTGTGGAGGTGATGGTGCTTTTCTGGCTGGTGATGCTGGTGCGTAGATGCTTCGTTCATTCTGATTTCGACATGCTTGTATGAAGAGAGCGTACCTAGCCAAGCAAGTGTGTAACGGCAGACGTCGTGTACGTGGCTGGCGGTGGGACCACCGTGCAGGTCAAGTGATGCCGTGGATCAGCAACGAGATGGTGGCGACAAGGGGTCAATTCGAGAGCGGCAAGGCTGATGGGTGCAACAAGTCGAATGTCCACGTGTCGAAGGACTGGACTAGGGTGAGCCTGACGGTCGAGTTTGAGCTATTAGCCGCGATGATGCTGATGATCTATGAGCACTCGCTGGTTGCTAGACAGCTTGGCAATCACTTCGGGATTATTGCCGCGCTGACAACAAGGACGTAGTGGTGACGGAGAGGAGAGGAGTGTGTAGAAGCTGGGGATTGTTGAAGCAAGCTGTGGCGCGAGGACAATGCTGGATGGTCGGAGGTCGCAGATGGCGCAGAGGAGTCAACGTAGCTGAGTTCGATGCTGGCGAAGGCTGAACGAGACAAAAGTCGAGACCTAGACGTCCAGGGATGGATTCAGAGCAAAGGTGCTCGGCAGGCTGAGGACGATGGAGCCTTGGGCTTGTGGCAGCTTGGACGAGCTGGAGGCGAAGGAGGCGGATCCAGATTAGCCAAGGAATGTCTATGCCCGCGGCGGTGTGAGCGTGTGGTGTTGGGCGGCAAAGCAAGTGGTTGACGCTTTGTTCTGACTGGGCTATGCTGACAGTATACTGCGCTGCTGCTGTTGCCCCTGTGGCTGGTGTAGGTGGAGTGGACGAGAGCAAGGGGCAGGGAGAAAGGGTAAGAAGCAGATTGCAAAGCGAGCTGCTCCGGGCGACGGCGGCGGCGGCGGGTGATCCAGAATGTGACTTGCGGTACACGGTATGTGCTAAGCGAGCGTCGAGAGTGAGAGTGATGGACAGTGAGTCGGTCAATTACCGTCGAGATGAGGCGACTCTAGCTGCAGTAGCGGGTCGATGGGAGAGTGAGATCGAGTGACGAGATACAGTAGAGGCAGGCAAAGGCCGAGACGGTGTCACGGACAGGTGTCTTGAGCAGAAAGAGCGTAATGGCGTGTGACAGAGTGACAGAGTGACCCTTCAGGCAGTCGAGAGACAATTGATTGCTAATATTGAATAGTGACTGCTTGTGCTCTCGTCAGCCAAGATCCTGCAGCCAAGGCACAATTACAACAGCAAATAGTCTCACGCGCACACCGCTCGCTGCTACACACAAATAAAGTTGCCCACACTCGCGAGACGCCCAGGTTGCGCGCTTGAGTTCCGTATGACCAAAGCCGACATGCGCTGCCTCGTCGGAATTTCGCTCTTATTCTTATTTGTTTTTTTGTCTTTCGCTGGGGCTCGTCAAGAAGGCCATTTTATGCAAGCAAGTCACTGAGCAGCGCAACACGATGCCATCAGCGACGACCCTGCGCGGCATATTGTCACCATTATAACCTCTGAGTCACAAGGTCGCATTCCAAACGTCTCACGCCCTGTTGCTTGCGGGCGGATCATCCGATGCTAAGGCTACAAGGCTGTTGCAGAGAAGCCTAACGCGGAAGAGGGGAGGCTCACCGGAATTGAAGAAACCTGGCGCCTTTTCCCGTTTGTCTGACCTCAGGCTGAGCCGTCGGATGGAGCGCGATTTTGTGCTTAGCATAAGCACAATTCGTCGGCGCCGTCATACTCTGTACGGCTCCACCTCGTCCCTCCGTTCTCGCGTTCCGAACACACGTCTCGGATTGGACGAACCGCCCTCGGCACAGCCCACGCCCACATCTTGTAAGCAGCAGTGCTGAGAGAAGAGCCATCCATTTCATTTCGGAAGTATGTCTGCTGACGATACGGCAATTTAGAGCTCAACGTCGGTGCCTGGTACACACAATGCGAGGATACAAGCGTGGTATGCATGTGTGTGTGTGTGCATGTCCATCTGCGTCTGCAGCGCTTGTTCGGACCACCGCCGATTCCGACGACCACATCGCTCGGCATCGAAAAATGGAGAAAATCGACCAGGGAAAAAAGGGAAATTGTACGAGAATATGTTAGCTCAGCATCGCCGGGGACGGCGAAATCCGAGGCAGGGTCACGCAGGGTCTCGCAGGCAAGCAGGCTGCTGGGTAGGCGCGCTCCTCTGAGCTCAGCATCCTAGGTCAGGCTGCACCGTTAGCATCCATCCTATGCTCCAGGATCGATCTGCGTTGAGGAAGGATTTAAGACTCGCTCATGGCTCGTGTCTCCAAACAAGTGATCTTTGCCCTTCCCCACGCTGATCTTCGTCAAGTCTATGCGTGAAGACGCAAGGAAGAAGGTTGTCACTCTGCCTCCCGCTAGGCGCGCCTCTTTCATGGCATCGAAGATACTCCCTGCACCTGCTTTGGATCGTGTCTTAGACCGAAGAGAGAGAAAAGGCCCACTAGACGTTTTTGAGAAGAGAGCACAGAGGGTGGATCAGCTCAGCTTGCATATTTGGATCGCGAGGTGTCTCAGGCCTAGGCAACAAGATTTGTGGCTGCAGCTCGCTACACTCCTCGTGTGCCTGATCGCCTTGAGAGAAAATCCGAGATGAAAAAGATTCAATGTCATTTCGAAAGATCGAAAGATCAAACACTTGATGTTTGCAAAGTCTCTTGCCAAGGTAGCTGGACCCTGATTTTGGTGTCGACCCTTTCGACTTGGCTTTCGACTTGGCTTGAGCGTCTTTCAGACCCTTGTCATTCGCAACTACCTCCTGCTAGCCAACCTCTGTCCTCTGTGCAGCAGCGCAAGGATGCTTGCGATCGGCAGTTAGTCCACGATCATGGATGCACTCGCAGAAAAGCTTGAGGAGGGGAAGCTGTACCTTCAGCGACCGATCAATGAAGTTTTGCCGCCGCGCCTCCTCCTCTACCTGCTTCCACCGGTACCTCCATTGCGGTTCGTCTTGGCAGCTTTGGCGCTAACTCTGCTGCTCGTTCTCAGAGTGTGGTTTCTACTCCCGGGCAGAAGATCCGCACAGTCTCCGACAAGTCGTTCGAGCCGCGACGCAGGTACGGCGAAGCATCGCAGCCATGGAGTCGCCGTCTTTCTCGGATCCGGCGGACACACAACCGAGCTTCTGCAGCTCGTATCGGCACTTCCGACGCAGCGCTACACTCGTCGGATCTACCTTGTCTCCTCCGGCGACCATTTCAGCTTGGAAAAGGCGAAAAAGCTCGAAAAGAAGCTCTCGTCGTCCTCTTCGAGCAGCGATTCACAAGATCCGCCCGACGCCAAAGTAATCCAGATCCCGCGCGCAAGAAACGTTCATCAGAGCTTCCTTACCACACCTATCACACTGGCCAAGAGCATCGTTTTCTGCGTAGACCATGTCTCGCTCCGTCCGCTGCTCAGACGCGTGAAGGGAGGCGACGGCATCTTGGCAGATGTCATTCTGATGAACGGTCCAGGCACTTGCGTCCCTATCGTCGCTGCCGTCTACCTCCTTCGAGTAAGTCACTGTTCCTTTGTTCTTTGGCTTAGTCCTACGTCAACGCTTTCTGACCACCGTTCTGCTTGCTTGTTGAAACAGATCGCTGGACTTCGTTCACCGAAACTCATCTACGTCGAGTCGTTCGCTCGAGTCAAAAGCTTGTCGCTCACGGCAAAGTTGATACGACCCTTTGTCGATCGATTCGTCCTCCAGTGGCCGCGCGATGCATCCAGTACTCCACCTCACATCCGAGCAAAAGCAACCCCAAACACCGTCTATTCTGGCTGGCTCGTGTAGGATCTGATTTCGATACACGGCAATATCAATGGTTGTTCTACAATCCTCTTCCTAGTACATTAAGACACAGCGAGACTATGCGCTGGACGCCGGCGCAGCTCCTCCCCATTGACGCTTGTTGTTGGAACTCGTCGAATTGATCGAGCTGAGCTCGTTGGGTTGACCTTTGCCTCCGCGATTCCTTTGCTGCTGCTGCGGCCTGCGACTATCGTCCTCCCTTCTATCGTTGCGATTTCCGTTTCCGTTCCTTTGATTGTTGTTACCTTTACCATCGGCATCCCTTCCGGTTCCTTTCGAGTCGGACTGTCCGCTATTGGTCGGCTTGTCCGAGCTTCTGTTTGCGTGGTCATTTCGAGGAGCTGATCGCTCGTCTGTATTTCGCTCGCGCTCGCGATCGCGACCTTGCTCGCGACCATTGTCTCGACGGCGATGGTCTCTTTCATCACGTTGTCTGTCCCGTGCATCGTTATCCTCGCGTCTTCGGTCGTTGTGTCGGTCGTTATTTCGGTCGCCATCTCGCTCGCGTGGGCGATCACGCGAGGCCGACGCCGCATCTCTGCGATCGTTGTCCGCGTGTCTGGACGCAGGCCTAGCTGCGTCACCCCCAGGTCGCCAGGAATCGCCCGTTCTACGATCTCGCGGCGCGGCATCTTCCGACCAATTGCTAGACGCGCGGGCGCCACCCTCCCTACCACGATCGTCTCGGTCCGAACGCTGTCGCTTTGCATCGGCTGCATCGCTTGGTCGAGAAGACGCCTGATTCGGGGTATCGCCCTTGGAGCGTCCCTTTCCAATGGAGCTCGAACCGCCATCGTTTCGTTTACGTTTCCCGTTCGAGTCGGCGTGCTGTTGGCTAGATGCGTTCGAGCGCTGACCGTTGCCCTGCTTGGAGGCGCCATCCTTGGCAGAATCTGCTGGCTCGACCTGACGCTGGGCAGAGCCTTTGATGCTGAATCCCTGCTCGGCTGCTTTGTCCCGATTGTTCTTAGATGCATCTTGCTTTTCTTTCGTGTCCTGCTGTCGCTCGCCCGACGCCCGAGCTCCGGTATCACGACCTTTGCCGGCGGTCTGGGAGGACCGCGCGTCTTTGGCTGCTGCAGCGGCGATCTTAGCCTTTTCGGCATCTCTGGCACGCTTGCTTTTCTTTTTCTTCTTCTTTTGCTGTCCCGAGCGAGCATCGGCAGTGGACGTGCCAGTTGCTCTCGAGTCGCCTTTGTTGCGGGCTTGTGAGGGGCCGGTGGGTCTGTCCCAGCTACTCTCACCGGTCGTCTCGTTGTAGTAATAGACGTCGCCGTCAGCTGAACGCGACTTGATGCGGATCCATCCGGGTGGCAGCTCATCCCGTGCGCCTTGACGCTTGTCGGTACCTTTCGCCTCTTTTCGTACACCGTCGTCTGTAGCGACAGTTGCAGACGCGGATGCTGCTGCATCATGGTGCTCCGAGCGGTCGTCAGTCACCGCTTTCGTAGCCTTGGTGCTCTCCTCCGGTGCGATCGCAGGTTCCTTGACGTCTCTTGACGGTGTAGTCGCGTCGTCAGTCACAGGAGACGTTGTCTCGGGTGCACCAGGTTGACCTGGGGAATCTTCTGGAGCGGCTGCAGTAATGGCTTCTTTAGGTGCTTCTGGCAGCTTGTCGTCTTGTTCCTCGACGACTGTATTCCCGGTTGACGCGATTGGAGCAACGTCGCCGTCGAGTGTCAAGCTCACCTCGTCTTGGTCGACAAGAGGTGCGTTGAGCTCATCCTCGCCGTAATCTATGGCCTCTTCGTCCTCGAGCATTGTTCTATGGCGCCTGTCGTGGGAGGAAGTTGATTGAAGGGGTCGTGCGATCGGCGAGCAAGGTGGTCCTACGTCGTCGGCAACTAACTTATTGAAGCTGCTTGATCCGAGACTGCAGATCTCGACAGACCCTTTTTCGCACAGGGCAAACACGGACAACCCGATGTGGCTTTTTCGGTGCAGTGTTGAGGCACAAGACGCGTCGAGATGAATTGTTGGTGAGAAAATGACGGGTTATTTTGTTGGTTCCTCATGGCTCTATGAGAAATTCCCGTATGTCACTTTGGCTCGTCTCGGAACTCGGCGAAAAGTTGAGGCTTCGGTTGGGTCTGTGTTCGACAGCTGAGCTTCCATTAAGTTGAAGAACGAGGGTCGTGCGTTGCTCTCTGTCTTTCCATCTGCCTCGGTCTCGACCATAAGTATCAGCGTCACTGCCGTTGCAGTGAGTGTCCTGACCACAAACAGCTTCACGCTCCCCTAGTCACTTTCACACGATATTCACGGCAGGTTGCGACACCAGCGGAACTTGCGCTCGACCGACCTTGCACACTGCACACGTTATGGCGAGCGGATACCACCACCAAGAGCTCGCTCCAGCAGGATGCAGCCACGCCATCTTTGTCAACCTCAACTACCACAGTCCGGCACCCTCCACATCCCAGCAGACATATCAGCACCGAGGACGCCTTCAGACTCAACTCGTCACAACACGCGATGATCTGCTCACCATCTACGATGTCTACGAGCGCTCGCAAAGCCCCACTGCCGCTTCGTCCGCTCTCAGCATAGTCAATGGTAACGGCTTAGCATCGAGCTCGTCTGCTCCCTTGACTGCCTCGCACAGGCTCGTCGTCGTCCGCAAGCATGACCTCTTCGGTTCCGTCACAGGATTGCAACGTGTTCAGACCCTCGCCAGCGACAAGGACCGCCGCGACCGCTTGCTAGTCTCCTTCAAAGACGCCAAGCTCGCACTCTTGGAATGGAACGACATCACCGACGATCTCGAGACCGTCTCCATCCATACCTACGAACGTGCTCCACAGCTTCTCAATGGCACGCCGCATCTTTTCCAGCCTCTTCTCAGAGTCGATCCCTTGTCACGATGCGCCGCCTTGCTTCTTCCGCACGACTCACTCGCCATCCTTCCATTTTACCGCGACGAGGCCGATTTTGACTTTGATCTCGACGACGATCTCGGGATCGCCAAGGACGACGCAGCTGCCGTAGCTGCTGCTGCCGCCGCTGGTGATATGCAGAGTCTGCCGTACTCGCCGTCGTTCGTGCTCACCATGCGCGAAGTCGACCCAAAGATCCGCAACCTCAAGCACTTTTGCTTCCTCCCGGGTTTCCAGAAGCCCACTGTGGCGGTGCTCTTCTCGCACACCCCGACTTGGACCGGCATGTTGGCCGAGCGCAAGGACTCGTTTTCCGTCTATCTCTTCACCCTCGATCTATCCGCATCTCTCGACGGTACAACGTTGAGCTCCGCTGCCGATGCTTTCGACGACGGCACGATCCGATCTGCCCATCCCGTCGTCACCACCAGCTCGGCTCTGCCTCATGACTGCCTATACATGGTCCCGTGCCCGCAGACACTCGGAGGTGTCGTTGTGGTCTGCATGTCTTCCGTACTCCACGTGGACCAGAGCGGGAGGGTCGTGGTCACAGCCCTCAACCAGTGGTTCCAGGTCACTTCGGCGATCGAGCCCGAGTCTGTCCTCGAAGCCAGCGGCATTGCTGACCTGCAAGGCTCTCAGCTCGTATTCACTTCAGAGACACAGGGTGTCCTTACCCTGGTAGACGGTGACATGTACCGCTTCCGCTGTCAGATGGACGGGCGCAGCGTTGAAGGTTTCCGTCTCGAACGCATGCAAGAGTCATCTGTCGCTTCTCAGGAACTCACCGCAGCGACGGCTCCACCACCCTCCTGTCTCGCCGTCACGTTGCGCGCTGACAACTCGACGTTGAACGCACGCACGGATACTTCTGCTGGGCTTCTCTTCAATGCATCGATGGCAGGCGATTCAGCAATGTACAGTCTCATCCCCGTCAAGAAACCTCTAGCGAAGAACGGCACAGACGAGGCGGACGACGATCTGTTCAAAGCAGAAGCCGCACCCACTTCCAACAACCACATGGACCTCGACCTCGATGACGACCTGTACGGCACCTCGGACGCGGTCGGCAGCGCAGGCGCAAAGGCAAAGACCGCGGCCAAGGATCAGACTGTCATCGCTGTACGCAAGGTGGATGAGATCCGCTCGTACGGAGGTCTGCACAGCATCGCCCGACGCAAGCTCGCAGCTGATGAGCCGGGGTCTTCGAAACGCCATGGGTTGGTTGGAGCTTGCGGATCGGGGAATCAGGCGGGTCTCGTGTATCTGGATCCGAGGTTCGTGCCGGAGGCGCGCACAGAGCTTGTTCCGGCGACGATGTCGGACGAAGAGCAAGAGGATAACACGCCGGTGTTCTCCAAGGTGTTTGTCGTTGGTAGAGGGTCTGGTGGAGACGTACGTATGATCTCCTCGCGTGAGGAGGACAATTCGTCGATCGGCTTTTCGACTTCAGCGCAGGTTCGCAGCACAGACGCGACTCAGCATCGAGCATCGTGGACCGAGATCAAGCACTTTACGGATGGCACGACGATCTGTGCCGGCGCGCTCGCTGGAAGCGGCGTCGTGGCACGCGTGACCGCGACCAGTCTGCAGGTCTTGTCGCTGGACGCCTTCGACGTGCTGAACGAGACGGTGGTCATTGAGCCGGGTCAGGGCAGGATTCTCTACGCCAGTCTGGATGCGGAACAGTACGCGGTGGTGCACACGTCGGACGGTGCGACGCTGCTGTACGGATACGACGCTTCAGGGCGAAAGTTTGAATCGATCGATGTGTCGGGCGCTTTTGGTGGGTCTTCTACGATTCTCTCAGCGAACGTTTTCAGAGATGTGTACGGTCATTTGCAGCGTGCGCGTCGAACGAGCACGGACGGGGATGCGTCTGCGAAGGCTACACTAGAAGCTGCCGTTGCTGCACCACGCGCTATCACGACCTTGCCCGACGACGAAGAAGTCGATTATGGTGAGGACGACGACAACACACCACCCTCCACCCACGCCGCCAACAGCGACAGCAAGCACGCGAACGGGTCCACGATCGACTTGCCACCAGCGTATCTCTTCGCACTCGACTCCGAAGGAACGATACGCATCCACTCGCTGCCCGAGCTCGGACTCGTCTGGCAGAACTCCAGTCTGGCAGCACAACCGCAGCGGCTGCGGTACGAACAACGTGGGCACGCCGAGCTCGCACCGGAGCAGAAGGCGGTGCTGACCATGGCGGTGGCGCAGCACATCGGGGACATGCTCTGTGTGGTCTCGGTGACGGCGGATCATTTTGTGTCTGTTTGGAGGAGCAATCCGTGGGGGGCGGATGAAGAGGAGGGGTGCGGATTGACGTTGAACAAGGTGTTGGTCAAGGTGTTGGCTGCGCCGGGCGGAGGGAGGGTATTTGATGGAGGAGAGGAGGGTGCGAGTGGGTTTCGGTCCGGCGTTGTGCAGCTGGAACCGTTCACGATTCAGGCGAGGGGAGGGGATGTGATGGGGAGCAATGCGATCGCTGTGTTGGGTGGAGGTCGGGAGGTACCGGCGAGCGTATTGTGCTGGACGGAGAAGAGCGGTTTCCGACTGCTAGATTGGCCGGAGGGAGATCTTTCCTGTCTCTCCACCATCTCACACCACCCCGAGCAAGTGAACTCGAACGAAGCAGACTACGTCTACACCGATCGCCGCGGTCATCTCTACCTCGCACACCACCCGCGCAACCTCCACTCCTCAACTAGCTGGCCTTGCACCGTCGTCCGCACAGGTCGATCCTACACGCACGTCGTATCGCACTCTCCGACGTCGTCGATCATCGCCTCTTCCCTCTCACCGTGTCGCTTCGTGCTCTTCGACGAAGACGGCGAGCCGATTCCTGACGGTTCGCCTGCGACGGTTGGAGGGGATGTATCGTATCGCGGGTCGATCGAGTTGTTCATCGAAGGCGAGGTGGTGGATGGGTATGAGTTCGAGGCGAACGAGACGGTGAGTGCGTTGCGCAGCGTGATACTCGATTCGCCGAGCACGACCTCTGGACGCAAAGAGTTCATCGCGGTTGGAACGACCACGTTCCACGGGGAGGATCGAACGGCGAAAGGATCGGTGTACCTGTTCGAGGTGATCGAAGTCGTCGGTGGCGGGTGGAGGGTGAAGCTGGTGTGTAGGGACGATTCCAGGGCACCGGTGACGGCGATATCGAGTGTCAATGGGTATTTGATGTCGACGTGTGGACAAAAGCTCTTCGTTCGGGCGTTGGAGAAGGAAGAGTGGTTGATCAGTATAGCCTTTCTGGACTGTCCCTTCTACATCACCGATGTGAAGGTCGTCAAGAACCTGGTCATCCTCAGCGACGCTAAGCGAGGCTTAGGAGTGTGGGTGTTCCAGGAAGAGCCGTTCAAATTCATCGAGCTGGCTCGGGGAGAGGATGGATACGTCGGGTTGGGAGAGGTGTTGGTACGGGAGGAGAAGGTATCGTTCGTCGAGTTGAGCGGGAGCAAGCTCGGTGGAGGCGTAGAGATGGATGGAGGAGGAGGGGTGGTGAGGCTGTACGAGTATCAGCCGGAGAGCGCTGCGGGGGGGCAGAGGTTGGTGCTCAAGTGCGAGTATGCGACGACGGCAGAGGCTACGAGCTCGACGAGTCTAGCGGGTAGGTGGTTGTCGGATTCAGAGTTGCGAGGGAGGGAGACGTTGAGGAACAAGCTGTTGATGAGCAAGGCGAACGGTGCGGTGGAATCAATCGCCGCGGTGGACGACCAGGTAAGCAAGAGGTTGCACCTGTTGCAGGGTCAGTTGGCGAGGTCGGTGCTGCACGTCGCTGCGTTGAATCCGAGGAGCTTCAGAGCGGTCAGGAACGACAACGTAGCAAGGGCACTGGTCCGAGGTGTACTCGATGCAAGGTTGTTGGCCAAGTTCGAAGAGATGAGCCGACCGAAGATGGGGGAAGTAGTCAAGAGGTTGGTGGGTATGTGGGATGGACTGGACGACGTTTCGAAGAAGAACCGCGGGGATGGGAAGAAGCGCAAGGTGGAGGAGGTGGATGGTGACGACGAGAAACGAGAGGAAGAAGGAGGGAGTGGTGGACAGGATCGGGAGGAAGAGCAAGAGGAAGAGGAAGAAGAGGATCTTGGCAAGTTGGAGCGTCTTCGATTGCAGTCGGAGCAGAAGCGGGTGCAGTTGGTGTTGAAGGATCTGTCGAGGTTGAGGTTGGGCTTTGAACAGGTGTAGGCGAGTCCTGTGCAACAGTATGCAATCGAGACAATCCGTGCAAGGAACGCAGAGTGGAGTCCGGTCGTGTGTCTGAGTGGCGTAAGCGAAAGGCGTGCGTTCGTCTGTGTGTTGTGAGAGGGAGCTCGGAGGGATACATGGCACTAAGTGAGGGCTGTCATGTTCGCGTTGTCGACTCTGGTGACGCTGACGAACTGGTTGAGTGTCGCCGGCAGACTAGAGTTTCCCAGGGTCATTGCTGCATCACAGATCTTCTCGACAAAGTGCTGCTTCATGCTCTTCAAACTCAAATGTGAACTTCGTCAAGTGCACACACGACTCTCTAACATGGTAAAGGTTTGTTAGGAGAAAAAGAGATGGCATTTTTGGTGCGTGATGTGTGATGTGCGTCATCATCCTTCACCAACAAAGGAGAAGGACTTTTTGCGATGATGACGGGTGGAAATTTTGTGTCAGACGCACCTCATCGCTGAGATGGATCCTACGATGGGAAATGTACATGATGATGGTGAACGTGTCGTTTAAGCACGGCTGGCCTGGATCTGGGCGACGGCGGGGTTGATCTTCTTGCCGTCCTTGTTGAAACGAACACGGGGAGGGGGAAGACGGTTGCGACGGCCCTCGCGCGATCGGACACGGACAATGTGAGCGTGGATGGCGCACGAGACACAGTAGACCACCTTGATGTACAGCTTGGGGAGAGCGTACTCCTGGTAGACGGAAGCCTCGGACAAATCACGGATGGCAGCAGCCTCGACAATGTTGCGCACAGTGAATCGCTTGATGGCCTTGTCCTTGGGGACAGCGCGAGCGCAGTTGGAGCATCGCACAAAGGTGACGTGGCCTCGGCCGGACTTGTTGCGGCTGTGGGGTGGAGGGATGAAGAGAAGTGATTGCGTGTAAGCAGACATGCGCAAGAGAGAAGAGGTGGTTTGTGGGGGCGAATGTTGGAATGCATGACATCGTCGCAGCAACAGCACGATTCGGAGTCGAAAGCCTAAAGCCTGGAGCAGAGTAGAGCGGAAGAAGCCACAAGGATCAAGAGCCGAAGCCGTCGTGGAGTCGAAGGGTCTGGCGTGGAACAGTTGCTGCAGAGGTCGGTTGACGTTATACATGCAGAAATGTGGTCGATGGGACATGGGAGTCGACACGAATGCAGGAGCAGCGATGGGGAGCGCATTTCTGGAACCAAGCGAAGGGTTGACGTTGGGAAAGCTGGGGTCGAGGAGCACAGCAGATAGGAAGGTCTCGATGAGCAAGGCTGATGACGACACGAGTCGCCTCATCGACATCCCGTCTTGTCTATCTACCACACATCCCGCCCCGTAACACCCTTTCCGACTTCGCTTCGTAGACTTCAATCTAGCTAGCCTTGCTACAGTTTCGCACATGTGCTCTTACGTCGACTGTCGGTGGTGACAGTTGTCACTGAAGTGAGCACGGAGGTCTCGAGGACGAGCGTCATGGCAACGTCCGTTGCGTCGCTGGAGTCGTCTCGCTGGTGTTGCTGTAAGCGATTGTCGTCTGCGGATTCTTCCGACGTGCTTCGAAAATTATGATGGATCTCGCCAGTTTGTGAGAGGACGAGTGAGGCAGAAGGTGGTACGCAGCCCAATGTGCATTGTGGCATTGGCTTTCTATGACCGATGATGCTCTGGCTTTGACTCCGATACGTTGCGAGCTCTGCTTCTGCTGGTTTCTGGTGCTAGGCGATGGGCTTCGATGCGATGATGCAGGTGCTGTTGTCGTGCTTCGGTGGCATGCATTGCGGATGATGTCGAACAACTTACCCGCCGGATCTTCTCTTCTTAGTCATTTTGGATGGTCTTGATGGTGAGAAACAAGAAGGTGGTGATGAGCGCGCTTGCGTCTCTTGACACACACTGCACGCTCGCCGTCGCTGAGCTGTGCTGCGCTACACTGCGTTGACTGACTGACTGACTGGTTCACCGCCTTGGGCCCCCTCGACTGACTGTTCGCAAGCAACGCTCGGGCTTCTTGCTGCATCCAGGCACTGCCGTGTGCTGCCTCGATTGTTCCGCCGAGGTGGTGCATGCCTGCTCAGCGCGATGTGCCCGCGACGAAAGGTCGCAAGACGAAGCGTTTTTTCTTCGTCTCGGTCCAGCAAGCTCGGCCGGGGTGTATCTGTCATGTGACTTGTCATATCTAGGTGGGGCTCATAGCCTATGTAGGCGAAAGAGGTCTGACACTCGACGTTCGGCGAATTCGAGATTTCGCGAAATGAACAGTTTGCATCGATGTAACAATTATCTCGACTCGATTGCACGTGATGGACCCGCGACTTGAAAGTGACACTGTGCGCAGGGTCTCGCGTTGTGAATTTGAGCGCTGCTTGCTGCAGGTAAGTGACCGTGGAGAGAGACTGCCCAAGTGACGTTGTGTCGAGCTTTAATCAATCCAGCGTCGTACCGAATACGTCTTCTTGCTCTCCAACAGCCTTGCACCATCATCCTCCTCGTCGTCCCCGACACGTAGACACCGACACGCTTGCAACGCTCGCTACAAGCACGGACTGACCTGTATTGGATAGCTTGAAGCCACGAGCGACACTCTCCTCGACGCTCGCGTTGCATTCTCCACGCTCACCTTCCAGCCGCGTCGCCTTCATTTCACTTCATCTGCGCTTCCTCGTCACGCATAGAGAACAACACCTATCAACACCTGCACCGATACACAGTCTTACAATATGCTCTCTCCTTCAAGGAGACCACCATCAAGACGCAGCACCCTCTCGCGTTCATCGTCCACCATGAATGACGAAAACATGTCACCCTTTCTCCCTCAATCCGACATCTCCCTCTCTCTTCAGCCGAACGAGCCGCCATCTTCTCCCCTGGTCTCCAATAGCTTCCTCTACAACCTGCCAGATCCCACCTTGGGTATACCTACCACGTCAACCGCATCCGGCAGCCTCGACGTCCTCCCCAGCCCCTACAAGCGTTCGGCCATCGCCTCCCTCAACAAACCCCTCTCTCATGAGCAGGCTCAGCAGCTCCAGTCACTCCGTGCTGCTCAAGTCGTTCCTACATCAGCACTTTCGCTCAGTTCACGCAGCACAAGCCGTCTTCCAGCAAACCTCGATGCTCCCGGCGGTCTTCCTACTCCGCCGAGCTCGTCTGAGGCTTTGACCACCACACCGCGCGCCCCGAATCAGGCTCTCTCCGCCCTGCCACGCGAACCCGTTTCGCCATCTCCTTCTCGCACTCGTACCGCAGTCCTCTCTCCAGCTCGCGCTTCTCCGTCCAGGCCCTCTCGCTCAGCATCTACACCTCGCTCAGCCCTGCGAAGCTCCTCCTCCAGACGCACGCTGGGCGCCGACGGCGACTCGAACAGCGATGACGAAGATGGCAACTTTCTCAGATCTTCCGACGATCATACACCAAAGCGCATGCAACCTCTCCGGGAGCTCGACGAGGCTAGCGGTGAGGATCAAGACGATGACGACGAGGATGATGAAGAGGAGGACGAGATCAAACTCATCAGCTTCACTCGACGCGGTCCTGACGCTACTTTCCTCCGCGAGATCAAGGAGAATGGCTGGGACCAGCCCATGCCTCCTAGCCCCATCAAGTTCACCTACCTCGAGCCAGCCGCTCCTCGACCACCACGTCAGTCGTCGGTGGGCGCACGTGCGCGCTCCCAATCTCGATCAAAGACACCTCAGATCCGCGCTTCTCCCGCACCCAGTCACGCTTCCACGTCTAGAGCTTCACAGCCGTCCCGGTCCGTACGTGCTTCGTCGGTCGCCGCCACTGCTGCTGCTGACGACACCAACGATGCTTCCGACGAGTCCATCAAGAGCTCGGGCACAGCTCTTACCCACGCAAGCAGGGTGTCGCAAGCACGATCCATCAAGTCGTCAGCCAGCCGCAGATCCGCAAGGTCGTCCGTCGCCCCACCCGTGGTCGTTGCCGACCTGACACGCGACCATCCTTCGCTGCCCGATTCGCCTGGCGACGACCCTCTTTTGCTCGTTGGCCCCGACACCTACATCGTCTATCACGATCAGACACCGAGCGCCAAGAACAGATCGACGGCTCGCGCTTCCAAGGCTGCGACTGCACATGCGGATGCAAGTGTATCGACGTTGAGTCATTCTACTCCTCTGCCTGTCGCAGCTGATGCCGCAGGTAAAGCCGCGTCTGAACGCAGAGAAAGCAATGCATCTTTGTCTTCGTCAGCCAGCCGGAGCTCCCTGTACACGCGCATGTCTGGTCGACAGCCTGTCAACGCGGATGTTGGAGCACTCGACAACGAAGACGATCAGGACGACGAGGAGAGTCGACGCACCGAGAACGCCAACGCAACCCAGACGTGGGCCGACGGTATGGATGAAGCGGAGCAGCAGCACGGCCAAGACGGTGCAGTGTTCCTGCCCTTCGATGATGCGGGCTTTGCGTCCGACTCGGATCAAGATGAAGCCGATCCTCTCGAACCGCCCGCCTCTCCACCGGCGCAGGGTGCCGACCAAGATCTCGACGATATGGCATCTATGAGCGATGTTTCGCGAAGCTTTGCAGACGACTCGGCCGCCCATCACAGGTCCGAAATCACAGGTCCCGTCGATGTGTCGGCCGCCGACTCCTCCCTGGAGCAGGACGACAGTGCCATTGTCGACCAGAGTTTGCACGTCGGCTTCGTGGATCAGAGCATGGACGAAAGCGCCCAGGACGAAAGCCACGACTCGATCGCCGATGATTCGCGAGGAGGTGATCAGACCATGGACAAAAGTGCAGCAGAAACGAGCGCAGACATCAGCGAGAACGTCACCAATGATGCTGCTGAAGAGGGCGGTGAGGAGGATAGCCAAGATGCGAGTAGAGCCTTCGACACCAGCCAGCCATCGTTGACTGCCAGCGTCCGCGACGTTTCTGCTGATGTCGAAGCGGTAGAGGACAGCGCGGATATCAGCGCAGCTGTCGATCGTTCCGTCGATGTCAGCCTCGACGACCAGCCTACGGATGTTACGGCGGACGACTCTTCGGCCTCGCTCCGCAACGGGGGACAGAATATGGACGTCAGCGAATCGATCGAGGACGTGTCTATGGCCGTCTCTGATGCTGTTCAGGTGGACGAGACTCAGGATGACTCCGAGGTCGCGGACAATACCGACGATACCAACGAAGGTGGAGCTGGAGAGACCTCAGTCCTGGCTGATGCCACCGTAGACTCTGAAGCAGCTCAGTCGTCCGACCTGAGCTCGTTATCGAGCGCTCTCAGCGAGGGCAGGGAGCACGGGGACGAATCTCAAGCAGTCGATGCGGCAGATGATTCCCAAGGTGCTGGTCCTCTCGAGCACGACCTCACCAATGGAACCTCTGACCAAGACGAGAGCATGGTCGCTGATCCACAAGCAGCGGCTGACGACTCGATTGTCGACATCAGCCGGCTCGCAAACGATCAGGCTCCATCCACCGCAGCACCGCTCCTCGACGGATCGCTCCTGCCAAAGCCGATCGTCCTCCTCGACACTTTACCCGCAGACTCGAGCGCCATCATATCCTGGAAAGCGCATCAGCTCAAGACCAACTCCTCCACCTCTAACCACGATGTCTCCACCGCGTCCACGTTCGACATTGACATCTCGGTTCGGAATCCCGACTCTACAGCGGATGCGAGTGTATCGATGGTGGATCGAGAGGGAGAGATGCCGCGGTCGGAGTCGATGGCTTCGGTGGCTTCGGTGCTGTCCAGCGTGTCTTTGGTCGATGCGGTTGGGGATGAGGACGAAGAAGCGATCAGACGGAAATATCAGAGCAGTCGTGAGTCGGCGGCCGCACGCAGGATCACGCTGTCTCGCAGGCTCTCGCTGAGTACGGATTCGGAGCACGAGAGTGATGCCGAAGAGGAAGACGGGGAGGATTTGCAAGACGCAGAGCAAAGCTCTCTTCAGGGCATAACTGCAATGCGTAGTCGCGTGGACAGTCAGGCTGGGCAGGACGAAGAGGATGATGTGGAAGAAGACGATGACGAGGAGGAGGAGGAGGAGGAGGATCTGGATGATGCAGAGTCTGCGATCAGCGATGAGGCTGCTTCGAGCGAAGAGGAGCAGGACAGCGAAGAGGCTTCGGAAGAGGAATCGGACGACCTCAGCTCAGGCGAAGAAGACGATGTCGACGAAGATGCAAGTTCGCAACTGGACCAACACGAGCACAGCGCATCCCTCTTAGATCCTGTCGTCATCATCTCTTCCTCCGCCTCTCCCTCCGCTGCCTCCACCGCTTCCCTCCCTTCCAACGATGACGCAGAAGCGGACGAGTCGTACGTCATCTCGGTCGTGCGAGATCCCCGCGATCGATCCATCAACCTTAGCGAGCACAGCGTCCTCCCCGACTCCCCGCACATCCACACCCTGCACCTCCGACAACCTGGCCTCGACGACACCCGACCCACCAGCACCACCCTCGGCGGTGACACCTCTCACTCCCGCAGCCGAGTGCTCAAGCTCACCCAAGCGACCTCCACACCCATCGTCGAGATCTCCTCGCTCGACCCGCGAGCAGCCGCTAGGGCGACGGCCATCCTCAAGCTGTTCCACAAGTACGTTGACGAAGGGTGGATTTCCGGTGGGCTGGAGATGGGTGAAACTACGCGGGGTAGGTTGGGACGGGTGGTGGAGGCGATTGAACGAGCTGATTTGGAAGGAGAAGAGGATCTGACGCGGTTGTTGATGGATGCAGAGTTGGAGCTGGCCAGGCCTGCGGAGGAGGAGGAGAGTTTTCTGGGTTCGAGAGCGACCAGCGTCGTGGGGGGCGAGCCGAGCACGCCGTTCTTACCAGGGGGTTTTAGAGCTACACCCGCCGCGAAGGGTGGTAAGCGGACGAGCTTCGGGTTTCCTGGTCTGGCGACTCCAGATGGAAGCAATAGATCGGTGGCGAGACAGGCGAGGCTGTCGGCTGCACTCGCACCTCCCTCCGCCTCGGCGTTCGACCCGCGCGTCTGGGATACCCAGGACTGGGTGCGTCTCGACAAGTACTTCACGCTGGGTGTTAGGAAGATCTCCAGCTCGCTCATCGCCTCCCACCCCTCGAGCGGCGACTCACGAGCCGCGAAAGCGAGGTGCTACGTCGAAGCCTTACAGGGATTAGACGTCGTCGAGGTCTCCAACATGTTTTTCACCGAGATGGGGGTAGCCGAGGGGGCAAGGGTGGATGAATGGGCGGTGGAGAAGGTAGAGTGCAGGGTGGGGGTGTTGCAGAGAAAGTATCTGAGAAAGGTCGAGAGTAAGTACGCGGGGGTTGTTGGGGAAAGACTCGGGGAGGAAGGGGAGGAGAGCTTGCCCACAGGAGATCTGGACTGGTCCTTAACAGCGGCGGATAGCACCACCACTGTTGCTGCCGGGGAGAGGAGGGGTCGGGTTTCGTTCGGTACGCCGTACCGTATGGGTGCGCACAGCACTCCCGCTGTAGGCTTGCTCAGAAAAGCCACGGCGACAGCTGCGGAGAAGCAGGGCAGGTTGTACCCCACCCTACCGACGTCGACTTTGACAGACACTACGGCGGAGACAGAGGCAGAGGGTGTGATGGGTAGAGCCTCGAAACTCATCTCTCGGATCAGCGGGAGTTTCGGTGGACTGCTGGCTAGTCCGCGCGTTTCGGAGGGGAAGAGGAAGGCGAGCGAGGCGCAGTTGGATGCGTCTTCCGCGTGCGAGACGAGAAGGAGAAGGGTGGATGACAGTGAGGAGGAGGAGGAGGAGAGTTCAGAGACGCATTCTGCGCTGTTCGCATCGGGACGAGGTGCAAGCACGATCAACGCATCCATGTTCACCGAAGCCACGTCTGTCGCGGACACCTCCCACCGACCTACCAGCAAGTCTAGCGCGGTTCGACCAACACCCATCCATCCACGATCTCAACCCTCCTCCTCCTCCTCCTCCTCCACTTTGACTCGACCGCTTCCCAGCACCAACACCAGCAGCACTACACGTCCGATGGCATCCGCACCGCCCAGCAGAAGCCACACCTTCACCTCGTCGCGACAATTAGCCGGAGGATCCTCCGGAGTGTCGCACACGCCGCTGTCTCTGCTCTCGCCGGCGACGCATCGGGTAGCTGCGCGCAAGGTGGACGAGTTGCGGCAGAGCAGGGCACAACGAAACTGGACTAGTCCCCGTCGACAGCTGACCATGGCCCGAACACGCAACACAGTGGGAGGAGTGCGAGATACGAGGGAGGTGAGACATCCAAGAGGCGGCGATAGCAGTGGTGGGGATGGGAGTGGAGCGTCATCGTCGTCGTTGTCGTCGGATGGGAGTTTGTCGTTGGCAGAGATTGTGATGTCGAGTGCTGCGAGGGATGCTGTGAGGGGGAACAGAAGACGGGGGTGAAGAAGCTGTGAGTGCGAGAAGGTTTTGCGCGATTCACTTTGTCTTGGTGACAATATACACAAAGTAATGAAACATATCACCCAACGTCCTCGTTTCCACTTCCCAACCATCGACCTCTTCCAACCACTTTTGTCGAAAATGTGGCTGTCCGAACGTGATATAGATCAACTTCGCACCCTTCTTCAACACCTTATCCACACCCTGGAGCATATCGCGTACATCCTTTACCACCTTCTCGCTAGGGTTCCAGACGGAACTTCCCTTTCCTTCCGCCATGAGAGCGTCCATGGTTCCTTTGTCTATCGCAACGTCGAACGAAGCTTCACCGTCGAGAGTGAGTAGGTTGGAGGGGGTAGTGAGTTGGGTTATGTCCATTTCGAGGTAGGTTTGATCGGGATAGCGGGTGGAGAGACGGGTGATGAGGGTGAGGGAGTAGTCGATGTTGACGATGTTGGTGTAGCCAGCGGTATGCATGGAGGGGGAGAGGGTGGAGTTGCCGCAGCCGAGCATGAGGATCCGTGCGGTGCGCGAGGGTATCAGCTCATCAAACAGCGCTTTAAGATCATCATACTGTATCAATATCAGACACAGAAGAGTATTAGAAACGGATAGAGAGAAGAAGAGGAGGAGTGGAAGATGGGGGGCTTACACTTTTGAACCAGTCGAAATCTTGCTCGCTCTCATCCGCATATCGTTGCTCCCAGTACTCTTTCTCGGAGAATTGCTCGTTGCGTTCCGCTGATAATGACATTGATCCCCACTACAACGTCGTGTGAAAAAGGTCAGGGTTGAAAGTGGTTGAGGTAAAGGACAGATGCGGCTGGTCGAAACGATGGATTGGGAAGGATGAGAAGGATCACCGCTGCTCAGACAAGAAAGCAAAACCCCAAAAATCCACTTCAGGGTCCACACCTCCAACAACGCTTCTCCCGACTTCCGCCACGTGCCAAACGCCTCAAACAGCTCTCCCTTTCCCACCAGCCTCTGCAGCCACCAAACCCACACACGCAAATCACACACAACACGGCACACCTATCAGATAGCAAACATACACACCTCCTTTCGAGATGCCAACACCTGTTTTTTATATCATTCACTACTCGCAGCGCATCAAATCTTCGAAAAAGCGCGCCCATCAAGCGTTCATGTACGAACTGGCCTCGATGGTCTCTGGCAACTCGGGCACAGCCACCTCGAATCGGCTCTGGATCTGCTTCAACACCTCGGCGTCCTCGTCGCTCGAAACGAACATGATCGCCAAACCCTTGGTACCGAACCTACCGGCCCTACCCACCCTGTGCAGGTAGCTGTCGGCATCCGTCGGCGTGTCGTAGCTGATCGAGACGTTGACGCGCTCCACGTCGATACCACGGCCAAAGATGTCGGTGGCGACGAGGATGCGCTTCTCAAAGTTCTTGAACTGCTGGTAGCGCTTGATCCTCTCCTCCTGCGCCAGTCCGCCGTGGATGCAGATCGAGGGGAAGTTGCACTCGCGCAGCAGCTTGTCCAGCTCGTTGGCGCGCGAGATGGATTTGACAAAGATGATCACCTGGTTGAACTCGAGCGAGTCGAGCAGATCGTTGAGCTTGCGGTTCTTGGTCGCTTCCTCCAGACGCACGTAGTGCTGCTGCAGACCGTGCAGGGTCAGCTTGGTCTCGTCGTCGACGTAGATCTCGAGCGGGTTCTGCATGAACTTCTTGCATGTCGGTCGAACCTCCTTGGCGAGCGTGGCCGAGAACATCATCACCTGCTTGTGGTGAGGCGTGGCGCGGAAGATGTCCTGCACGTCCCTGCGCATGTCGACCTGCTCGAGGATCTTGTCGCACTCGTCAATCACAAAGTGCTTGACACCCGACACCTTGAGGCTCTTGTCGCGCACCAGCGCGTTCATGCGACCGGGCGTGCCGACGAGGATGTGAGGGCACTTGGCCTTGTCCTTGAGCATCGCCTGGTTCTCGGCGACAGGCGTACCGCCGTAGATGACACCGGTTCGCACGTCGGGCATGTACTTGGTGAAACGAGCGTACTCGTTGCGGATCTGGTAGGCCAGCTCTCGCGTGTGGCAGAGAACGAGCACCGACACTTCGCCGTCGACGGGCTCAATCTGCTGCAGCGTAGCCAGCACGAACACGGCGGTCTTGCCCATACCAGACTTGGCTTGGCAGACGACGTCCATGCCAAGGATCGACTGTGGGATACATTCTTGCTGGACTGTAGCGTCGGCAAGCAATATGCATGATGAAACAGCGAAAAGAATAGTCAGCGGATGCGGTTCCTCGGGCGCAGTGGAAAGGTCTGATAATGGCAACTTTTACTCACCCTCGGAAGGGTGTTCGAAACCGAGATCGGAAATGGCTCGGAGGAGCTCGGGCTTGAGAAGGAAATCACGGAAACCTGTAGAGTGGATGCCGACGTACGAGCCCTGTTGATGTGTAAAGGATGGTCGTGTGAGGTCGAAGAGTGTATCGAAAGACAGTCCAGGATGTCGGCGTGGATTGGAAAAGGTCGTAAAAGGTTAGAAGGGCAGGGACGGGAGTGTTGAATACGGGAGGGAGGGGTTGAGAGGGACCGATGTATTGTGGTCGAGCCGTTGGAAGATTGCGAGGTTGACCGATGAGGTGCGGGAGACGATAGGATGAGATGACAGGTCGAGGTGGAATGGTTGGGCAAGATAGAGAAAAGGAGTGAAGAAGATAATGTTTAGAAAGGTCTTGTTCGAGGTACGTGAGGCTGCGGAATGCAAGATGCGGTAAGACGATGCCGATGGATCCTCGTTTGGCCATGTTGAGTCAATGCAGGGCAGCGATGCGGCGGTCGTTTCCAATGGCGGCCGTCGGGGCCGAGTGGCTCTTGCAGCCGGCACCGGTGGTTGCTGATTGACAGCAGCCTGGGACGTTGACAGGCGGGCCTGCGCGTCCGAACTGGACGACGTTTGTGACGCTATGCACTCGTCAGACGAGCGTTCTCCAAGAGTGCGACGACCGAGCGGCTTGTTCGCCCAAGTCTGTCTGCCTCTCGCTGCGAGTCGAGTCGAGCGGAGCGACATGGCCACCTCCTCGACGTGGCAGCGCGGTGCTAATGCACCTCGTTGTCGGGCAACGACTGCGCATATCGTGGGTATTGCGCCTACGATGCAGCTGCGATTGGTATACTTTTAAAAAGGCCGGATCTGGGAATCGCTTTCATCGGATGGGAGGCGTGAAGATGATGCTTGCCTTTTTGTCTTTTTCGTCGGCGGTGGCGGCGCCGTTACCGGTAGCAGCGGCGCCGTTGGTGGTAGAGGTGGGGGCGACGGCGACCTCCTCCTCGTAGTCGATAAGACTGTGGTGCATGAGGTATCATTGCGAATGTCAGTGGTCGGTTCGAGTGCGAGCTGCGTTTGCGGATTTGCTGAAAAGGCGGAGTGAGGAACAGAAGAAGACTCACTCTTCGTTGTCGATGGCGGACATGTTTGTTGGTGGTGGTGTGTATGGAGCTATGAACGAGACTGTGGCGGATGGAAAGCAAATTGTGACACGACTGGTGATGGCGAGAAGGAGAGGCGGATCGCGACGACGGCAACACTAGAAGAAACGATTGCGGATGGATCCAACACCCAATTCCACATTATTGCAGCTCAGCAGTCTAAGCCTCTTCAGCCAAAGTGCCTCCCAGACAGAGCGACTGTGCGCACTTGATGCATTTGGATTTTGGGCACCTGGACAGAGGAAATGCGCACAAGTGATCGCGTCCGTCTTGCGCTCGTGGCAGTTGAGCGCGTTCGAGGCAGGGCCGACTTCTAAAGTGCTGGCTGTAGGTGGAAAGGCACTTCTCGTGCGAGAGAGGTCCATCAACTGCCTTCCCTGTCGCTTTCTATCGCAGGAGCAGGACTCTTCGACCAGGCTATAGCGAGTTCAATCGGTATCTTCAGCCTCGGTCGGAGCACACAGATGATTCGGGGTCCTCTCAAGGCAGTATTGTCGTGTGCTCACAATTCAATTTCCAGAGGGAAAGAAGTTGGCAGATCTACAACAGACCATGACTGTGAGGAAGCTAATACAATAATGGCAGCCAAAAAAAGAGGTCGCTTTATTGCAGATCGCCCGATTCTGACTCGCCTATCGACCGATTACTGGTGATCTCAGCGTCAACGAAACACGACCTCTTGAGCGGTACACCCTAGCGAAGTGCCGAAAGGCCGACCGGGTCGAGATAAGGCAGATACACGGCAAATACAACGAGCCGATGGGACGGCAAAGAGCGTCTTCCAGCCTTGTTGCCGGTCTGATAGGCAGTCGACGCCTCACTTGACACGATACTCAGGATGGAGCGGCACGGGCGATTGACGTCGCTCCGACACGGTGGACTCAGGGTTCGGCGCGAAAGGGCGTCGATGTGCCAAGCTGGTCAAAAGTGGAGCGAAGCGAGCAAGGGTCGAGCAAGCCGAACCAAGATCGACGGAGAATTTTGGCATCTCGAAAAAAAAGCAAGGCAGCACAGCTAGTCTCTAGCCATTGCCGGACTGATTGCCGGGCAGCAGCCACGTCGAAATCTGCCACAGACTCACTCATTCTGCCGGATCGACACAGAGTCGAGCGCTGTTCATGCCTCCCTGGGCTTGAGAATGATGCTCCGCTGAGGATTCGAGTCTGGATTCGTATAAGAGACGGCACCCGTCCTGCTCCGGATTCGTGAGTGAATCCCGCCTTCGATCGAACCACCACACCCTGCCGCTATCGACCAAGATATCGTCTTTCACTCCGTCCAAAAGATGACCAAGACTCTCCACGAACGATTCCTCCAAGAAAAGACGGTCGCCGTCGTCGGCTGCCCCTTCTCGGGGGGTCAGAGGCGCAAGGGTGTCGACACGGGCCCCGTCTCGCTGGTCCAGGCGGGCATCTGCGAGCAGCTCGAGTCGCTCGGCTGGAAGGTCGACTTTACCGGACACCACTCGTTCGACCACATCAACGAGGGCATCGCCAATGACACCGACATTGGCATGATGAAGCTGCCGCGTACGGTCTCGGCGGTGACCAAGCAGGTGGCCGAGGTGGTCGAGTCGCACGCCAAGCAGGGCAAGCTGCCGCTCACGCTGGGTGGTGATCACAGCTTGGCGCTCGGCACCGTCTCTGGGTCGCTGCGAGCACACCCGGATGCCGCGCTCATCTGGATCGACGCGCACGCCGACATCAACACTCCAGACACGACCGAGTCTGGCAACCTGCACGGCTGCCCTGTCTCGTTCTTGCTCGGGCTGCAAGGCACCGACGTCGAGCCGTTCAACTCGTGGGTGCCCAGCAAGCCACTGCTGCGTCCCGACAGTCTGGTGTACATTGGTCTGCGCGACATTGACGCGGGCGAGCGCAAGATCCTCAAGGAGAACAACATCAAGGCGTACAGCATGCACCACGTCGACAAGTTTGGCATCGGCAGGGTGGTCGAGATGGCGCTCGACCACGTCAACGGCGCACCAGGCAAGCGCGATCGTCCCATCCACCTCTCCTTTGACGTCGACGCGCTTGACCCCAGCGTAGCTCCTAGCACAGGTACACCGGTGCGAGGCGGTCTCACCTTCCGCGAGGGCCACTACATCTGCGAGGCGCTCTACGAGACCGGCTGCTTGGTGGCGCTCGACTTGATGGAGGTCAACCCGTCGTTGCTTGAGGACCGCGAGGCGCAGCAGACCATCGCCGTGGGTTGCTCGCTCATCCGCTCCGCCATGGGTGAGACTCTGCTGTGAGCATCCACGCACGAATCGGTCACGCTCCCACATACTTCCGTAGCACAGCTGCTGCCACTGCATCTCTTTCACCATGTCCATCTGTAATCTATTCATCGCCAACATCCTTTTGGCTCTGCTTCCGACGTTGTGTCTTTCCTTGGCTCGAGCAGGTTGAGCAGCTTTGCGAGCAGTGTCGTGGACCACGCAAAGTGACAGAAAAGCCGATGTGGTGCTCAGAAGGCTCAAAGCGCAACAGCCGGTTGCAATCGCTCGTCTTTGTTCAAAGGGTCCAGGAAGGCAGGCAACCAGCGCATGTCGCAATAGCAACGGCAACGGTAGCAGAGCAGCCAGCGCGCGTGTCCTTCCTGCTCTTTCCTCCACCTGTCTTTGCGTCTGGTGTGTGTGCCGTGCTGGACAAAAAAAAAGTGTTGCTCTTTCTCGTGCAGCATTTCACCATTTTCTTCCCGATTGGATTCTTCAGAGTGACGCGGCAGCACACGGCTCTCACGCGTGACATCCGACGACTCAGCCGCAACGACCAGACGCAGCCAGACAGGGTCTAAGCTTTTTGGGCACACAGGGAACGGCAAAGTGCATGCATTGCGATTTCATCCATGGCTTAGCCGTCAGTCACCTTGTTTGTTCTCATTTACCTCTCCCACACTCTCTTCCGACAGGCTTTGCGGGACGGTGCGTTTCGACAACTCAGGCGACGGACGGTCCGACAGGAGAAGAGCGAGACGAATGTCGCCAGCCTTCAGTGATTAGACTTCTGACACGCTGTCTCTTTGTCCACCGTCGCTTCACCACAAAAGCTTTGGCTTCAATTCTTCTGCAAACCCGCATCTGCTCGTCTTCGCTCGACTGACTCAGCCCCACCACGCCGCTCTCGGCCATCCTTCCGACCGCACCACCACCAGTACACTGTAGCACTGTCAAGCCGAGCGCAACAAATCAGCCCCACGCATTATCTGCGCTTCATCGCGTCATAAACGACAGCCACCTCACCGCCACTCGTCTCGGCATCACCACCACCTTCCTTCCCTCCCTCCCTTGGCGTTTGCGCATACAGCACCATCAAATCCTACCATCACCGCTTGCCCATCGTCATCACCTGGTCCGACGATATCGGCTGCTGAGCCAACATGGCAGACGCTGCACCCGGCACACGCAGTCGTCGACGCCGCACTTCCTCGTCCGACGACACTGACGTCCAAGTCATCATTCCCGTCTCGCCTTCCGCTCCCGCTGCTGGCCACAGGGCAGCAGCCAGGGGCAAGAGGGATCGCAAAGCGAGCGCAAGCCGAGATACCACAACACCACCGCCTCACGAAGACGAGCCCTCCCGAAAGGTTCGATTTCGTCGAAGCCCCGGCAAAGAATCGAACGCCGCTTCTAAAGACGACGGTAACAAGAGCCATGAAGCAATAGCAAAGACCGTAGCAGATGGTGATAAGACTCTCGGAGCAGCAGCAGCATCCTCCTCCTCCTCTTCGGGCGCCGATGCGCAAGGAGAAGAAGGCTCAAATTCGCTCGTCGATGGCGGCACGGCGCCTACGGCTGGCAGCTCCACGCATAGCTCGTCTTCGACACGGAAAGCATCACCAGCCTCTGCAAAGAGGACGACGAGGGATCTAGCAAGCGAGCTTTTTGACGACGATGACGACGGCGACGATGCAGGAAAGCCAGAGCAAAAGGGGATCAGAGAAGCTGCGACGAGCGACGCGGACGATGCAGCAGCCAACGGAAAGAGAGCGAGCACCGATCCGCAGGAATGCCTTCTGGAGGTGGTCATTCCTCGTCGCAAGCGTCGACGCGCTAGCTCAGATTCATCCCAAGCGGAATCGCAACCGAGCTCGTCGTCCTTCACAACCGCCGTCGAAGTCGAGCCGGCCCGCAACAATGCCACCGACACCGCTTCGCTCCAGCTTCGTATCCGGCAACTGGAGATGCAGCTGGCCGAATCCAAGAGACATGCGGAGCAGAGCGCCACCGTCGTTTCTGCGCAGAACACCATCTTCCAGGAGATTCATGGACTGTGCGTCTGTCATATCTGCCTCGAGCCTTCCTTCCGCCCTTGCGTCCTGGCACCCTGTGGTCACGTCTTTTGCATCCATTGTCTACGATCGTGGTTCACCAGACGCGCCGACGGCGAGGCCACGCCTCCCGAGAGCTGGTCGCGCGAGGAGGCGGAGCGATACGAACGCTCGCGCACGCTCAAGCGCAAAAAGCTTTGCCCTTCCTGCCGCACCGAGCTTGCCTGTCCACCAGTCGAGGTCTACCTGATCAAGGACATGTTAGAGAAGGTGGACCATGGACTTGAGCTCAGCAAAGACGCCAACGTTGACGAGCAAGTCGCAGAGTCGAGCACCGCCATCCTTTCGGTGGACGACAAGGCGCGGCTCAAGGGCGAAGACCTGCCCAAGGGTGCCAAGCTGTGGGAAGGCATCTTTGACCAGGATGGACCGCGTCGTATCATCTTTGACGAGGTGGATGGTGTCCCTCGCTGCGGTAGCTGTGCATCCGAGATATTCGACGGCGCCTGCAGCAACCCGTCGTGTGGGATCGAGTACGACTCTCATTCGGACTACGAGGGCTTGCATCGAGCTGGCTGGGATCAAATGGACGGATTCGATTCAGATCAGGATAGCGATGAAGAGGACCGACCGCGACCACGACGCAATGGCGTGCTTGCCGAGCGACTGGCCGAATTCGAAGCACGTCACGGTCGATCGGAGGGACTGCATCATCGCGGAGGAAATCGACTCGAGCTGCCGGACGATTTCACGGGCATCACGTACATTGATTCGTCGGACAACGAGCACTTGGTGGACGAGAGGACAGGTAGGATATTGCGACCCAACGGTCTGCGAACGGGTCCACGTGGGCGCGGCTCGGACGATGATGAAGACGACGAGGAGATGGACGACTTTATCGTTGGCGACGACGAGGACCTTGATGGCTTTGCTGACTCGGCGTCGCCGCACATTGCGCCTTGGCACCGCTACGACGGCCATGACTTCGATATGAATAGCGACTCGGAGGAGGAGGATGAGGAAGGGGAGGAGGATGACTTCTTGCCTGGTCCGAGGCGGTACAGGGGTGGATCGGCCATCGAAATTTCAGACGAGGAAGGGAGCGAGGGGGGACGCGAATCGAGTGTCGAGTATAGGGGCAGGCGAGGTGGTAGAAGAGTGACGGATGACGACAGTGTGGAGGAAGAGGAGGAGGAGGACGACTTGAACAGCGATAGCGAGGGGTCGGATGTGCCGAGCGTACAGAGCGTAAGTGACGGGGAGGAGGAAAGCCGGCACGCAGGGATGGGCAGCAGCACTGACAGCAGCGTGAGGCGTCGACGGGCTCGGATTGTGGACGACGAGGATGAGGACGAGGATGAGTAGTTGCGGCACGTGGCAGATCCGATTTGCAAACACACACAGGGTGGTCCTCAAAGCAATCATAGCAATCAAGGGGTTTCAACACGCACGTCGCAGAATCATGCATCCTCAGAATCGGCATTTTGACATTCAAACTACATCGGCAGTGCGGAAGGAACCAGTACTGAAAGAGTCACCGCCGAAGCCTCTTCTACCCGCTCTCTTTGAAGTTGGAGAGACGAGTGGAGATGCGTGCTCGTCGTGAGGGGTTGTGAAGTAGCTATCGTCTTGCCTGGTATAGCGATATCCATGGTTGGGATGAGTTGCACTAAATTCCTGCTGGAACATCGACCTTTGCTTGCCCCTTCCCTTTTCGCTACTGGGCTGGTCGACCCGATCAACAAACACATAGGCGGTCAAATACAGCACTCCTGCAGCCATCACCCCCATGGTAATCCCAAACACGCTCGCAGCTCCCAAAAAGATGTACACCGGATACAGCTCTTTCACCACAGCAGAGATGAGTGAGAAGGGTATCTGGACAAACAGGAAGAATAGTCCGAGGAAGAGGTACGTTAGCGGTGCTAGGATGTGTTGTATAGGAAGGAGAATCGAGGTTAGGGAAAGGTGAGTGTAGTGGTAAGACGTGGTGAGGAGGTGGGAGAGGAGATGGAAGAGGTGAATGAATGGGATGGATGCAAAGCGGAAGATGAAGGTGGTGGTGGTGGAGAGGAGGGTGAAGATGGATGTGATGGTGGATACGATGGTGGTTGAGGAGGAGGAGTGATCGTCATCGTAGTCGTCGTGGTCGTCATCATCGTCGTCATTACGGGGGAGCGACTTTCGTTGAGTTCGAGATCGTGTAGTTCGAGCGGTTTGCTTTCGTTTCTGCTGCTGCTGTCTAGCTGACGGTTTAGCGACGACGGCAGCAGAAGCCTTACTGGCAGCGTTCTTGAGCTTGTGTTTCATGTCCGATCGTGCAGCGGAAAGGTAGTCCTCGTGCTTGAAACTGAACACGTCCGGCTCTTGATCCTCGTCCTGCTCCTGTGTCGGATACGCCGTTTCGGTCAACCCCAACCCTCCCGTCACATTCTTCTCCACCAGCGCTTTGCTCCCACCCCCACCCCACAAATACGTCTTGACATACGGCACCACTAACGCCAGAATCAGCGCCAATACGGCCAACCGCACCAACTTGCCCACCGAACCTGCCAGCGTCGGTTCACCATCTCGCGGCGGTGGATGGGAGCGTGTCCGCGAAGAACGCCTCTTCTGTTGCTGTTCGAAGAACGCTCGTTGACGCGTGGTGGGGGAGGTGGAGGATGAGGAGGAGTAGCCATCGGCGGAAGAAATACTTCGCCTCATCGTGTGTGGTTCGATGTTGATGATGGTCGCGCGTGATGGACGAGAGAGCGTGTGAAAGAGCAAGTGCGTCACAGGTTGGACCCTGCGTCGAGAAGTCAAGGTGCTCGGAATTCGGAGTCCCTCACGCACGTTCAAGATTTTAGGTTGGAAGAAGGATCGGAGCATCCGCCAAAATTTGCTTTTCTTCGATGAAGCAATACTTACATACACTGTACTGCCGCCCGTTACTTCCCTATCACTACTCGCTTTCATCTCCGAATGCCACTCTTGCCAGAGTTGGCTGCTCGGAACATATTCAATACGCTCCGGAGGGAATTGCGGTCGAGCCGAAAACACGCTGCCAACATGTCGGCGCCGTATAGACATCCTCATTACGGCGGTGCCGGTTCGAGTACAAATCGTCAGTGGGTCAGGGATCAACCACAAGGTCCTGCCGCGGGGTACGCCTACGGCTACGATGCATATGATGGCGCGCAACGAGAGCACGATGCGTATGCGAGACAGTATCACGATGCGTACCAGCGCGACTACTACGCACGCTATCCGTCGGCGTACGGCGATTACCGGCGAGATGCATACGCGGATGCGCACGCCTATCCGTGGCAGGATGCACATGGCTACAGCCAAGCTCAAGCGTACGGCGATGCTGCAGCTGCGTGGAGAGGCGACGGATATGAAGCGTACGCCCACCCGCAGGATGCGCACTATGGGGCTTACCAGCAGCAGCACGCGTACGGACCTCCTCCCGCTGCGAGGTACGCGTACGAAGCGCACGCGATGCCGCCTCACCCACCACCGACGACGAATCGAGCGTGGAATGGCGTAGAAGCTGCTCCGAAGGGTGTGGACGGTGCGCCGGCTGCTCCGAAGGCAATGCGCGATGCTGCTGCCGCAACAACAGCTGGCGATGCACCCTCCTCACATAGTCCAGCTGGGGTATACAACGCTGCCTATCATGCACCGTACCAATACAACGGATTCCCGCATCAACAGCAACGAGAATACCACGGCTCCGCCTCTTCCTCTCCCGGCCCTCACTATTCTCGATTCCAACCGTACCATCGAGCCTCTCCCTCTGCAATGTCAGCACCGATGACTCGTCAACCCCCCGCCATCCGCGCCGCTCCCCGACAGAGCTACCTCGAACAGGCAAAACAACCATCCCGGCTGCTGAGCGAGGAGGAAGCTGCCGATCGCAAGCTGCTCGTCATCCTCGATCTCAACGGAACACTCGTGTTCCGGGCAAAGAGTGGGAATGGTAGAGCTAAGGATTCCATCCGTGCTGTACCCAGACCGTTCCTGCTGTGCTTCCTAAGGTACTGTCTCGGCACCGCTTCGGCGAAGGGGAAAGAGCTGGATCCGACGCTCAGTCGTCCTCACGGCTCGCACTTCTGGCAAGCCGAGAGCGAGCCCCGTTCGGCGGGGAAAGCAGAGGTGGTGGTGTGGTCGTCCGCTCAGCCCGTGAACGTGGACAGCATGCTCACCGCTTCCTTCGATGCGACGGTGCGCGGTCAGATCTTGAGGGTGTGGGCGAGGGATACGTTGGTCCCTGCGCGGTTCTACCAGAGCAAAGCGGAAAGCATCAAGGATCTGGAGATCGTCTGGGCCGAATTGAACGCGTTTACGAACGACAGGCCTTCTCCGGGCAGGTTGATGGCTCAATCGAGGGATCAGATGGATCAGGCTAGACCAGATGACGTCCCGCCACCGGCACCGCAGCCTGGTGCGCCGCAGAAGGAGAAAAAGTACAAGGGCAAACGACACAAGGAGAAGATGAAGGCTCAGAAGCAGCAGCAGCAACAGCAGGCGCAGGAGAACGTAAGCGCGAGTTTGGAGGCGGCGAGGCAGGCGGAGGAGCTGGGTCCGTGGGGTGCGGAGAACACGGTGCTGGTAGATGACAGTCCGGCGAAGGCGAGATTGCAACCGTACAACCAGCTGGTGGTGAGCGAGTTCGGCAAGGAGGATGCGGGGAGGATGAAAAAGTTCATCCGTCAAGTGATGGCTGAATCGGAGGGGAATGCGGCTGCTGAGGAGGAGGACGAGGAGGAGCTGGAGTACGATTCGGATCTATCCGTCGCAAAGGACGACACGACAGCGCCCCGTCAAGAGGTCGCGGAGGAAGAGGAAAAGGTGTCCAAGAAGAAACCCATCCCCGAAAGCCGGCTGGACGACACGCTGCTGCAGACGATCGGAGTGCTTGAAACGCTCAGGTACCAATCGAACGTCAGCGCGTTCATCTACGGTGGGGGCATCAAGGGGTATGCGGAGGCAAAGACGAGTTTGAACGAGCAGCAGAGGTTGCAGGCGGTGGAGAGGGGAGAGACGCCCGAATTCTGGGCGCAGAGGGGTAGGGAGGTCTGTGGAAAGTTGGGGATCGAGGTGAGGGCGTGGATCAAGGGTGAGGCTGCGAGTGCGACTGCGGCGTTGCTGTAATGCGGGGACAAGGGAGAATGTTAGAAAGATGGAGTGAATTTGTGGTTCTGTGTGTGCAAGTGAGAGGTGTCGGAAGATGATCACCTCCACAGTGTATATGCAGGGTGTGAGTGAGGCAAGGGCGGAATTTCAGTGTTCGGAGAGAAAGCGTGACTGAGCCACAAAATATTGAAACGCACAGGCTGCACAGTGTGTGTGATAAGGGTCCATCCCCGCACAAGTCTCCTTTCTCACACGACCACCATCGTCCGTATTGTCGTTGCGATCCGTCAGCATCAGCTTCAACACCGTCATCATGGAGGCAATGTCCGTCGACGCTGCACCCAGCACCACCACCACGACGACCGGTGACACCGTACCCTCCACCTCCTCTTCCTCCACTGCACCCAACCTCGACGGCATCCTCCTCCTCGAAGCGCCCTTCGCCAAACTCCCCTTCGACGAACTACGTCGGCAGCAGAAAACCCAACAACGCCTCATCGAACGCGAACTCCTTTTCGCCAGCACTACCTTCACTGATTCACCTCCTGCTGCTTCCAATGCAGATCTCGAACGGTCCCTTGACACGGTGCTCGGGCGACTCAAGGGGCTCAAACGCAAGCTCGCACCGCTCGCGGATTCCGCCAAGACGTCGCTGCGCATGGCGCAGTCGAGAACGGACCATCTAAATGCGCTCCACAAGATGACGGATTCGGACTCGGCAGAGTTTCAGGAGTGGTCGAGGACGAGGCTGGATCGTATGATCGTGGACTACATGTTGAGGAGGGGGTATAGGGGGGCAGCGGAGGAGTTGGTGGTGGAGAGGGGGTTGGAGGATCTGGTGGATAGAGGGTTGTTTGAGGATGTGGCGAGGGTCGAGGATAGTCTGTGTCCTCCGGGGTGGCGTGATAGCGAGGATGTGAAGCCGAGCTGTGCATTGGCGCTTGTCTGGTGTTCCGAGAACAAGGCTACACTCAGAAAGATCCGTACACCGCTGGAGTTCAACCTCCGGCTCCAGGAGTTCATCGAACTCACACGCACGCGGACACCGGAATCCATGAAGGAAGCCATCTCGTACGCGCGTCGCCACCTGCTACCGCTCATCACCGCTCCGCTGGTCAAACCTTCCAGCTCGGACAGCAAGGATGCCGAGTACGAGCGGCTAGCGGCGCTCGCCATGCGGCGCGAAGTGTCGCGCGCCATGGGACTGCTCGCGTGCGGACCGTCGTCGTGGGCGTACAGCGATCTGTACGATCTCTCGCGCTGGTCCATGCTGCGCGATTCGTTCCGCTCGTGCGCCCTCCAGATCCACAGCCTCCCCGCACAGCCCATGCTGCACATCGCCCTCTCCGCAGGCCTCTCCAGCCTCAAACTCCCCCAATGCTACGATACCAAGGAAGAAAAGAGCACGGATTGTCCGATCTGCGATGCAGATGGGCTGGGCAAGTTGGCGGCAGAGGTACCGTGGAGTCACCACCAGAACTCGACGTTGGTCTGCAGCTGGTCAGGCAGAGTCATGGACGGCGACGATCCGCCCTTGGTATTGGGTAACGGCAGGGTGTACGCCCAGAGCAGTGTGGTCGAGTTGCTGAATAGAGAGCAAGAGGGAGCCAAGTTGATCAGGTGTCCCAGGACGGGCGAGAGGTGTAGCGTGGACGAGGTCAGGAAGGTCTTCATTTCGTAGCAGGAGGGTTTGCGAAATGCAGTAATGGAAATTGCAAGAATGAAAGATGCACATGTGTGGAATGCGACAAGAGAGAATGAAGCGATAGGGGAAAGGAGTTCAGACCAACTTGAACGTCTCGTTGCGGGGGACTCTACCGTTCGGCTTGGGTTGTGGTTCGTCGGTGATCCGCAGCTGGAGCGTTGCAATAAGCGTCTGGTTCTTGGCGCTTTTCACGTGGATCCACCTTCCGAACTTGTGCTCCTTCCCGACGGCGGCGATGAGGATAGGAGGGGAGTTCTGCTTTGTTGCTTCGAGACGGGTGAGTTTGTGCGTTTCACCGTCTTCCGCTCCACCATCTCCGAGTCTACGTTTGTACTCCTGCGGTTGAACGGCCGATGTTCGCAGCAGCCCATCTTGCTTGAACACGCTCGGGAGTGGCGGCTGGATCAGCTGCAGAGAGTTCACCACCCCTTCGGCAGGAAGCCTTCCCAGTTCCCTAAACCCTTTCACTCCACCTGACCCGCCTCCTGTCAAACCCCACACCCGCACCCAGCCATCCCAACTACCACTGACGAACACATCCGCATACTCCAACGCTGCCAAACTCGTGATCCACCTTGGCGTTTGGATCGCCCCTTCCGTCTCGCTCTGCTTGACCTCGAACCCGTGGGCGACGGGAACGCTGAAGATGGGTTTCTTCTTACCCAGGTTCCACAGCGAAATCGTACCGCTATCTCCACCGGATACAAAGTGGTGCGAGTCGATCATGCTGACGACTTCCACCGAACCCTCCATCGCTTCCACGGGTGAGGTGAGCGAAGACTGCGCCAGGTCACCGCCTTCCAGCACGGTCCGCAGCTTGGACCGAATCCCAGCGCGGAAGACGAGCTGCGATTCATCGCGGATCTTCCAGTACCGACAGGTGCGATCGCGTCCGCCTGCCGACACCGCCGTTTCCGCCGAAAGACACGAGAGCGAGAGCACGGACTCCTGATGTCCAAACAGCGTTTCAATGTAGGAGAGCTGAGCGACGTCGTAGAGCTTGAGGGTGCGGTCGAGGGAGGCGGTGTAGAGCTCGTGCGAGGTGGAGCGGAAGGAGAGCGAGGTGATCGAGTCCTTGTGGCCGGAGAGGGTGGAGTGGAAGGATTCGGTGGTCGGGGTGAGCGACCAGATGCAGATGTGGCGGTCGACTCCGGCGGATGCGAGGAAGCGACCGTCGGATGAGAGCGAGAGCGACCAGATCTCGTCCGTGTGTCCTTGGTCGGATGTGAGGGGTAGGTAGGAGGACTGGCCGGTGGTGGAGGTGGCCGAGAGTCGGGCACGTCGTCTCGCCGCGCCGGAGGATTTGCTCTTCTTGGCGGAAGGCGGTGGGATGGCGATCCCGGACTCGTCGAAATGAGATGGTCGTTTGGGTAGGATCCGCGTCATCTTGCCGTCTCGCAAACGATACCGAATGATGCTGCCGTCTTTGCTCGCTGTGAACAACCACTTGGCGTCGGAAGATGCGACTGCACAGGTCACGCTCAACCTGTGTCCCCGAACGGCCATGATCGAGCCCTCGACATCTACCTCTTCTCCGCTACCCGACTCTGTTGTAGATGGCGGGAGTACGATGCGATCCGCCAAGAACAGGTGGATCTTGCCACTTTGCTCGGCAACATCCTTCTGCAACCTCGCGGCGATATTCTCCCTATCCGCCTGTGCTGCATCTGCCAACCCGAACGTCGGTCTATCGTCCGATTCGAAAAAGTCGTCATCATTTCCGTCGCCACTCGCTGCTGCCGCTGCTGCTGGTGCATTGCTGGAAGACAGTCCCTGTAGGTACATTTTGGCCAGCCTAACACGTGCTTCAGCCGGTGTTTCCGCCGCGTCCGCCTCCTCGTCACTATTCGCGTCGTGGTCGTAACGATGTGTGAGGTCCATGTCGTCGATGCCGCCGCCGGGAACGTCGGAGTCGTCATCGTCGTCGCTGTCGTTGGTGGGTTTGCGAGACGATTTGCGTGGCGAGGGCGAGGGTTTGGTGCGTGATGGACCTGCACGACTCGAGCCGGATGTGTTGGAGGTGGCGGATGTGCGCTTGCGCTTCTTTTGGAAGAAGGCGTCCGGCATGGTGCTGACTAGTATCAAGCTCGACCGAGTCCGGTGAGCTGATCGAGAAGAGCAAGGTGGATGAAGAGGAGGTGAGGAGGAAGAAGAGGAAGTCAAGAGTGAACAACAATCTGACAAAGTGCTGAGCAACCGCGCATGTGTGAAATGGCGAAGTTTTGCTGGAAAAACATCAAATCACACTTTTCTTCCACACTTTTTTCTTTACGACTCGCATCTCGGAAATGGGGATCTCATTCCCGATTTTGCTGAATGTCACGATCCATACTTGGTCTAACAATTATTTGCATTTTTTGCAGCAACGAGCATCTAAGACACCGGTACCGCCTCTTCAAAAGGAGCCGCCGCTCATCAAGCGGTACAATGATTCAGAGGCACAGCTGCAACCAGAATGCCATTGCCTGCACAGCCGCCTGCATCAGAAGAGAGTTGGGCAGGTCGAGTGCAGAAGCTCAGCGCGCAGTGTCTGGCTGCAACGGGTATGAAATGTCCATCCCTCTAGCCGAGCTGTCAGGAGGTGGGGCTCTCCATTTACGCGTGTCGCCGCCGCGGCGGGCGATGACGAGCATATCCATCAGAAAATAATGCCAGCGAGCAGCCAGGAGCAAGCAATACAAGGAGGCGTCCACCTCCTTACTTGCTTCATCAAACCCCCCCCTTTCCCCTTGATCGCTGCGATCGCCCTGATCCTTGAGCCGAAAGTGTCTTCTTTCCCGGAACCCCTCCCATTCTTTTTTGAATGGATCCCATTTGAACGTTGATTTCCCACGCACAGCCTCCGTTCTCCGCTCTGCACCTTGCCGCAGATGAGCTTTATTCTCTCTACTGTCGAAAAAGCTGCAGGGACTGCAAGGGCGTGGTGACGTCGGTGCAGATGGGATCAGGCGAAACGATGTGCGTCTGAGAGCCCCTCACTTGGACTTGATCGGGACCCCCGCCGCCACCCCTGACCGTCGTGTGAAGTCTTTGCCCGCCACCGTCAGTCCTCTTCAATATATGCTGCCTAACGACGTGGTCACTCTGGATAGGCAGAACTCCTTGCACAATCTCAAGCACGCTCGTCAATATTTGCGTTTCGGAGGACAGATGCCGACGATCAAACGAGGCGAGGCGAGGCGAGACGAGATGCGAGATCTTCCTTCGCTTGTCGCATCGAAGCTTCAAGAGGTGATGACACGATCGTCCATGATGACCATGGGTGCCAAGATTGCTTGCCTTCCTCTGTGAGCCCTCGTCCGCGCTTTGACATTTGCGCCTTGAATATTAGCATATTGTGGGTTCAGACTGATGCTTCATTCAGCATGATTCGATCACTAGCTAACACATTCAAGCGATCGTCGAGGCTGAGAGGCGACGTTTGTCACGGCGGGTTTGGCGTTGCAACGATTAATGATATTGATGTTGGCGGGTGACGGGACAGCGGCAGAGGCGAGCGGGATGCAGAACAACCAGGTCTCGAGAGGCGGCAAAAAAGAGCGTGACTGTGCATCTGAACCAGGGTCCCACGCGAAGGGAAAGCCCCTTGCAACGCCATGCACGTATCCCAAAAACGCCTGTCGATCGACATGAGCCCACTCTGAGACCTGTCTGAGACCTGTCAAAAAAGCGTTCAGGCACACACACTCGATGCAACTTGCAAGCCATCAGCCATATTTGCAGCTGCAAGCGACGGGCTGTCAAACATGCACACCCCGTGCCGATGCTGTCGTTTCCCAGCCACCCCTTACGATTCCCACTGAGCTAAAGTCAACTCACCCTGTATGGTCCTCGCTTGATCTTGCTCCAGAGTGACGTTTTGCCCCAAGGCATACGACGATCGAAGCTTCCATCATGGATGTAAGGATGGCTGATTCAAGCTAGGCGATTTATGCCATCAGACTTCGGCTATCCGCCCTGACAGTTTAACGGATGTACCTGTAAGCTTTGGTTTAGACCAAGAAGGTACTTAAGTCGACGGTGGACGGTATGGTGATACGGACACTCCCCCCTCTTTGAAACTTCCTGCTTCCCTTCTCGACCTTGTCTCCGCTCACGAACGATTCGTTTCGCCTCGCTTTCGCAGCGCCCACCGTCTTGTCAACGATAAACTGTATCCCTAGCTCGCCGCATTCTTCGACCGCACACGACTCCAACGCGTACCGCAGATCTTCACGACTCTTATAACACAACCAGCGATTTGCAAGCTTGATCAAGGTGAGTTTGAAACGTACTCGACAGCAGAGCAGTGCGTTCACGGGGAAATGCAAGATGGATAGACGTAGATAGCCGATGCTGGAGCTCATCGTGAGTCGAGAATCGGGCCAAGACTCGAAGATCGACGATGTGACTTCCAAGAGAAGACGTCTCTGGGCAGCATTTCCAATACCCACCGCCAAGAAGAGGAAGAAGGCAAGGACCGTCTCTTATCGACTCGAGACCCATGCCTCGCCGTGGGGCCGAAGGCGGTTCGAGACACGCAGCGCGGGTCCGCCGTCGCGTCCCAAAGCGCGCACAGATTGGCAGGCAGCCGACACGGGGTGTTTCAGTGTTGGTTTCGGCCGGTGGCGCTGGCGAGGCTCAGTCTCTTGGTCTCTTGGTTTTTCGACTTTGTTCGTTCCGACTTTCCGCAGCTTGCGTTCCCGGAAGAGCCCCGAGAGAGAGAGAGAGAGAGAAAGACAATCATTTCGTCTTGCTCTGTTCATCATTGTTGCAACAATCGATCCTCGGCCTTCGCCATCACAATGGTGACAACCGTGATGCTCGGAGTTGGATTTCCCGCGAAATTCAGCCACCGAAGCATCAGCTGGCTTGCTCGGCACCACCGAAAATCACATTTTCGCCGCGGACCAAGCCGCCGTGCCCTTTCCTTGCCTCTCTCCCTCTCCGTTGGGAACAGACCGCCAATCAGCTGAAACCTTCGGCTGCAGGTGATGCGTAAATTGAAGTGGCGCTTCCCCTGCGTTGCCCTCAATCTGTCGGAATTTGCCCACGCCTTCCGATATTGTTCATCATTGAAACCTTAATGATCACACCGAAGCTTTGGGCACTCGAGCGCGGATCCAAGTGTTTCGTCGGCCGTCGTGTCGGCCGTCGCCGTCGCCTTTGCCGTCGTCGCTGCTGCTGCTGGAGCATGCCACGCCCTGGAAATGGCTCGTGGTGTCTCAGCTAGTACCGGCGTTTTGGGATCAGAACACCCGTCCAAGATTGCTAGTTCTTGCCTCTCGTGGCCACAATGCTGCCACGCTGAGGCCAAGCCCTACACAACACTGGGATAGAAGCTGCGACGGCTCTGCTTCTACGCCACGGTCTCACTACTGTACGTTGGTGCCCGCATCTTGCAATCCATCGCTCGACAGCACTGTCGGAACAAGGGCCGAGACCCACGCAGTCCCGTTGACTTGATCTCACAGAAAGGGGCCACTCATGCACTTGTCAAAGATTCTGCTTTCTATCCACTTCTTGGTCTCCCTCGCTTCTTGATTGTCACCACCATCGTCACCATCAACTTGACCGGCTCCGAGGATACGACGTGCCGTGTCTCACGGTCCTGCCATCACCTGCGGCTTGCGCTAGTGCCCTCTTGGTGTTCGTACCTCGCGTCGTTTACCGAGGCGGTCAAAGCATACTTCTGCTGCTCATATACGAACAGCCCACACCTTCTGGACCGGAACTGGCATCCAGGCGCTCGCTCGAACCATATCGTGACGAGCTTGAGCCTCCATACCTTTCCCACGCTTTCCATTCGGCACTCGCATCATCATTGTCAGTCATTGATGCGGTCTGCTTTCTGGTCCAAAGTCGCCGACTACGTACGCGCTCTATAATCCTCGGTACTGCACACCCTGCCGGGCCAAGTGTCTCATCCTGATCCGACTATATATCCCCTTGACGTGACGCCTGCTCTTCGCACCTCGCTTCGTGCCAACCCAAGCAGATCCTCACGCTGACCCGCTGCACAATGTCCTGTCATACTCTCTCGGATAAAAGTCCGTTATTGTCTTCCGCGTCAAACACTGCATCAGCATCCTCCGGTCTAGCAGATCCTAGTGCCGTTTGCGACAATCGCCCGGCTGAGCTGCACCCTTACCTCGCCTTGCGTCCTGACACCTCTCGTCCTTGCGCAGTAAGGTCTGCCTCCGACACCGCCATCCCCTCGGCCCTTAAAATAGCAAGCATCCGTCAAAGACGTACTCGTACCCTTGACCTGTCCGCCCAGCCTTTCATCCAACCTCGATCGTCTTCCACTCGCAAAAGAGTCCCAACAACCTCGTCTTCGTCACTGCATTCCTCCCTCTGCTCGATCGCGACCTTACAGAGCCTGCCCGACCTCGCATCCAACTCGCCGACATCACCAGATCTCACTCCGAAGGCCTCGGACACGTCTCGCTTCTCGTCTCCATCCAGCAACATGTCGGCCAAATCTGCCGTCAAGCGCAGCTCCATGGTAAGCGGCGTCAGCGTCGCTGATCGCGCCAAAGCATTTCAAGCCGAGGCCGCCAACAATGGCTCGTATAAGAGACCTGTTTTGAGGCAGACCCGCCGCAGCACCGATCCATCTGTGCAAGCTTCGTCCTCAAAATCGTCGTCCCTCAGCCTTGCCTCTTCGGAAGCTTCCACCTCATCCTCCCTAGCAGCCCTCCCTCGCGACGAATACCAAGAGTCTGAGGTCGTCATCAAGCGCGCTCGTAGGATCAGCATCTCGACTCCCCTCCATCGACGCGCTCGCAGCGACGCCAGCGAAATCGACCCTTTCGTCGGCCCTCCTTCTCAAGATGGCGCTAGCCGACCCGCCGTTCACGCATCCTCCTTCGCCGAGATCGAGCAGCTTACCGCCCAGCTCGAAGCCTACCGTCCACGCGCCAGACCTGCAGCGAATACAGCGCGTCGTGGTCGAGCCAGCTCCGTGCTCATGCACAGCATCGCAGAGGAGAACCCTCAGCTTCGTTTGTCATCTTCCACAGAAACCATTCGCAGTCTTGCCCCGACGAGCAAAGCGTCCGTACCGCTGCAAGACGATCACGTCCATTTCTCAGTTTCGCCGTGTCTTTCGGAAGATGGCTCCATCGACTGGCATCACTTTGTCAGCGCCAACTACGGCGTACGCCCCTCCTTTGATCTCTACAATCCCATCTCGATCACCGACCTGGCCTTCCCCATCTCTACCCGCAAGCATGCCTACGAGTCCAAGCTTTGCAAACCCGACAGCCCCACTCTCAACGACGAAGCAACGTGGCTCGAAGAGGAGCTCGCCAACTGCAGCGGCAGCAGCGACGAAGAAGATGAGGCCGATCAGCACGACTCGTACGCTCCTCACTCCACGTCGATGGACGAGGACGAGTACATGACCCCCGAGGGTAGTCCGTTGCTTTCGCCCATCAACATCCTGGCGCCACCATCCGACGATGTCGAGATCATGGGCCTGGGTATCCAAGATCCTTCGCTCTTGCTCCCCGGTCATCCTTTCGTTCGAGCTCAAAGCGACAAGTCTGCCGACTCGCTGCTTGAGCAAGTGGCCATGCACGAGGCCTGCGTTCGAACGCTCCACACTCTGTCGCACGACGAGCGCGATCAGGCCACCGCCATCGCCTCTGCTGCCAACAACCGTCAATTGGGTCTTCCAGCCTCGACCATGCCTCGTCGCAGGAGCAGTCTGACTGCGCCGACGAATATGCAGTCGTTGCGAGCCATGGCGTCCAAGGGCACCTTCAGCGCGACCCATGTAGACAGCTCGGCACTGTTCGGCGACGACACGTACGACGGCTCGGTGAGTCCCATGGCGGACATGGGCCACGGAGGCAGCTACAGCACCGACATGAACGGAGTTCGTCGTGCCTCGGCTGCCAGCTACCTCTCGACCGATTCGACCGTCTCGGCGGACGTTTCGATCGGCTCGCACGGCTCGAGCCTGCTCTTCAACGCACACCTCGCAGCACCTGGTATGCAGCGACGTGAATCTGCAGACACCACCATCAGCACTCGTCGCTCTTCGTTGGCGAGCAGCTATGGCAATCACGAAAAGGCGCCGGTCAAGCCACCGCGCAGCCCTCTACGAAGTCATCCAGTGCCACTGCCGGCTCTGCCTCAGGAAGAGTGCGACACGCCTCAGCCTGCCCAAAAAGCAGCCACGGCCGAGCAGCCGCGCGATCTGATGCGCATGCAAGCCATGCCTCTGCCTCCTCTGCCCCACGAAGCAGTTGTCGAGACGGACAAGCCTCGCTCTTCGGTTGAATCCGCACGAACCCGCCGCAGAACAACCCGTCGCAAGAAGAGCACCGAGCTGCCGCAGCTTCCTGCTCGCCTCGACAGCCTAGACGCGATGGTGGCAGCAGCACCCAAAGAGACCCAACTCAAAGAAGAGTTTCCCCAGCGCCTCCTGGGAGACTGGTTGAACGCTCAGAAGGACAACGAGTTTGCCAGGCAGCATGAACAGGCACATGCGCACGAGCAAGCTCTCAGCGTTCAGCCCATCCCGCTTCACCAACGGATCCACAACAAGGACGGTACCGCCTACCTTCCCGGCTTGGGCGAGATCGTTCCCCCCAGTCCCGACGTCACCTCTGTCAGCTTGTCGCTGTCACCGCAGGACGGCATCCCCGTCTACCCTGCAGCGCGCAAGCGGCTGGGCATCGAGCCATCCGCACCCACCATGCTCTCTGCCACATCCGCCTTCGTAGCGTCCGCTGGCAGCAAAGCCTCCTCCACCACTACTTTGAAGAGCAAGCTTTCGGGTCGATTCGCTCGATCTTCCACCAAGGACGACACTGCTGCCAGCAAAGTGGAGCGCAAGACGTCGGAATCGTCGCTGCTGCTGGGTCGAATGCGAAAGACATCTGGCAACGGATCGCGACAGTCGTTCGCTGCTCCGGCAGAGATGCCTTCGGCATGGAAGGAACGGATCGTAGGAAAGAGGCCTTCGCTGGATCTGCGACGACCTAGCTTGGCGTCGCTCGCGTCAACCTCTTCGGGTGGATCGAAGCGGTCCGAGGTCCAAGATGGGCGCGGGTCGACGTTGCTCCCCGCGACAGTGGGTGCGGAAAGGTCACGATCGAGTCTCGGGTTCCGCAAGATGTTCAGCTCGATCACGGGTGGCGAATCCAGTACGCCGACCGAGTCGCCCACAGTGACGACGCTGGAAGTCCTCGCAGCCAACACATTCGAGTCGCCCGTCCGCCGATCCATGTCGATCCGAAAGCAGCGTGCTGGGTACGAATCCTTCATGCAGCTTTCCGATGACGACGATGAGGATGATTCGGTGGTTGCGCAAGCCAGCACGGGGGGTGTGAGGAGCAGGAAGGATCTGACAAAGATGTTCGGCGCTAGTCAGGTGGACCTCGACCAAGCCCGCAGGGGATGAACACTCGGTACACTGTATAGCAAATACTATCCATTTTTTACCACTTTTCTTCGCTATGTGTGTGTTTGAATCACTCGTGTGAACACCTCCTTCAACCGGCACGCATCTCGACCGCACCAGCACACACGTTGATGAAGGCACAGATGTACCTCGACCCGTCATCCTCCTCCTCCTCTTCCTCCTCTTTCCGCTTTTGCAGCGTGTCTTTGCAGTGTGCGGTAGACTCCGGGAGTAGCGCTTGGAGGGCAGCGTGGGTGTTGCAAGGGTGTAGATAGAAGCTCGGTAGACGGGTTCGTGGGTGGTCTGCGATCGAAACGCCGCCTACTGTCGCTTGCTGCTGCGATGCGGTAGGAGGGGATGAGAGTTGGGTGTCTGGTACGTCTACAATGTGGGGTGGGATGCGGTGGGTGGTTGCTTTGGGTGCATCCAGTGAGCCACGGCTGGATTGAGAGAGGTGGTGTGGTGGTGGTGGTGGTGGTGGTGGCTCTTGTTGGTCGTTATGAGGCGGCAAGGTTCCGGATGGGAATACGATGCGGAGACGAAGCAGATCATCGGAAGATATCGGCTCACCATTCGCTCGGTGCGCGTGAAACCATAGAACAGGAACCCTCCACGTCGCGGAGTAACTGATAGTCTGGTGGACAGTTACCACCTCCCACTGCTTCACCTCGGGTGACTCTTCCCATCCAGGCTGCTGCTCCTGCTGCTCGTCTATTGAAGTTGTGGATCCGGATCCTGCTGTCTCCTCCACACCTGATGACGGAGGGTTGCGGACGACGACACCGAAAGATCGATCGAGACCCGCCGCCTGCTCAAACACCATCCCACTCCTAGCATGTCGCATGGGCTCGAGCCACTCCCAACCCGTTGCATAGGTCAACCATGACAGTTGTCCCCCAGTGTGCGCAGAGGAAGCGTGGGATCGGAGGACGCGATCGCGCTGTGCCAGGTAGGATTGAGCGTAAGCTGCATACTGGTCGAACGAGATGCGCGCTGTTGGTTCGACAGTCATGATAGAGTGAGGTGGTGTTGGTGCTGCATGGCGTTGGTGGGTGGAGAATTGAGCGAAGGAGGTGATGGTAGGCGGCTGTGAAAGTGTCCAGGCGGTGCTGGACGGGTTGACGAGGGTTGGACCCTGAACTCGATTTTGGGGTACAGCGGTGTTAGTGTTGAGAAAGCGAACATGTTGGCAGCCCAAAATCGATGTGCCGGATCGGGAATAATCGACGAGTAATCTCGTCATTCACGGTGGGCGATCTGCGCTTGGTGCGGCCACGGTGCGTGCGTGCACACTGAGCACGAGCCCCCATCCTAGGTGAACCCTGTTTCAACACGCACACATCCACCATTGCACCCTTTCACCACCAACCATCATCATCCACCCCCCTCGCGACGAAACAACGACCTCCCTTTGGGGGCTTACAGGAAATCATGTCCACCTCACTCCCCACCAAATCATCCAACGCGCTGCTCTCGGTCAACTTCAATCAGGACCACTCGTGCATCGCCGTCGGCACGCGCGATGGCTACTCGATCACCAACTGCGAACCCTTCGGTCGCGTCTACACCAACGCCTCGGGCCCTACGTCGCTCGTCGAGATGCTCTTCTGTACGTCGCTCGTCGCGCTCGTAGCGACATCGGATACGGATCCCAAGAGCAACGCTTCGCCGCGACGACTGCAGATCGTCAATACGAAGCGACAGTCGGTCATCTGCGAACTGCTATTCCCCACAGCGATACTGGGGGTGAAGTTGAACAGGAGACGATTGGTGGTGGTGTTGGAGCAGGAGATTTACATCTACGACATCAGCAATATGAAGTTGCTGCATACCATCGAGACCAGTCCGAATCCCATGGCCATCTGCGCACTAAGCCCCAGCTCGGAGAATTGCTATCTGGCGTACCCTTCACCGGTGGCTAGTCCGACGAGTCCCTTCGCTACAGGGGGTGATGCAGGGACAGGCGCTGCAGCAGGCGGGAGCGAGTCTTCGGCGGGAGACGTGTTGATCTTCGACCTGCTCTCGTTGAGCGTCACCAACGTGATTCAAGCGCACAAGACTCCGATCAGTGCATTAGCGCTCAACTCCACCGGAACGCTATTGGCGACAGCGAGCGACAAGGGCACGGTGATTCGAGTGTTCAGTGTACCCGCAGCGCAAAAGGTGCACCAGTTCAGGAGGGGTAGCTACGCGGCCAAGATCTACAGCTTGAACTTCAACAGCGTCAGTACGCTGCTCGCGGTGAGCAGCGATACGGAGACGGTGCACATCTTCAAGCTTTCCAGCGGCAGTAAAGGACGAGCGAACAGTGGCGGTGATGTGAGTCCGAGCATCAGCAGTTTCGACGGTTCCGAGTCGTCCTCCCCGCCAACGCGCGGGTACGAGTCGTTCACCAAGCCCAAGTCGGCCAAATCGAGTCTCGGCGGAACACTGCGCAGGAGGAGCATGGCTCTGGGTCGTGGGCTGTCCGGGTCGGTAGGCGGGTATCTGCCCAACAGTCTCACCGAGATGTGGGAGCCCAGCCGCGATTTCGCGTTCTTGAAGCTGCCCAGTCAGGGGGTGAGCAGTGTCGTGGCGTTGAGCAGTACGACACCGCATGTGATGGTGGTGACGAGCGAAGGGTATTTCTACAGCTATGGGATCGATCTCGAGAATGGAGGCGAGTGCGTGTTGATGAAGCAGTATAGTTTGTTGGATGCGGGTGGGGAGGAGGGGAGTGGTGCGGGGAGAGCCGAGGGTGGGAGGGGGGAGAATGGCGATTGATGCCCGCTGTAAGGGTGGGGGGGAAAGGAAGTATAGCGTACGATTTACGGAGTGATGGGAATTCGAGGAGTTGTCACAGTTCGAACGAGAGGTGTGTGATGTTTGTAATGTGTGATGTATGTGGATTGATAGAGCGTCAGGGGTTAACTTAGGGGGGTGATAGCGGTGGACCGTTCCAAAGCGGTCACTTGACGTTCGAGTTGCCAGACTTGATTGTCTAGTAATGTGAATGCTTGGCTCAGTGTTGAAGTCTATTTTTGGAGCGAGGAAAGGCGAGTTCATCAGCATGCCACGAATCTCTGCAGCATCATCGTGTGCCGCGAAATGGACTTACGTATTCCGACCAATCGTTGACCAACTCCAGCACCCTCCCCATCCTCACCTGATCCGCTGCTCTCAACTGCTCCTCCCTCTCCCTCAACCGTTCCAACCTCTCTTTTTGAGAGGTCTCCGTTAAACGGGATAGAGTCTTGCCAGATTCCAACACTTTCCTCTCCTCGACCAGCGTGTGGATGCTTTCGAGCGATTTCAGCGATTCCTGCAGTTCGGATTGCTGCGATAAGAGGTATACGAGTTGCTGATGCGCATCCCACACTTCACCCGCGCTGGTGGAGGAAGAGGGAGGAAGGGGTGTTAGGAGGTCCGAGTAGTCGGACCAGTCGTGCAGCAGGCGGGAGATGGATTTGTGCGAGGGATCGGTGGAGAGCGTGGTGAGCGTGGAGATGATGGCTGAGAGGCGGGGTAGTGCCGCGGACGGACGGGAGGAGGAAGAGAACGGTGGTGGTGGAGTGGAGCCATGGACGAGGTGGGAGAGGGTGGAGATCCGGAGGGCGGCAGAGGTGGTGGGCGTGATGGTTGGGAGTGTCGGTGTGAGAGAGGTTGATGGTGGTGCGGAGTCCGCCATGGTTGCCAGCTTGCGCACAGATACGCGACGGAAACAAGCGTAGTCAGAGTCAGCGTTCGAGGCAGTAGTCAAGGCAGTGGAGCAGGCTAGGTGCAGATGAGCCGATGCGATGTCGAGTCTGGTGATGATGATGATGGCGGTGATGATGGAGTGTGTGAGACAAGGGAAAAAGCCCAAACGCGTCGATGAAAGCGAGACCAACACCAATTCACTTTCACACCGCTGCCACAGCCACGTCCAACACTGCACGCGACCGCCATTCAATCTCTCAGCTATTCCTTCTTACACCGACACACAACACACACACACAAACGCATCTCTTCCAAACAATCATCATTTGTGAATTTCAGAAAGCAACCTCAGTACCCACATCCCCAGCCAACCTCACCACCAACTTTGTCACCTCCACATCCTGCAACCCCACACCCACCGACTTGAACACGCTCACGATCCCTCCTTTCCCCTTCTCTTCTGCTACACCACCACCACCGAACTCGCTCGCCTGCCGTTCCAGCTTCGCCAAGTAGTCGCTCTCGTGCCCCTCCTCCTCCACCGGTGGCAGCAGCTTGCTCAGCTCCACGCAGCTCTCCTTCAATCGCTCTTGCCCTAGAGCTTGCGTCAAACATCCTGCTTCCGAAGCGCACGCTTCGATGCTATCCACCATCAAGCCTGCACGGATTTCAGAGGCGGATCGTACCAGGTCGGCGGGCAGCTCGCACATCGACGGCTTGTACGATCCTACCGCGCAGATGTGTTTTCGCTGTTTGCAATCCGAGAGGTATTCGTGGGGGAAGAGCGGTTGGGTCGAGGGAGTGCACGTGAAGATCAACTGAGATGACTGCAGTGCAACTTTCACCTCCTCTTGCTGCTGCGCAGGAATGCATCGCATCGTCCATGATGCCGTTGCTTCCGGAGAGGTTTTGCAGAGATCCTCGAGGTGTGATCGGAACTGTGCTCCCTTTTCTTCCACCTGCTCCGGCGAAACCGTTCGATGCGACCCTACGACGACAGTAATCCTCTGCAACCCCGCAAAGTATCGCAAATGCAGCCACACATGGAACACCGACTGCATCCCGTCCCCGAACACAACACATTCCCGCACCTCCCCCTTATCGCTGCCACCGAACACCAAGATCGAACTCATCAAAGACCCACCCGCCGTCCTCAGCGCCGTCAAACAGCTCGACCCTACCGTCCAACTCACTTTACCCGTCTCATCATCAAACACGATGTTGACGCCGGAAATCCCCGAAACTGCATTGGCTCCAGAGGGGACCGATACGATCTTGATCACGCTCGAAGGGGTGGATGTGCGAGCAGGCATGAACAGCTGCGTGTAGTTGGGCGTGCTCAGGCTGATGCGCGCTGGACATTGCGAAGTTGGCGAGAGGAAGGCGAGCGCCTGCGAGTGCAGAAGAGACGACAGCGTGAGACGCGGTAGGATGTGCGTTGTCACTTCGGTGTCGGAGATAATCCTCATCTTTGGGATAGCGATGATGGACGTGGTAATGGTGGTGGTGATAGATAGGAAGGGTCGGTGGGGGTGATGATGGAAGATCGAGAAAAAGTTGCGAGTGTCGAAACTTCCGATATCTATGACTCCCCGACCAACCGCACCCAAAATTCGCCGGCCTAAACTCCGATCTTCCACCCGCTTGTCACTTCACACACTTCACACACTTCACACAGTCCCACACACCCTCTGTCTCTCCCGTACGATGGCCATTACCTTTCCCCTACAGCACACCCTCCGTCAACCTCTGATACATATCATACAACCGCGTGAACGCACTCCCCGCACTGGACAAGATCAATCTGTCCACAAACTCGTCGCACTGCGCCGCACTCAACCCCAACTGGAACCGATCCCGCAGATTCCCCGCCGTCAGATCCCCCAGCGCAAAGCACGGCAGCCGCGAATCCTTCGCCATCAGCTCCACCAACATGATGATCCTCTCCGCGTGCTTCCTCACATCCCTGAACCCTTGCCTCATCAACACCTTGAACTCCTCGAACTTCTCCCCCTCCAGTCCTCCCAGAATATCAATGTACTCCTGAGGCATCTTGAACGGCGCAGCTTCGAACCCTACGCCTCCGGGACTGATCCCTAGCATGAACCCGAAATCGATATGGATCAACCGCCCCTCGTTGTCCACTAGAATGTTTCCGTTGTGTCGATCCTTGATCTGCAGCAGGTACGAAATGATGCTGTACCCCGCCAGCGACTCCATGAACTTCTCTCTCGCCTTACCAAACGCCGCCGACGTCGACGGGCCGTACGCCGCCAAAAAGTGATCGTACAGCGAAAAGCCTGCCGACGCCGCCTTGTCCTCCTCGCTCATCCTCGAGTAGGCCTCCTTCTTGATCGAATGCACCGACACCGCATCCGTGATCGTCTCCATCAACCCACTATTCTCCGACGTCACCAAGATCCTAAAGTACCTCACCCAACACCGACTACCCGTCTCCTGCCAGATCCGTCCGAACTCGTTGATCAGCTGCACCGCCAACTGCTCCTGCCTCAGATCCGCACCCGTCTTTACGATCACCGAAAACACGTCCCAGTTCGCAAGATGCCCGTACGGCGAAGAAGCACGAATGCGCTGCTTCTTAGCCGCCCACGACTCGCTGAACATCGCGGCAGACGGATCGTCCTTGTTGACCGCACGCAACACCGCTTCCTCCTCATCCTCGCCCATCTGCCCCGCTTTTCTCGCCCGCGCACGCGAAGCCGTCACATTCCGCCCACCCGCCTTCATGCGCCGCATGCGCTCCTCCTCCAACGACATCATCTCCTCCATGATCCTCTTTCGGATCGCCTCCGTCTCTGCATGCACCAACCGCGAACTCTGCCCGGCACCCCCTCCCCCGCCCATCGGCAACCCGACCACCGCGCGTGTCGGATCAATGCTCGTCCTCACATGCGTCGTCACACCCGCCGATCCCTGCCCCACCTCCGACTTGTCGCCCACACCTCCACCGCCTCCATTGGCAGGTACAGCCGACGTCGAAGATCCGTACCAGTTCGTAGGCACGATCCACGAAGACCAACCCCCTTGAGCATTTGAGCTTACGTTGGGACCGTAATTGACAATAGCTTGCGCCTTGGATGCATTGGTCGACTTGTTGAGCTGCGAAAGCATGATCGCTGCGGTTCGCATACGTTGAGCATACTCATCCAGCGAGAATTCCTTCATCGGTCGATGGCCGGCAGCGAGCTGATCCGCGTCGCCATCGGCATCTTTGCCTGCTGCGCCGGAGCCGACTGCGGCAGAGCCAGAGCCGGACGGTGCCGACGTCCAGGCAGCCGTGTCGTGCATGCGATTGCGCGAAGCCAAATCCTCCTCTTGCTCGTCGTCGGACGAGCCATCGCGTTCGCCTCCGAATCCAGCCAGATCCGATCCATACATCTGCTCGGTGAGGTCGATCTCCTCGCCCGTCTCTGGCGGGACGTCGCTGTCCTTCAGCGGACTCTGCTGCGAGCCACCGGCAGCGGCAATGTCGCCGTCTGGATGCTCGATGGAGGGCGTCAAAGGTTGCGAGGCAGGTTTCGGCGTGCTCGTCCGAGTGACCTGGCCGAGGTCCTCGCTGTCCAGCGCGTTCGCTCCGTCGACGGCACTGACGTCAGGTGTCGGCGTTGGCGTGTCAGCGTCTTGCTCCGAAATGGTTCGGGAATGCTCGTGGGCAGACTGAACAAAAGAGGACCTGCCAGACGATGCAGCAACCTTGCGTCTACGCACATCCTCCTCAGTCACCAGTCGACGCAGAGTCTCCCTATTCTGTCTGCGGTCCGGATCAAAGTCCAGGTCGTTGTTGAGCACCTCGACATGCAGCAGGAAGGGAACACGGTCTGCCGAGTTGAGCACCACAGCTTCGCTCGGATTGATACGAATGACCCGGTGGTGTCGTAGCGCTTTGCTTGGTTCACGTTGCGAAGCATCCGTATTGTCGGCGGTGCACCAGAGAGGGAAGCAGACGTCGGCAGGGAGCTTGTGATTGAGCGCAGTGAGTTCTGCGCGAAGTGCGGAAAGACGCGCCGGCTTGGGAAGCAGCAGCAAGCGCGCCGAAATGTCCTGGAGCGAGAGCAGAAACTGGGTCTGAACCTTGCAGTAGTTGGAGCGGAGCAAGCTTCGACGGGCTTGGGCATTGTACAGCGTCAGAATGGCCTCTGTCTTGGCAGCCGACTGGTCGAGCGTCGCTGAAGAGGCGAATGCGGAAGAGATGCTCGCTCTGGTGGAGACGAGGTTGGGCACGGAGCGCGAAGGGGCGGCTTGCTGGTTGAAAGAGGCGAGCTGGCGGTGCTTTCGTGGAGACCAGGGAGGAGGAGATGTGGTGGTGGTGGTCGCCTTCTTCTTTCTGATGGCTGCGGAGGCGTTGGTAGGTTGGCCGTGGCCGTCTTGTCCTTGACCAAAGACTTCGCCAACAGCGGCAGCAGCTTTGCCTTTGAAGTCGTTGAAGCCAGCGTTGAAACCAGCAGCAAAGGTGGCGAACGGGTTGTCGACCTTCTTGGAAGCATCTGCCGCAGGCAACGAGCCACCGGAAGTGACCTCAGCTGTATTGCTCGACGCAGAAGGCGCGCGAGTTTTGACGGGAGGCGCCGAGGTGGGGGTATCTTTCGGAGGTGGGGGTGGAGGAGCGGTTTCGGCCCTCGACATGGAGACGGAAGAGGCAGCCAGCTTGACGAGCGAGCCTGCGAACGAAGAGAGACCGTACTGAGAGGGCTGTGGCTGGGGAGCAGCCGGTGCGGTGACCTTTTCATCAAGCGAGTCGTTGTCGGAGCTGTCGACGGCTTCATCGTCTTCTGCCGCTGCTTCTCGATCGTTGCTGTTGATGTATGTGTTGTCGTCTTCGTTGTCTGCATCCGAATCGGAATCACGGGCAGCGAGAGCATCCTGCATTGCGTCTGGTGGTTGTCTGGCTTGTTCGATCGCAATGCTGCCTGTGATGGAAGCGAGCTGAGGCATGGCTGGAACACTGGCCATGACCGAGCCGATACCGACAATGTTGGCGAGCGGGCCTTGCGGGGATACCTTTTGGCGTCCAAGGGTGGAGGCAGCTACGAGCAAGCCTTGCAATCCGGAATGGAGCAGGTTCGAATTTGAGGGACCAGCGTCATTTTGGACGGTGGCAGCAGCGGCACCGAGCGCATAGACCGAGTTGGAGTTGGAGAGGGGATCCTCGAACAAGATGCGTTGGCACTGATTGAAGACGCGGTGGCAGATTTGGAAGGAGGCGGTGTGCGGGTTGGTAGAGAGATCGGAGAGAGCGGCCTGGAAGTACCACAAAGTGAGGAGGGCGACGTGGACGGATTGACTGCATCTACGAAGGATGAAGCACTCCAAGGCACGCGACTCGGAAGGCTTTGTGATGAGGAGGTGGCAGAGTTGAGGCCAGTAGAACTCGACCTGATGTGATGGAAAGGCGGACTCGAGCTGGCTGACGAGGTAGTAGGTGATGCCGATGTTGTCCGAGTAGGTGCGGAGGTAGGAGAGGGCGAGATGAGGCGAAAAGTAGTCCGAATGGAACAGACGAAGCAAGAGGCTCGCCATGATGAAGAGGCGAGCCTAGCGCAGTGTCGTGGTGCGCCCAACGATGGCCGGCCTAGAGAGAACTTCGAAGGAGATTGGCTGCGAAACGCATGGATGTCGCAGATGGAGTCGACAGGCTGGTGTGTGTGTGTTGGCAGGCAGGCAGACTTGTGAGGGACCAGAACGATGAGCGCAATCAGGCAGAGTGTCGCATCCCTGATCTGACTTCAACCAAAGAGTGATTGCGAGGCGAGGCGAGGCTAGGGGGTAAAGTGAAACGATGGAAGTGAAGATGGAGATGGAGATGTGTTGAGCGAGCAAGAAAGCGGAGTTTCAACCAGAGCAAGCGAGAGCGAAACAGAACCTGTCCAGTGCGTACCTGCTTGTAAGTTAGTGTTGGATTTGGCCTCTTTTGACTTGTCCACGTCGTTGCTTGCTCTCACAGACTTGCAGTGGTCTCGCAAAGGCGCGTGCGTGCGTGTGTGTCTTTAGTGTTGACATTTCACGCACACGCATCTCATTCCAAAACTCGGATCGTCGTGGTGCCCGCTTAACGAGACCAAAGGCGCAGAAGCCGTCACATTCACACTCGCTCCAGAATCAGCTTTCCTCCTGGCTTCCAAAAGTTGGAACTTCCACCATCGTGCCTTGGCTTAGGAGAGATCAAGCGACCTTCAAACATGCGCCTAGACAGACAAGCTGCGATCATGGCTACAAATGCCAAGTTGCATGCAGCCAGCGGCACGGCTCTTCCGAAAGGTGCCAGACGAGGATTATCGTCGAGTGTTAGGCTCTGCCGAACTGCTTATGTGAGGCTGATCAATTTTCAGCGATCAAGGGTCGTCGAGAAGAAGAGAGGGTCACGTGATGAGAGGGTCAGTTGGGATAGTCAGAGGCCATCTTGTGCGCTGCTCTCCGGACTGGACCCCGCTTTTTCGAGTCTCGCCCAGCTTTCTTCTTTTCTGAGCGTTGCCGGCAATCAGTATATTCTTAGTTGCATTGCCATGTCGTGGCAACATAGAGCCTTGCAATGTTTCGCCATGCCACTCGACTGCTGCAACGGTATCATATATCTTGTGCTGGAAACGTGACCGACTCTATGAGACCGTGAGCGGACAACGCAAGTGACTTGGGAACAAGTGAGAATGGGAGGCGGAGTTGCCGGAATCTAACACAGTATGACATTCTTCCGCGGTCATGGCCTTCGCGTCGGAAGCCATCTGCAGGCCTGTCAGAACGGATTCGAGGTGGCTCCTCCCTTTGGACTTCATCCATCTCCCTACTGTCTCTGGCTCCGGCACATCCGACACCCGGCCATCCAGTCTCTTCAGCCAGTCTCTTCAGTCAAGAGTCAGTGTTGCCAACCATCGTCTGTCGGAATCGTCGCGACTTTCTTGACGGCCTTTCTCGGCACTGCCGCTGCCATCTGCGGATCTGCCAGCCGCCTGCTTGGCATCCAACTCCGATGGCACAGTGACTCCCATCGCGTCGACTCACTCTCATCGCCGCTCCGATCACTGTCTCTCTCTCTCCTTTCCAGTCCGGCGGCTCGCATCTCATCCGCAAGAACGTCGCCGTTGGATCGTAGGCTCTCCCCTTCATCCGTATCTCGCTTCGATCCACGATACCCTCCACTGGAATCTGAGCGTCATCGTCACACACCATGTCGTCATCAGACACGCCTTCGCGGCGCTCTGTGCCCGATGTCGAGCAACTCGCCGCCAAGCTCTCGGACAAGTCCACAGACGCAAAGGCAAAGCTCGCAACCGCCTTTGAACTCAAGGAGCTCCTCGACCTATTCCAAAACCTCGACTACGCCCTCTTCCTCAAGCACGTCGTCCCCGCCCACGTCGCTCTCCTCGAATCCACACCATGCAGCTTCATCGCAGACGCGCCAGAACAGCGTCTCCGTCATATTGTCCTCGAGACAACTCATCGCCTACCACAGCAAGAGGTGCTCAAGCCCTACGCAGATACCCTCATGACCGCCATGCTCAACGTGCTTCGCGACGACAACGAGGACAACGCTGTCCTTGCCCTCAAGGTCATCATCGATCTGCATCGCTCCTTCAAGGCTGTCCTCCAGGATCAAGTTCAGCCATTCCTTGAGCTCGTCAAGAAGCTCTATGCCAACATGAAGAACACCGTAGAGCAAGCTTTCGAATCCGAGGCCTCGCAGCTTCAGGCATCCGCCAGCTCTCCCACCCCTCCCACCGCTGCTGCCGCCGCCGCCCCCACATCCTCGACGGACTCGGCTGCCAATGCGACCGACGCCGCTCCGACCGCTTCCACATCCACACCCGCTGCATCCACCACAGACTCCACCAGCGCATCGACTGCATCAGCCGCGCAACCGGCCACATCCACAGGCACACCTTCCGCAGCGCCATCCACTCCAGCCGCGACCGCCGCGTCCACCGCATCCGCCTCGTCCAAACCGTTACCAAAGTCCATGTCCAGCTTCAAAGTCTTGACCGAGTGTCCCATCGTCATCGTCCTCATCTTTCAGAGCTATCGTTCCGTCGTGCCACAAGCCATCAACGTCTTTGTTCCCCTCATCATCGAGAGCTGTCTCTCGCTCCAGGCAAAGCCTCAACGCGAGGCTCACGAGGCTGCAAAGGCCAAAGGCGAGATCTTTGTCGGCGTGGCTCCCGGCATCAAGAACAGGTCGCTCTACACAGACATGATCGTAGCGCAGGTAAAAACCATGTCCTTCCTTGCCTACGTTCTGCGCGGTTCGGCTCCCGTCATGCGACCCTTTGCACAGGTGCTCCCCGAGATCAGCGTGCGTCTGCTCAAGGACTGCCCGCCCGAAGCCTCAGCGACACGCAAGGAGCTGCTCGTAGCCACGCGCCACGTCCTGTCCACCGAGTATCGCGCCCACTTTGTCGGTCAGATCGACACGCTTCTCGACGAACGCGTCCTGATCGGCACCGGCGTCACCTCGCACGAAACACAGCGGCCCCTCGCCATCAGCATGCTCGCTGACCTCGTCCATCACGTTCGTCAAGAGCTCTCGCCCGCCCAGCTCGTCCGTGTCGTTCAGATCCACTCGCAGATCTTGCACGATCCAACGCTGGCTCCGAGCATCCAGACCATGTGTGTCAAGCTCCTTCTCAACCTCGTCGAGACCATCCTCACAAAGCACCCGGACGGCGCCACACAGACTCTCGCCTCCATCCTCGACGTCTTTGTCGAAAAGCTGTCTAGTTTGCATCGCCTCCGCTCCGACATGGATCGCATCCGGCAGATCAAGGATCAGTCCGACGATGCAGCTGCCGCCGATCAAAGCGCCGTCGACGCAGTCGCTATCGAGCGTGGAAAACCCATTCAGTCAGCCGCCACCATGCTTGACACCGCAGGCGACCCACTCAAAGACGCGCGCTTCCTCTTCCGCAACATTCTCTTTGGCTTCAAGACGCTCATCCCCGTGCTTCGCCATCGCAACGCTGCCCACCCGGACGGTGCTCTCGCAGGAAAGCTCCTCGTCGATGGCGTCAAGTGCTGGTCGCTCCACGAGGACCGCGACGGCAGAGAGGAGAAGGAGGTGCTCGATCTCTTCACCACTGTCTTTATCGACCTCGAGCCTCAGGTGTTCCACGAGGTGTTCACCACCCACATGCCCTTCCTTTTCCAGGAAATGCTCGAGTCGCCCACCTTGCTTGGCATTCCGCAGAACCTGCTCAGCAACGACGCCGTCTCCAAGCGGTTCGTCGGCATCCTCCTGCGTTTCCTCGTCGACCGTCTCGAGGAGCTCGGCAAGTCGGACAAGAAGCATGCCTCCATCAGCCTCCGCCTCTTCAAGATGGCGTTCATGGCCGTCACCATCTTTCCCGAGGAGAACGAGGTGGTGCTGCAACCACACCTCAGCCATCTCATCATGGAGTCCATGAAGCTCGCGAGCAAGGCCGACGAGCCCACCAACTACTTTTTGCTCCTTCGCGCCCTCTTCCGCAGCATCGGCGGTGGTCGCTTCGAGCTTCTCTACAAGGATGTGCTGCCTCTGCTCCCCGTGCTGCTCGAGAACCTGAATGCGCTTCTCAACGCTGCCGAACCCAGCAGACGTGAGGTGTTTGTCGATCTCTGCCTCACCGTCCCCGTTCGACTCAGCGTTCTGCTTCCTTACCTTGGCTACTTGATGAAGCCCTTGGTCTTGGCGCTCCAGTCTTCCACCGAGCTTGTCAGCCAAGGCCTTCGCACGCTCGAACTGTGCATCGACAATCTGACGCAGGAATTCCTCGATCCCATCATGGCTCCCTACGCTCAGGACATCATGGCCGCATTGTGGCAGCACCTCCAGCCTTTGCCGCACAACCACCAGCACTCTCACACCACGATGCGCATCCTCGGAAAGATGGGCGGTCGCAATCGCAAGCTGCTTCAGAACCCACCGAGGCTGCCCTACGTCTCGCACAAGGGTCCCACCTTCCCCGTGCATTTCGAGGGCAAGTCGCAGTCCATGACGCTCACGCCCGTCACCGAACTGGCGCTGGCCAACATCCGACGCACCGACCCCTACTATCGCAAGCACGCCTTCGAGCTGCTCCGTCACACTGCCGCGCTATTCCTCGATGGCTCGCTCATGGACGCCGATCGCGAGACCGTGTTCGGTAAACTCATCAAGGGTCTCTTCGATGCGACGCGCTCCGACGACCTGCGCGACGAAGCGGTTCAGTACCTGTTCGGGATCTGCAAGCACGTCTTCCACGCTGAAATCAAGCGCGACATGCCCTCGTCCTCTGGCGCGTCCAGCCGTCATCTGTGGCCCATGACCACATCGCTTCTCGAGGGTCTGACCAATGCGCTTGCGCTCAACGAGGCTGGCAACGACCCCGCGCCGCTCATCGAGCTACAGCTCAAGATCATCCGTGACTTTCTCGCAGCATGCGAAAAGACGCCGGCGACGCGATCCGACTTGGGCCACATTGTGATGCACTCGTTTGCGAGCAAGTTCTGCTCGCAATGCTACGAGCAGCTTTGGCAGCGCAAGACAGGCGGCTGGCTCGGTGTGGATATGTTGGTTCGCCGCGCTGACCTGGGCCAGATCTGGGTCCGTGATCATCAGCTCGAGATCGTACGTGCTCTTCTCTTCATGCTCAAGGACATGCCCAACGATCCTCCGGGCAACATCGATGAGGTCAGCGAGACGTTGCTCCAGGTCATTCGACAGGCGTACACCGTCAAGGCGCCCACCGCCGACGGCAAGCCCGAGCCCCCCGTCCCCGAGCGTCCGAGCCATCTCACCTACCTCATCGGCATTCTGGTGCCGGAGCTCTCCAGCTCCAACGCTACAGTCCGCAGCACCACGCAGACCGCGTTCAAGCTGCTGGCCGAGTTGCGCAAGTGTACCGTCACCGAGCTGCTGACGCCGCAGAAGGACCGTCTGCTGCAACCAATCTTCACCAAGCCGCTTCGCGCGCTCCCCTTCGGCATGCAGATCGGCCACATCGACGCCATAACGTTTGCACTTAACCTCACGCCACCGCTTCCCGAATTCAATGAGGAGCTATATCGAGTGCTGACCGAGGCGCTGGCGCTCGCCGATGCCGACGACCAAGCTCTGATCGGTCGTACGTCGCAGTACAAGAACATGATCGCCGTCACCAAGCTACGCGTCGTCGCGATTCGCCTGCTCTCGTCTGCCATGGCCTGCGGCGATTTCCTCTCGACCAAGCACACCCAGATGCGCATGAAGATCATCTCGGTCTACTTCAAGAGCCTCTATTCGCGCAGCGAAGAGGTGGTGCAGGTCGCCTACGAGTCGCTCAAGACCGTGCTGAGCCAGCAGAGCAAGCTGCCCAAGGACTTGCTGCAGAGCGGACTGCGTCCCATCCTCATGACGCTCGCCGATCGCAACCGACTCACGGCCTCGGGACTCGAAGGCTTGGCTCGCCTGCTGCAGCTGCTGACCAACTACTTCAAGGTCGAGATCGGCACTAAGCTTCTAGACCATCTCACGAGCCTCGCCGAGCCCGCCGTACTGCACCGCGCTGCAGCCGGCTCGCTTCGCGACAACGAGCAGATCAAGACGCTGGTCGCCATCGTCAACGTCTTCCGCCTCCTTCCAGAGGCGTCCTACCAGTTCCTGCCGCGTCTCACCACCACAGTCGCCGAGATCGAGTCGCAGCTTCGACGAGCCGGGCCGACACCCTTCACAAAGCCTCTGACGCTCTTCCTGAACCGATTCGCCGAGAAGGCGGTCACCTACTTCTTCGAGGGTGACAAGCTCAGCAACCCCAAATTCTTGCGGGTCGTCAAGCTTTCGCTTGCCTCCGACGACGGCCCCGAGCTGCGAGCCCAGGTGACGAGCGGTCGCGAGAAGCTGCTGTTCCCTCTGTTCTCCAACGAGGCGTCTGCGGCGCAAGTCCAGGCCGGAGTCTCGATCGTTCAGCAGCTGGTCGACCGCGACCCCAAATGGCTCGTCGCCAACAAGGACGTCTTCGAAAAGCTCATCGCGCTCTGGAACAGTCCCAACAGCAGCGAGCGTCGACGCGAGGAGGCCAACAGCAGCGCCACCAAGGCTGTCGCTGCGCCCGCGACAGGCACTCCCACCGCCGCTGCGACGCGTACCAGCAGCGAGACCAAGCAGCTCATCGAGCTCTTCCTCTCGTACCTGCGCGTCGAGCCACACGTCGAGGCCTACGTCGCCATTCTGGACGCGTACACGTACAAGATCGCCTTCGACCTCACCTTTGCCACCCGCTTCATCTACGAGCACCTCTGCACCAAGGCGTCCAACTCGTTCAAGAAGCAGATGTTCTCGCGCTTTCTCACGCTCTTCGAGGACAAGGACGCAAGCCAGACACTCAAGACTCAGGCGCTGCGTGTTCTGATCAATCCCATGTTGCTCGCTTCGTACGGTCCCCATCCCACAAGCTCACCGCTCGCATCACCGAAAGCTGCTGCCGCGGCGATCGACGTGGACAAGTCCGCAGCGCCCAGCTCGCAAGCGCAGACCAAGACGTCCGCTAACGATGCCGCTCAGAAGGCCGACGACAAGGACGGCGATGTGGAAATGAAGGAGGCCCCTGTCGATGGCAAGAAGTCCGAGACTGCAGCAACTGCGTCCACGGAAGCAGCAGACGGCAATGCCTCGACAACGGCGAACAAAGAGGCAGATGGCAAGGATGCTGCCGCGCCGGGCGACGAAGCCGCAACCGCTGACGACATCGAAGTGATCGATTCCGATCTCGTCACGCAGATCGTCAATCGTATGTGGAAACCGTTCCAGAACCCCAAAGCAGCCAACGAGTTGTGCTCCGACGATGCGCTCCGCATCGAGTTGCTCCACATGTCGACCATGATCCTCGAGCACTGCTCGGACCACCTAGCCCCGCACGGTCAGCTGAAGAAGGACACGATCAAGTTTGGCTGGGCCAACTTGACAGCGGAGGACGTCACAGTCAAGAACGTGGCCTACATCTTCATCGCCCGCTTCCTCGAGGTGTTCGAGAGCCCGATCAAGATCGTCGGACAGGTCTACTTTGGCCTGCTGCGCGCCCACCAATCCGAGGGCCGCAGTATGGTCAAAAAGGCGCTCGACATCCTCGTGCCCGCGCTGCCGAAGCGCGCAGGAGCCAGCGAGAACGGCCAGCCTCCTCAGTGGGCGAAGTGGACCAAACGACAGCTGGTCGACGAGGGCCACAATGTCAGCCAGCTCTTTGCCATCCTGAGCTTGCTCGTGCGTCATGCCGACCTCTTCTACAGCAGTCGCGAGATGTTCATCCCGCACATCGTCAGCAACCTCACCAAACTTGGTCTTGTCGCCAACGTCAACGTCGAGTCCAGGATGCTGGCTGTCGACCTCGTGGAGCTCCTTCACAAGTGGGAGAAGCGTCGTCAGGAACACATGCGCTCGCAGCATACCTCGGCCGAGGAAGGTACCGAGGACAAGAGCAACCAAGGCGACTCTGGTGCAGTTGGCACTGCGAAGCGTGGCCTCGAGGCGCCGGAGGAGGCTGCGGCGGTCAAGAAGGTGCGTATCGACGAGTCGGGCATTTCTGCTTCAGCAGCCGCATCGAAGAGCTCTTCGCCTCCAGCGCCGGCCGCCTCCGCCGCATCGACCGCAGCCACCTCCGCCGCTGACGCTGCCCTATCGCCAGCCGATCATGAGTATCTGATGCCCATGAACCTGCGCGAGATGACCGTCGGTTTCCTTGTGCGCTTCGTATCGCTCTCGATGGAGCCCATCTCTAAAGCGGGCATCGTGTCCAAGGCAGCCAATCTGCTCTCCGAGATCCTCAAAGCACCGTACTGGTCCGACGTGCAGGTGCGGCTCTCGATCTTCCAGCGTCCTCTGATCCACACCGAGATCAACGAGCAGAACACACCCGTCATCTGCAACGCTCTGCGCACGCTTCAGATCGTAGTGGAGGACAAGACCGACGCCTACATTGCCCCTCACGTCCCACAGCTGCAGAAGCTGCTCGAGAAGAGCGCTTCTACCGACGAGGCTTCGCTGGTCGAAGCGCAAAAGCCCGTCCTCGAGCGCATCTTCCGCGTCATTCCCGATCCACCGCCCGAAGAGGATGCGGACGGCGAAGCCGAGATGGACACAAGCGACGATAAGAAGGAGGACGAAGATGCGGCCGCAGCCAAGGACGTCAAGGAGAGCGAAGCAACCGACGAGCTGGCAGCCTTCCGCAAATTTGCCGACAACCTCATCGCCGACGGTCTGAAGCAGAGTCAGCACCTCTATAGCGTCTTCAGCATGCTCGATGCGTGGAGCCAGAGCAAACCTGAAAAGATTGACGCGCACCTGCCGGCACTCAGCAAGGCGCTCAGCAAGCTCACCAAAGAGCATCTCGCAGCGACGGCACCTGTCCCTGCTAACGATGCCAACCTGAAGCTTCTCATGCTCGTGCTGGAGCTGCTCAAGCGCCGCATCTCGAATCTTGGCGATCAGCGACGCTGGCTCCTTTCCGCGCTTGTGCAGCTGGTGGAGCGCTCATCGTCGATGGAGCTGTGCCGCTTCCTCTTGTCGACCATGTCCAAGTGGATTCTCGAACAGCGCGAGACGTTCCCGACCGTCAAGGAGAAGGCCGGCATTTTGCTCAAGATGATGTCCTTTGAGTCGCGTGACAATGACCAGCTGCTGCGCGACTACCTCGACCTCATCCATTCCATCTACACGACGCCAGCTTTCGCCCGGACCGAATTGACGGTGCGACTTGAGAACGCGTTCCTGCTCGGATGCCGACACAAGGACCCAGAGGTGCGGCAGAAATTCATCGACATCTTCGATCGCACCCTCGTCCGCGGCGCTGCCGGTCGTCTGCAATACTTGCTGGGGCACCAGAGCTGGGAGTATCTGGCCGAGCACTACTGGATCAACCAAGTGCTGGACCTCATGCTCGCGTCGATCGACACCAACTGGCCCCTGCTCGCACACAGCTCCGTGCAGCTCGGCAAAGGAGGCAGCAGCTTTGTCCCGACACTCAAGAGTCTCCAGGTAGGCGATATGCTGTCGTCGATCCGCGCGTTGCAGTACACCGATCGGGACCTGGCACACCAGATCTGGGTCTCGTTCTTCGCCTCTGCTTGGAGGTCGATGAGTCGCAAGGACCACGACGACATCACACGCGCGCTCATCGGCGTGTTGACCCGCGAGTACAACCTTCGCCAGGTGAGCAAGCGGCCCAACGTCGTCCAGACCCTTTTGGAGGGAGCTCTGGCCTGCAAGCCGCAGCTGGAGCTGCCGCCGCACGTGATCAAGTACCTCGGTCGCAACTTCAATGCGTGGCACACGTCGATCGAGCTGCTACAGAATCTGCTCCGCTCGCTACCTCGCCAAGACGACGCAATCCGAGAAGCTGGCCAAGACGCGCTCACCGAACTCTACGCCGAGTTGTCGGAGGAAGACATGTTCTACGGCCTCTGGCGTCGACGATGCGTCTACGCCGAGACCAACAGTGCCATCTCCTTCGAGCAGATCGGCATGTGGAACCAGGCGCAGGTGCAGTACGAGACGGCCCAGATCAAGGCACGTTCGGGCGTGCTCAACTTTACCGAAGCTGAGTACCACCTGTGGGAGGACCAGTGGGTGTTCTGTGCTCAAAAGCTGCAGCAGTGGGACATCCTCACGGACCTTGCCAAGATGGAGGGCGACAACGATCTCTTGCTCGAGTGCGCCTGGCGCTTGTACGACTGGACCGCAGAGCGCGAGACGCTCGAGCAGGCACTCGAGAGCCTGTCGGCGAGCGCGACACCGCGTCGCCGCGTCTTTGAGGCGTACATGGCGTTGCTCAAGTCGCAGTCGGGCCAGGACAAGCCCGCCGAGTTCGGCCGCATCTGCGACGAGGCAATCCAACTCACGCTGAAGAAGTGGCATTCTTTGCCGACCGCCGTGACGGTGGCGCACGTACCACTCTTGCAGATCTTCCAGCAATTTGTCGAGCTGCAAGAGGCAAGCACCATCTTTGCCAGCTTAGCGCACACCAACGCCACCAACCTCGACCAGCGTTCCGCCGAGCTCAAGGCTCAGATGCAGACGTGGCGCGAGCGTTTGCCGAATCTGTGGGACGACATCAACGCCTGGTCCGACCTGGTGGCTTGGAGGCAGCACGTCTTTGGTGCCATCAACAAGGCTTACCTGCCGCTCGTGCCCATCATTCAGCAGCGCGACGGTCAGAATGCATCGACCAACTCGTACGCCTACCGAGGCTATCACGAGACGGCGTGGATCATCAATCGTTTCGCCCATGTTGCGCGCAAGCACTACCTCAACGACGTCTGCATCTCGTCGCTCACCAAGATCTACACGCTGCCCAACATTGAGATCCAAGAGGCATTCCTCAAGCTGCGCGAGCAGGCCAAGTGTCACTTCCAGAACCCGAACGAGTTAACGCAGGGTCTGGATGTCATCAACAACACCAACCTGATGTTCTTCGCCGCGCCTCAGAAGGCTGAATTCTTCACGCTCAAGGGTATGTTCATGGCTCGCTTGGGTCTGAACGACGATGCGAACCACGCGTTTGCGACCGCCATCCAGATGGATCTCAACCTGGCAAAGGCTTGGACCGAGTGGGGACGATACAACGATCGACTGTTCCGCGATCGTCCTACGGAGCTGTCGGCGGCAGGCAATGCTGTCAGCTGCTACCTGCAGGCGGCCGGTCTGTACAAAAATGCAAAGGTGCGCAAGGTGCTCATCCGTGTCCTCTGGCTGCTGTCCTGCGACGACAACAAGGGCACAGTCTGGCAGACGTTCGAAGCCTTCAAGGGCGATGCACCTATCTGGTACTGGATCACGTTCATCCCGCAGCTGCTGCAGAGCCTGAGCCACAAGGAGGCGAGGTTCGCGAGGAAGATGCTCATGTCGATCGCCAAGACGTTCCCGCAGTCGCTCTACTTCTACTTGCGTACGACCAAGGAGGACTTTGTGGCGATGAAGCGTCAGTCGCTCATGGCTGCACAGAGAGCGGCTCAGCAGCAGGCACGACAACAGCAAGCGGCTGCAGCCGCTGCTGCTGCTGCTGCGAACGGCAAGACTGCTGCGGGTACAGACGCTAGCAAGACCTCAAGCGGGGACGGACAGAGTGGCGCTGGTAGCCCCGCCAAGACCGATGCTGCTGCTGCTGCTGCTGCTTCTACCACATCCACGCCTGCGAACGGCAATGCGGACGCTGGTGCGAACAAGGCGACTCCTGCTGCTGGTGCAACACCGGCGGCGGCGGCTGGCGCCACAGCAGCCGGAACTTCTGCTGGAGCTGGAGCCGGTGCTGCCGCCGCTGCCGCAGCCGCAGCGGCGAGCGGGCCCCGTCAACCGTGGGAGTACGTCGACGAAATTCTCAACATCCTCAAAACGGCCTTCCCGCTGCTCACGCTCACGATGGAGAACATCGCCGAGCAGATTCAGCAGCGCTTCAAGCCGACCAACGAGGAGGACATCTACCGTCTCACCAACGCCTTGCTCAACGATGCGCTGCAGCAGTACATCCAACGCGCCGTCTCGCCCACCGACTCTGGCGTGCTCCCCGCCTCGTCCCAAGCCAACGTCATCCGATTCGCCGAGAACCTGCCACCGGGACCGCTCAAGACGTCGTTCGAAGAGGATTTCGTCAAGTCGAAACCTACGCTTCGCGACTACGTCTCCAAGCTGCAACGCTGGAGGGATCGATACGAGACCTCGCTCGATCGACGTCCCAGCAAGCAGCACCTGGAGCACTGCTCCCACTACCTCGTCGAGTTCCAGCATCAGAAGTTCGACGAGGTCGAGGTGCCCGGTCAGTACCTCAAGCTGGAGGATAACAACTCGGACTTTGTCAAGATCGCACGCTTCATGCCGGTGTTCGAGATGGTGAGGAGTTCGGGCATGTGTACGCGAAGGTTGACGATCTTGAGCAACAAGGGTACGATGCACAGCTTTGCGGTTCAGCTGCCTAGCGGGAGGTACTGTAGGCGCGAGGAGAGGATCTTCCAGCTGCTGAGGTTCTTCAACCGAATCTTGGAGAGGAGGAAGGAGACGAGGAAGAGGGGGTTGGCGTTCCATGTGCCGTTGGCGTTGCCGCTGGCTCCGCAGGTGAGGTTGATCGACCACGATGCAGGGTTTGTGAGTTTGCAGGATATCTACGAGAGGCATGCGGAGGAGTTGGGTATTGGGAAGGATGATCCGGTGATCAGCTGGGTGGAGAAGATGAGGTCTACTTGGGATGGGGGTGCGCTTCCCACGGCGGCCGCTGCTTCGAGCGGTTCGAACGGGCTGGCGGCTCCGACGGCAGCAGCAGCACCTACACGAGGCAACGTCGATTTCACCAACCTGCGCATGGACTTGATGGAGGAGATCTCGACCAAGTACGTTCCCGATACCGTGCTCACGCGCTACCTCACCCGGTCCACCCCCACTCCATCGGACCTCTACATGCTCCGCAAGCAGTTCACCCTGCAAACCGCTGCATCGTCGTTCGTCACCTACTGCCTCTTCGTCTCGAACCGTCTCCCCAACCGCATCCACATCTCCCGCTCCTCTGGCAGCATCGCCATGTCAGACGTCGTCCCCACCTTCAACCCCTCTGCACCGCAGTTCAAGTCCACCGATCCTACACCGTTCCGACTCTCGCCCAACATCCAACACTTTATCGGCCCCGTCGGAATCGAAGGTGTCCTCACGTCCGGTCTCATGGCTCTCGGAAGAACGCTCACCGAGCCGGAGCGAAATCTCGAAGAGTACCTCGGGATTTTCGTCCGCGACGAGATCAACTTCTGGCTGCAAGGCGCTCAGCGAAACGCAGCTGCTTCCGGCGCGGGCGCAGCAGCGTTGGTCTCGGACGCTCCGAGGGAAGTGGTGCTGACAAACGTGCTCGAGGTGGTCAAGAGGGCAAAGCTCATCAGCTGCAGGCACGAGGACAAGAGCGGATCCCAGGGAACCGCGCCCGTCAGCAGCGTCGTGTTGGATCTGATCAACTCGGCGAGCAACCCGAGCAAGTTGGCATTGCAGGACCCGACATGGAGTCCATGGCTGTAATAAAAGGGATGGGCATTTCCATTGCTATGCGAATTACAATTTCCGTTTCTGTTTCTACTTTTGTGAGAGGAGAGCCGTCATGACAGATCTCGTGGAGCGCAAAGAGAGAATCAACCCTTCTTGGGTGTAAGCTTGACGGTGATTCGACGACTTTTTCTTGCCGACGAGGGGTGCTCTGCCTCGGGCTGATCCGCCGCTTCTGCTGCATCGTCGTGTTCATCGACGTCGGAGTCGGGCTCGACGTACAGCGACTTGGACTGCCTCGACCGCGTGCTCCTTCTCTGTGGAGTTTCGTCCTTCGGAGCGGCAGCAGATGTGGACCGTCGAGGTCGCTTGGCAGGGGCCGCTGCGTCAACTTTAGCTTCAGCAACGGCTCGACGTGGACGTTTGGCTGGCGAAGCATCGGCAGGAGGAGAAGCACTGGCGTCTGAGCTATCGGTGTCGTCGTCAGGATGCGCGGAGGTGGATGCCAGCTGTGCGAGCGAGATGATCTTTTTGCGCTTTGTCGGCGTGGATTTCGCTGTCTCGATCGCAGGCTCCGCTTCTTGCTCCGCTTGCAATTCGACGTCCAGGTCTTCACCACCGGCATCACTAGCCACATCCTCGTCCAACGCTTCCAAACTCTTCTGAGCGAAGAACCTGCTCTTCTCCTCTTCTTGCGCTACCTCCGCCTCCGTCTCCTTCACCTTTCTCTTCCCACCGCCTTCCTTTGACGCCTTCACCATCTTGTCCCCATACTGCTCCTTAACCCTCCTCGCGATGCGAACAGCATTGATCAGCTTCCTCCAATTCTTCATGGCCCTCTCCATCTTCTTGGTCTGCTGCTTCAGCGCGTCCTCCTGCTCCTGCTGCCAGAACGCCTCTTCGACCAGTTCGGCACTCTGCTGCGCGACCACGATGCCCGTGATCTTGGGCATACCTCTTTGCTTGCGGAACTCGAATCCTGTGATCGCTTCGGCGTAGGGGACGCCGAGCTTTCTGGCGACTTTTGCCACACCGCTATAGGCGAGATGCACGGCGTTGGCGGGCAGCATGGAGGGGACGAAGAGGTCGATGTTGCCGAATCCGTTGGTTGGGATCACACCGTCGGCACCGACGGCGGGTGGCACGTAGAGTTGGGTTTGGAACTCGGCGTAGAGGCCTTCCTGAGCGACTTCGCGACCTTCGGATCGAGCTTGCTCTTCCGCCCGCTTGTTGGCGAGAGTGTATCCTCGCGACTTGACAAATTTGAGCGCTACCTCGCCGTCTTTTACGACCCGACCTTCGTTGTACCATTGGCGTGAAGATCGCAGCGTCTGAACGTCGGACTTGGAGAACACGGGTGTTCCTTGGAACGTGGCGATCTGCCGACGTGGGAAGACGACCTCGTCGCGCTTGAGGAACCTTTCGAGAAAATAGATCGGATGGTCCTTGAAGCCGTTCATCGAAGAAGGCATCGGTTCACGCGAACTGTTGTCCTGCAGTTCGGCGTCTTCCATCGCATCGCGGTCTAGCTTTTGAGGTCGGTGGATCGACCGCACAACCTTGCTCCACCAATCCTCCTCTCCCTTGGCGCGCGTCGGAGGTCGCAATCGAGAGACACGAGAGTTGAGCGTCTTGGTGTACCGTGCGGTAACATCGCGCGCATAGCCATCCTCTTCGAAGGCGACGACGTAGATCAGCTTGTTCTGGCGATCGAATGCGGGTGGCTCCATGTGGCGATTCCCGGATGGCCTGATCATGGATCTGATCGGGTCGACGGTGATCCACTTCTGATACGGCTTTGAGAACACTTCGACCCACATGGTGGGCGGCGCTTGCAGATCTACCGGATCTGCCGTTGTGTCGTCGCCCGCCACCTCCGAGTCTTTCAGCTGCTTGGGACGGAAGGCTCTGAGCTTGACCTTGTGCTCGACGTTAAGAGGCGTCTTGAGATTCTTCCACTTCTCTGGGCGGTAGTCCTCACTTTCTTCGCCTTCTGTGTCGATAGCGTCAGCCTGCCTCGCTTTGCCTTTGACGTTTGCTGAGGCAGGCGTGCTTTTGTTGCTGCCTGCTTTGGTTTTGCTCGAGCCTTTGACCGTTCGGTCAGATGAGACGTCCGAGACGGTATCATCCACGGTGATCGGTTGACCGCGGTCCCCGCGACGACGAGCTGCTCTGTTGTTGTCAGTGGACCTTTTCGCTGCAGCGCTCAAGACAGCTCTTTTGGTGAGGTCGGTAGAGCCGTTGGCGTTCCCGCTGCGCCTGCTGTTGTTGTTATCGCTTGTTGTCGCCTCGTCAGCAGAAGACAGCGAGTCAATGCTGATTGCTTTGCGTGAACCCATACTGCGTGCAGCAGACGACGCTTCTGAAAGATTGTAGTCGTCATCGTCAGAGGTGAGCTCGTTCACGGGCTTCGAAGCGAAGCGGCGAGATGTCGACTTTTTGGCGCAGGCACGGAGCTGATTCGGCTTTTTGTCGGCTTGACTGCCAGGTTGAGCCGTGTTAGCGAGCTTGCTTGCGCCGACACTCCATGACAGAGGCTGTGGGCTGATCACAAGTCGAGCAGGAATACCGATGGAGCGACAGAGAGCGCAGAAGAGTTGGGCACTTGTCTCCCTTGATCCTGCCCTCTCTTCTGCTCGTTCTCTGAGCCCAGCTGGCGAAGTTATGTGCTCTGCTGGTGGGAGGAGACGAAGGTAAATGGGTCGGATTGCTGAGCCAGGTGCAAAGATCGTAATCTCCATCGCTTTTGTCGGCGGCTTGATGGGATTGGACGCAGTGGCCGCTGAAGCACTTGACTTGGTGTCTCTGGCTCTGCCTTTGCCTTTCTTGCTGCCGTTCGCAGCGACATTGTCAGTGTGGGACAGTCGCTCTTTGGCCTCCTTGTATCGCTGTTGCTCCCTTCGCTCGCGTCGATGGCGCTGCTCTCGCTCTGAGGCTGTCTCGACGATCCAACCGTCAACCCTTCGGCCAGAGCCAGGGATGACGCCTGTAGCAATATCCTGATCAGGTTGACGCAGGGCGGAGTTGGCCACCATGGTGGGGTCCAGTCGGAAACGCGAAGACCACCATCGAACGAGCTCCGAGAGGAAGCTCTCGAACATCCGAATCCTCTCTCTTTGTTCAGTGACTTTTTTGGGATGGATCGAGCGGAGCTTGGTGATGAGAAAGTCGGGCACCGAGTCGGCGAGCGCATCGCGAAGCTCGGCATCGTTGCACCACTTGTTGCGGACGCGAGTGTGGGCTAGCATGGAAAGAACGAGGAGCTTATGGGCAGTGGTCCGGTTTTGGCGGTCACGAGGGGTCAGGAAGTTGTTTGACTTTTGCTTCGGCGAGTCGGTCTGTTTGCTGGTACGACTGCCGACAGAGATCTCGACACCGCGATGCTGGCCCTTGCCGTCCTTGAAGATGGGTATGGGCTTGGACGATGTGGATGGGTCCTCGCCGAGCTCGTTCTGATCATCGTCATCCCCACCTTGGCCATCGTAGTCTGCGGTGCCGTCGCCATACTTTGCCTGAATATCGCGATAGGCAGCGGCGTACATGTCCTGAAGATCTTGCGCCGACTGATCCGGGTCCAAATCGACATCCTCCATGTCGAGATCCTCGCTGGCAGCCCTCGATGAGGCAGCTGCAGCAGGAGCTGCTGGATCGACGTCCTCAAAGTCAGACATGACCATGTCATCGGCAGCTTGATCTCGCTGACCTACGGATCCGTCGGTGGAGATCTCGATGATGTCCTCGGGGGGCGGTTGCTGCTTTGACCTGGATGCTCGGGTAGGAGCAGAGGCAGCCTGGGTGGTGCGTGACGGCATGGTTGCTATTGATGCTACTGACGGAGTGGTGCTGGTTTCGTCGTCAGAAGAGATTGACTGCACATCAAAGACCTCTTCTGGGTCAGCTTCTGGCCGATCCCAGTCGTGAGCGAGCTTGGTAGGGTTTCGACTTCGACGTGCTGTTGTCCCTTTCGGAGACTTCATGTAGACTCCCGGCTTGTCTGCTGCCGAATGCAGTCCATCCTCGTCTAAAGTGAGCGCCAGATGGTTGGCGGTATGTGGTGTTGACAGAAGAGAAAGGAGATGGGGAACTGAGTACGGAAGACCCGATGATGGTCGGAGGTGCCAAGGCCAGAATGGGTTGAGCAGCGTGACATCCGGCAATGCTTCCGAGCTGCAAGCGACTCAGCCAAATGCAACCGAATTGGACTTTTGGCAGGTCTCGTGCACACGCCCGCCGCCGCGAAGAAAAACGTCAAGGTGGAGGCTTGAGGAGGGAAGAAGACAGACGTCAAAGGCTCAGGCAGGTCCTGACTCAGCCTACTGAACTGAACATCAGAATTTGTTAGATTGCCCTGCTCTGTGACTATGGCTGATCCGACGATGCTCCTTCGCATCGTAAACACTGAGGGCATCCTTTACGCTTCGAAACTCGAACGCTCGCTATACACTCCGACACAGCGCAAGGACGGTGGCGCTCTCATCGTTTCGCCTCGTGACAACATCACACTATACTGTGTGCGGCTCGGTCCGGAACACTTTGTATTCAAGTCTGCTATGCGTCGATGTGGGAAACAAAAGCCTTATCTGTCGGGAACACAATTGCCAAAAGGGTGCGTACTTGTGCATACGAAGCAATTGTCAAGGACAGTGAGTTCGACATGTCCATCGACCGACCGCGACGTGATCAGTACGAGCGGCCAATTTACATTTTCCCTTGGACCTTCTTGACGTTGGTCTTGGGCCAATCGTAAGAGTCGTTGGTGCGCTTGTAGCCGTAGCGCGCGATAAAGTCGTTGAGCGAAGCAGGTCCACGGCTGCCGTACTCGTACGGCTCGTTCTTGATCTTGCCTGCATCGATTGCGTGCAGCAACGGCGTAAAGATGGCCCACGACACGTCCAGCTCGTCGTCTCGCACAAAGTTGGAGTGGTCGCCGTTGAGTGCGTCGAGAATGAGCGCCTCGTAAGCCTCGGGGATGCGCACTTCGGAGAAGCGCTCCTTGTACGTCAGGTCGAGGTCGGCGGGCAGCGTAGCCATCTCGAGCCCGGGTTTCTTGGCATTCATCTTGAGATAGACCGCCTCGTCGGGCTGGATGCGGATCACCAGCTCGTTGCGCGGAAGATTGTCGAAGAGGCCCTCTGGCGTGTCCTTGAACTGGACGCGGATCACCACCTTGGCCTCGTCCAACGCCTTGCCCGCCTTGAGGATGAACGGAACACCCTTCCAGCGGTCGTTGTTCACGTGCAGCGCGAGAGCGGCGAAGGTGGGGCAGTTGCTGTCCTTGGGGACCGTGTCGTCGTCCTTGTACCCTGGCTTGCCGTTGGCGGCTGTGTACTGTCCGATGAGCACATCCTTCTCCTCGATGGCAGGCACCGCCTTGAGCACCTTGACCTTTTCGTTACGGATGTCCTCTGCCGAGAACGACTTGGGTCGCTCCATGGCCAGCAAGGAGAGCACTTGCGAAAGATGGTTCTGCTGAATGTCGCGAATAATGCCAAACTCGTCAAAGTAGCCGCCGCGACCCTCGGTGCCAAAGGGCTCCTTGAAGGTGATCTGCACGTTGTCAACGAGCTTGTTGTTCAAACCGGCATCGATGAAGGGGTTACCAAATCGCATGATGAGCAGGTTCTTGACCATCTCTTTTCCGAGGTAGTGGTCGATGCGGAAGGTCTCCTCCTCCTTCCAGAGGCCCTTGAGCGCGCCGATCATCTCTCGGCTGCTTTCGAGGTCCTTGCCGAAGGGCTTTTCGATGACGATTCGGTTGTGACCCTTGTCCGAGTAGCAGTTCTTCTTGAGACCCTTTGCGACCACGGTGAAGACGTTGGGCGGCAAGGCCATGTAGAAGAGTCGGCTGGGGTGGTCGTGCTTCATCTCTCCCTCGATGCGCTCCATCTCCTTGTTGAGGTTCTGGAACGAAGCGTCCTCATCGTACTGGCCCGAGATGTACTGGCAGATGTCAAGGAACTTCTTCACGTCCTCCTTGCCCTTGTCATCGTCGACGTTTTTGAGATGACCTGTCGCCTTCTCAGCAAAGGTGTCCCTGTCCATCTTTGTTCGTGCATATCCGATGATGTGGGTGGTCTTGGGAAGCAAGCCGAGACGGAAGAGGTTGAAGAGGGCGGGGAAGGTCTGTTGAAGGGATTGGCCGAGAACAGCAGGAATGAGGGTCAGCACAAAGATTGCAATCAGATGCCGAAAGCGGTCAGCGCCGTGTCTCTCGGCTTGGATATGACCGTCGCGATGAGGCGACTGGTTGGGCTGGCTAGCTACGTACCTTCTTCTTTGCCAGATCACCCGAGGCACCAAGCACTGTAGAAGTTGGACACAGGGAGCAAGAGACAATGGTCAATCCCGCGATTCTCTGGCGGAAGGCGAAAGTCGGCAACAGCAGCAGAGATCGTAGACTGTCATGGCTACTCACCTACGATGACGGTGTCATTATCGAAAGCGGGAGCGTTGGAAGCGGGCATGACTGCTGGTTCGAGGCCGGATCTACGATCGGGAGTTCCGGGTGGAGGTCTTGGGAGAATGAGGTCTGGGAAGCAATGACGAGGCTCGTTGTCGAGAACAAGGCTGAGCTAGCGTCGACAGTGCCGAACAAACAGCTTCGAGAAGGTGGACTCAAGCTCGATGTGTTGGAGCAGGCGTTAGAGTGAAAGAAGCTTCCGGACGGAGAAGAGGTCGCCGGTGCTAAACTTGGAGCTGCGGTGCGAGCAAGTCCAGCCTGAAACGAGTTTCGATGTGAGTTCTGATCGATTGATTCCGCAGTGGTGAAGAAGCGAGCGGTACTAGCGAACAGAGCGGGGACGGAGATGATGGTGGATGGATGAGAGCAACAATCCGACGTGGAGGCTTTGATGGCACAGAGCAAGGCGAACGCGATAAAAGCCGATCGACGCACACACACACACACACACACACACGCACACACCCGCACACACCCGCACAAACACACGGACTCAAGAAGATTTGCGAAGGTGACAGAGGCGGACTCGGCCCGCAGCTGCTTGCATCCACCACACTCTCGCCAACGCCCGACGCTGCTCAAGAGTCACCACCAAGAGTGTAATCATTCTGACCGGCTTGTCCGTGTAAAAGGACCTTGCTTAGCCCCGGTGATGCGGTTGCTGTTGCTGACCGTGGAAAATCACAAGTGCTGCACATCAGCTCGACTGCGCTCTGCAATTCAAGCTTTGTCTCGGTCTGGAGGGGAGCAGGCGGGCACGGACGTCAATTTTGAGCTTACCTTGCATTGCCTGCCTGGTTGTGCCAGTAACTTCTTTTTTGGAAATTCAGTCGCTGACGTCGACGACTGCTCGCCTGGGGCGATGTGCCTTTGCGTCTTCTTGTCTCTTTTTCTTCGAGATCAGATCAGTCAACCTTCCGCCCTCTCGCACCGAAAGCCAGGCTCGTTCGGTCAGCTTTGCTTCTCTGCTGCTCGATGATGCGGCTCTCCCAAATCCTGCTTTTAATCAGCGGCGGCATCACGGCATCGCAAATCCTAATCTGATCTTGCCGTTCGTCTTGTGGGAGCCGGCTATGTACTGTGTACAGTACACAGCTGGTGACCACAAACAAGGAGGACCCACTCGCCATCACTTCATTCGCAGTCTTGATCGGAATGGCCATCTTCGGCGCTGTCTGAAGGAGGCTTGCCTGCACATGTGTTGCTCTTGATGGCCTTTGCCCTCACTCTGTGCAGGATCAGCAGGCGAGGCGGAAGTCGAACGTCGTCTTCTCGCCTTGCAAATCGATACTGATAAGAGGATCGGATCTGCTCTGTTTCTTTCATCGCTCCGCGTAGATTTCTTTTCTTTCCTCCACTTTTGTTTTCCTTCTTGATTGTTCGGTGGAAGAAGGCATTATTTTCTTCGGCTTTTCTCCGATGAAGCAAGATCAAAATCGTCGTCTCACAGTGCAGGATCTGGCTCCACTTCGGTTGACGAGAGATTGCCGTGGCTTGTGCAGGCAATGTTGTCCACACCCTGTCACCCTGTTAGATTTGCTCCTCCCATAGCCCCTTGCTCCTCGCTGGATCTCGTCATTCACTCCAGCTCTGCCGTCTGACTTGACCGTGGCGAACAGCGAACAGGCACACCTCTTGCAAATGTGAGACCCTCAAAGTCGCCTCCTTGCAAACGCCATAAGCCGAAACAGCGCAGTATGTTTTCTGAAGTCAAGAAGCTAGCCGGAGGGCGCGGACCGGGCTCATGTGGGAGAGAAAGAGTCGAGCGTGTCCCCACAAGTTTGTCTCTGATTGGATTGTTGAAATTAACCTCACTCGTGACAAAATGACCGACCGGCAATATTCCTTTCACTCCAAAGGCATCATCTACTCGCAGGACACTCTGATCCTTTCCGTGCTATGGGCCACAAAAGCAAGAGGCTAATCTTGAGAGAGAACGAGTGGAGAGTCATCGGACCTGACGTGGGTTTGCTGCCAAGGCGTCACCTGACAACGACGCCGCCGTCAAGCCTTCGAGGCGCCCATCTGAGATCGCATCACCAACGACATCCGATCAATCGGGAAGCTCGTCGGCACACGTCTTCGCTCTTGATCGGCTCCGCTTCCGACGGCATCACACGTCTGAAAGCGGACGGACAATAAGCAAACATCAACCCGTCGAGTGCATGCATGGGTTATCGGACGTTGAAGGACCCTGACAATCGATGTCGAGCCATTGTCGAGTAAAGAGACGCAGAGGCCTCGCCTGATCTTACTTACAATGGAGACTTGCACCACGTACCGCCCTTGCATTTCAGTAAAGGTCCGTTCCCCAGGCGATCCTTCGTTCGTTCATGTGCTCAGATAGATCGCTTCATTGGACATACACCAATGCTACTACCGCTATCCAGCTCGGGCCCTTACGCCCTGATTAGCTCTGAAATCGTTCCGCTGCAGCCTGCCATGCTAGAGGCAAGATCCCTCCGCACTAAGCTATCGCGCAGGCCTGGACCATTGTAGGCTTTGCCGGTCGTTTGATTGCGCAGGGTCCCTGTACACTGCACGCCGGTCCTCTACCCGATCAATGAACAGAGCGGCGAGCTTGAGACCATCAAGATCGACGGTCGACTCTCCTTTGAAGAACACCTCCGACGAAATGTACTTTGCTTGGGTCAGACTGGCGAGGTTGCCTCGCATTTGCACATCGCGGCGAAGCTCCCGTACTGAGCGTCAAATACGCACAAACCAAACGACAGCATCATCGCTGCAAAGCGTCATAGTCGCTATTGAGTCAAAAGGACTCGGATTGTCGTGCCTGAATAGCCGCAGGAGGAGGACTCCTCGAGCACGTCTCGTCGGCGGCTGTCGCCATTCATTGGGTATGCAGCCCACTTCCGCGTTCTGCTGCATTCTCCTGCAACAAGAGCCTGTTCTTCCCTTCCAGTGCAGCTTGTCGCCACCAAAGCTCACTGATGACGAGTCTGGCAGCAGCGGGCATGTTCGCGGCCGGCAACAAGCTGCACTCCGGCCGAGTTCGCCAGATGGTTCGTGCCTCCGGCGTTGAAGTGTTCATGAAGAGCCATGTCGAGAGCTCGACAGGTGCATTGCCTGCGAGTTCATTCTCATTCTCATGGATCCGCTTGCAGCACGGTCCCCATCAACACCCGGTGCACAGGCTAAGTACAACCCACAACCAGGATCCGAAACACCCTACTCTCATTGCCGAGAGCTTTTCCGATGCTGAACCATGCAATTCTCTGGCCAGCTGTTCTGTATGGGCTCTGTTTACAAAATCACTCGCCGCCGCTCGCAACCGTCGGCTCGATCGGCTGCAGTCACACAAGCTCGGCGATGTTGTCTTGTGACTTGACTCAAGGAATAGATAAGGGGCCCATGATTCACCGAGATCGACTCTCGAGCTCATCTCTCTTTTTCTTTCCATCTATACGCGCTCTCTTGCCGGTGACGAATCTTCCATCAAAGCCGAAGCGGTCTCATTGGCTTAGCCGATCCTTCCTCAATTGTAAGTGTCTTCTCTCATTCGCTCGATCAGGAAATCAGCCATGCAGTGCAGTACAGCAGATACGGTGGATCGCCACGCAGAGCTTGAGTCATGATCAGCCCACAAACGCCCTTTAAACAGTGTCAACATCGTGACGAAGTAGAGACAACGCCCACGTCGTGCCAACGATGGTCCACAATGTCCTTTATGAAGACGCTACAGCTTGTGGTGTCGGTGGGACGAGAGAATTTTCCTCGTCCAGGCAACCTTGTTGACAGCCGACAAGGCTGCTGCAGATGGTGCGGCCGGATGCAAGAAGACTTTCCCAGCATCGCCTCTCACCAGTACGCCACCTCGGTCCCACGCGCCGAGTCTCGAGCTTCGACTTGCTACCGTCATGGCAAGTAGACGGGTCTTTATGCTTCTCAAGCCGCGCCATACTGCATAGCGTTGGGCATTTTCGGGCATTCCCACCGACCGCAGAGACAAGCTCAACGTTTCAGCGGAAAAGGCGTGCGTGGCCATGCCTTGCTTGGGCTTGGCACCGATTCTGGGCCGGAGCAAGACCTGTTCGCCTCCACCGGGTTACGCTTGGAGGTTGCATCCGCCAGTGCAGCAGCACCACAAAGCGTTGTTGGGTGGGCTGTAAATGGCATCTTGGACATGCGCCGAGCTCAGAACGAAAGCTTAGCGACCGCCGTGCATGCAGCCGTCGTTACCGCTTGTTGACTGCGAGTTCCCCACAGTGATATCCAGAAACGGAGCATCTGATTGCGTCCTGCCTGCCGCACTCTATCTCCCGTCGTACAATGATGCACCATTTGGAGCTAGTCTGCTCGGTCAATTGCCAATCAGGCCCCTCGGTATCCGCTGAGTCCGGTCTCCGGCATTGATCGAGCATCTCTGCGCTCACTCGTTGTGGCCGGTGGTGGACGGGTCTGCGCAAACATCTCGTTGCTGAGGTGTATCCTTCTCGATTGCTTCTCCCACCAGCCTGTACTGACCCACCTACGCACACATAAATCTCTTCCCCTTTGATCTGTTTCTCTCGGCTCCGCGTGATCCTGACCTCCGGACCTCACCTCGCCACCAACTCGTATATCTACCACCCGCCACGACTCATTCGATTGCATTTCGATTCCTTGCGCATTGCGGGGAGCGAATCTTCTCATTTCTTTGCTTCATCTCTTCATCTTTGCATCCCTTTGGCCTGCCGATATGTCACAGCGTTCGCAGAGAGCTGCGGCTGTCCAAGCTAGTAGGGCCAACACCGCCGCCTTGGCATCTCGTCGACGTAGCGACTCGCAAGCCTCGATCCAGACCATCACCTCTCAGCACGTCAAGCCGGAGGAGCGGAGGTACGAGGGAAGGAGCTCCCCGTCTATGGACGTTGTCATGCAGCGATCTAGCCATCAAGACTTGCGCAGGCCCGACATGCAGAATAGCGGCAACGGCGGTTACGGTGGCAACGGCGCCCTCGCATCGAACGTATCCGCTGCGCAGGAAGAACCCCATGAGTCGTCGTACAACTCCACCATCTTTCCGGCTCACTGGACCGCGCAAGACGATCCGTCCGCCATGGGTCCATTCGCCGCTCAGCCGAGCCCAGCTTCGGCTTACCACACACAGCAGCTATGGCTCGAGCAGCCTCCGCATGGCGACCCACACTCTCTCCCCTACTACGACCCTCTTCCGCACCAAGGCATGTTCGATCTGCACTACGGCTACGCGACTCAAAGCAACTCGCTCGGTCTCAAAGGAGAGTCGGCGCTCATCGTCAGCCTGGACGGCGACCTGGATCTCGGCCAACGCATGCCGCGCGAGCAGAGAGCCTTTGACAATCCTTCATCTGAAGCCTTGGCTCTGCTCGACAACCTCCCCTTCAAGGCAAATTCGAGTGCGGACAACGACTCGTACGAGGACAGCACCGACTCGGACCTTCCTCCCGAGAAGAAGAAGCTCTCTGCAGCATTCCGTCCTCGTGGTCGCAAGAAGCGCAACAAGTGTACACCCGATCAGCTGCGCAGCCTCGAGGCCTTCTTTGAGAAGAATCGCAACCCGACCGGACGCATCCGTCTCGAGCTCTCGAGGAAGCTGCGCATGCCCGAACGTAGCGTACAGGTCTGGTTCCAGAACCGTCGTGCCAAGATCAAGACGGTGGAGCGAAGAGGCGATGCCGGCTCCGATTCCGGTAGGAAGAAGAGCTGCAGCATCCGACTGAACGACAGAGATGCTCATAGCTTGCCTACGGGCGCCAACGATCGTTCCGCACGCAGCGATCCGGCCGAGCTAGAGAAATCCGTCACCGCCATCCCCACCTCGGCGCTGTGCATCGGCACGTGGCGACGCGTGTCGCCTCTGATCTGCTTCTTCTCCCGCCGCCTGCAGTCTCTGACGTGGTATCTAACCAGCGAGTCGATCGGCTTCAAGCTTGAGGTGCCATGGACCTCGATCCGCAGCGCCTACTTCGACGGTCCCGTCGATCCGTCCATCGCTGAACGCGCCGAGGGTGTTCGTGTCCCGCTGGGTCATTTCGTCATTGACCTCGAACGTCCACCCACTTTCTTCATGGAGGTCTTCCGGTCGGCTCCCGTCAAGAATGGCATTGACGGCAAGCCCAGGCACAGCTGGCGACAGTGCGAAGACTTCACGGAGGATCATCAAGCCATGACAGTCAGCAGGCACATTCTCCATGGACCCTACGAGGAACTGCGAATTGCGATTCAGGAGCTGGCGAGCTGCAACGATGTTCTACGGAGGCTTATTCAGTTTCGCGATGAGCAGCAGCGCGCTCTAGGAGCTATTCCTACCGGGTCAAGCTCGACGGCGGACAACTTTCGCCTTGTCTGCAATGGTGTCAGTTTGCGTCCTGCAGACGCTTATGCTCCTCTATCAGCGGGTCCTCCTCCTCCTGCTCCCCCTTCGATGGACATGCGCGCTGTTCCCATGACTGGTATGGACCCGTATGGCAACGGTATACACATGTCTATGTCAGCGTCTGTGCCCATGTCGACCTCTTCAAGCACTTCGAGTATGCACAAGGCCACGCACTTGGCATGGCACAACTTCCGCACACCGACGCGAATGGGTGCCGACCATGGCTGGGAGTTCGATAGCCCTGCCAGCGTCTCGACCAATCTCTCGGAAGCTTCGGCCGACAGCCATCAGCGCCATTCGCTGGGGTACAGCCCGTATGGCGTTCCCACGTCGATCGAGGCTAGTCCTCGTTCGGGCTTGGGTAGCTCGATGGATATCAATACCTTGCGCATCGACGGTGGTGGTGGCGTCTCGAGCTTTGGAGCTCAGCAGCATCACAACCTGCCCATGATGGGCGACGGCGGCTCCTGTACCGCGCTGCGCGGATCGAGTTCTTTTGGCGGTTGGGATGCGCGCCTTGGCCATGAGCTTTCTTCTTCACAGCATGCAGAAGAGCCGTATTCGCTGGCTTCATCGGGCGTGCTGGAAGGAAGCGGAGTCCACCATGCGTCTGTACCCATGACCTCGCAGAACCCTTCCGCTTCGATGGACATGAACAACTTCGGCGCTGAGTCTTTCCATCGCAACGGTTACGAGAGGCAAGGGTACTCGTCCAACCAGATCACCATGGCGGATCCAGCCACTTGTCACCGTCAAGACGGCCAGCAGTCGAACGTCGAGACCTCGTATCATCAGGAGCGACGCTTCGATGGCAAGGATGTTTCCAACGAGCATCGTCCCACGAATGCCGGCTCTCTACTTCTCTCGAGACAATTCTCGTACGATGCCTCAGCCGGTCACAATGCGACTGTTGCGAATGGCGAAAGGCTCGACAGGAGCGACAACGCGGTGCGTGAAAGCGATCCAAGCTATGTCGCTCCCACGCTAGTGCTTCCGACCGGCAGCAGCGGCGGTGGCAGCGGTAGCAGCAACGGAAGCAACAGTGCCAGCAAGATGACGTCGCTCGATGAAGATGCATTTTGCAGCAAGACGCCTACCTACCGCACGTGTTTTGGTCCCAGCCTGGAAATGAGCCGAGTAGACGAGGCAAACGAGCAGCAAGGAAGCGGTGGCGAAGAGCGACATGATGACGATGCTACGGGTGGCTACGGATCGGACCATGACGATCACGACGAGCAAGCAGGTCAGGGTCGAGCTCGATCCAACACGTACCGTCCCTCCGCCCATGTTTTGGGTCCGCAGCAATCTACCGAGGGCCAATATGGAGGTGGCAGCCATGACGCGGTCGGTGATGCAGGTGGTAGCGTCCAAGATGTCGTCACCGGCAATGGTGACGATGAAGGCGCCCGAAGGGCTACCAGCCTGACCAACGCCTCTGCAGTCATGGAGGGCCAAAACGAATCGCCAGGTCTGCTGTCCCTCTCATGCTCTTCACTGTCCTCGTCTCACCACGACATGGCCAAAGGCAATCCATCGCCGATGTCAACGTCTTCGACGTCCAGCCTCTCATCCGCTCGTTCGTCCACTGACCAACAGGCCGGTTCCGCTGATGAGCAGTAAGCCACCCACCCCGATTTCAGCAATAGTCTCCGTTCGACGCTGTCTCTCGTTTGCCGCGCCTAATACGCTTCGTCTCGTCCTGCTCTGCGATCTCCGACCAACGAATGTTCTACCTAATGCCCTTTTCCCGTCTCTGTTTTACGAATTTCGAACGCTTACGAAACGTTGTGTTGTCAATGAAAAATGATGTTGCTCTGCGGTGTCGTTCGTGCCAGTGAGTTAAGTCTGTGGGAATCCCGTGCGTTTGCTTTTTGTGTGATGCTGTACAAATACAATACCTTGTTCGATCTCCTCGTCCGCCTCACCACATGCTCACCCACTTCCATCAACGACCGTCACCCAGCCCCTTGCGATCAGCCCTCTAACATCGCTCCTGCTGATGGTGACAGTTTGATCCTTTCTAAAGCTCGTCGGAGCAGTCTGATTGCTATTCAGCCAAACGTCTTTGACGTCTCTATTGACTTTGACCGTTATCAAGAGATCCGTTGGAAGTGGTTCGAATACTTGAGCGTCTGAGATGTCGAGCTTGACATCTGGAGACAGATCGAGGTAGGAGAGTTTTGTCTTGTGGATGAGATCGGAGTATCGACGCAGAGAGTCCTGTTCGACGGGTGATAGTGAGGTTCGTAGACCTGGTTGGTTGGAAAATAGAATGGGGAGGGAGTAGCTGGAGCGAGAGAGGTGAGAGAATATGAGGTCGAGACGAATGTTGTGATAGATGAGGAGGGAGCGTTTGTTGTACGAGATGATGAGATGTAGCATGAGGAGTTGTGATTGAAGGCCGGAGATCGTGGATGGGGATAAGGGTTGGTCGGGAGAGGAAAGCATTGAGAGGAGCGTGGTGAGGTGCGTATGTAGTTGTTTGGTTTCTAGTATGAGTGATCGGATGAGCTCGTCGCTACAGTCGAAACAGAGTCAAGAAAAGCAAACAAGTGAGTAGGTCGCTTCGAAGAGGATGAAGGAAGAAAGAGCGGACTTACTTGTATGGTTTGACATTATCCAAGTTGATACAAGCTTTTGCCTCGGTGACGAGCTTCAGCGCTTGATCCCCGAACATGATGGATTATTGACCCGGCACCGCAGTGGATAAGCGACGAGTATGAAGGGGCGAAAGATGTGGAATAGGATGAGGATGATGTGATGAATGAGGAAAGGAAAAAGTGTTGGTCTTTCAAGGTTCTAGGAATGCACGCATACGCGATCTGTCACTTTTCTCACTCCACACAATTCCAGACGCGCTCTTCGCGTAAATCACAAGTCAACCTCACACTCGCGCTACACATACAGAATCTGCCAGATTCGAGCATCGTGCAAAGAGTAGCGGGCGTCACGACTTGATCGAACCCTCTGACAGAGGGACGCTCGAGGCGGGCACGCACACTGTTCGACTTGATCAGTGACTGACCGGCTTCCAAGCGCGGCCAGGACAGTCTCACATTCATAGCCATCAGAACTTCTCAGATGCCTCGTCGTGCTCCTCGACACGAGTCATGCAAGTCAACTGGCAGCCGCAAGCTCGTGCTGCATGTCTTTGCCCTTATCGCTGCACATCTCACGCATCGTCGAATGCGAACTTGTGCTAGGGGTCCTCAGAGACTCAGATGGAACACCTGGCAATTCAGTGGATGCTTCCACCTCAGCGAGCCCAGGGCCAGAGCTGTTCGATCCACGTTACAATCAGAACTTCGATTGTCAATGAGAATGTAATTGCGATGCGGAAGAGCATAATGTTGGAGGGGACAAACGAGAATCCTGGATCAAAAGAGGCCGAAGACGAGTTGCGAGCGAAGAGTATCGATACAGCGAACAAAGCAGGGATGACCAGCACCGTTCATGACAGTACCGGAAATCGCCGTTAGACCATGACCGGATCACGCTTTCACTTGGCAGTAGCGAGACCGACAGCGTTCTTTCCGAGGTCGTACACCGAGTAGTACTTCCTCAAGAAGACATCACCGACGATGAGCATGTCGGCGAGCGGGCCGGGAAGGTTGATACCGGAGAACGACGAGATGCACGAGCCCTGGACCTCGAGCACGTAGTCCTTGCCTTCGAGCTTGAACGGCTTGCCGTCAATGTAGAATGTGAGGGGTGGCAGGTCCTTCACCTTCTCACAGTCGACCGAGTACTGGCCGTTCCACGACTTGGTAGCACCAATCTCTGCGTTGAGGATCTCGGCAGTGTCGGTGGCCATGGCGATGAGGGACGTACCAGTGTCGATGGCAGCCGAACCGTTGTCGAGCTCAAGCTCCTCGTCACCGAGCGCCAGCTTGTCGAGAGCGACCTCCCAGTAGCCCTTGCGCTTGACAGGAGCCCAGTGGATCTTGCCCGTGTAGTGGCTGTCGTCGATACCACCAAAGACGGCCTCGCCGCCGTCCTCCTCGGAGCTGCCGAGGTAGAACGAGACCTGAGGAGCATCGAGCAAGCCCTGGTCGATCATCTGGTACATGGGAGGAACGATGCCGTTAACCGAGATGGTGTCGTAGGCGAGACCGAGGATGCCGTCAAACTTGCCGAAAGCAAAGGCAAGACCAGGCTCGCTGGTAGCCTCGGCAAAGTCCTGACCCTTGATGGTCAAGTCGCCGATCTTGAGCACATCGTTAGAGACGACACCTTCCATGGAGCCGGATCCGTACTGGATCTTGAACTCGGTGCCGTTCTTCTTGTACGAGGACGAGGCGGAGCTGTCGTACTTCTTGTGGAGGAAGCATGCGATCGAGGAGCACTTGGTGGAAGGAACCCAGAGGTTGGACGAACCAGTGTCAAGAATGACCTTGAACTCCTGCGCAGGGGTGCCAAGCGAAATGTCGCAGAAGTACTGGGCGTTGAGGAAGTCGGTCAAAGGAACGCCGTGACCCTTCTTGGCCTCAGCGTACCACGCGGCGGCCTGCTTCGAGTCAGCGATGGGCTGAATGCTGAAGTCGTGTTCGGGGTTGGCAGAGAAGGGAGCCTGCTTCTTGAAGGAGCCGCCGCCGTACTTGAGCTGGAGGATCTCGGCCTGAGCAGCGAGGCCCTCGAGGGTGAGCTCGCGGGATGGGGTGACCTTTTGCAGCTTGGCCTTGTGAACACCGGCCTCGACGCCGACAAAGGCGGTGGCGAGTGCTGCCACGAAAGCGAGGGAGAGGTTGAGCTTCATCCTGAACTTCTTGAGGGGAGAGAGCGATGGATGGGTTGAGGTGAGAGGAGATGATGGTGAAGGGGAGAAAGAGACGATTGAAGACCAAGGGTGCGGGGTCGACTCGAAGCGAAAGAGATCGACTTGCTCAGCCAACTGCGGGTGCGGATGGGCCGATAACTTGCTGCATAGGCTGGAGGCGAGAGACACTGACGGGCTGCCGATTGAGTCGAGGAAATGAGGGTTCAAGGGCGCAGCCTGCACGCATGCAGTAAGAAGGCGCGATATCGTAGTGGAGGGCTCAGGCAACAGCGAGCGGCACTTCGGCAGAGATTTGTTGCTATGATCTACAAAGAAAAAGTGCGGCAGCAGCACGAGCCAAGACCCCCTATCAACCTCACCAACCGAACTGAGCGTGACCGTTGTGGATTTGCACCATTTTCCATTTCCAATTTTGACCGCATTTGTGCTTGATTTTCGCAATCGCCGTCAGCCGTCAGCCGTCAGCCCGTCTGCTCCGCGCGCCAGGCTGTGAAGGTCGTTGTTCGATCGAACGACCTTGGCCGCGCCAGCCACTTCCGCCCCTGCGTGTCTACGTAGTGGATTCCCAGCCCCGACTTGTCGAACGGCTCAATGGATCGTCGATCCAAAAAAGGGTCCTCTTACACGGAAAGCGGTCCTTCAGCTAGCTCTCGCTCAGCCGATCGAAGCTCAAGAAGGAGAATCGAGACGATGGCGGTCTCACATCTCGAGCAAATTACCCCAACTTGTATCACTTCAGACAGCTTCGACACCATCAGCTCATACTTGAAGCAGGATGCTCTTCACCAAGGATCCGAAGTCAAAGAAGTAGTGTTATCTTGATCTACCATCCTCGGTTGTCTTTGTGAGTGGACAAAGCATGTTCATGCTTCGAATTCGTTGAGTCTGCCCAGTCAAGGAAGGCGACACGAGCATCAAAACAAGACTTCGTCGACTGTCAATCTGTCCGCCTTGTCTGCCTTTCCGTGTACGTGTGTTATAACGTCTTGCGAATCGTCGAGGACATAGGCTGTCTAGCCCTTCATTTTAGAAGGAGAGCCTAAACATGTGCTCAAGAGTCGATACCGTTCGAGGCAGCTGGTCGCAGACTTGTCCTCACCAAAGATATACACACACAATTACATCTTGCGATAGCAACGAGAACGTTGAATGCGACTTTCCGTTCGTCCCTCAGGACGCGATCGATCTCGAGCTACTGATCCTGCACCGTGCTGATCGCTGTCGTTGCAACCACCGAGTCCGTCCCCCTCTGTGCTGAAGCCTTCTTCTTGGCCCTCCTCGATTCGTACTCGTGCCACTCGCCCTGCAAGCTCGATAGCAATCCCGCTGGCAACTCCATCTTTGGCTCTTCCGCAAAGAACTTGGCTGCCATTGCATCCTTTGCCGACCACCTCCTCTTCGGATCGTAGGTCAACAAACCTCTCGCCACTTGCAACGCCGATTCTGAGAGATACTTTCCAAATGCCTGCTTGACATGATCCCTCTCTTGCTCCTCATCCTGACTCGGAGGTTTGACCATCTCGTACCAAGCCAACTTATCTACGTCAGGCCAGTTGCGTTTCGTCACGGGTCCCAGGATATCCGTGATGGCTTGAACCTGTCCTATCTCGGTCTCGCTTTGGAAGACGGGTTTCTTGACAAACAGCTCGACAAAGATGCACCCAGCCCCCCACATGTCCACCTCGGAACCGTACTGCGTCTCTCCGAACAGCAGCTCGGGTGGACGGTACCAAAGCGTCACCACGCGATTCGTGTAGTCTCCCGACCTCCGTTTTGCGTAGAACCGTGCCAGTCCGAAATCGGCCAACTTCAATCGACCTTGATTGTTGAGCAAGATGTTGGATCCCTTCAGATCGCGATGCAGTACCGCTTTGCGATGCAGGTAGTCGAGACCGGAGAAGAGTTGATGCGAGAGCGATTTCAGGTGTGCTTCGGTGAACGAGACTTGCGGATGAGCGAGGATACCGTTGAGATCGTGCTCCATGTACTCGAACACCATGTAGATCGATCCTCTCGTGACCATCATTTCGTGCAGACGGACGACGTTGTCGTGACGCAGAGCTTGGAGGAGTTTGATCTCGCGCATGGCGGTGACGGGGAATCCGTCCTTTTCGCTATCCATGCGGATCTTTTTGAGTGCGACGAGAGCACCGGTTCGCTCGGAGCGTGCTTTGAACACCTGACCGTAGGTGCCTTCGCCTACTTGGTGGATGCTCTCGTACGCTTCGCCTGGCTCAGCGCGGGTGGGTTCGACCGGTGCTGCTTCAGTCGGAGCGGGCCCGGCTTTTTGTGCTTCTTCGCCGTCAGCTGTGGCGGCGTCGTGGCCGTTGCGGGAAGCTGGAGCGCGATCGACTGCATTCGCTGGTGCATCACGATCACGTCGAGCGCCGGGACGCACAGTCTGCCATCCTCCTCCGCGTACACTTCGCTGGTTGGCCTCGGTATCTTGTCGTCGAGGCCCTGTCGGCGGTTGCTTGCCATCGAATGTCGCGTTCACCCCCGCCTTGCGCGACAAGACGTGACCGCGATCAGATGTGCTTTCGTCCGATCGGCCTGGCCGAGATGGCGACCTCGCTCGACGATCGTCGGACAACGGTGGCCGATCGCGATCGGCAGGCATCTCACTGTCTCGATCGTCGTTGTTCATCCTCCAGCGAGCGGGTCGATCTCGCTGACGATCACGCTCGGAAACCTGATTGGCGTCTCGATCGCGCGCGGGCCGATGTAGAGGCTGCACATCGCGATCTCGTCTGCGTGAACGGTTGGAAATGTCCGACCGCGCAGGGGATGGTGTTCGACGTCGGCGATCCGTGGCTGACTGCTCGTCTCGGTCGCTAGGTTGGGCTCTTGCGCCCCATCTTCGCTCGCGATTGCGCTCATTTGGAGCAACCCTGTCGCTAGATCGGGGCGATGGGGATCTGCGACGGTCGTACCTGTCACGTCGATCGGAGGACCTGTCCCACTGCTTCCTTGATGTCTCGCCGGACGTCGGACTGGGTGACCGCTGCGAAATGCGGGTGTGGTCGTTGCGAGACGACGGATTGTCGCGGTAGCGTGATTCCTGATCGTCATCGGTGGCTCGGTGGCGAGGGCGACCGGAGGTAGCGGGCGAACTGGAACGGTCGCGCTGTCGGCGTGGCGCTGTATCACGTTTGCGCGGCGAAGTGGGAATGCTGTTTCGAGCGGCAGGTCTTCTGCCGGGATCTGCCGAGTCGATGGAAGCTGAAGCATCATCGATACGTCGACCGCTCTCGTCATACTGACCGCGCGGAGCTAATTTGGTGGTGCTTCGTCTGGGAGGGTCAGGTGAATCGACCGGATCCTTCTCGGCTTCAAGACGGGAGCGCAAAGAGCTTTCCGGACGCGAACGGCTGGAACCGTTGGTGTAGTCGGCCCGGCGGGAGAGTCGGTCGAATAGATCTGGACTGCGGGCTCTTCGAGGCTTAACGTCGTCGTTCTCCCTCGGCGTCATGGGCGAAGAGGTAGTGAGGTTTGATGCAACACCTCGGATGGAAAGAGCTGGCGGTCGAGCAGTGTCGCGAGCGCTGTCGGAACGACGAGGGGAGGACGGTCCTGCAGGGCCATCGTTTCGATCGCGTGCGGAAGGACTGGCCCGCCTCGCGTCTCTGTCATCGAGCCGGCGCTGCTTGTTGGGAAAGTCGGAGCGATCGTCGTCCCGTTCAGGTGCTGGAGAATATCTGGTGCGCTGCGCAGACCTTGATGATTCGCCGAACCTGTCCGAGTCGTTGAGGTTGGTGCGGGACTGGCGATCAGCGTCTGGGTTGCGTCGGGGCTGCCATCTGTCCGAAGGCATCCTCCTCGCTGGAGGTCCTCGATAGGGGGAGACGTCCTCCGATACAGTCCAAAGTGACTGCTGTCTTGAAGAAGAATAGCGTGATGCTGGTGGAGCTCCGGTTGAAGCTTAGCGGGTTGCGGCAACTCTTGAGGTTGGTTGAGAAGCGTTGGCTTGAGCGAGCGAGACAAAAGTGTTTTTTGAGTTGGAATTCTTGATTTTGCGATTCTGATTTTGTGTTTCAGTCGAGAAATCAGAGACAGTGAGCGCTCGGAACTCAGCACGACATACGCGATCTTCCAACACCAACACATGACCCGTCAACTTGGTGAATTGTGGATCCTTGACAAAATGAGCAGAAGATGGTCGACCGCCTTGACAGACTGGAGAAGAAGCAGAGCTACAGATCCAAGCTTTGTGCAAGGGATTCAAGTTTGCGGGATGATGTTATATTGTTTCCGCACATCCTTCCGTTTTCAGACGGAGGCTCGCACGGTCAGAAATTGCGAATGAGTACGGGGCGCACCTTGGGCTTGCAGCCCTCATCTTTCAATCAGCGCCTCACACAGGTATGACGAGATTTCATATGAGATTGCGTATCTAACAGATCATCGACACCGAACCCTTAACGGTCCACCTCACCGAACACCAAGTCGAGCGTACCAATGATGGCCACCATGTCGGGAATGTAGTGGTGGCGCGCCATGAAATCGGCACCTGCCAAGTGGGCGAAACCGGGCGCACGGATCTTGCATCGGTATGGGCGGTTGGTGCCGTCCGAGACGAGGTAGACGCCCATCTCACCCTTGGGAGCCTCGATGGCCGAGTAGGTCTCGCCGGGCGGCACGGCGTAGCCCTCCGAGAAAAGCTTGAAGTGGTGGATGAGCGACTCCATGCTCTCCTTCATGGTGGCACGCGGTGGTGGTACGAGCTTGTGGTCGTCAACCTTGATCTGACCCGCGGGCATCTTGTTGAGACACTGCTCGATGATGCGCAGCGACTGACGGAACTCCTCGACACGGCAGAGGTAACGGTCGTAGCAGTCTCCGTTCTTGCCGACGGGCACGTCGAACTCGACCTGGTCGTAGGCGTCGTACGGAGCCACCTTGCGGATGTCCCATGGAATACCCGATCCTCGCAGCATGACACCCGAGAATCCGTAGTCGAGCGCCTCCTGTGCAGTCACCTTGCCAATACCAATGGTTCGGCCCTTCCAGATACGGTTGCCTGTCACCACCTCCTCGATCTCATCGACTCGCGAACCGAACTGCGTAGCCCACTTGTAGATGTCGTCGAGCAATCCAGGGGGCAAGTCGTACGCCACACCACCGGGGCGAACGTAGGCTGCATGCAGACGCGCGCCGGAAACACGCTCGTAGAACTCCATGAGCTTCTCTCGCTCTTCGAAGGCCCACAAGAAAGGTGTGAGACCACCGACATCCATGACGTGCGAGAGGACGGCCATGCAGTGGTTGAGGATACGCGTGATCTCTCCAAACATGGTGCGGATCCACTTGGCCCTCTCGGGCACTTCGATGTTGAGAAGCTTTTCGACGGCTCGCGAGTAGCACAACTCGTTGGTCATCATGGAAACGTAGTCGAGTCGGTCAAAGTAGGGGAGCGCCTGTGTGTAGGTCTTGTACTCGATGAGCTTCTCGGTACCTCGGTGCAAGAGACCGACGTGGGGCTGCAGAGTTGAAGAGAGGATGAGATGAGTTGAAGCGGGTCAGTATACTTTGCGAAGGGTAGCAGCTTTCGATGCGCGCTAGTCTCTGTTGAGACCAACCAGCAAATAGTTCTGTAAGGCTACTCACATCTGTTCGAAGGATCTCCTCTCCGTTGAGCTCGAGAATCAAACGCAACACACCGTGGGCGGCAGGGTGCTGCGGACCAAAGTTGACGGTAAAGTGACGAAGCGAGCGATCCTTCCTGGTGCCGCCCTCTCGAAGAATCTCCTGTGCGCTCTTGTCGTGGAGCTCTTCGACAGTGTAAGCCGAAGTGGCGGGCGAAGTGGGCACCGCCTTGGCGGCAGGGTTGGCATCCTGAGCTTCGGTGGCGAGCGAACGGCGAGCGGTGGTGGAGAGAAGCCTGCTGGACGATGAGATTGCGCTCGGTCGGCACAGCTGAGCTGCCGGTCGAACGGCGCGGAAGAGAGAAGGAGCCATGGTGACGATCGGTAGGAACTGCGAACAAGTATGAAAGTGAGGGTGGCGGGTGTTGGTGTGCTATGCGATGCTGCCGATGTCGGTTGACGATCCACAGCGGTGACGACTGGCCAAGATGCGCAGCAGCGAATACGAATGACCTTCAATGGGACAGCCGTGTATGCCCTACTAGGTAGTTGAGAATCGTGGTGATCAAGAAGGAATGATTTCGACACAGGAGATCAAGTGGAGACGATGTGCGAACGGAATATCCAACTGCAGACCGCTTTGCTGTTGCTTGCTGCTGCTCGACAAAGCACCTTCCGATCATTTCTAATCATCCACCTTCTCCAGGTCGCGAGCCTCGAATACAAAACTGACAGCCTGGACAAAGAAACAGCTTCTCGACGAGTCTCTTTTTTGAAATCGGATCTCTCTCGCCCAAATTGTATATTTTCGGCAGGGCGCAACAGAGAGCGCGCCTGCCAGACTGTTGCCTAAGCATTCCTTCTCCGATCACTCGTACGATAGCCACTGCATCGACGCTGTCCTCGACTTTCCGTTCATGGCAGAATCCCTCTTCGCTCAAAGTCGATGATGATGCACGTCTTATCGGTTGGCGCTTACGTGTCTGCGCATTCTATAATACAGAGTGACCTCGGACCCAGAAGATCTCGGTCAGCAGATTGACCGTCATGATGAGCACGTAGGCTGCGATCAGCGACACGCCAATCGGTCGTGTCAGCTCGAAATTGTTCATTGGAACGGCGATAAGCGTTCCTACCAGGATCAGCAGCAATCCCAGCCCCGAAACGAGCAGCGTCGGATTGAAATCGATCGGATAGATGTCGGTGAAACCGGTGTGGGACCAGTGGCCGTGGCCATCGGACAACAGCCAGGTACCAGAGATGCCGATGCCGAGCAGCAGGTTGAGCATGGGCCCGGCGAAGCATGCGCTGATCGCCATCACAGGATGACCCAGCCTGGCGATCGTAATGTTGGCCACCAGGTCGCCCAGCGAGTTGCCCACCGCAAACACCGTCAATCCCAAGATTGCATCCGAGAGACCCACGATGATGCCGACGGTCTGCAGGATTGAGACCACTTCGTCGACGATCGTCATGATCCACATGACCGACACGACGAATCCCATCGAGCACCGCAGCATCGCAAATGTCGATAGCGTTCGGTCCGAGTACCTTGCTCGTCCTGCGTCCTTGCGTCGCATGGCCCAGAATGACAGCAGAGCCGCAGTCGCTCCCAGTGTCGCACCTACCGCCACCTTGAGCCAGAGGTGAGGAGCGCCCGAAGAAGAGACAATCGCCCACGTCACGAACGTAGGTGCGCATACGCTCTGACTCAGGATGAGGAACCGTCGCATCGAGCGCCTCATCTCTTGCTCCTCGGCTTCGCAACTCTCGTGGCTCGTAAAGCTGGCTGCATCCGTCCCTGCCTGCGTACCCATCGGCCGGGAAGAGCCAGACGAAGGTAGACGCAACATGCCCGCTCCAACTGTGGGGCTGCTACCGAACGAGAGTGGCGAGCCAGCCATCGAGGGCAGATGTCGCAATGCTGACGCAATCTCCTGGTCTCGATGCGTGTTGGCATCTCGCTCCGCATCTTCCATCGCTTCGACTCGCTCTTCTGCACCCCAGACCCGTGCATCTGACGACGACGATGCTCGCAGTTCTTCAACGGCCTCCTGGTCAAAGGAATCCTCGGCTTCGGCGCGCAACTCTGCCTCCTCTCCCTCCAATCGCACAGCACCGATCCCGTCAGCTTCGGCTGCGTCGGCTTCCCGTTCGGCCTGTTCAGCCTCATCGTCGACCACTGGAAGCGTGAGGTTGAGCAGCAGGATCGCGGGAGACGTTGCGACACTCACAGCGGAGCCCAGCAGCGACTTGGCGTGCAAATGACGCAGCGAGGGGAAGAGTGAGTTGAAGATCACGCGCACTTTCCAGGCAAGCAGCTCGCTAGCCGTGCGTGCCGGTCTGATTCGCCGCTGACTCGCCATACTGTCGAACCGGTCCTTGGTGTTAGGCGTGCTGCTTGGAACGTCATTTTGTGCTGGCTGCTTGCGGCCGTGCTGTGCCCGCCGCCCGTCTTGGCTGCGGCTCGCCTTCGTGTCCCACTGCGGGATCTCCAGCCTGGGCAGTGCCTTGCGAGGCGCTGTCTCCTGTGCAGAATCCTGCTCGGATGCGTTGGGCAGGGGCAAAGCCGGCGAAGTAAGAGGCTCGCAGCCATCGCCGGGGATGTGCTCGCGCCAAGGATCGTCGACACTGCCTGCATTCACGCTGGCACGGCTGCGGGTTTCCTCAGAAAAGCCGACTCCGTCATGCGCGCCGACTGTCTTGCGTCGGGTGCCCGGGCTCGTTGAGGCGCTTCTCCGCAGGCCGAGGTTCGGACTGACAGAAGGGCCTAGACTCAAGACACGATTGTGACTCAAGCCACGTCTCTGGGTCTGACGTCCCCCAGCGAAGCCCTCTCCGGAAGTGCTTCTGGTGAGATTTGATTGGCCTTGGCCGTGGTGGTGATGCGGCAGGAAGCGCTCTGGATCCCAGCTCTGGAAGATCTCCTGCGAGCGGTCAGCGATGGCGTCACGACGCAGACTTTGCACCACGTCGCGAAACTCGATGGCGGAAAGCAGCGAATGACGCGGCACCAGGTTGGGGCGTACATTGAGTGTGGCCTTCCGCGTCACGATGGAATTTGCCGATCCTGGCGTGTGAATGGAAGGGGCACGGCTGCCGTTGCGAGAGATGTCTGGGGTCGAAGCACGGCTCTGGTCGCCTCTTTGATTCGCCCAGTCTTCGAAGGGATCAAAGTTGGGATCGTATTCAGAAGGGCTCGCCGGACGTTGGGGAGAGGGGAAGCGGGGTGGTTCGAGAAGTCGGCTATGCTCGCCAGTCTGCGTCCCTTCTCCTCTCCCGGATCGGATGCTGCCGCGGCTTCGGATGGATCGATCGTCGGCCTGACTGTCAAACTCTTCGCGAGCCGCTTCCAGCCTACGCCTTTGCTTTCGTCGACGCTCCTGCCACCACGATCCGATGATGACGGTGGCCGCATAAAGGACATAGAGGCAGATGAGAGCGATGGTCTCTGTGCGTCGGAGCTTTCCGTCGAACAGGAAAGCGAGCGTGAGAGCCACTGCTACTGTGAAGAAGCCCACGTCTCGGCAGAAGGGCCACGCTTTGACCTTGAATGGAGCGATGAGCATCATGGAGCCTGAAATGACCGAGACGATGAACGAGGCTGCCCCGAGCAGCTCTCCGATGGCCAGCGAGCCCGAGTTGGTCTTCATAGCGCCAAACGTGGAGAATACATCCGGTGAACCGTTGCCAAAGGCGAGAAAGGTGACGCCGGCGGTGCTTTCGTTGAGACCGAGGCGAGATGCGATGGTGCTGAGGTTTGGGCAGAAAAAGTCGCTGGCGACCACGCCTACCCAGCTGAAGAGGAAAAGCATCCACACGAGGATGATGATAAGACGCGAAAGGCGTAACGCAGCGATGCCCGGTTGCCATCTGGGATTTGAAGGAGGTTCGGAAGGTTGGCCATGCTCGAGCTCGTCGTCGGAGACGCCGGCACAGTAATAGAAGCGCAGATAGTCAAAATGACCAGACGCAGAGCAGTGACGTACAACATGGCTACAGACGTGTCTCGCGGATCGATCGAATGGAATCGGTTGGCATTCAGATGCATCATGCTTGCCATGTGGATGCTTTGGTGGTGATGTTGGGTGCGGGCTGGCGGTGCTGTGATGCTGTTTCTTGCTTGTCGAAGTGGGCGTCTTACTTGACGCCGACGCCGTGGATGTAGTGCCGGGATGCTTGAAGAGCTCGAAGGTGGGTGGCTCTTGCCTCTTGTGCCATGGGTGCCGTGAAGGTGCATCTAGCGCCTGAGGAGCTAGGTCGGCGCGCAGACGTTGGCTGCCGCGAAAGCAGACGATCTGCACCACGATGAGAAGGGCAAAGACGAGCCAGGCATCCTTGCGGTGGCGGTTGCCGGCCATGTCTGCCTTCCGAGGTCGTCGAACTCGATCTTGAGCGTTAGGCGATCAGCCTCGTGCAGGAAGAGATGGCGGATGGGGTACACTGATGGAAATGAAAGGTGAATGGACAGCAACAGGGTCCTGTGCTTGCACAGCCAGCTCAGTCACAAATTGGCGGTTCCGCGCCAAGAGCTGTCACATTCAACGTGTGGAGCAAGCTATTCAAACAAGAAATTAAACCATGGAATGTTAGAGCTCGTATGAAGACGGAACCAACTTCCTGGATGAAATCTGTCTGACATCGCCATCCAGCTCATATCAAGATTGGGACCTCGTCGCAAAGGAGAATGAATGTGATGCTGGGTAACTGAGATCGGTTTTGCAAGAAAGTGAATGGTTAAGAGTACAAACGGAACAAAACATGTTTGTGGACGTCTGAGTGGACGTCTTGATGCGACAGGATTGATCTGGAATCGGTCAAGGAGGTGCAGAAATTAGTGCGACACGGTTGCACCTCCTCGTCTTCGATTCGATCGGTCAACATGCTGATATCTACGACGAAGACATCTGGAGCTTGTTGCCAGAGAGACCACCCGAGCCGGAAGAGCGGCGGGAGCCAGGGCGGGTTCCTCCGGGCGATGCGGGCTGCGATGTGCCGGCAGGACCCAACTTTCCGACTTTCATACCTTCGTCCAAGTTGCTATCGATTGAGAGGGGCCAAACGAGCGATTTGTGGTGAGATAGCACAGCAAAGGTGGAATCGAGAGGATTGTCCAGCAGGAGAGCGGAGCAACAAGTGAGCAAGGCAAAGGATTTGATCAAGGATGCAAGAAGGCAGCCGAAAAATTGGTCAGTGAACCATTCATCGTCGAACACGTATCAAAAATGCCACTGAGACGGCGGTGGTGAGCAACTTACTCAAGAACGTCCATGTCGTCTCCGTCGAGCTCAAAGTCGAAGAGCTGGGCGTTAGATTCGATGCGGTGCTTGGTCAAACTCTTGGGGAGGATGATGTTTCCGTGAGCCAGACCCCATTTTAGCAAAATTTGAGCGGGAGTCTTGCCGTGTTTCTGAGCGATGGTCTTGATTTCGGGGCGGTCGAGCGCCTGGCCCTGGGCCATGGGTGAGTAGGCCTGGATGTGGATGCCGCGCGAGATGCAGGCCTCACGCAGGTCCTCGTGGGCGAAGAAGGGGTGCGACTCGATCTGGTTGACGGCGGGCTTGATGCGGCAGTTGGCGAGCAGGTGGTCGAGCTCCTCAACGTCGAAGTTCGAGACACCGATGGTCTTGATCTTGCCGGCGTCGACGGCCTCCTCGAGCGCCTTCCAGGCCTCGAGACGCTGCTCGGCACCCATGGTACCGGGCGAGTGCATGAGGTACATGTCCATGTACTCGACCTGGAGCTTCTTGAGCGAGTCCTCGACGGCGGCGGCGGCCTTGTCGTGGTCAGCGTCCCAGAGCTTGGAGGTGATGAAGATCTCGGAGCGGGGGACGTTGTTGTCCTTGGTCCACTCGGCGAGAGCGCGGCCGACCGACTCCTCGTTCATGTAACGAGCAGCTGCGAAGCGTAGAAGCGATCAAAAGAAGCGTACATTACACGGTGTCAGCTGTCTGTTCCGTGTCGTTCAAGAGCGTGCGAGTGCTTCTATGGACGTCTAGATTTGGAGCCCTTTGCGGCAGCGGTGCTGCTGCATGAAAAGGACACCCAAGAGGACCTCGATTGGAGAGAAACTTACCAGAGTCAATGTGACGGTAACCGGCGTCGAAGGCCCACTTGCAGGCGTTCTCGGTGGAGCCATCGTTGGGAGCCTTGTAGACACCGAGGGCGACCTGGGGGATCTCCTGGCCGTTGTTGAGCTTGACGCGCTGGGTGGAGATGTTGCCGGCAATGATACCGCTAGCAGTGACCTTGGACATGATGAACGATGTTGTTTGGGGGTGATGGAAGTGGTTGGAAGAGGTGATGGGTTTTGTGGAAGGAGTATGTGAATGTCGATGAGGAGGACAAGAAGAAAGCGTTGCCGACGAAGCTTGGCAAGGTTTTAAGTAGTCTTGTCGAGCCTGGCTGCTGCAGGAAAATGAGGTTGGCAACGCAGGGGGACGGAGACACAGACACGGTATGAGATGGCCTCTGCGTTGCTGCAGAGATTGCCAACGAACGATCCCTCGTACGCATCGATCTGGCACCCTCTCACAGATGCACCTCTGCCCTCGGCACGTACGCAGATCGACCCACGATCCACACCAAGCACACTGGGCGGGTAGATTCAAGCGCCGACCTGTGTCCTGACGGAATCAGCGGCGCACGTCGAACCACGGCTCAACATCGGAGTCGCATGCAAAGCAGACGCTCAGTGTCGTCGTCGTGTATGTGCCTCAAAGCCGAACCCTCTTCGGACACGCGAGGCGGAAGCATCCTCAGATCTGATGCACACACGGTTCTCGTCCTGCTAGAGGGAAAAGTTTTTCTTGGTCTCGAGGAACAGCGTAAGGGGCGACTTCCGTTCGACGAGCACCGAAGCAGTCCGAGGCACCAACGACAGTCGATATCGGTATCAGCTCACACTGTTCAGCAGACGACTGAACCGCTGCATCATTTGTTCCTGCTCATGTCAGGGCGCCTTCAGAAAGAGGGTAGCGGATGGACGCTTGGACAGCGAACGATCGTCTCTGCATTGACATGCCAACGCCGTCGTCAGTTTCCGAGAGGGAGAATGAGAGTGAAAGAGCGAGGCGGCTCTTGTTAGCTGGACGAGAGTTCGCGAGGTCATCGAGCATCGATCGTGCATATCGCTTGCATGCCAAAAGGGCAGGAACTGGTCTGCCTCTGCAATTGGGCAACAAACCCCTTCTGACGCTCGAGCCAGCGTACAATCAGCGATCGAGCAGCGAGAAGATTTGGTGAAATTCAATCGCGTAAGTCAACGATGGGAGATTTCAAATCCTTCGTGAGGTTTCAAGCTAAACAAATAAAGGGCTTTATTTTTTGGTTGCTGCCCAATTCCGTTTGCTTTCTGCGGATCTGGCGCGTGTTGTGTGGGTGTGTGTGTGTCCGTCCGATCGACAAGAACAAAGACGATTTGTTTGCGACGGTTCTACCGGAGTGATGGTAACTGACGATACCGGTCGTGCAGCACCTCTTCTTCTCGTCACACTGAGCGCCGTCCGTCGGGGTTTCAACGCTGCAGCTGTACTGATCTCATCGCACTTGGAGCTGCCCGAAAAATTCTCCGCGCTCGTCTTTCGGCTAGGGTACACTGTCCCGTAGAACCATTTGCTGTCTGAACGAGGTATCTGAGCATGTCGATCGATGGCTTCCTTGAGTCTTGACCATACGCCGTGCGCGTCCCATATCATCGGCAAATCATCTACGCAAGGATTCGTGCTTGTTTGGCCATGACCGAAAGCCGCTGCGGCAAGGAGGTTTCAACTGTGCTGACCGCAGCATGTCGCAACCACGGCGTAGAGCGGCCGATCCGAGTCTCTTGGCGAAAGAAGAACCCTGTTTCTTGCCTGCACCTTTGCCGCCGCCGCAGCATCAAACGCCGTACACGCCGAACCGCGTATCACATTCAGATTGAGGGTCTTCTCTCTCTCGCTTGTCACAAGAAAAACATCAGGGCCTTGTCGTTCCTCATCGATAGCGTGACGTCATCAGAAACCCTGGCAAACCGTTTTCTCGAATCCAGCTGGAATTTTGTGGATAGCGTGTACAGTACCACTAATCGGGGACCTTGTGTCTATCTGGGCAGCGCCGCTCAGACACCCGCCATTCATGCGGTACGTGGGAAGGCGCCACATGGCGTCTACACTGTATCGGCAAACGAGCCTTCGTGCGAGAATCTTATGGTACAATTACAATTGCTATTTCCATGGTCATGCTACATGTGGTGGAGCGGATCCTACTCTATGCGTATTACATTACACGGTCAATCCACGCCCGCGTTCTCCTCTGCACCATCGTCGTCGTCGTCGTCGCCATCCTCATCTTCGTCTTCGCCGTCCTCGTCGGCATTGCCTGCGTTGGCGGCAAGACTGGCCACCAGCGCCTCCAATTGAGCTTGAATGGAGCCTGCATCCTGTGCGCCGGCGTCATCTTCGGCAGACTCGACGTTGGTATCACGTTGCTCTTCTGCAGCCGGATCGACATCCATATCCTCCTCCGCCTGCCTACTGTCGGCGTGAGAATCCTCTGCGGGTGCTTGCTGACCTTCGGCAGCTGCTCCATCGTCCTGATCCTTGCTCTGAACGTGATCCTGAGATTCGGGAACGGCTTCCTGATGAGCCTGCAACGACGCCGTGAGCTGTCGCAGCACATCTGTGAGATCCATCTGCTCTTCCTCTTCTGCACCATCCTCCTCGTCCTCCTCCGCTTCGCCTTCTTCCGCCTCGCCTGCGCCGTCCGGCTTGCCATCTGTTTGGCTTGCTTCAGCGGCGGCGGCCTCAGATGGCGGCTCTTCCACCACCGAATCCGGTTCGGCCTCAGCCGCTGCGATCGCGCGTTCGTCTGCTTCCACGTCGGATTCGTCCGAGTCGGCATCGTCGTCCGCATTTCCGAAAGCGGACGTGAGCGCACGGATCGCGTCCTCGTATTCGGCCAGATCGATGCCCTCTTCGCCTTCGCCCGAAGCTGCGATTGCCACTGCTTCGGTCGCAGCTGGCTCCGAAGCTTGCGTCGCCTTCGCAGCTCCTGCCACCTCGTCCGTAGGCGCCGCCTCTTTGGCACTTTCTTCCGCTGCGATCGCTTCGGCAGTTGGACCTGCGCCGATCTGCTGCAGCGCGGCCGCGAGCGTTTCGGACACCGCCGAGTCCAAGTCGTGTTGCGGTGTCTGACCAGCCAGGCTCGACAGCGCAGACGCCAGCTGCGATGATGCGGACGGCGTGGGCGCAGAGGGATGTGGTGCCACAGTACGCGATGGAGCAGGAGGGAGCGGTGGTCCAGTGGTCATGCCTGACATGTCGGCCGCCCTGGCAGCTGCTTGAGCAGCTGCATTGCTGCTCAGCTGACCAAGGATCGAGCTGGCCAGTGCCGGGTTGAATCGATTGCTTGTATCGCTGAGCATCGTCGCAAGCTGCTGCATCATCGAGGGCTCGCTCGTGCTGTGCAGAGGAAGCGACGTAGGACCTCTCGCAGCCGAGGCCGGCGGCAGTCCGCGTCGATCTGCTGCACTGCCAACACTGGCAGGGGCGCCTGTGCGTGCGAACATGGATGACGGCGAAGAGAAGCCTGTCGCCATGTACGGCACGCCCGTGTTCGGTCGAGCATAGGGCGACATGGAAGTCGGCATGCCGGCGGCGGTGGCAGCAGCTGTCTGGGCGGCCGCAGCGGCGGTAGCCTCGGCAGCGGCATCGTGGTAGCCCGTCTGGGTGAGCATGTGGGCCAGCATCTCTTCCATCGAACCGTCGCTGGGACCAGAGCGGATAAGCTGGTACAGGTATCTGACCGAATCCGGCTCGATCTTTTTGCCGATGCGCTTCTGGTATTCGAGCAGGATCTCGGTGGCTGAACCGCTCGGGAAAATGGTGCTTGCAGGATTGGCCAGCGGCGCTGCACCTGGCTGTCCGTACGGTCGAGGACCCGTTCGCAGGCCTTTGGACATGCGGAGACCTGAATCGCCTACATTGCGATAAGCCTGACTGTCCTTGTGTGGGCTGACGGCCAGCACCTCGCCGTTGAGACCAGGTCTGACCATGGGATGATCCTGACCCACCTGAGGTCTTCGCGTCGGTTTCCTCGAATCGCCGGGCTCGGACCAAGACGGATTGATGCGGTAGAGGCTGCCTGTCTTGAGAAGCCTTCCGCGTTTGAACGCCTTCTGCAGCGCCTGGTGCGCAGACGGACGGAACTTCTTCATGAGCGGATAGGTATCCTGCATCCAGTTGAACAGTGTGCGCGGTGGTGATGAGCCCATGACGCGCAGACCCTCGACGATCATGTCCTCGTACGAAGGCAGCGTGCTGGTACCAAGTGGACCCTGGACGATAACAGGTTGGGGATCCGGCGACCACGATGCCGTACGATAGCTGCCAGTAATAGGCGAAGCCGGCGCGTAAGAGCCGGCTCCGTAGGTGGGAGTGAAGATGGGGTTGGCGCTCGCTCCAGTGAGGATCGCGACTGGATCATTGACTCTAAAGGGCAACGCCGAGGTTGGCGTCGGTCGTGGTGCGGATGAGACGCTGCCGGCGTTGGATGAGGCCACCGCCGGAGAAGGCAGCTGCTTCTTTGCTTCTTCGAGCTGCTGCAACAAGCTCGAGAGTGCCCCTCCTTGGTTCTGGGTTGCTGGAGTACCTGTTCGAGCATTTGCATCGGGAGAGCCAGCCGAGGCTGACGAAGGACCCGCTTGTCCAGCATAGGTTGACAGCATAGCGGCAATATTGCCGAGCGGTACTGCACTCGAGCCAGGGCCGGAGCCCGAGCCAGCTGCAGCAGGTGCGAGAGGCAGTCCTTGGGGACCGAGCATGGGGGTTTGCGAGGACGCGGACGAGCCCAGAATGGCAGCAATCTTGTCCGAGATGTCTTTGCTCGGGCTGGACGCTGGTGCAGGAGCTGAAGAGGTGCGAGCGGCTGCGGCGGACGCGGTCGGAGCGGTCAAACCCGCGCGCGCTGCAACACTTTGGGCTGCCACTGACGACGGTGTCGGAGCTGGCGATGAGGAAACCGATGCAGCTGCAGCTGCGGGACGCGGTGCTGCATGAGCGTTGGCAGGGAGACTACCGCCAAAGTGGGCAGCGATAGCCGCGGCCAATGCAGCATTCGAAGGCATGGGTCCATCTCCGACGATGCTGCGCAGTGCGGCCGGTGTGATCTGAGGTGGCTTGCTGCCCGGACCGACTGCAGATTGAGGCGTCGAGCTGGTGGATGCAGTCTGAGGTGGTGGAAGAGGTGCACCGTTGGGACCGCGTGCTGGCTGATTCTGTTGTCGGGCCATGGCTGTGATTGAGCTGATGAGATGGGAAAGCGATGCGTTTTGCGTCGTATCCTTGCCAGTCGCCACTTTTTGCCCGGCGGTGCCCAAAGCACGGGTTGCAGTCGGTGTCAAGGGAAGGGTGCGGCGGGGTCCAGTCGGAGGCGTGTATGCGGGCCGTCCGGTGAGCGCAGAGGTGGTTGTTGGAGCGCGTGAGATGACGCTGCCAGCTGGACGAGACGTCGCATTGAGCAGGGAATAGACATCTTTGAGGCTCAGGTCTGTGGCCGTAGCAGTGGTGGAGGCGGCAATCCGCTGACGTGCTTTGAGCCGCTCGATCTGTACATTGATCTGGTCGGGATAGATACGAGCTTGACGGTAGAGTGTGGACGAACCTGAGGGTGCCTCGACAAGGTCGATGAGCTGCTTTTCCAATCGTTTGACGAGGTCGATGAGTTCCGCCTTGTGGAGCAAAGAGAGATACTCATCCTTGACAGTCGCCGCCACCTGAGCTCCAGAGACTGAGGGTATGAGGTTGAGCGGCTCGACACCTGCCTGATTCGAAAGGGAGCTGCCAGGTTTGGGTATATTGGTGACGGTAACGCTGGACGACGTGTTGTCAGCTCTGCCAGATGTGGGTGTGGTGAACAAGGGACGCGAGTCAGATGGCGCCGAGCTAAGGGACGGCGCAGTGGTTGTGGGCGGCGTCGCTCTCGGAGCCACCGGTAGCGATGCGAGTACAGAGCTGCCGAAAGGTGTTGGCGAGGAAGTCGCAGCCTGTGCCGACGGCGATACGCTGGGCGCTGTTGGACGGAACTTCTTGTTGGAGAGATCAGTGGAGGCTGCAGACTGCCAGGAGCGCTTGTGGGACAGGGTGGCGCCTGACGCGCTGGATAAGGCTTTGGCTGGCGAAGCATACTTTTGGCGCGTCTCCTGTGTCGGATAGGCCGTGGCAAAGGATTCGGAAGCTCCGGCCTGAGTCGTCCTTGGCGCTTTGTAGGGAGCTGGCAGGTGAATCGACTTGGCCATCGAGGGCGAGGCGCTGGTGGATCGCTCGCTCGCATTTCCGAGAGGAGTCGGAGGCAACAGGCGATTTGGCGTGGTCAACGGGCCAGCATACGGCGGTCGTGGCAGCGCAGGTGACGCATCACTTAGCCGCGAATGTAGCGGTGCTGTTGCTCCTCCTTGCGCAGCATATGCTGCAGAGGTATTGGCAGTGGCGGCGGCAGACGGCGACAGCGACGGCTGGTGCGAAGGACGCGTCGCATCGGACGCGACGGTGTTGGATGCACTGGAGGTCGCGGCGGTTAGCGTCGGTGACCCGGGTGGTGAGGCGAGATCGATGGGCTTGGAAAGCGTGCCGAGGTTGCCGGCAGGATGACCAGTGGTCACCTTGGCAGGTGATGCAGAGGTGGAAGCGCCATCGTGACGACGCGACGAGGATGCGTCGGATGCGATGGGCGACTGGCGTGTAGGCGTATGTGCGTGTTGAGGTGCAGGTGATGGGGACGGCGCGGTGGCCGCGGTCATGTCGGGAAGCAAGCCGAGGCGACAGCCGCTTCGCAGTCTACCAATCTTGCGACAGGGGCGCCTACCGTTGGAGATGGGGTGATGGTGTCTGTACAGTTTTGCGCCAGCTTTGCGAAAAAAAAGTATGGTGGTGTGACCTGGCCCAAGAAACTGTAACGCGTCGGCACCGCGCAGCTGCAGTGCTGCTGCCCTGCCCGCATCCAGCGTCTGGTGTCAGCACCAAGAGACGTTCAGCCTCATCGAAATCGATCCAAATCGAATTCCATCCGCTTTGCGAAGGACGATCAAGACAAAATTTCAAAAATGTTACTTCTCGCTCGAACACATTTCTGATCATGCACCAAGGTCTAACACCTTGGTTAAGTACGGCCAACTTTGGTCCGGAAAAGGCCGGCCACCGCGGATGGCACCATGCTTGCCGAGCAGCACGGAAAGGAGCGTGAATCCGGCTTGGACCGGGCATGCTGCTGCAACGTCAGGGTGCTGCAGTCGCTCTCTCCACACACATACAGAAGATATTCGGGGTGTGCGGTGCGGATCTCTCCTTCACCACTGTGGTGGAGAGCAGCAACGAGCTTTCTGAGAATTGGTCCGTCGATGGCAACAGGAGAGCGTGAGAGTGTGGAGAAAGCGAGAAAGCTGGATCGGCGCACTGATCCGCTCTTGCGCAACCTGTTGCCCGTTCCTTTCTTCCTTGTCCCTTGCTTCTCGTCCATCACGTACAACTCACCTCCTCCCTTCCTCTTATCCCGCATCTTCGCATCTTTACATACATCGCAAACATGGTCAAGGCTACTGTTATCGGCGCCGCTGGTGGTATCGGCCAGCCTCTTTCGCTGCTGCTCAAGCAGTCTTCGCTCGTCACCGACCTCGCCCTCTACGATGTGTAAGTGCCTGACTGTTCAGCTCGAGCTTCACCGCGACTAGTGGCCCCACCTGTTCCTCACTGCCCCGTGACTGACAATTTGAGACGCTTCATCCTTGTTTCCAACCTCGTCCTCGTCCTCGTCCTCGACTGTTGCCAGCGTCAACGCCCCCGGTGTCGCTGCCGATCTCTCGCACATCAACACTCCCTCCATCGTCACTGGCTACCTCCCCGCTGACGGCGGTCTCGGCAAGGCGCTCAAGAATGCCGACATTGTCGTCATCCCCGCCGGTGTCCCCCGTAAGCCTGGTATGACCCGTGACGACCTGTTCAACGTGAGTACATGATCCCGTCAACATCTCTCTCTGCTCGCCATCGTACGTTCATCGACACGGCCAATCTCTCGAGCTCGGTTCATCGGCACGCGCGGCAATGGCACGGCAGCAGTCACATTTGTCACTTCAGCGCCGATGGGCTGCTTGCGCAATTTTTGCAGCGATGCTCTTTCCTATGGCCTGCTGCGCGATTCGTTTCGCCGACCATGGTGTCGATACCTCGCCGGTCTTTGAACAGTCGACAGGTGCTCTACGATTTCTGCCTCGATTTTTTGGGCGTTGAAATTGTTGGTCCAAGCGCATAATCGACGCGCTGTCAGAAAAGCGGCAGCTCGCCAGGGATTTCCAGCTCGGAAATCTCGACGCTCTCGCTGCATTTTCCAGTTTTAGGATCCCACCCCCGCAAGATCACGGTGCGGTGCCTGACCGCAACCTCACGCTGGATTGTCGGTGGCGCGACTTCAGAATCGTCGGGAGATCATCGAGCACGCTCAGACGATGGCAAGGGCAGAGAGAGACGACCAGGTAACGGAGCAGAACACACGCGGGACAACTACTGACAGAACCGTTCTGCTTTCTGCTGTAATCCATTCGGACCCAACAAAACACATCGATTCCCTTGCATCGACCCGCATGCCCTGCAATCCTACCGCAACGATGGCCATGTGATCGTTGTAACGCCTCTTCTGCGCGCGATGATACCTGCTAACACAGATCAACGCCGGTATCGTTCGCGACATTGCCGTCGGCATCGCTGAGCACTCGCCCAAGGCTTTCGTCCTCGTCATCTCGAACCCTGTCAACTCGACCGTCCCCATCGTCGCCGAGGTTCTCAAGAAGAAGGGCGTTTACGACCCCAAGCGCCTCTTTGGTGTCACCACCCTTGACGTCGTTCGTGCCTCCACTTTCATCTCCGAGGCTGCCGGCAAGCCCACCGAATCGCTCAACTACCGCATCCCTGTCGTCGGTGGTCACTCTGGTGTCACCATCGTCCCCTTGATCAGCCAGTCGCAGCCCCCCATCTCGGTCGACCAGGCCAAGATCGAGCAGCTCACCAACCGTATCCAGTTCGGTGGTGACGAGGTCGTCAAGGCCAAGGACGGTGCTGGATCCGCCACCCTCTCCATGGCTTACGCCGGCGCTCGCTTCGCCATCGCTGTCCTCGAGGCTGCTTCCGGAAAGGCGCTTGCCCACCCCGAGATGGGCTACGTCGACCTCACCTCGGACGCCGCCGGTGCCAAAGAGGTCACCGCCGTCATTGGCAACGACACCCCCTTCTTCTCGGTCCCACTCCAGCTCGGCCCCAGCGGTGTCGAGAAGATTCTGCCCCTCGGCAAGCTCAACGACTATGAGTCCGAACTCATCAAGAAGGCCGTCGTCGACCTCAACGGCAACATCAACAAGGGTGTTCAGTTCACTGCTAACCTCTAGACGTGCCCTGTTGGCTTCACCCGTAGGTAGAAAGCATCTAGGCTCCACCGTGAGTTGCAAAAAATTTGTTTCGGGAAACGCCGTGTCTGTGATCGAGTTGTGAGCAAGCATACGCTGTCTCGTAATTCTGTCCGCAGCACTGTACTGAGATGATGGAATGAGAACTGTCTTGCAATTTCTTGACCTTTAACATATCTTTCGGAACACTCTCGCTGGCCTTTCTTTTGTTGAGGTGATGACCACGAGCCTTGCGCTACTGATCAGCTGGCGTCATTGCTTCTTCGTCGGAAGAAGACAAATCAAGCTCGTCGAACTCGGCTTGAGGCTGGTTCAGCCTTCGACGCTTGGCTCTGGCCGGATCTTTGCTTTCGTTTCGAGATCTTGGCTTGCTTTCGTCGGTAAACCTCCGCTTCCAGAGCAGCTTTACTGCAAGTTGAGATCGAAGCAATCAAGATTAGGAATCGTTCAGTACCGCTTGCTTAACATCTGCTTATGGACTGCGCAAAGACGTGGCCGCGTCTTTCAACGTTCAATCTTACAAGCCAACTTACCGAGCCTTCTCCGCGTGTGCAGCCTCTTGAAGCTGCATGCGGCATTCGTTGAGATCTGCACCGTAATCTTGCCCAGCGTCGATGAGGCTCTCTGGCGCAGAGGCCATGCCGACTTCGAATCTTGGCAGCCAGAAGCCTTCCTCGTGCTGAGCGTCATCGTCCTCGATGAGTGGGAGGTGCTGCTTGACACATCGAGTGCGCAGATCCTCCCATTGCGACTTTGTTGTGGCAAGAGATTGCTTCGAGCTTGAGAGCCACGTCGAAAAAGCTTTCTCCCAAAATTGCTGCATCACAGCGTCGATGGCTATCTCGACAAACGCCGTGTGCCTTTCCTTGGCGAGTTGGCGAAGGTAGAAAAGCTTCGCCGATCCAGGGGGAAGATTAGTGGCGCCCGGGAAACGCTGCTTTGCGAACTCGACGGCGACGTCTGTGATACCTTCGGCGAAAGCATGAGAAGTGGCTTCGTAGAGGTCGTTGTAGAGACCTGCTGAAGGTTCCATCCAAGCTCGGATAACGGGATTGGTTTTGAGGACGCCGTGGATCCGAGCTGAGCTGACGGATGTGTGCTTGTAGTTCCTCGAAATCGTGCCAAAACCAGAACGGCGGAGATTAACGGCGAGCATCACCAAGAACGCCACTTTGAACGTCAGCATGACGTGTACGAGGTCTTTGAGGCGGAACCCCAGTCGTCGAAGCGTCGTCTCGATCAAGCAATAGTTTACTTCATCCTTCTTCCCAGCTTTGCTCGTGTCTTTCTGAACTTTGAGCGTGAGAGCGCGCTGGAAGATGTCGTTGATCGCCCGATCCGGGGAGCCGTACGGCCAGTTCTCGCAGATGAACGACCACAAGGGTTGGCCGTCAGTAGGTTCGAGAGAGCCAAAAAGTTCATAACGAAGCAAGACCAGACCATTCTCGCTTGTAGGTCGGGGAGCTCGAGCAGGCAGGACCGAGTCATCGTACCTGTCGATGGTCTCGAGGGCTCTGTTTGTGGCAAGAAAATTCGGTCAGTATCCATGATCGATTACAGCTTTGCAATCACAGAACGAGACTTACAATGCCAAGTCCATCTCTGCTTGCGAGATGTCGAGCGGTCTGGAGTCGGCGGAGCGATTTGTCGACCAGCCACGGTCCTCATGCCCACCAGCGACAGATGTTTGAGGCGTGCTAGGTTGAGGTGGAGCTGCTTCTGCCCCTTCTTCTGCATCCGAGGTCGGAACGGAGCTGAGCTCGGGTGACTCTGGTTCAGGGTTATCAACTACCGACGTGGTAGCACGGGCGCTGCCCCTGCCGTGCCTACCTTGCAGAGTGCGCGTGCCATGAGTGCGCGGCATCATTGTGCGCCGTTCGGGGTTTGTTGGACGGCGTTCGAGAGAAGCGGAGGGGGTCGAAGAAGGGATGCGGATGATGGTGTGCGGGAGGTGAACGGAACAGGTTCTTGGTGCGGAAGCCTGACCACTCGGATGCGTCCCCTCACAAGGCGTGCCCGCGGGTGTCAAGGTGCTGCGCACTGTGTATTGCAAAGCGATTCTGGACATTGTCTGGGCGCCGGGGCAGTGTCGTTCTGTGCGACTCAGCCTTCTGCGGCCGACGACGCAATAATGTTGAGCGAGCGAGCCGCACAAGCGCTCAGTCGAGTAGCACACTTCTGCTGGCCGTTGAGAGGACTGCACCTTCATTTCGCTAAACCTTCTCTTCTAGACCGCCACGCAACTCAGCACCGCCCACAGATCTTGTCTAGTCGGAACGAACATGTGACTGTCATGCTGCGGGGGCTCACACGCATGTATTGGCAAGACCAAAGTGACATCAACGTTGTGCCAGACTGTATCCTTCTGAAGGCGCAGCGTGAATGCACACCGTGTTTTCCGACGTGCGGATTTGGATGGGCATCAGTGGCGACGGCATCCGGTAGCGCTGCGCACACAATGCCACACTTCTAGACGCGCTCTTCGCGTAACCCACCTTCAATATCACAATCGCGCTTGACATGATTGCCGGATTCGATCATCGTACAAATGGTGCCGGTGTATCACGGCTTCATCAAATAGTCTGACAGAGAGTGCTTGAGAGGCAGATGGAGGAACAGCCTTCGAAAGGATCTCATTAGCCATCTTTTAGCTTTTCGTGCGGAACTCCAAGCCTTTCGCTGGGACGATGTCAGCATTCTCCTGTACCCCATTCAGCGTTCCACTAGCATCGAGATATCGCATTGTCGTTCGAGCCAAAAATTGAATGACTTGCATCGCTGTCAACCTACATGATCACACAATCACCTTCGATCTGACGCTCAGTTGAGGCTCACTTAGCAGCACGCTCGCCGATCACACCCTCATCACGCTCCTCATCATCTCTGTTTTTGTCGTTGTTTGTGCCTTTGTCAACGGAATCGTTTGGGCTTTGTTGAGGGGAGGGATCGATGGCAGAATCGAACCGCATCTGCGCCAGCGCAAGTACCGTGGGTCTTCCAGGGGGAATGTCTGTTATGCCCCTGGGGTCTGAAGACCTCAAGGTTTGGTGGAGAAGCGTGAGGCCAGGGGCAAGTTACCAGGTGCGGTGGTCCGGTACATTGCAGGCGGCATTGTTGGGAAACTCAATCAAATCAGGTCTTGGATTTTGTCCTATAGGAGTGTAGAATAAAATACAATTGACAGGGAGAGACAGATGGGATCCGGTGAGGCCACCAGATCTTAAGTCTTCCCTGGTGGTGTCTTTGCTGCAGTCAAGCAAGCTTGCACCAGGATCAGCTTTCCAATTTGCGGGTTCCCAATCCCTAACAATTGCCATTGCGTTGTGGGCATAACAATGTTTTGCTCAACAGCCCATTCTCTATACAACCTCAGTCCAGGGAAGAAGTCGGTTGTCCTGTTAAATTCGAGAATTTTGGAGCTTGTACCCTCAAATGGCGCTTGGTTCAGCGTTTTTGCCTGAGAGACAATGTTAGAGCCGTGGGGTCTCAGAACCGCTTCCGCAGCCACAGCCAAGGGATTCCGGGAGCGGAGAGGTTGTAGAGGGGAGTAGTGTGAGCGAGGAGCCTTGCGGATGACCGCGGCAGTGTCGCAATACGTCACTGAGCTGCTATTGCTAGCGGAACTAAGTAATACATGCGACGAGGAGACCTGAGGCTACCTCGCGGATGGTTGCGGATGACATGATAAGGGCGGGGAGGCAACGCGAGGCCCTGCAGCACCGGGGAACCGATCACCAATTAGCCAGATCGGTTGTCGAGATCTGGCGGACGCGTGGAGGTCCTAACAGACAAACCAATTTGTTGTACAAGTCCAAGACCCGCAACTTGTAGATAAAACACTCGCAGGTCTGGCCGGTTTGGTTGTCTCGACCTTTGACCTGTACATCTTCGAGTTTGTTGTAGCTTCCTTGGGCAAAGATCAAGATATTTGCTTGTGTGATGTCTATGCTGGTTGCTCTGCATAGAGAGAAAAGAAACGCCAGTTTAATTCTGTGGCGCTGTCCATCAGGTCCAGTGTGGTGCTGCAGCGCTGTGAGGAACCAATGTCAAATCTTCACCAAATTTTGAACAAATTAGGAAACAAAACATTTTCCTCACAGTGCGGCCAAAATGATCAAGATGGGAATGGTTGAAGTATTTGCCCAGCTTTCCATACAATTGTGGAAGACCTTGTGGTTGTTGCTGCCATACAGATTCAGATATTTGATGCCAAAGAGAGAGAAGCACCACATTATGAACATTGCCACCTGCCCATTTACGGCGAAGATTACAATCTTCTGCGGCCGTTTGTCTGGCAGGTGGCGGGGTTGATATGCAGTGTTGACTTGCAGTTGAGGCAAGCCGTCCGGATAGAGGAATAGGGGATCGACGCTGCAGAGGATTCGAGCGGCCAGAGCAACCAGAAGAAGCGCCTTTTTGGATAGCACTTCTTCAAGGGCTCACTTGATCTCGTTTTCGAGATGCACGTCCTCTTGCAAATCCTGAAGGCAGGTTGCTAAGAGCGCATGGTGATGAAGCATTTGCGCATCTGGCCGGTTCTGTGGATGCAGCCTTTGACCTGCATGTCTTTGAGCTTGTTCTAACTGCCCTGAACAAAGATTAGCATGCTTGCTTGGGTTATGTTGATACCTGTGGCTCTGCACATGGAGAAATTGAATTGTCAGTATTGTTCTGTGGCGCTGTGGAATGGATTGAAGTTGTATGTGTATCAAGTTGCATACAAGCAAGACAAAAAAGAACTTACAGTGCAGCTAAAATGATCAGAATTCGCACTGTTGGCACGTTTGCCTGGCTTTCCATGCAATCATGGAAGACATTGTTGTCCACACCTCCATAAAGATTGAGAAATTTGATGCCAAAGTGCTGAAGGCAGCACATCACAAACATTGTTATGTGCCCATTTACCGCAAAAATTACAATCTTTTGTGTTGGTCTGTCTGGAGGGTGGCAAGGAAGAGCGGCTGGTTTGAGAGGCAGCCTGTGACATGCCTTGGGGAAGATGCAGGGTGGGGTCAATGTTTGTCAGAATGTGTGCCGTCAAGGACACCAGTAAGAGGCTCTTCTTGGACGGCACCTCTGCGAGCAAGTTCTTGACCTGTTTGTACAAGTGGACGTCTTCAGCACCATTCTGGAGACACGTGGCCAAAAGAGCGGGATGATACACAGCATAATGCTGGTAGTTCGCGTTCTTGACCCATTTCTCGGCCTTCTCCTGGGGCTTTGCCTTCTGCTCCATCAGTTCAGCCTCAATGATACCATCATCTTCCAGCTCGACCATCTTGAGCGTCGTGATTTGATGCTTTGCCAGTCCTTAGACAATGCGAACATGACCGTCGTGCCGTCTGTCTTTGTCGACTGTGACGTTGAGTTTGTATAGCGTTGGAAGTCCTAAAACGGTTTGTTTGGGATCGCTCTTCATGGCTGCGAGAAGTCTGCTTGCTCCGACGCTCGACAGCCTCTCACTTCGATCATTCACAACAGAAGAAGATTTAGTTACCGCATTGCCGCCTGTGCCAAACATTGAATGAGTCGTCGCATCACTGCCAAGCTACATGATCACGCAATCGCCTTCGATCTGACGCTCTGTATCCGGATCCAGATCAAGTCCAAGCAAACGCGGATGCAGTCGCCAAAGAATGTTGGCTGCTGGCGAAACCAGATCCCTCGCTATTTGGCTTTCGTTCCTTCTGCAGATCTCTTCCTTGTCCGCAAGTCGATCCGCGCTTCTGTGGGACCGCGTGTCAGCTTGTGATCTCAAGCCGCTGTTTGCAGGTGGGAACGGAGTGACAGTGACAGGGGCGAAGATCTTGATGGTATCGTCGATTCCAGATATCGCAAACACTGGCAAATCGGGATGCATGGCCATGACATTGACAACGCTCGAGTCGCCGTGCCAGATGCCCTTGATCTCAGCGGTGAGCTTGTCCCACATGAACCAGTTGCCATCGTCAGAACCAGAGATGACATAGTTATCGGTTCCACCAGCGAAAGCGACGTCTTTGACCGTCTCTTTGTTGCAATGCCCCTTGTATGCGGATCGTGGATAGACCGTGGGTACATTTTTGCCCTCGTCAAAGGCTGTGAGCGATGGCTGGATTTCGTCTTCTTGTAGGAGATGCATCAGATCGTCGTCCGAGAGGTCTCCTTCGTCGTCTGAGTCTGTGTGCTCGTCTCGCTCTGACTCTGCTTCGTCCATGTCTTCGATCACGATCTCGACTCCGTCGTCGGCATCATCAACGCTGTTCTCTGCTCGAATGTCGCTGTCGAAACCTTCCAGTTCTTCATCATGAATCGTCTCGCCTGATTCAGTTGCGATCGATGATGCGCTGTCAACGCTTTCGATGTCTTTGTCGGGCTCACTCTCGCGCTGGCCAGCATGCTGTTGGTCTTCTTCGAGATCTCTGCCTTGCTCGGCTGCTGACTCCGCGTGCCCTGCTTGCAGCCCAGTGACGTCCTCATACGCTGGCGATGGAGAGCTCTGATCAGAGTCGGCAGATAGTCTGACACTGTCCAGGTTAGCGTGCAGAACGCCTGGCTCGTCGTAAATGTCGAATCGATAGATGTGGCCCGACGAATATGAGACCAGAAGGTCTCTACCGTTGTGCTCGCTGAGCTTGCAGGCAGTGATGCTGTTGCGGTTGCCCATGAGAAGGCGACGATTGGTACTTGAGGGCGGTGCTCGGTCGATCAGAGCTGTGCGACCGTCTTCTGCTGCCCACGGGGCTTCGAAGCCTCCGGGCGGGATGCCAAAGCTTCTGACACACATAGTGAGCGCATCGCGTTGTTGGTCCATGCTGCTCGAGGACATGCCCCAGTCGCGCCTTGTGAGTCTCGGAATCATTCTGCGATCGTGAAGGTAGGCTAGCGGCGCTTCTCCAGCGACAGCAAAGAGCCACGGCTCGACTTTGCTGACGGAGAGCGAGTAGAGAACCGACGGGTAGTGTGCAAGAGGTGGAGGGCAGGATCCCCCCGTTCGACTGCGACAGGTGTGAGGTACACGAAGATCCATCTGTCGCACATCGCCGTCCTCCCCACAGGTGAGAAAGACGTCAGGAGAAACTTCTGTGGAGATGCGTTTGGCTCTGCCGCGGTGACAGCGGAAGAGACGAACGCATGCACTGCTATGCTCAGGCCAGACGTTGTACTCGCGACCTGTTGGCGTACGGACGAGCTCTCCTTCTGCTCCTTGGATGTGACTCGTGCCGGCAGACATGTGGTTGATGTCAAAAACGCGGACATGAGAGTCGCCCGCACAGGTGAAGAGGCGACGTTCGGAGGCGTTGGGAGCCCACTTGACCGAGAAGATGTTGGCGCGATGACCTGTTTCGATCTTACCCAGCATACCGAGATCCATGCTCGGATAGTTGCGCTGAGGCCATGGTAGAACAATCTCGTCTCCGCCATCGCTGCCAGTGTGCGGGTCGTCGACTTCGTGATCAGGCTGAAGGTCCAGAGACGAGGCTGTTTGGGACGACGTGAATTGCTGACGAACACTGTGGCGCGAAGCACCAATGTTGTAGCGATGTGATGTGCGAGAGCGATCAGCTTTGCTGACATCAGTAACGGGATGAGTCTCAGCAGAGTCCAGCTTCCAAAGCACTACGTTACGATCATCGCTTCCACTCGCAAGGAGGCGACCAGACGGAGACCAGCTGAGAGCGTTGACGCATCCGGTGTGGCCGATATGATGATCCGAGCTGTCTTCGCCTCCGAGCACTTCGGTATTGTCGAGACGTTCAATGTACTGGTCGTGGAGTTGACATTGCCGCTGATGGTGATGGGACCACGAGATGGTGCGTCTAGGAGGTGGATCGAAAAGCGAGCTGCTCGAAAAGGCCATTGGAGATACTTGGCGGCTGGCAAGCCGAGCTCGACGGCGGTTCAAGGCATCGGACTGGGGACGAAGTCGGTTCAGCCGATCGTTGGGATACGATAGTGATGATGAGTGTGCTTGCTCGCTATGCTGGCGGAGGGAGTTCCGATGCTGATCGCCTCCATTCAATAGCGGCACATGGCGGAAGTCTGCTTTGTTTGCTCGGTCATGCAGGGCTGCATAACGAGTAAGCGCCGTGCAGCGCCTGTCACCTCCACACACCCGGACCCGCACGGCAGCTGAGTTAGGAGAAAAGTGTTACTTTTTCTCGCACTCAACGCGTCGTCGTGATTTGTACGGCGTGTAGCAGCGTCTGCTTTCTTCGGCTGTTCCGATTGCCACTTCCGCTCCTGAGCCACGATACGCACCGTCACACTGCGACAATCAGCAGGTGTCATCGGATCACCTTGGTAGACGCAGATGCAGTCTGCTACGCATACAGCATGACAATCTGTGGCTAAACAGCAACTATCGTTTCGGATGGCCCGCGGCGTAGTCACAAGACGTCCCAGAGAGGCGTCGAGCGAGGCGTCTTACTGGGACGATGACACCAACAGCCCTTTTGCTGACGTCGTCACACCGCCACTGCGTTCGGATGTCGTCCTCCCATCGGTGCCTGCAAAGGAGCAGCTCAATACAGCGTCACATCCGATCACCATTCTTGACACTCAACCGGAACCTTTACCGATGCAGCAACAAGGCGGCCTGGCGCTCGAGCTCTTTCCCAGCGGTCGATCATCGACGGATCCGCCAAATCGTCAATCGCATCCGCCTTCGTCATTCGACTTTGACGCGGCGGCAGGAATCGAGCCTTGGACTCAGCCGGGTCTGAAAGCAACCCAGTATCTACGCGACGAATGGCTCATCTCGGCGGGACAGAAGCAGCCAAACGATTTGGTAGAGGATTACGTCCCGAACATCGGCGATAGCGGAAAAGCATCAACGTCACGACAACCCGATCGATCACGGCTCACGACTGCACGAGTTGATCATATGGCGCCAGCCCTCCGATCAGTCCTTGCCGATCGAGCGCATCTCGATGCACCAAAGGAGCCCATCGCGAAACGCGGTCGCTCCAGTCTGCTCGATCAGCTCGATGCGATTTGCAGCAGCCCATCGCAGCGTTTCAGCTCCAGCCCGATTACAAACGAGCCCACGACGATACCCACGACTCCAACGACGGCGCGAGCACCGCTTGCACCAGCCAGCAGCATCGTCTCTAATGGCAAGGCATCGTCGGCGCAAAAGATCCACGACCAACCAGCCGTCATCGATCTACTCGAAGTGTCCAGCTCACCACCGGCACAGCCTCCTCAACAACACATCACTCTGATCAAGGACATGCCGCAGGAACTTCAGAACATCTACCGTCGTCTCGCTTTCGGTCGCAGTGGCGGTGTCGCAGGCGGCTCCTCGTCATCAACTCCCTCAACGCCCATCAACGCGGGAACGACAGCACGAGGAACGCGCGGCAAGACGTGGCAAACTACGTGGCAGGACGATGGCGACCAAGATGGACAGAGCGCGGATGGTGCCACTTCGTCAAGTGGATCACGAGCAAATGCAGCGTCGAGCGCTTTGACTTCTGGTCGTGGACGTAAGCCCACCTCAGCTGCAAGCAGAGATTCAAGGACGAGCAAATCTCGAAGCAGTGCAAGTGGCAGCAGCAGCGCTGCAAGCAAGGGCAAGAGTCGATTCTTCACGTTCAAGAATTTCCGTAGCCGTGGCCGCGGGAGAGGGAGAGGGAGAGGGAATGGTCGGTGAACAAAGACCTCTAGGTGGGGCAAACATCTTTATTCGCATTCACATTTACATCGCATCATCGAATTGTCTATCATTCAGCAGACCGAACACGCATACACATGACAAGCAACACCGACTGAAAAGTGCAACAGGTGATTCCACGTGAGACAGATGCAAAGACAAGAGCGAGACGGTAAAGCTATTCTACTGAGTGAGCCACGGAAACAGCGCGATAGAGGGGAACAGAGAGAGACCGAGATACTGAGAGAACGAGGACTGAGAGCGATGGTGAAGGAATATAATCAAAAACAGGACATGCAAACGATACCAAGGAAGATCCAAAATGCCAATGACAGTACTTCTTCACAGCTCACAACGCCAGACTACCCGCGTCTCTCGAGGTCTTCCTATCCAGCATGCCCAACATCTTGGTCACGGCCTTCTCGTCCACCTCCAACTCCTTCCTCTGACCCGGCTGACTCGGCGAACGACTTGCCAACGAAGCCGCACCGTTGGGTCCGTAGATGCTCGAAGTCAACCCGGACGGCGTCGGCTGGTACAGCGTCGGAGCCGGCTTGGGTGTAGAAGATTTACGCTTGCTGAACGGAGCTTGGAACAGAGGCTGTTGCTGCTGCTGCTGCTGTTGACGCTGGGAGGAGCTGATGGAGTCTACGAGCTCTTCGAGCTCGGTTGCGTTGGTCGAGAGGAAGGCGGGGTGCTGCGCCAGACGTGTGTAGATGTTGATGGGCGACAGAGCAGAGTCGTCCTCCTTCTCGGACGAGGAGGAAGAGGAGGAGCTGGCGTCGGAGAAGCTAGGACCTGCCGCAGAGGCAGCGTACTGCTTGTGGTGCATGGGCGGTTGGAAGCCGAGCTGGGCGTAGGTGCTGGTGTTGCCCTTGGCCATCTTTGCCTCGAGCAGACGGAGGAACATCTGGGCGTGTTCGGCCTGAGTGAGCTCCTGTGGTGTCTCGCCCTTCTTGCCGTTGCTGGAGGTGTCTTCGCCGCTCGACTTGCTCTTGGAGGCGTCGATGGCGTCGTCTTCGTTGGTCTGCTGACTGCCAAAGTTGAATCCGCCGCCGCCTGGTGTCAAGCCGCCGTTGAGGAAGGCGGACAGATCGAAGGGTGAGGGGGCGCCGTTCTGCGAGGCACCGGTCGCCTGTGCAACAGCCTGCGCTTTTTCGTCGAGGATGCTGTCGTCGCCTTCGAGAGCGTTGCCCGCCACCTGTGACCACCAGCTCTGCTCGCCGGGCATCTTGTTTTCGCTGAGGTTGAAAGCGAAGGGAATAGGATTGGGATTGAGCAGCGCGCCGTTCTGCTGAGTGGGCATGGGCATGGGGAACATGTTGGCGCCCGACGTCGAAGAAGGTGCGATGCCGAGAGCGCAGGCAAGACCAAGACCAAAGTCGCGTGCGCTGGCACCGAGCATGGCCGAGCCGCTGAGGTGGTTGTTGTTGGAGGACGAAGAGGCCTTGGCGTTCTTGCTGTCAGCGGCATTGTTGCTGTTGAAGTTGAGCGAGAGGATTGGGTTGGCTGCGGAGCGGTCGTTGCGGCTGGCGACGGCGTTGTCGGCAGGGGCAGCGTCGGTGTCGTTTTCGTCCTTGTCGTGGCCAGACTGTGCAAGCTGCGCAAACCAGTCGTTGTCAAAGGTGCTGTTGTTGTCCTCGATGGGTTGGGCGGTGATAGTCGACTTTGGTACGGCAGGGATGGCGATGGCAGCCGTGTTGGACTGCTTGCTGCGGCTCTTGGGGTTGGCGTCGCTGAGCAAGCTTGGGTTGACGCCACCGACGGGAAGCAGCTCAGTGAAACCTGGAAGATTGGCGAGGGACGAGATGGGGGGCGCCGACGACGATGCAGGTGCCGAAGTGGAGGTGGTGCTGGTGCGGCTGCGACTGGACTGCTTGTTGGCAGCGGCGGAAGGTGTGTGCTGGACTGGTGCTGCATTGTGTGGGGGCAGTGATGCGGCGTTGGGGAGTGGCAGACCCGGGCCACCTCGCGCCCAGGCATCCATGCCGAGATCCATAGGAGCGAGCGAGTGTGGGAGGTGTGGTGCGCTGTGCTGATGGAGTTGGTGCTGGGCATGGTGCTGCTGGTGCTGATGTTGGTCTGCGTTGTTGACAGATTCAATGATGCCAGGGATCATGTGGGCAAAGCCGAGACGGGCAATAAGCGACTTGAGCGCTTCGTTCTCGTCCTTGAGCCTGCGGGCAAGACGCTGAAGCTCAGTGTTGGCTTCAAGGCCCATCTGATCGAAGCGACGACATCGCTCCTCGAGCTCTTTGACACGAGCCTCACGACGCTTGCGAAACTCTCGCTGCGCCTTTCGGTTCTGCAAGGTGCGCTTAGTGACGAGGGGAGCATCGGGCTGACCGGGGACAGGGACAAGCTGCTGGCTGGCCGAGATCTTGCCGCTAGATGTCATCATCCTGGAAGAGCCGTCGACAGAGTCGGAATCGGAGTCCGAGTCGTCTTCGATGTCTGAGACCGAAAGCTTACGCTTTGCGGGAAGGTCGCGAGGTGGCTGTGCCTTTTTGGCAGCGGCGCCTGCCGCAGTCGATGCTGCTGCTGGAGCCATTGTAGAGAAGCTGAGATGACAGAAAGAGTGGCTGTTTGACGATTGCCGGGCGTGAGACGGACTCGAAAGAGTGTCTGTAGTGGCCACTGTGTATTGGAATGGATGTGGCGAGTGTAGCCTGAATGGACGGGTGTGCTGAGAGAAAGCAGCGGCGAGGACGATAAAGTGTCGAGAGATCTCGATGTCGATGTGACGGAGGGAAGGAAGCTCGAGGTAGAGTCGGCAATATCGTCTTGGACGAAGAGAGAGCGACTGTATCTAGGCACGAGAGGTTCGTGACGTTGAGCGAGAAATGTTAACCGCGGCAGAGAATACGGTGGTAGGCCGCAAGCTGCTGGGGATTAGTGAGTGTGTTGGACAGCGAGAGACGGGCGATGAGCGGCAGGAAATCAAGGCTTGAAAGCCAGACGGGTTGCGTGCTGCGCGATGGCCCACGGAAAAGCACAGACACGCACCCACGCACAATTCAACAGCAGCGTGTTCGGAAGCGTTCCGTTGCTGAGTGAGGCGGTCACCGAGATCGTCGAGACACGAAATTTACGATTCGCAGCGAGCTGTGCCCCATTCCAGCCAGCGTTGGGCTAGGATCATTTTGGTTTTCGACTTTCCAATTCCTCTACTCGGCTCGATACTCAGATTGCCACCCGTGGAGCCAGGACGCTGCTGTGCTGCCGACCCCTCGATCTGTATCTTTTCACCATTCAGACCAGCATCAACGACATTTTCAGAGTTGGATAGCTATCATTGTATGGTGATGGCACGGGATACAGTAGGCCGCCTGCGAACCAAATGCAAAGGCGGGCGCGGAAGAGCTTCTGCACGGTTGTTTGCTCACCCTGCACACTTACTCTCCGCATCGTGTACCATCCGACCGTGCTGCGTCTTCTTGGAGCGGATCTGCTGCAGGTCTACTCTAAATTTTGTATTGAATGCATGATGTCGACACAATTCTCGTCTATTTGAATTCACAAATGCTGTCTGGCAAGGATCGTGGTTAGGACAGTGCAGATCGAGGCTCGCAGCGGAACTCAGTACTCTGTAATTCAATTTTGACTTTTCCTTCTCCTTGGTCCACCTCGATCCCGCTGTCCTGGTTTTGCAAATCGACCGGTCTCTCCACACGTCGCACAGATGTAGCTACCTGGCCTCTGTGCCACTCTCATCCCCTCTGCGTCACAAGCGGCTCATCGTTGCGGCTCCACAGCCGTTGCTTCACTGGCATCTGGCGTCAGTGGACAAGCAGCTGGAACATTGGTGATGCCATCGAGACACCGAGACAAACAAGGCTGTCTGTCGGCCACGTTGCCAGTCTCCCGCTAGCGCTGCCATCCCACCAACTGACTGGGCCACACTCGTGGTCGTCGCCCGTTCCGACTTTGAAAACCGTCGATTCCGCATGTCAATCAAAGCAGCTCTCATCCCCGTTGCAGGTCAACATGGTGTTCCAGCTCGTCTTCGTCCGGAGTCCGCCGCCCCTTTTTCTTCCACCGTGTCCGGATCAGCCCCGTGATAATCTTCGTCGCATGAACCGATGAGCGCTGTGCAGCATTCCTGCCTGTGGTTTCAGAAGTATCTCTCGTCTCTCCATGAAGGAATCGTCATACAGATGCTTCACCATATCTCGTCTCTAGGTTCCGTGTCCCACCACATTCGACCTGCCGCCACGAATGCGGTGGCGTGAATCCTGAGACCTTTCCGAGACCCTCCGAGAGACGTACCTTTTCGGCAACGGGTCGCCACCATCACGTCGTCATGGTGCGGCTCAGATTTCCTCCAGAAATCTGCATACCCGACCAAAGTTTGGCGAAAATAGTCGGTGGAGTGTCCATACGTTCGTAATCTCGCAAGTTTATTGAAATTGCGTATCGAGCAGACCAACCACACACCTCTTCCTTGGTCAGGCACTCTTTGTGTTCGTTCACCGTCGACGCACGGTATCCAGACTCGACAGGACAGACAAACGAATGTGATGTATTGATGCGATCCATGTCAGAACTGCCTTCAAGACAGCTACACAGCAAGCGGATGCTGCGAGTGCCTCTCTACGAACAGTTCTACAGGCTCGAGCAGTGATAGGAAACGAATCGAGATGAGATGAGAAGCCAGAACGAAAGCTGATGCGATGCACGGAGCGTTGTAAAAGAATGTGTGTAAGGAGACGCAAAAAATGTCCTTGTAGAGAGAGAAGCAGAACCAGGGGCCAATGGCACGATGTAGAACAAGTCAACAACGAATGCTCCCAACCCCATCTACAGCAAGTTGTAGATCCTGTACAACGGGAACTGAGTCCTCCCGCCCTTCGCGCCTTCGCCAAAGTAAGCCCCGCCACCGTAGATCTGTTGCTGGCCGTTGAAGTTGGCCTCGGTCACCACAGTGAGTGAGTTGGTCTTGAATTCGTCCCTCGTGGACGAAGCAACGCTCGCAGTGCGCCATCGGTCGTTAGACTGGAACTTGTAGGCGTTGGGAGCTTTGCTGCCGAACAAGTTGCTCTTGCCGTTGACCTGGATCGTGTGGATCTTTTCGGTCCCATCCAGACCTCCGAAGTTGGTTCCGGTGAGTCTGACGGGGATGGCGGAGGGGTTGGGATCGTTCAAGTCGAAAGCGGTGAGGGGACGAGGACCGCCGAAAGCAACAAGCACGTTGTCCTCGGGGATGTATGCGATGCCGGTGTATCCTGGCCGTTGACTTCCGTTGGATGCTTCGGAGAACCAAGGTGTGATGGTTCGGCCGTCAGCAGAGACTTTTGCGATGGCTGGCATGCCAAGTGCAAAGACGACGTACGAGTTGTCCTGTCCATCTTGGGCAGAAGCTACCGGACCAAACGGCAACGTCCCGCGCGTCAGCTGGAACTCGGTTTGCACGCCATTCAGGCTGACACTCCACGAAGGAGCACTGCCAGCATCGACAGGAAGGTTGAATCGGTGGAAAGAGTCGGCTCCCTCAGGTCGCTGCCCCGCATCGAATCGGAAAGCAGCCGAGTTTTTGGCAACCGCAAACAGCTTGTCACCTGCCCCGTTGATCGACAACCCGGCCATCTGCTGGTCACCATCGCCACTGCTGGAAACGCCAGGGATGAGCACGTTGAAGTGAGAGTCGTCACGAGCACTCGTGACAGAGATGCGGCCTTTCCATAGGTTCGACTGATAGAACAGGCCGCGCGCCTTGTCGAAGACGGTGTCTTCGGGATAGAGGTTCTGGACGTCGACGTTGAAGACATCGGGTACGGATGCGCGAGACTCGAGCGGGAGAGGAAGAGCGCTGATGCAGGACGAAGAGACCGCAGCGAGTGCGACTGCTGCTGCGACGATGTTCAGCTTCATTTTGCGTTCGCAGGTCGATGCTTGTTTGGCGACGAGGGAAGCAAGGGGGTATAAACGCTCGAGAGGGATCAGAATAAAGACAGTGCTGATGTTGAAGGAGCGTGGTGAAGAGCAGAAAGGGAGATAACAATCAAGAAAGTTGAAGAAGGGAGGAAGGGCAAGACAAGGCAAGCTGTTATAGGAGCAAAAGCCCACCAAGGTACGCTTTCATCTCCGCGACCGTGATCAAGGGCAGCTTCTGCGTGGCGCACAGGAAGCAAAGCATAGACTCCAGTGCTGAACAAGAGACGAGCGTGGCTTGGCTCTAAACCTGCCATTGTTAAGCGACATCTACAAGAAGAGGCGTCAGGTTTGATCACAAGTTTCTCGGTGGGCAGAAGCTCTAGCGAAGACAGAAGTCGAGCGATCCTAGCTGATGAGTAAGTTGGCGAGCGGCAAGCACGGAATGCACCAGCCGCCGAGGGCAGACGAGGAATCGAAGCTTGAGCCCACTTGATTGTTCCATGCGACGCGCGTGCATGGCGAATGTACTACTTATTGAACACATTCGGCTCAGGAGGTTGCATAGGGTATGAGACTTTGAGCGCCATGTTGGAGTTGAAGCTTGAACCCTTTGTCGATCGCTGTCAAAGGACTTGATCGGCATGCAGCTGACATGTCTCGACATTCTTCGGAAATGCGGCTCGCGGGGGAAAACAAAGTAAGAATCAAAATAGAATGAAATAAAATATTAATAAAATGACAGCGACATCGAGTTGGCTCGGCCGGCACGGCGTTGCCTTCTCACTGTGCACCGCCAAGTCACTCTGGCGGATCTAGACCCACATGTTCAAGCTTGTATGATGATGCGTCGAAGCAAATGTTGCATTTGTTGACTACTAATACTTGACGCGAGCAGAATACATGACCACATCTCTCCAAACGTTTGTCGCCTTTCCATCTGGACCCGTCAGCTTCTTGTCTTTATTCCAGCGTCGCTTCTGATCGTTGCTCAACTCCCAATCGAGCACCTTTGTCTTGCTTGCTCGAGTGAACTTGAGCAGCAGACCGTCCTTCTTCTTATCGTTGAGAGCAAGGTCGTTGATGAACGGCAAAAGGTCGGCTGCGAGCCAGGAAGGTCTGGTGAGGAAGAGATCCTGAAATCTTGCTGCTGGATCGGCGGGCAGCTCGTGGTACGAAAAGAATTGGATCTTGATCGATGCTGGATTCGGGTAGAGTGAGACGCTGGGTGACGGTGATGGGTTGAGAATGTAGTAGCCGGAGAGGAGGTCGAGTTGGGCGAGATTGCGAAAGTCGGGGGAGAGGCATGATTCGTGCCATGTACGAACAAAGTCGCTCAGCGGGATGCTGATACGGGCGGTGGACTTGAGCGCCTGCACGCCGAGGAAATGCACGATCGCCTTGGTGTCGAGCGTAGCTTTATCCGAATCGGTGCTGCTGGGAGTGCCGAAGAATTGCGTCAACAAAGCGGTGACTACTTGCTTCCGCAGACCGTGGACAGAGTGGAGTGCATCGACCGTCTCTCGCAGTGGGACGTTGTCTGGGATGAGGGCGTGCAGGTCGAGGTGTGAGATGAGCACTTGCAATGTCGATACGATCCACGCGGGCGAGATGTGTCGCATGTATCCGTCCATCTCAATGATATGGTGATGGATCAATCCATTTTCGAGCTCGACAGGACTTGCCTGGACGATGCTCTTGAGCTGCTTGAGCGTGTACTTTCTCACGGGTCTCGCTGCGCCTGCTGACCTTCGCTGTTCCTCGTCCTCGCCTTCGTACTGCGACGCTTTGAGCAGACCTGTGAGTCGATCGAGTCGAGGTACCACGGGCGCAAGCTCCAAGGTGTCGGTGATGTTGCTGCAAAGATAGAGGGCTGGTTTGGCGGATGCCTCGTCGCCATCTTTGCCGGGTGCAGGAGGAGGAGCGGCATCGATGCTGCACAGCAACAGCGAATTGGACTGCGACACGGCTCGCAGCGCGAGCGTCTGAGTGTCTGTTACGAGCACAGCTTGATCATCGTACCTGCCCTTGATCGTTAGCCTTGTTGGTACGAGCTTGCGCTTCTTTGCTGCATGTTCCGAGGCAGTCTCCTTTACGTCTTTCTTGATGGCGGTCGGGTCGAAGAGATGGAGCAGCTCGTTGGGAATCTCGAGCAGATGATACTGTGGCAGCGGCAGAGCCACAGAGCGAAGCTCTATTGACTGTGATGACGAATAGGCTGTCGCAGACATGTCGTTAAGGGCTGGTGGCAATGCATCGAGAAGGAGGAGGGAGCGATTGACAAAGACCAACACTTTTCGTGCACTCTAAAGCGCGACATTCACGCGTCGCGTCAAGATACAGCGATTCCAACTGCGAAATTTCGGGACGTCTTGCTGGGTGGAGGTTGAGCCATAATCGGAACTCGGCGACTTTCTTCGACATCGGCTTAACTTTTTCTTCTCGAAGCCACAGCATCGCATCCCCTTTTGCTTCTGAGAAGGAGACTCTCTCTCGATCTCCTCAGCCGACATGGAAGGAGAAGCGCAAGCATCGACGTCAGATACGCGCCATGCCGGACCATCCATCCAAGTGCCGCCGGGCATGTCAAAGAATGCAGCCAAGAAGCTGGCACGCAAGCAGAAGCAGGAAGCAACCAAGCACGAGCGCCGTGCACTCGAACGACAGAAGAAGAAACAAAACAAACGAGCACGCTTTCTCGCTGCTCAGCAAGGATCGCATACAGGTAGCGACGATGATGCTCTACAGACTTGTCAGAGCAAAAGGCACAAATCTGCCGCTGCTGCAGGCGAGGGTGACGCCAATCACAAAGAGTTCTTCGATGCTCGGCTCGTCATTGACTGCGGATTCGACGAGCTGATGGCAGAGAACGAGTCGTCGAGCATGACGCAACAGCTCATGTACTTGTATTCCGCCAACAGGAATGCAAAATCTCCCTTCGGCGAGCTCATTCTGACGGGGCAGGATTCACCAGCCGATTGTCTAAAGGATGTCGACCCGGAGCACCTCTCCCTTGTTCCAAAGCTAGCCGCACCTGCAGACTCAGAAGATCCGCCGTCAGCAACGACGCCCTCCGACACAAAAGTTGCCAATGTCGAAAACAACAGGATCGGCCAGGCCATGGATGGCAAGCTCAGAGGTGTTTGGAGGAGGTGGAAGCGTGTCACGATCTACAAACACGGCGGAATTGAATCTCTTCTCTCTTCGCCGTCAGAAGACGCGGCAGCTGCTACCGCTTCCTCTGCAGCCATCTCTCAGCCTGTCATAAACGGTCGACACTTTCCTCCAGAAGAGACTCGTCAAGCACTACACCGCATACCCATCTCTGACGCTATCTACCTCACCGCCGACACCGACGACACGCTGACCGCACTAGAACCGGGCAAGACGTACATCATCGGCGGCATCGTCGACAAGAATCGATACAAGGGTCTCTGTCGTGCCAAAGCAGACCGTCTGGGGATCCGAGCGGCAAAGCTTCCGCTGTCACAGGAGATGCTTGAGGCGGTCGAACGCAATGTCAGCTCACAGGGCGATTCCATTCGGGATGATGCGGGTCAGAATGGACAAGACGATAAGGGGTTCGTGGGAAGGAAGGTGTTGACGGTGAATCAGGTGGTTGAGATCCTCACCGCGTGGACAGAGACACGCGATTGGGTCACGGCGCTGGAGAAGGCGCTGCCCAGGAGGAAGCTCAAGCAACGTGGTCCGGCTGCCAAGACGAGAGGCACGCAGACCCCCGTGGAAACAGAGGAGCAAGAGGATGATGATGCTGCCAGAAACAGCGCATGACGTACGACGCAGACATACAGACATGATGAGGGAGAGTGTAGTGCAATTTGATGCCAGTCCAGCCAGTGGAAAATGAGCGAATGGAGTGAGACAGACTGAAAGGGGCCTATGCGTAGGGAAAAAGAACTGTCCAGGGCGGGGAAGCAAAGTGAAAGGCGAAGCAGAGAGGAGCGCCCGAGAATGAAAACGAAACTGGACCCGAGCAATGGGGAGGAGCATCTAGGTGAAAGTGGTCGCCACCTGTAGAGACCGACGATCCCACCTGTTCTCGCTTGCTGTAAAGGACCTGAAAGGCTGGCGACGACTAAGGCTGCAAGGCCAGGACGGCCGTGAAGAGAACAGTGGCGGCACCCAGCAACACTGGGAGCGACTTGGCCTTCTTTGCCGCACCCGAAGTCGAGTTCATCCTCGAGTTGGAACCTGCCGAGCTTGCCGATGACTGAGCTTGTACATCGGGCGCTGCTACTGACTGCGTGGCTACAGCTGCTGCTTGCACCACCGACTGGGTGCTTGCAGTCGCTGCTGTCGATGTGGTGGAGCTGCTCTTGGGCTTGACTACATGTTTGTGGAACGCGGTTGCAAAGGGACGTGCGTGTTTGAAGGTGCTGGTGAATGTGGTGTGGTGCTTCTTTTGACGGTTGACGCAGGTAGCAGGTGCGTTGATGTGATCAAAGTGGCATTCGAGGTGCGCACCAGACTGATCCTGTGCAGAAAAGTAGTTGTGCGATTCCAAGAACTTTTGGTCCTCGACGATCTTGGTGGTGTGACCGTTGATCGAGGCATATTCGTGCGCGCGGACGTTCCAGACGGTGGCAGCAGCTCCATCGGGTGCAATGGTGGTGGCGAGCGGGGTCGGTTTGAAGCGGATCGAGACATCGCCGTCGATCTTGGTCATGGATCGCTCGAGGCTGTTGATCATCTCATCGACGCCGGGCGCAAAGAGGCGGATCGTCGACGTCGATGCAGACATTGTCGTAGAAACTGTCGATGCAGACATTGTCGTCGAGACTGTGGTGGTCGGCATTGTGTATGTGCTGGGAAGGTGGGGATGGGAGCCGAACAAGGGGAAAGGTCACGTCGAGTGGAGAGGGATGATGGTGGTGGTCGGATTGAAGCCGGGATTATCGCGGCGAGGAGACTCGAGGCGATTCATGAGACTGGCGCGTCGGAGTCCAATCGAAGGCGGCAAAGTACTGCTCCGCCGTCCATGCCCTTGCCGGCTCGTTCGATGCACTGTTGCGGCCTCCTTCCTGTAGATTGACTGTCTCACCTGCGCACTTCCTGTCGGATGTGTATCATTCTAGCCTCTGGCTGATCTTCAGGCACGCTTCGCAAGGCGCAAGCGACAACACGGACAGGCGAGGTGGAATTCGGCTATGCTCGACGACGATCACTGCGGATCTGGTAAGCTGGCTGTCGAACGCTGTCGCTTGTGTGAGTTTGCTATTCGACACAGGTGAAGGGCAGCACGATGTTGGATACTCGACATGCACAGAGCATGCGGTCGAGACATTGCGGCAGGAGGCGAGGAAGCAGACGAAAAGGGACGAGGTGTTGGTCTCGGCGACTTTGACAGCAACGCGTCTCGCAGCGTGCTGAGAGGCGCCTCACACCGCCGAGGCGCTGGGAAAATCGTGCATATTTCGCCGAGCCTCGTTTGCCTGTTCCGTACTCTCTTGTACTCTCTTGGATTCTGCAAGACGCGGCATGGTTGCGGCAACTTGGTACAGCAGTGCATTGCCAAGGATGCGTCCGACAACTCTACCGCGTCTTTGCTGTTTATTCCAGTAGTGTAGTGAGATGCATTTGTTGCTGCGGCGACCACGCTGAACGAGGTGCAAAGAATGTTCATGGCAGAATGGCGATCTTCGAGAATCAAATGCACGTCGGTCGGCTGTGCCGTTCGGCGCTTCTTGGCAGCCAAGAAAATGCGAATTGCAGTCTTCGAGTTTCGTGCCTGCATTCGGATCGCCGATCGAGTCGCCCGATGGCCTCGGTCTTGTATCAATTCTGAACCGTATTTTCGAGGTTGAATTTTACTGTTACTCTTTTTGGCAATATTGGACAGCGATGTTCTGATTATTCGACACCAAAAGCTGAGTCGCGAAAAACTACACGCCGCCGTCCCCGCGGAGCAACTCGTCAAGCCGATTCTCATCAAGGTCCACGATCGCGAGCCGAGCCGAGTCATGTCGCTAGAGCGCGCAGAACACAACTCGCTTGCCTGTCAGCTGTTCGCAACTGCTCCGTTGACCAACCCGATCCCTGCCCTGGCCGCCGGCATGAACATACAAGGTAAATCGAAGTAACCCGTCCAAGATCTGCCTACATCCATTCGACCGCAGCAGCGTCTTGACAAGAACGATGTGACGCGGCCAATCTCGCTAAGCCGTCCACCGCTCCTTCACCGGCTCAGCTCCGCCGGACTTATACTTGACTCGTGTACCTGAAGACGACACATTCAACCGTGTCATGGAGTAGGCAAGACACCGGAGCTCACGTTGCCGAGGCATTCGGTATCGTGACTCGAACATCGCGAGAGCCGCACTCCCGCTACCCCGTCAAGACCGTAACGGGCGTAGCTCATTCTTCCCGATGCGATCATTTCCGATGGAAACGTGCAGACACGAGGACTCACACAGGCAAAGAGACACACAACGTCTGATCTTGCGGTGCTCTGAGCTGCCATATGGGCGGCGGCTGTCGCGGTTGAGAGTGGGCAAAGCGGAAAGCTGTACAGTATGGATGCAAGGCCCGGTTAATATTGGAATCCTCGGTCTCACTGCTACGCGGAAGCGCATCTTCCATGGCAGTCCGCTGCATCAGGGTGCATCGCGATACTGTCTTCCGCGTTCGAAACAGCGAGTCATGTAGCGTGACATGCCGGGCTGCTGCCGGGCTGCTGCAATGGCGAGTTCGGCCGCCCCCACGTCCATCGATTTTTCCAACACGAAGTATCCAATCAAACTGTCAAAGATGTTGGTGATTCCGAAGCAGGCACCATATATCCGCAGACGTCGGCGTCTTTTCAGGCGATTGTACCAGCACAGGAGGTGATGACGAGCCTGTCTCGCTGCCTCTTAGCCCAGACCTCGCTAGGGTGAGGGTGACGTCGCGCCCAACGCGGTTCTTAGCGCCGAGACTGCACACAGAATGGTGAACAGAAAAAGAAAATTATAGCCGGTACGCAACACGTGGGCACAAAGCCCGGTTTGAAGACCGAGCCGATCCTGTCTACCGCGTTCCACCAAACCGCTGTGGCCGACCAGTGCCTCGACTCGTTGGGAAGTCAGAGATTCCTTATGGGTGGCTTCCGTCTTGGCTTAAGCACGCTATGGCTATTCAGATGCTGGCAACAGCCTGGAACAAGGGAGAGCGGCCAGGGCAGAAGAAGGGACACGCGTTGCTGCCATCCAAAAATGTCACCGCCAAGAAAGTCAAGTGCAGATTCCGACAAGTCCGACGAGGAAATGGCTCGGCTGTCGATTTTCCCTCTACATCCCCCGCTAGCGAGCTCGACGAGTCATCCCACCATCACCTTTGCACTCCGCTCCCTACGCCATCGTACCGAGCGCATGCGCCTGGGGTATGCGTTTGCAAAACGTTCTTGATCTAGCCGAGCTCCGTCCCTGGCTGCTGACCTGAATCTGGCATGAAACGCCTGGCTAGCTCATGCTGCTACACCACTTGATTTCTTCCTCGTCCGTCTTTCAGCTTCTTCCACTCTCCCCATTTGCTAACGAGACGTGGACCCTGAACAGCAGCCGAGGCATCTATCTCCGCCTCCGTTGGGACTTGTAGGGCTTATTCGTAACAGCCGACTAGATCGGCCCTTTTCCAGGTTCGGTCGGAGCGTTTTGTATGCTCCCTGCCCTCGACTTCATGCAGTGGTGTATGCCCGTGCCGACACGTCACTCACAGAGGCAAGCTGAGCCGCGCTATTCAGCGTCGGAATGTGTCGCTCCGCTCGTGAACCTGAATAGAAGGCGATGGATCGCGACAGAGCACGACGAGTTGGTTGATGATGGTGTTAGTGTTGAAGCAAAATCCTTTCCGAGTCACAGACTGACACGCGTGCGGTACATGACATCTTCCGCGCTACCGCAGCTGTCCACGTCGACACATGGTCGATGCTCGCCACGAGTCAGCCTGCGGAGTTTGCAGGTGTCCAAATTCGCCGCTGCTGTGGCCTCCTTCACCCCTGCAAGCGATTCGTGCCTGTATGACTCTGACTCGCCATCTCACGATCGACATTGCCATGAATGGTTTGAATCCAACGTACCTCTTCTTCCGGGATTATAAAACAACCTGAGTCGTCTGGCTCGACTTTGCCATCCGCTGCCCTGATTCAACTGTCCATATAACACTGCCTCCCCTCATCGTCTGAATTCGGTGCTACTCCATACCTGCCACACATCTTTCCAGACCTACACTCCTTCCTTGCCTGTCATTGCTCCTTCGGGCTGAAGAGAGCGACAAGTAGACCTCACTTCCCTATACCCAGCATCGTCCCAGTGCCCATGCTGCCTACCTCACTCACCACAAAAGATACGATGGAACTGTCAGTCGACGTCCACTCGACCGACGTGTTTCTTTTCCCTTCTAAAAAGCAGCGTCACCAGTCGTCGTCGGAGCACGGAGAGACGTCAATGTCATCCGCCTCATCGACGTCGACGTTGCGGCCGTTCCCATCCACATCATCATCGACTACCTGTATCGCACCGTCCTACGATGGCGAGTCTCCAGCATACAGCGAGGTCGAGGATTTGACCGCCTTCTCCTCGACCAAGCTATCCAACGACGACCAAGCCATCCTCTACGCCTATGTCGACATCAAGTTCCCCTCTTCCACCTCATACTCTTCTTCATCGTCGTTCGGCATCCGCAACCGTCTCAAGAGCTTGACGCTCACGCTCCAGGGTAACGAAAGCGTTTCGTTCCCACGCGGAGGCTTCGAGCAGAGTCGAACGTTCTACAATGAAAAGACGATCGACGAAGCTCTGGAGATCGAGTTCTTCGAGCCCGGAAAGACGTACAGGTTCGAGCGATCCTTCTTTGTCGATCACAACTCGGCACCGTTCCAACGAAGCAGCTGGTGTGTCAACAACCAAAAGTTGATCGCCAAGGCGACGTTCCACGGACTATTGTCCAAATCTCTGACGGCTACCAAGAAGGTGTACTTTGTCGACTGCCAGAACGACGACGGCAACGAGATGATCATTTGGGACAAGGATATCAGGACGCATGCCGACGGTATCGGCCCTTTCAGCTTGCGCAACCGATCCGAGGTGTTCACCGTCGGCGGTTATCTTCGAACCAACTTCGACCTGCTCAGTCCACTCGAAGGTGTAACCATTGTTGGGTTCCGAGCATCGGTCGAGATGCGCACAACGCTAGCATCGCGACGCGAGAGGCCAGGATACACTGAAACCGTACCGCCTAAAAAAGTCTCTTTCCTCACACTCGACCGAAGACAACTTGACGAGCTGTTCGCCACCAAGAAGCTCCAAGGTGGTGGAGAAGGTGTTGCACCCGACGGTGAATGCTACCCTTCGCTCGAAGTCATCTCGCGTCTCCCTGATGACAACAAGATCCGACCCAGTACGGTCGAAGGGAACGATGCAGCCATTCGATTCCGAAACTTCATCCAATACGAGATCGACTTTATCGACGGAGAATTCCGCGACCCCAACTCTGCCGACGACAGTGAAGAACTCATCTACGTCGACGACCAAAAAATGAAGCGATTCCACGTCTCCGTCCCAGTCTTCATCAACTCGTGCGGATGTCGACCGGACTCTCTCAACCTGCCAACGTATGCGTGCGAAGATCCGATGCCTGCCGAATGCATTCGCGAGAAGAGGCAAGAGCTGGAGGCCACGCTGCACGACAAACAGACGGACCCTTCAGCGTTTCCTTGCATTTGCACTTTCACCATCGACTCGCTCTTGGAGGTCGAAAAAAAAACGCAAGCCATCGACGGATGCAGCGACTCGCCGGTGGCGATGGAGGAGGATTATTTGCCTAGGTACAAGTCGCTGGAATGATCTTGCGTGTAGACACCGGACAAAGTCGTTGCTGCTTGTGTAAGAGCTCGACATTGGGGATAAGACAAGTCGGCAGCCATCCACGCACTGTGTCCGTTTGTGTCTTTGCCCGTGTCGATGTGAGAGTTTCAGAGCAGTCATGAGGGAAAACGCTCAGCTGTTTGACATGCATCTCCGGTTGTGAAGACCAACCGACTCTCTCGATGCTTGCTCATTGGTTCCTCGCCTCCGATCCTCGGCCTGTGAGATGCCGGCTGGTGGGCGTGGCACCGACAGCATTGCTTCCGACTCTCTCGCTCACCTAACCGAAAAGTTACCCCTCTCAGGAGGTCTTGGGAGGCGAGACTGCCTCGATGCTGGCCTGAAGGGCTCTCTGCTCTTCGTACCAACTTTTAGGTTCACTTGCCCCCGCAAATCCATGACGAGAGGCGCAGGTATTGGATGAGTCGAGACTATTGCGTGAGACCAGCGAGAGTTCCATGCATTCAAGGCATTGTGGAAGGCGCTCCGTGACGGATGTCCAAAACCATCATCCCAAAAAACTTAAAATCACGATTACTCTGTCATCTCCTGATCGATCATGCTCCAAATTTGGGGAGGGGAAAGCCCTCAGGATTCCGCGTGTCAGGGTAGCCAAAAAAAAGCCAAAAGGGCCAAAAATTTTCGCAGGTCGTACCGGGATTCGAACCCGGGGCAAGAGAAGGTCTGACGAGATTGCGCCTGAAGGCGCAGATGCTATGTCAAAATCTCCTAAGTTGACCACTACTCCATACAACCGGTTTGGCCTACCGTGCAGAAATTGTCAAAATAATAGCTGTAGGGTGTGATTTAATGTGCTTAGTGTGCTTGATCGTCGTGGGACGCCTAACACTGACTTCTCCTATTGAGACGGCGATGGTAGCGTGTTCAAGCCAAGTCTTACCGCCGATTTTGATCGAATCAATGCTTTGCCAAAGTCATCTTGCGAGCGTTACAATCGGAAGGTAGACTCTCGCTGGAACTTCAGCCGCTGTCACCAGGACAGCCACTCCAGACACGGCGAAATTGGACTGCATGGCATCGAGAAAACTTCTGATCTGCGGCCGCGCAGGGGGTCACGCAAGACGGAAATTATCTGGCCACGAGGAAGAACAGGACGGGGGATCTTCGGTAACTAGGTGAGAGAACGACGAAAAACCTCGGCGAACTTTTGGCCCAGAAGACCGGAAACGTGGTCGTTCCTGCATGCATTTTCCCGCTCATTCATCAAAGCGTGAATCCCAGACGTCTGTCCGATCGGTTGCAGGAGCTGGGAAGTAGGGAGTTATGTAGGAAAGTGTGTTCGATTGCGAGAAGACCGTTATCGATGATGGATAGACACGCGATGACAAGTGGTACGAGAAGGTGGGAACGTGGGATAGTTGTGCTGATGACTGCTGCTTCACAAGGGGGATGACACGTAAGTAGATCGTCCGATCGGGTCTTGGATAATTGGCTCTGATTGGCGTCTCGTCCAAACGTCACAGGATGGTTCAAACACACCCTTCTCGACTCGGGGACCCTCGGTAGCAAATATCGATCCAGGCACAGCATTGCAAGTGTGCAAACGTGATGTGGGGTAAGACCAAGCTCGGCATCGACTACACCTCGTCCCAAACCTTGTTTCCCCACTGCCCATGGCTCATTCGCATTCGAGATCCCAGAGTTCCAAGAACGGCCGGTGACGCGGGGAAGGAAATACCCCAAACACCGGTCCGCATTCCACTTTGCTGTCAGCAGAGACCGACAACAATCGAACATGAGGACCGGCATATTCACGCGCCGCGTATGGTTCTTCGGCATATTCAATTGACCGTTGACCGGCAACTCTGTCTTTCCACCCCGACAGTGATTCGCAAGGATCTGGACACACCTAGGATCGGACGGGTCAGGCTTGCATGAAATCTCCAGCTTTCGTACAAAGCACGAGGGAACTTGCTCAGAGATTGCCGAGGCATGCTGACCGGCTTCCAGGTTCCCACTGAATCGGGAAAATGGGCTTAGGAAAGCTTCGTTGAAGAGCCGCGAAGGGCGAGATTGCCAATGTATGCAGCAGACGTTCGATCATCGAAGCACTCCGAGCCAAATACCGAGGTGAGTTGTTCTCGCAGAGTCGATCATGTCAACACGCTCCGAAGGAAACAACGCCTCACCGGTCTATTCGAGCGGTGTCAACGTGCTGTAGCTCTGTAGAAGGACGCGATTCCCACACCATTGGTTCAGATGGTGTGACTGCCGAAGCGGCACTTGAGGTCGTGAGCAAACACGCAATGTCCGGCACAGAAGAGCTAGCCCGAGTATGCCGGGGTCCGGCTCGACCGACGACAATGGAACAAGCCTCATGCGCTTCTTTTCTATGAGTCGGAGAATTACGGAAGCAGACGTCCTGACAGGGCGCGGAGGTTTCTGGGGAAGAAAAGGAAAAGGGTTTTTGGTAGCAAGCACGCGAAACAGAGGCTCAAGTGGGAGACGACTTCTTTGCGTGGGCTTAAGTCGTCAGGCTAAAGATCCGAGCTTTGAGTGACGCATGGTCACACATTCGACGCGACGGCCGAATGCAGACGACACTCGACGGAGCTCGAAAAAATGAGGTTCCAGAGCGCGTATCTGTACCCGCGTGCACAGCTTGTTGCATGCGGAAAGCATCGGTCCGGTCCTCGGGCATCGCCATGTAAACAGCCACATCGGCTTTCTCAAGACGCTATCAGTCGTCTCGGACCAATCAATCGAGGCACATGGAGCGAAATGTGTTCAAGTGGAGCCAAGCCAAGATCGTCGGAGAGGAATGTATGGTATTGCAAGTCGAGGTCTGGACCCCACGAGCTACACAGAGCATGGCAAAGGAAAGGTCCGAGGACCGGATTCGCTCCGTTGCAAGAGCTTCGAGCATGCCACCATGCCCCTCCCTTCACTGGCTTCGTCGTCAGAGTAACGAGGTGAGGATGGATGCTGTCCTGACGCGAAAAGGTGACGCCCCACCATGCATGGTAACAACGCGGGCCAAATTTGGTTGGCGCCATTTGTGGGGCTCCTGAGTGGGTCTGTGTCACTCTTTGCAGCGCCTCGTGTCCAGCCGACGGCAGAGTCTTCAAGCTCGACTCGACTCGGTGTATGGGCATGGGGACACTGCAGAAAAGATAAGCTCGACCCAGTACGGTCGGAGCACGTCAGCCCACCATCGATTGACGTTCCTTGTCACTGCGGGGTAAAGCTCGAGTCATTCCAACTGCTGATGCGAGGTCAGACACGTCGATCTGCGTTAAAGTGCCGGTCAGCCGAGCCGGTCAACCACTATCAGAGCACTCGCCGAACAACGTCGATTGACTCGTCGCTGAACACGGGTGAACTCTGAACAAGCGCGGCTCTCGCTGCGATGCAAGCCGTGGCAGCCGAAATGTGCTAGCGCCAAGTCGCTTGATGCAAGCAAAGCGCATGGCGGGAACCAACAAGGAGCACAATCGACGGACGGTTATCTCAGTAGGCGGCCAAGGTCACAATGTCGACAGGGGTAAGATTCGATCCTAAGTGGGAGAGGCTGCTGCCAGTCGCCTTCGACAGCGGATTCACATGCTGTCGACCAATGCCGTGAATTGAACAACACAGTGTATGTGATTCCGTTGCCGCTGGTGTCGCTTGACGAGGAGCCCCTGCTGGGAATCCAGACAGAAAGCCGGGTGACAGTGCAAGCGAGGGAAGCTACAGTATGGTCGCCACCCTCTAGACGCGGGGTAAACGAGAGTCGCTCGTGTTCTTTGCGAGGAGATTTGCTGTTGAAAGGGAGGCGAAGGTGTGCGTGCAGGGCGAGGCGTGAAAATGGCCCTCCTCGCTTACAACGGTGAAAATGGGAGAGAATTGCGGGGTCGGCGGGCTGGCTTGCCAGCGCTTTCACGCCGACATCGCGAGATAAGACTAGCTCACGATTACGTATCAGTAAATGTACCAAAGTGGTGCCAACATTCGGTTCCCACACTTGTTGTTGGTCCCTGGTGGATAAGCGTCCAGGCACACGGCGTGCTCGCCGTTCCCCCACAGTTCGCTCTTGACAGCCCGCAAGTGCCCTTTTTGCTATCTTTAGCAGATTCGAGCTTGCGCGTATCTAAATTACAGTGAAGCATGACAGCTACTGTGTCTATCTTGTGATAAGTGACAGCTGAGCCAATCTGCAGAAACGTGTAGCGTTCGATCGTCGGCAACGGACGCGGACTTCGACTTGCAAGCATTCCGGGACAGATCTGGCTGGTCTAGAACTACCCACGCCTAACCTCCCGTCGACCGCGGTCAATGGCAGACGCCCACAGCTAGGCGTCACAATCGAAAACATGCCCCCACCTCGAGCCAGGCTCTTTCTCTTTCTCACGAATCGAAAGATAGGGTTTCGCCGAACATGATCTGCAGACACTTCGCTCAGCTTGGTCCGCGTATGCAAGCCCCGTCGCTCGGACGAGGATTGCAGAGTCGAGTCAAAGGCCAAGAAATGGCGTCTATCGGTTCTAGCTCGGTGCGTTTGCGACCGAACAGCGTCAGAGTGGGGTTCGGCGTCGCCAGCAGAGTGGCTGCTGCAGCACACGAGAAATGAAAAATTTTCCGACGTGCAGCTTCCAGGTACAGCAAATCTTGAATGCGCGGGGATGAACACAAGGAAATTGGCTTCCAATTGTCCCTTCCCTGTCGCTAACTCCGGGCGCCACCAGGGCCTGGCGGGGCTCGCCGTCGAAAAAAAAAACGAAAAAAAATTCACGACAAAAGGAGAAGGCTCGGTCGAGTCGGTGAATCTGACGCGACCTCATTTCTCCGCGAATGGAAAGACGACGCTTTGAGATCGACGCCGATCTGTACGCAACATATTGCGCTACAGCAACGATAATGCCTCCAGACCGGGGAGCCGGAGAAAGGTGTGTATCGATATCGTGACTTCGGCGTCCATCGACGAGCTGAGCTGTGCCTATAGCATGATAGGCGGAGACACACGCCAGGTTCCGGCGGAGTTGCCGCCTATCTTTTCGGCGAGCGCCACATCATGCGCGACTCGCCGCGATTTCCTGCTGACAGCCATCTTTCTCGCCTGTCAATCGTTCGCTATCGCGCGTGTGTTGCGCACGGCGCCTTTCTTCGGTCGCTCGAGCAGAATTGGCGATGGATCCGTTGCACGTTCACTCGCCAAAGTGGCGCAAGCCATTACAGCTTCCGACGGTCATGCAGTGCCGCTAATGGCATGGTGGAGGTGGCAATGAGAGGCAGAAAAAGCAGCTGACGGCAAGAGAGCTGAAAATCTCGATAACGTTACTGAAGCGAAGTATGACAGGATCTCGCTTGGAAGAAGAAGAAAAAGTTATGGCAAAACCAAGCTGTTGAGCCGAGATGAGAGCGTACTGGAGGTGTCATAGGAGGCTTAGAAAAAGAGAGAGACAGAGAGAGAGAGAGAAGTGCTCATAGCAACCGGACGAGTCACTCACCCTATCAGTTCGAACACCACAGCCGACATGCTACCCGACCTTTACTGCAAATCGCTTCGATCGAACGAAAGTGCCATGCACGGCGAGCCGCAAGCGAGCTATGGTGACAGCACGGCAAGCACGTTGGGAACACATGACTGAACGCAGCTCATCGGAGATTGACACCGGAGCGATCGTGTTGTAGTGGCAGTGTCGGTCAAGATGCTCTGATCCTGGACATCTTTCGGCGTCTACAGCTTCACGTGTTGTTCTTTGACTCCACGGATCGACCCTGGGCGCAACCTGGACCATGAAAAGCACCGAACAGCGAGCTTGCTCCGTTCCTACCACGCGAGGGCGTGCTTCTGCCTCGGTGATAGAGCATCAGAATCGACTAGGAAGATCGCTGCATAAGAAACAGGATCGCACACACAAGTGAGCGGGATCAATCGGACGCCCGCATCGGAAAGTTCATCCGAAGTCGGCCTGGGGGATGACGAGTAACAACGGTGACCACATTAGGAACGTCACGGGAGAAAAAAAATGCTCCGACAGAAGCTTCAGGGTAAAATGATTGGCAGAAAAGAGATGCAAGCCACAACAGGTTAGGCCGCGGGTCGTCCGACGTGCTTATGGACGCATTTTCGCCATACGACGGCAGTGTCCCGCAACGGTCGACTAGCCGCAAACGTGACATTCAGCCAAAATGCGGTGGTAAGAAAGGATAACCGAGTTGTCCTCGATGTGACGCCTGCGGTTTCGTGCTTGGCACGGAGGTGGCAGAGCAAAAGCGTTGAGAGAGCTTTGGGATGACCAGAAGCTGTCAGCTGGACGCTGCCTTTGAGGACGGGCGAACCACGGACGTCGATTCCGCCGTGCGATGTGTCCCTTGAGTCCAGATCCCCACCGTCGCCTCACGTTGGCGGACGGGTGGAACGATGTCCAATGTGTCTGGCCCGTCGACGAGAATATGGCAGGAGGAGCTCCGACGAGCTTGTGATATCGTCGACCTTTCCCGGTTAACCGGTCACCTCAAAGACGCGGAGGCCGGGAGAAGCAGGGTGCGCAGGCGAAAACAAGTTTCGAACAGCAAGGTTTGGTTCAAGCGTCAGACTCGAAAAACTTTGCATCGTGTGCCCCACTAGCCGCTCTTGGGCTCGTGACACTGTTTCAAATGACTTGTGCGGTGTCACACGATTTTCGGTAACATAAGGAAGAAGAATGAAAAGAGCGAAAGTTTCGATTTGCATGTCACCATCACGCTTTATTGTCTCTTAGCCAGGTTGCACAAAATTTCGAGAATGCCGCGGCAAAAGCTTGGGTTTCAAAAAGCTTCGTTCTACAGGCACTCGCCCAGAGCCGCGTATACTTTGCAAATTGGAAAAAATTAACGAAAATCTTTCCGGTCAAAAGTTGACCGAAGAAGCGGCATACCCCACAGTCAGAGGAAACGGCAGATGAGTGCTATTTTTCTTTTTGGAACGTCCGCTCTCTCTTCCCCTGCCTCTCTGCAACCCCGGTCAATCTTTGGGCTTTCTTGGCTCAACGAGATGCTCAATGAAATGCTCATGCCAGCATCCGTGTTACGGGTGTTTTGAATGCCATGAAAGATACGTCAGCTGCCACGTTGGACGTCTCGATGCTCGTCATTTTCTGTCAGAAAACTTTTGCACGACTCTTGATGAGTACGTGCTGAGCCAATCCTGTCTCTGCCTCTGCCTCGCTCTCGATTCAGCTCGGCTTGACTTGTGAGTGTCCTTCTCACGGGATTAACGAGCATCTTGTTCATGTCGGTCTGCACGGCTGGCTGCATTTGGTAGTGGGAGGAGCGAATCGAGATGAAAGTGATGGATGCCTCTCTCGGGTTGCAAAATGGAGGCGGTCTGCAGTGACTGGTATCGTCGGCAACCTCCTAATTCGTGATTTTCTTTTGTGAACACTCAGCGTGGCCGCACTCTGTAAGCAAGCGGGAAGGTCCATTTCCACCCGCTGCCTGGCTGGTCTGGAGCTGCCACCACTCACTTTATTTCAACTAAATCTATATACTTTTTTTCTTTTTTTTTTTGCTCGCCCAGCCTTCCCGGAAAAGCCGAAAAGTGGCACCAGACCGCAGTCCGCACCCTCTTATCGATGATTTTCGCCCGTGATGCTGGACCCGGAATGAGCGACCGTTGCTGGCCTTGCCTCCCACCCGCATCCACATTTCACAATTTTTCGGTCACCTCCTCACTCGCTCATCCCCTCGGTCACTTTGCCCGCCCGCTCACTTCAATTTTACTCATTTCACGCAATCTTTCCGACGACAAAATCGGCCGCACGCCAAACCCGCAACGCTGAGCCGCAGATGGGAGATCGCCCTCTTTGCCTCGGTCTGCCTCGCTTTGCCCGTCTCGCTGAGTTGCGGCCCTCGCTGATTTTGCTCCTCTTTACCCCACTTGGTCGTTCCCACCAGCAAACAGCCTGACCCCGGTCGCCTCCCCTCATCCATCATCACGATTATCACCACCATACCCATCATCATCACCGTCATCGTCTTCCGTGACCACCACTGTCGCTCGACGCACTGCCGTCTACCGTAGCCAACCTCATCGTCTCTACTCGGTACTCTCGGTCAATTTCGTAGCCTCTGCGACCTCGGATACTTTCGGAGTCCCCACACGGATCTGCTCTCTCCTATCTCTGATCCACTCGAATCTTTCCTGCCTTGCAATCAGCCTCGTCAAGTACCGCAGTTGCTTCACCAGTCAACCTTTCGGCATTGCAGCATCCAGATCGGCCATTTTCGGTGTCGACTTGGCCCACGTCGTCGTATCTCCCTCGCCGTCCTTGAGCGCTCCGGCATCCAATTCAATCGCGCCTCGCTTTCACCCACACCATGGCTCAGCCATCTGCCTCCAATATGGCAGCCCAAAGCGCCGAAGCGGCCGCCCTCACCGCCAGCAACTACACCGTCGACAAGTCCCAGATACCTCGACCCTACAAGTGCCCGCTCTGTTCGCGTGCTTTCTACCGCCTCGAGCACCAGACTCGTCACATTCGCACCCACACTGGCGAGAAGCCCCACGTATGCACGCATCCCGGATGCGAGAAGCGCTTCAGCAGAAGTGACGAACTCACCCGTCATGTTCGCATCCATGCAAACCCCAAGAAGGGCGGTGCTGCCGCTCATGCAGATGACAAGAAGGCTTCCGCGCGCAAGTCGGCCGGCAACTCTTCCACCCACGCTTCTCCCACATCCGTCATCGCCTCTGCCTCGTCCAAGGCTGGTCATGTGAACAGCAGGCAGCTCCGATGGCAGGTGGGCGACGAGGAGGGCGACGACAGCGACTCCGATCGCGAACTCAGGCATTCTGGTCGTGCCAGCCGCAACGGAGAGATGTCGACGCTTGCTATGCTCGCCAGCGACGAGCTGCATGAGCTCCAGCGCGCGGAACGAGAAGGCCGTCGATCCGGTCCGGCGTACGGCTACCACTCGCACCACTCCGCTCCCGATCCCTACGGAGAGCGATACCACCACACGCACGGATCTAGCAGCTACCCTTACCCACCAGCGCCTGCTTCTGCCGGCGAGACCACGCCTCCAGGCTGCTCGCACGAGGACTGCCACCGCAAGTACAACGACCGCATCGCTTCGGCCATTCTGGCGCGACCCTCGTCTAATCGCGCCGAGTGCGGTTACGCTCGGCCCTCGCACGGCGCCTACAATGGCAGTCATCCGCCTCCCAGCCTGTACCGCTACTACCAGCACGGCTCGCACCACGGCGCAGGCGGTTGGGCCTCCACATCTTCGAGCGTGCCAAGCAGCGTCGAGCACTCGCCTCGCTTCTCGCCCGACGACCACCTCCACGGCGACGACTATGCTTCCGAGTCCGAACACGCCGCCTCGCTTCATGACGATTCCAAGTCTCGTCTTGGTATGGCTCCTGCTGGCGCCGCTGCTCACCCTTCGCACAGCCACTCGCATTGGACTCCAAGCAGCAGCCCCGTTCTCGGCCCGCTGCGTAACATGAGCCTTCTCGGCGGTAACACGGTGCCCAACAGCCCGTACACGTCTCGTCCGGGCTCTCCGGTTCACCACTCGCGACACGCCCACGGACACTCGCCTCCACACCACGCTCTGCACGCCGCCCACCACCATCACTCCCACGAGGGTCCTGCCCACCAGTCCGGACACGGTCACCACGGTTCGCATCGACACCGATCGCACCCATACATGGAGTCGTCGGCCCGATCGCGCTCTCATCACCACCTCTCTTCGCTCGGAATGGCCCCCGTGCAACCCACCATCCCTTCCAGCACCTCGGGCGAGCGCAGCACCGCCGCCGAGCTCGACTCGCACGCCAGCGGCTCGGCTTCCACTTCTGCATCCACCTCTCCGGCGCAAACTTCGCACATGCCGCCCAAGCTCTCGAGGAGCCACAGCTTTGGCTCGCGCAGCAAGGGCGTCTCCTCATTCAACTCGAGTGCCAGCCTGTCGGCATACCACCTGACGCCGGCGGCTGCTACCTCGGCCGTCGACGCAGAGCGTGGTGCGCGCCGCAGCAAGATCGAGGATATTCTGGATGGCGGCGCCGGCAGCCTCAAGCCTCACTCGTCGCGCTCGTCGTACACGCACTTGGTGGCCGACCCGTCGTCGAGGACCTTGCCACCTCCCTTCCCCGCGAACCCCACCTCGCATCGTGACGGAAGCCATCATCCTCTGCCCGGTCATCACTACACGCATGCGTACAACTACCATCCCTACGGCGACCACAAGAAGAATGCACGCAGTAGCTCGCGTTCTGCGCCTGCCAGTCGATCCGGTTCGCCGCACGGCTCGCCTACGATGTTGCATGCCTTGCCCGCCGCCATTTCTTCGCGCTCTCACAGCCGCCAGAGCTCGATCGGCAACAGCTTTGCTGCCAGCAACGGCCTTGCCAGCAGCGAATCGAGCCCTACTAGCGTCTACTCGCAGATCCCGCACAGTGCCACCAACTCGCCTGCCGCAGGTATTGGTCCCTATGCAGCAGCGTCGTCGTCCGGCGGCAGCAGGGGCAAGAAGGTGGGCTTCGGAATGACGCCCATCCACTCTGCTCACCGCGACCATCATGGCCCTACTTTGCCTCCTCTTGGACAGGCACTCTCGAGGGAGACGTCGCCCATCAGCATGCATCTGCCACCACCCATGAGGAGGATCCACTCGCAATCGGACGAGGTTGCGGCGCCTGAAGTGGACATGTCGTCTGCCTGAGGGCAGGTGTTAGCCTATTGTTTTCCTCCGGTCCTTCTCCACTCAGCTTAATTCTATAGATGTCGTTCTGTCTTATTGCACGCTTCCCAAGTTTGATGCTCTGTGTGGGCGTGGTGCGACTGAGTCGCTCTGGTCGTTTCGGTCGAATGGTCTTGTGGTGTTCAAAGAAAGCTCAAGATGTGCGATGGGGAGATCAGGAAACAAACTGAGAAGAAAAGGGGTTTACACAAGAAGAGCCGTATTTCACAAAGAAGACTCTAGGGTCAAGCTACATGAAGTCGAGGTCGTCGTCTAGGGCTTCGTCGCCGTAGGCGTTTGTGTCGATGACGTTTTTAGCGCTGCTTGTGCCTACGGTTTTGGGTTTTGCGGATGCGACTTTGGCTTTTTGACCGCCGGACTTTTTGGCCTCCTTTTCGGCTTTGGACTTCTCCTCGGCGTAGGTCTTGAGCATGGTGGAGGATTTGCGGATGTCGACGTCGCGGAGGGTGGAGGCGATGAGACGGTAGAAGTGCGGGACAAAGTGTTTGTCGAAGCCGGGTTGGGTGGAGTGCTTCTTGATGAGTTCGGTGAAGATGGTTGTGGAGAGGGTCTCCCAGTCCTCCTTGGAGGATGGCGTGGCGGTGCGGAGGGTTGAGAGGGGGTCTGTTGAGGACGGAGACAAAGATGAATAAGTATATTTTGGGTTGCGAGAAGGAATTATAGTGGGGGAGTGGATGATAGAACTTACCATCGATCTTGGCAGTGCCCAACAAGTTGGCAGCGTTTTCGACATCACTCTTCAACTGAGCTTCCCTCTCCATCCTACGCTTTGCTATCGGATCGGCATCCCAGTCCTCTTCCTCCTCCTCGGATTCGAGACCCTGTTCGCGACGCAAGCGTTCCTCCTCTTCCTTTTCGGCAATCTTTTGCTTCACGGATTTCTTCTTGCGTGGTGGCAGGACCACAGCAGAGGCTGGCTTTTCCGGTTCGGAATCTTCCTCCTCCCAATCATCCTGCACCATGAGAGAATAGGTGTCAGCACATGAGTCCGTGGAGAGAAACATCAGGGAAGTGGACGTACCTTGACTTCGTCTTCAACATCTTCGTCGTCAAATTTCTTGCGTCCTGCAGAAGTCAGTTTGGGTGGTGCAACCGGTTGCTGCGGCTCGTCGTCGTTTTCTGTATCGCATGTAATGGAAATTGGCTTTGAGTCAGTAAAATCTTGAGCGACGACAGCGAATTTGCGGGCTGGAGAGTTGATACGTACCCCAGTCACTCATGGTCGATGCTCGAAGAGTGTTTGCTTGAGAATTGAGGAGATAATGATGATGATGAGGAGAGTAAAAGATTAGATTCCGAATGTCAAAGAAGCCAAAAATTCGCAACAGCGCAGCCGCACACCAACACCAAACCCACGCGACCCGATTTTCATCCTCATTTCTCACGCTGGAACAGACGAAATCCCTTCCAGATCGGGTACCACACCATCGGCGATCGACATCATCACCACAGACTCATATTTGCACACGATAAGGAACCTCAATGCAATACGATGACGGTGACGATGACTGTAGAGTACATTTTCTGCTGAACGACACGACTGTCTGCGAGAAAAGAAACATGCATGCTCCCAAGTGAGCGAATGATGTTGAATGTTGTTGGTACCTGTGTGATGTGAATATGCTCTTCTATACGCCTCCCTATTGCTGGTGACCCTCATTGACGAGCTCTTCAAACTCCTTCTTCCACTTTGCCAAGTCCGCCTTCAGCTTACGCATCTGCAACGGCTTTGTGAACCAGACATCCATGCCGCATTCCGACCCCTTTTGCTGATGGAATGTATCCGACAATGCTGTGACTGCTACGATCTTGAACCTCCCTCGGAGGTTGTGCTCTGCAGTCAGCTGCTCCGAAACATGTTTGCGCATCAGAACGCACGATTCGAAGCCCATCATGCGTGGCATGTTGATGTCCAGCAGCGTCACAGCGGGAAGATGCTTTTTGAACTGTTCTACCGCTGAGACGCCGTCGACTGCCTCATGGAACTCGACGCCTGATTGACGCAGCATGGTGGTCAAGATGCGCATGTTGAGTGGGTTGTCTTCGCAACAGAGGACGCTGAACTTGGGTGTCTTGAGCGAAGGTGATGGCGTGACATCGTCTTGCGATGTCTTGGATTCAAGCGACGACTTGTCCGTCGGTGGTGGTGTGGGTGGTGGAATCGAAGGTTTGGGACGCGGAGCTCGGAGCACTTCGTCCATCGCATCTGGCGACACGACCAGATCGGCGAGCTTGTCGCCGCCAGGTATCGCGGACGAGCCAGCTTGGCGATTCCTCTCCTCCTGCTCTCCGACGAGCGACATTCTCCGTGGATGCTGATCCTTGTGTCCATGCTGCTGCATTGCGTCGTCGTCCTCGATGGTCTCTGCTAGCTTGGAATACTTTGAAAGAGGTGAAGCTGCACCTTTGGATAGGACCGACTCTGGATTGGTGGGGTCGATGGGTGCTGTGTAGCCCAAGTGGCCGTGTTCGCGTCGGTAGGTCTCGTTGCATGTCCTTTCGTCGTCTTCGCCCTGCTGCTCGGCCAATCTCAACAAGTTGGCGAAACAGCGAGGACCGAACGGTTTGCGCGTGACGAAAGTGGGTCGCCTGCTGCCGTGCTTGAATGCAGCAGATTCGATGCCCGCATCTTCATGCGCCTGCAGTACGCCAATCTTGACTCCGCGTTTGGTTCGAGCAAGGATGTCATCGATACCACCTTCCAACTCGAGGCACACTTCTTCGGGAAGCAAGAGGAAGTCGGCATCCTCTATGTGGGAGGTGGAGTAGAGGTTGCCAAACGTGGCCATCTGCGCCGAGATGACTTGAGCGAGGCGCTGGAGACCCATGCCCTCGAATCCGTAGAGATAGATGAGCTGATCGGGTTGTGATGATGGGGCTGGTTCGATGATGCGCTCGGGGAGGCTTTGGACGGGAAGACGGACGGTGACGACGGTGCCTCTGCCCTTGTCGCTGGATACGTGCATGGCGCCGCCCATACGACGGACGATGCTGGAGCAGAGGTTGACGGATAGACCTGCGCCTGCCTTGAACTGGTCGGCCTTGACGAAAGGTTCAAAGAGGTGGTGGGAGAGAAAGTGCTCTGTCATGCCCTCGCCAGAGTCTTGAACGACAAGGTCGATGAAGTTCTGACGTGGTTGTTGGGCGGCGTCGGGATCATGGAAGGGGAACTCCTTTTCGCTCCAAGGAAAAGAGGAGACCGAGGGAGAGAGCGAGACCTCGACGAAGCCTTCGGAGGTGAATCGGAGCGCATTCGAGATGAGTTTGTGGGCGAGCTTTCTGACGAGGCGGACGTCAACCAGCGTTTTCCAGCCGCGTAGGCTGGTGTCGGTCTGCAAGATGAGCTCGGGCGGCGGAGGCAGTCGAGCATCGTCGCCGTCTTCTGCGCGGATCTGGCGCACCTGGGCGTTCCACGCTTCTGCAGCGACGGCATCTAGCAGATTATCCAGATCGACGGGCTGTTCGGGCATGACATGGTGCTGCTCTTCGGCCTCGCGTGCGTGTATGGTTTCGGCAGCAAAGTCGGCGAAATCATCGAGCACGTTCTGAAGCCTCTCTCCGAGACCAGCAAGACTCTCGACGCTAAAAAGGAGCGATTTGCGTGCATTGGTATCGGCGAACGGGGCTGCGCGCACTTCTTGACGGAGGTGGTTGAGGAGGCCTAGGATGCCATGAACGGGAGTGCGGAGTTCGTGCTGCACCTGCTGTATGAGGCGGATGTGAGCTTGGTCGACGGCAGCACTCATGGTGTGTGGAGTGATCTGCTCGCCGAGTTCACCGCGCAAGTGCGATGTGGCAGACTGGTGTGGATCGTCGATTCGCTGTGAGAATGGAATACGTCGAGCTGCTCCGCCCATGCTCGAAAGCAGGCGTGAGTCAAGATGATGTCAGGCGATCTATACGGGGGTGGGAATGACTGTGGTGATGTGAGGGGCGTCAGGCTGCGACGAACGGCATGGTGGAACGATCAACCGAGCATTGATTCAAGCAAGCAAGCCAGCAAGCCAGGCAAGCAAGGATCTGGGAGGGAGATGCTGAGAGCAACAACTGGGGTTCCGGGCCAACCGACAAGCACTCGTTTTTCCGACGGAGGATGGCGTATAGAGGTAGGGGGGGTTACTCGATTGCCGCGTTGCACAAAACGACTGAGACAGGTACAGACACGAGGGCAACTGTGGTGGGTGGCTGTTTGAACAATTCGACGGGGTCCAAGTATGGTTTGCGACACAATACAAATGCAACCCGGTTCAGGTGAGTCGCCGCTGCATGTCAGAATCGCAGCGTCTGATTCGCCAAGATTGTGCCACACTTTGCTTCGACTCAGACCCTGGCCTGCGTCTAGGCCTTGCGGCGATGCATCGAGATTGGCGCGTCCGTATCGCCGATCTGGCCAAGCCTTCCTCAGTACTTAACATGGCGGCTTTTCTTCGACTCAGCTCAGCGCGTTGTTCGGCGTTCATGGCCGGTTGGGCGTGTGGAGGAATGACTACTGCCGCTGTACGACGTCCCACAAACCAACTCACACTCGCACAAAGCATATTGCACACTGTCCACCATCGTACATCACCATCGAGGCACAACATGGATCCTGGAAATACAGCGCCATCAATACAGCCCTGCAATCAAGCTCACTCGGTCCCAGACGACGATGAGCTCGATTCGACGTCGTCCACACCGCTCGCTGACCGCAGCGGCACCCAAACCCCGGCACTAGTCCCTTCCACGCGTACAGCCCAGGCACCTGCCCCTGTCAGCGACGAGCTGGAACGCTTCCGATCCGAATGGAGGAAAGAGGTCGAGGCAAGGGGCCATCCCATCTACGCTCAACCACCATCCTCGTCATCACCGCACGATCCTAGATCATCTGCCCAGCCCCCACCCTCCTCATCGCGCCCTGTACGAGCGGAGCAGTCGAGCACATCACGTTTGGCTGATGCACAGGATGCGCATCAAGGTCAGACCTTTGAAGAACAGCCATCTGATCAGCACAGCGACGATCTGTCGCATCACGATGATGCATTGCCAGCATTCCCCGAGGCCGAGATCTACGCTCCTGCCGCACTCAAATACTCCAAGGGCGCGCACAAGATTCCTCGACCGTCCACTCAGCTGACCCCGAACGACCTGCCAGCTCCACTCGTCCCAGCCGAGTATATCCCTGCGCCACTCGATCCCTCTTCGTCTTCGCCACGACCCTCAACAAGCTCCGTAGCTCATGGCGTCTCCTATGCGCTGCGTGATCGGATCCGTGCAGGAGGACCTGCAACCACATCTATTTCAAGCTCTGCATCCCTCGCAACCGATGCAAAGTCCTCCACTCAACCGCAACTGCCTTCACGCCCGTCTCACGCGCCACGAATCATGGCCACACCACATGCACCCGCGCATGCAAGCCAGTCAACCCAGGCTGGTATGCGCAGCGCTGTCGAGGCGTACGCACATGCAGTCGAAATGGAGCGCAGCGGCCAGCTCGACCAAGCGCTAACATCTTATCGCCGTGCTTTCAAGCTCAACAGCAATGCCGACCGACTCTATCATCGTGCCCACCTCCTCCTCACCGACCCGTCTCTAGCAAACACCTCGAAGCATCAGAACGACGCCCTCTTGTCTAGTCCTGCCATTGCTGACAAGGTGCGCAAGGCACTCGACTTTGACGATCATCGCTACGTCGCCATCAAGGAGAGGCAGGCAAAGGAAGCCGAAGCTCGAGCAAGGGGGGAGCCGCTCTCCCCGCTCGATTCCAAATCGGGCCCAGCAACCGCAACTGCCGCAACAGCAGACGCAACAGACAAACCGCCAAAAGTGCTCGAGTCGCGTCCCGATGAGCTGGCCAAGCTCCTGGACAACCTTTCCTTAGATGGCGGTGGTGAGAGGGACTTTGGACTCGTCGCGTTCGAGCCCGAGGATGAAGAGAAGCAGATGCCCATCGCCAGACTCCCAGACGAGGTGCTTTTGCATATACTCAAAATGGTCATTGCCCCCAGAGGTAAGAGAGGAGCAAAAGTGGTCAAGCCAAAGCCAACGCCAGAGGAACAGGCTGCGCTCGATGCAGCTACAGCCACCTTGACCGGGCGTCTCGGCGTCAGACCAGGTGCCGTCGCAAAAGGCGAGACACAAAGTGCGAGCAAGGCAGGCTCTGTCGCTACTGCAACGGCCACGGGGATTGCAGCGAAAGGCGTCAAGATAACTGCAGACGCCGCACAAGCAGCAAGCGGGAAAGACATCTCGTCCAACATTGCCGCGTCCGAAATACCCGCAAGCGGAGAGAAAGCATCCACGGACAGCAACCAAGCTGGCATCATCACTGCAACACGCAAGCAACCACTCGGCATCGGTGTTGTCCTAGGTGGATCCGACTGGCAGTCGCTCGAGATCGTTGGTCGCACCTGTTGGAAGCTGCGTCTGCTCACCAAATCGCCCTCTCTCTGGCGAGAGATCGTGCGTGAGACCTACTATCCACCCCTCCTCGATCCTGGCCTTAGCCTCACCACGCTATACGAGCGCAACCACTCAGACTGGCGCACCGCCTTTATCAACCAACCGCGTGTGCGTCTCAACGGCTGCTACATCGCTGCTTGCCACTACGCGCGTCCTGGTCTCTCGGAGGATGCGTGGGTACGGGTCATCCACGTGGTCGAATTCTACCGGTCCATCCGCTTCCTGCCTGACGGTACGGCCTTGTCGTTGCTCACCACCGATTCACCATCCGAGACTGTTCGGAGGCTGGAACCTGCACTCAAAGCGAAAGGGTTCGCAAAGGGCAGATGGGAGCTGTTCGAACACGGTTTGGAGGATGACGAGGAGGAAGGTCGACCGCGAGGCCCCAAAGTGGTGGTGGAGGATCTGAGGGACAGGAGCATGCACAAGTATGCCTTCAGGATGATGTTTGGTTTGAGGAGCACCACGAGGGGCAGGTGGAACAAGTTGGATCTGTTGGAGTATTACAGCGTGAACCTAACCAATGGCGAGGTTCTGCCGCTGCCGCAGAAGCATTCGAGGCCATTTCACTTTTCTAGAGTCTTAGCTTATGGTGTATGAATGTCAAGTCGATGGGCGAAGGTGCCGCCAAGCGTGCTGGCATTTGTGTGAGGTTCTGCGAAGTGTAGTAGCGGTGACAGGTACAAGTTTCCAATCGTGAAGGCGAGTTACAAATCCCAATCCAGTCCATCCTCCTCCTTCTGGTCCACGTCGTACTCTTCGTCCGTGCCCATGCCATTTTCCTCTTCCTCGTCTTCCTCACCCACGCTGTACGCATCGATCCAACCCTCGATGTTTTCGCGGATCTCTTTCAACCCATCCCTCGCATCCTCGCCGTCCAGCCCATACGCAATCATCGGCAGGTGACCGTTCAGAACCTCGTTGACCGTATCTCTCGCCTCCTTGAACAGGTACACGCTCGATGGTGTAGCTGACAACGACGAGAGAACGGGGAGATGTTTGGGTCGTGCGACTTTTCGGCTCGATTGTGTCGTTGCTTCCGTGAGTGGATTCGAATGCTTGTCGAGCAAAGTGAAGAAGTTGGGATAGGACGACAGAACATTGTACGACTGTGGGATGTAGACTCCCTGACCGAACGGTGGGTTGATCTGGGAGAGGATGGAATCGAGCATTCCGAGACCCAGACGTGCTTGGTCTAGGTTGGAGTTTCTCAACACTGCGGTGTGCGAGTAGGGTCGTGAAAGGTGTTGCAGCAATTGCTTGCGACGCTTCTCGCCACCAGAAAGGTGTGTCGGTAGGGAAAGGTCAATCCAGGTCGAGAGAAGGTGTTTGGCTCCGCGAGCCGATAGGTCGGATTCGGATTCGAGTGGTGCTCCGCGTTGACGTGCTCGCGAGTCGGAATCGCCGTAACCGTAGGATTTGAGCAGTGCGTCCACCGGATCCATCGATCCAGCTATTGAGGAGGAAGAGAGCGGGGCTGGGTACGCAACGGGCAGTGCGCCTCCTAGATGTACGAGCTTGGTATCCCTCCTCCAGTTGAGTCGAGCGGTGAGAGAGCTCAACGTCTCGGAACGCGATTTCAACCGTGTGCCCAGGGTGGCTGTTTCCAGATGCGGGGATACGAGCGCTGCCGCGTGGTGCATATCGCTCAAATCGATCCTGCCGAGGTATCTCCTCCAATTGGCACCCACCTGCCCGTCTCCTTGCCAGTCAGGAATGCAAAGGGGAGCTGCTACGGTAGAGAACTCCATCATCTGCGTCAGGCTTTGCAGATTGTTGATGCGTCTGATGCGTGCCAGCCTGTTCTCCCACGATGCCGAGTCTCCTGCGTCCTCGGGCACGTACGTCGTGTTACCCCAGCCGGCGCCAAACACTAGATGGCTGAGCTTGGGGAACTCGTCGACGAGATTCTCGAGATACTTGCAGCCCAAGCCGCCGAATGCATCCGAAGTATCGATGGTGTAGTGAAAGCCCTGTAGAAGATCGGCGTCTTCGGCGAACCAGCGGATGTTGGTATCGAGCACTTCATGCTGTGACTCGAGCTGATCGAACTGAGCTACACCTTGAGAGAAGGTCTCGAAGCGGGTGCGACCGTCAGAATTCGACGGCGAGTGGGCGGCGTTGTAGGATCCAGGCATGGGAGCGGTGAGCTGCCCGCCGACAGAGACGAGCGATTTCGAGTGGAAGAAGGTGCGCGAGTAGTCGGACCAGAAACGATACGATCGTTTGGACCTTCGCTGCTTGGGGAGACTTGGTCCATCGCCAATCGAGGCGGTTTTTTGTACGTCGTCGTCTTGACCGTCATCGTCATCGTCGGAAGACTCTGGATCAAGACCCTGATCTTCCAGCTCCAATCTGCGTTGGTACCTACTCGGCCTCACCCTTTCAGTCGCTATCACCTGCGCCTCGCTACCCCAACTCTGCAGACTATCCAGCGCCACACTTCTTCCATCGCTGTCTGCAGGGAAAGAGTCGTACAATGCGTTCAACTTTGCCAGTGCACCGAACTCCTGTTCCGTCTCAAAAAGGATCGCGCGTGGATTGTAGGTGTCCTGACCCGTGAGCGTCTGACCTGCCTGAAATGAGACATCGTGGTCTATGAGCGGTTCTTCATCCTGCGATGATGTGTGCTCGACATCGCGAGAAGTCGATCCAGAGGGTAGGTCAGATTGGTCGTAGGTAAAGTAGGATTGCTGCTGATTCCAAAAGTGGGTGGAGATGTGGTTGGAGAAGGAGCCGAAGGAGAGGTAGATGATCTCCTTTTGCGACATTGCTGCTGGCTATGAAGCCGGAGAGACGGCGAGGACTGCTGAAGAGAACGTGTAAGTGGACGAAGCAACGATGTACGACTGCTCATTCAAGAAGAACAAGAAGGAATGGAGTATGAGGAAGGACAAAGGGTCTTCGAATTTTGTCTCGGGTCTCGGGCTTGTCAAACTTTAACACTTAAGAGTCATTCTGGTGTGGAGGTTCACGGACCAGAAACGCGCGACGAAGCAACCGTGTGTCGTGCGCAGCATTGCTCTCCTCAACCATCCTTCTCACCTCCATATATCCGCGTACTTCACATCGACCCTCTCTCGAGGAATACATTCAAGATGGGCGATCGAAGCATGCGTGAGTATTGCAGACGACGCGAGCCGATTTCATGTGCTTTCAATTGACCTCGATCTGCCCTTCTCTGCCTTCTCATTCTCAGTACTCGACATGGGGTTCGACCCAGAGCGAGTCGACTGGGCACTTTACGCCACTAAGAGTGCAGGTCTTCAGCCAGCTCTAGACCATCTCGAGGCGAACCAGGACGGTCCAGTCCCGACCGACTACAAGTCTGCCGCGCCCGCCTCCGGCTCGGGCTCTGCCAACGCTGGCCATGACGTGAGTACACATACGGGTCATAGCTCGCAACATGCACGTAGCTGACAGCTATTCCCCACAACAGTACGACGAGGAAGATGAAGCTGCATTGGCAGATCTGGTCTCCAAGAAGGGTCAGCAAGCCGCTGATGATGCTGTCAACAATGTCGGTGAAGCCAAGGTGAGTGTCAATCCTCCGCCTCTGAGAACTGCATTCATCGTCCCAACGCTGACCAATTCGTGACGTCGCGTATCTTCCGTATTGCAGTCGATCAAGTGCACCGACTGCGGCAAAATCTTCAAGTCGCCCGCCTTCGCCTCCTTCCACGCCGAAAAGGCGGGACACACCTCGTTCGAGGAAAGCACCGAAGAGATCAAACCGCTCACCGAAGAAGAAAAGAAGGCCAAACTCGAAGAGCTCCGCAACAAGCTCGCACTCAAGCGTGCCGCGCAGTCCAAGATCGACGCCGAAGAATCCAAAGCCAATGAAAAGATCCGTCGCAAGGCGGGCCAAGACCTTACCGAGGTCAAGGAAGACATGAAGCGCAAGGAGCAGATCAAAGAAGCCGAACGCAAGCGCAAGGAGAAGGCGGACGACGCTGCGTTCAAGGCCAAGATCAAGGCTCAGATTGAAGCTGACAAGCGCGAGCGTGCAGCAAAGGCTGCGGCGGACAAGGCGGCGAGGCAGGGTGGGGTGGAGCAGGTGGTGGCTACGCCTGCGAGTGGGCCGAGTGCGGCGGCTTTGGCGGCGAGTGCGGGTACGCAGGCTAGCAAGAGCTCGGCGAATGAGGCGAGACTGAGAGTCAGGGCTCCCGGTGGCACGTGGATGGGAACGCTGCCTGCGGATGCCACTCTGCGGGATGTAGAGGATAAGATCAGGGCTGAGGGCAAGGATGGCGGCAGTGGACAGCTCAAGGTACGTCTTTCTGCTTGGCGGTGTCTGCGGAGTCAAAACATGGCTGCTGACTTTGATGATCTGATCTTAAACCGAATAACAGTTCTCGCAGGCGTTCCCGAGGAAGTTCTTTGATGCAAACGACGCATCCAAGACTCTGCGCGAGCTCGGCTTGCTGCCCAATGCTGCGCTCGAAGCAGTGGCGCAGTGACACGTGCGCGCGAGGCAAGGGCATCACGTATGAGCCACAATGGCGCAACCAAGCCTGTGTGGTACAAGATTGTTTGGTGCGCAGCGGTGCAGAAGAGGTGTGATCGTGAGAGGATTGCTGAGAGGACACATGCTATTGGTAAGACCGAGATGTCGATTTGTTCGTATTTGTTAGACTTTTGTTCAACCTGTCCAAAAGAGCTGAGCTCGGACCACGCACGTCGAACAACGCCTCTGCTCTTCGACCATCATCACTTATCACCACCCGAACACCAACGCATCGTCACCTTCTCGCCATCGCCCTCCGCAATCATGCTGGTCGTAGGACTCACGGGCGGCATCGCCTCTGGCAAATCGACCGCCTCCTACCTCATCTCATCTCATCCGGCCAAGATCCCAATTATTGATCTGGACGTGCTGGCGCGCGAAGTGGTGGCACCGGGACAACCTGCGCTCACCGCTCTTCGCAACACCTTCGGACCCAGCGTCATCAACTCCGCCGACGGAATGCTCGATCGAGCCGAACTGGGACGACTTGCATTCGCGACACCCGACAAGACAAAGCTGCTCAACAAGATCACCCACGGAGCGATTCGACGTCGAATGGTCAAAAAGCTGCTCCTGTACTGGGTGACGGGTCACAAGGTGGTGGTTGTGGATACGCCACTGCTGGTGGAAGCCGGGTTGTGGAAGCTTTGCGGAGAGTTGGTGTTGGTGTATTGCAGGAAGGAGGATCAGTTGAAGAGGATGTTGAAGAGGGATGGCGAGAGTAAAGGTTTGAGCGAGGAGGACGCGAGGCAACGCTTGAAGGCGCAGTTGGACCTGGATGACAAGCTGGTGTATGCCGATGCGGTGCTGGACAACTCGTCCAATCTCGACGATAGAACGGAGGGTGTCGAGGCTCCGGAGTGGACAAAGAGGCTGGATAGGGAAACGTCGTTAGCGTTGAGGTCGCAGGTGGACAGGTTGGTCGAGAGGTGGCTGGACGGATACAGTGGCGCCGGGGGCGGGCTGCGATGGCTGGTGCAGTGGCTGCTTCCGCCAGTCGGATTGGCGATGGGCATGTGGAGGGCGTGGTGTAGAACAGCGGCGGTCAAGGCGAGGTTGAAGTCCGGAGAGAAGGTATCGTTGCCAAGCAGCAAGTTGTAGGTCAGCTCAGGATCGCTTTGAGCTTAGCAATGTAGTTAAAGCGTCAGCCAGCCACAATTCTCGGTGATCTTGCGTTTGGAACGGATCCGGTCGAATTACAAGGATGCAAAACTGATATACAAGGCAAATATTTCTATACATGCTAAACGGTACCACCCTCTCCCTCTCTAATAGACATGTGCGTACTTGGAATGCTTCCTGAGCAGGTGCCCGTACCTCTGCAGACCCCACAGCGGCAGGATCAAGAACGCAAAGATGCCACCCAGCAGACTGCTACCCCCACCTACACCAAGGTTCTTGAAAAGCGCATGCCCGAACAGCGGGAAAGCGGCCGCCATGGTCGACCTGATCAAGGCGTTCGCTGCCAACACGGAAGCTGCGTACTTGGGATACGACATTGGCAGATACACCAGCAAGCTCTGGAACAGCAGGAACACTCCGGGAAGCAGCAACGCCGAAAAGATGATGGGAACGATCCAGTGGATATCTTCCCTGCTGGTCCATCCGAATCCAAACATGGCGACGGGGACGAAGAACGATGCGAACAGTGCGATACTGATGCGGTCCTCGGGAATGATGATCCCCTTTTGGGCTTTGGCGAGAAAGCGCGGGTTGAAGAACTTCTTGAGGTACCAGAGGTAACCGAACAAAGTGACTACTCCGGAGACGGCTAGTCCGAGGAACGGCAGTCCTGACTCGCCCAGATTGAAGTGGTGCATCTGGATGAACACAATTGGATATGCCTCAAAAAATAAGTAAAAGCATGAATAGGCAAGTCCGAGTAACAAACTTGAGAAGAAGACGACGGGCTCGATAGAGATGATGAGAGGGCGGAGGAGCGCTTCCTTGGTGATGGCGAGGACGGTTGTGGCTTGTTGGTCCAGCTCGCTCTGTGCGCGCAGACGCGTATTTCCGGTGAGCGCACGGAGCCTCTTAGCGCGCTGCAAAAGAATATGTCCTTCGAAAGTTTCCGGCAACAAGAGCGCCAGAACGATTGTCGTGACACCAGAGAGGATGGTAAGCAGCCACAAAGGCCACCTCCAATTCAGGTTCATGGCCGAGAATCCGCCGATGACGGGGCCTAGTACGGGCCCACACACGGCACCTACAGCCCAAATGGCAATGGGGAACGCTACACCAACACCTTCGTACATGTCGGCGATGCTTGCACCACCCGTAGCGAGCGCCGGAGAGCCAAAGAAGCCGGTCCAGAAACGCATGGCCATGAGGGTGCTGTAATTGGGAGCGAGCGAAGCGACAATGTTGAAGATGACAAAGATGATCATACTCGGGATGTAGGTCCAGTTGCGTCCGATGGCGGGGATCTCGCTGAGTGGGGAAAGCGCCATGGGGCCGATACCGTAGCCGAGCACAAAGAGGGAGAGACCGAGGGTGGCCTGTGTGAGGTTGACATGGAACTCCTGCATGACGCCTGGGATGGAAGGTGTGTAGATGGCTGAGCCCGAGTAGACGCCAAAGGTGAGCAGACCGATGAGGAAGGTGACAAAGGCCTTTTTGCGGGAGGACCAGTTGCGTGGGTTTTCGGGATCGTCGTCGCCATACCATCCTACGATGATGCGGTCGTCCGAGGTGTTGGATTTGCTGGATGTGGAGGAGAGCTTCTCGTTGGCGTTACTGACGACACGTGCGACGGTGTCGGTGCCCTGTGCTTGAGTCAGTGCCGCTTCGATATCGACACCGCCGACATCATGAAGATTGGTGGAGTCTTGCGGGATGGCTGACTTGGATTTTTCGGGACAAGATTCGCACAGGGTGGCTGTCTCTGAAATGTGGGCGGAAGAAGAGGCTGTGCCAGAGACAAGTGAGGACGGGACGACAAAGTCGGAGCGCTGATCGGGACGAGGGAAGAGCTTGCCGCTGGACGCTTGGTTGAGCAGCGTGCCCACCCACGCAGTGGCTAGAGCTGAAGTCATTGTGTGCGCGTGGTTTCGAAGGATGAAGGGGAATGAGGGTGATAGGATGGAGGAAGATGATGAACGGTGATGGAAGGGATCGTCGATAAGGTGTGGTCTCTTTATACCTTTGGCCATCTACTCAAACTAGCACGAGCCCTGGCGTCGAACTTTGCGCAGCAGCTGCGAACAACGTACAACAATGTGCGACTCGATAGCAACAGCGGTGATGACGACAATGACGGCGTGGAGATACATTCGGAGATGAAAGAAGGTTCGCTTGACGTGCTTGTAGCAAATCCCCGAATCGCTTGGGTGGGAATGGGTCTGCTATCTTTGACGTCTTGGCGGCTGCCCGGAGTAATGGAGTAATGTCCACGGAGCTTGGTGCCCACTAAGGAGATTTTTGCACGCGACGCCGCCAGGGTCCGGGAGCTGCATGTGGAGTCGTGACGTGACATGTGGGTAAACCCCGTCAAAGCGTTTGGAGGGCGTACAAGAAAAGCTGCGCACAATGTCGTGCTTGTTCCGTGGAAACGGGCTGACCGACATGGGCGATCAGCGATGTGCACGAGTATGGAAACTGCAAGAAGCAGGTAGAACGTGGACTGCGCTCCGATGCGCATGAGGGAGCCGGCTATGAGACCTGGTGAAAAGCACCTGCTCTGGAGCGGCTGAGCCCACAGAGAAAGAGCATGCGGATGTTGGCCTCGGGAAGCATATGCTCGGATATCCATGGCGCATTGCAACGTTTCCGAAGCGTGGAATGTTTGAGGATGAGGAAAATGCCGATAGGAATGGATAGCCGCTGTCGTCCGGCATTCAAACTTGGACAGCTCGAGTTGGATAGAATGGCGTTACCGTAGCACACGCTTGCGCCTGCCAAGACAAAACGTGGTCGCCATCAACAATAAGTATGTGTGCGTCTTTTCGCCTTTCCTCCACGGACGACTGAGATACCTCGCGTCGCAATCTAAACTCCGCGGCAAACGCTAGGCGTCAATTACAGCATATCCAATACCTGTCAGATCGACACGGCATGCCTGTCGTTGGCATCTTTCAAACCATCGACGGGCAGAGTGAACGTTCCTACTTGTATTCCATCAGCCACGGTCAGCCGAGGGGTGCTCGACTGTCACACGCCCGTCAGGGTCGAAGAGTACATGCACTCTAACAATGACATTGTGCAGCTCAGAAGCCACAAAGAGTAAGGCGACCCAAACAAAAGCATCCAGCTGCCTTGCAGCGTGTTGCATCGCCGACCGGGGTCAAAGCGCCCATACTGCACCTTGTCAATAACGCTGTGCGACTCGAAACACCGCAAACGAGCGTGCTCATACCATGTGTCGCTCTTCAGCGGTAAAGCCATGGCGCTAGAAACACCGCTATTGTTTCAACCGTTCAAAAGATGCGTTGGTCGGTCGGAACACCGGAAAGGTTCTTTTCGTCCATTGTTAACGTCTTTTGCTGTTGTCAATCCGGCTTCTCGTTCCTCACACGCAGTCTCGTGCGCTTCGTTTCGTGCCATCCATCTGCAGTGCAAGGTGGCGTGTCTCCTTTCTATGATCACCCCCTTCGTTAGTTCTCATCCTTGTCATCTGGCAGTGGCCAGCCTGCTCGCTCAACACTGAATCGGCTTTCGCTGCACGCTTCCACGATGCCAAGGCCGTCGATTCAGAAGCTGCTTCACGTTGCCCATTGAGACCGCGGTGCCGATTCTCCGGACAAACTGCATGTTCCTAACGCATGCTCTGTCTTGGTTGGCCTGGACTGCATCCCATTGTCTATGATGCTTCGACGCCGGAAAAGTGCCATACGACCACACGGAGTCCGTTGGGACGGCACGGCTGCTTTGACGGGCTGTGATCAGCCTCATGAACAAAGACCGCTCAAAGGGAAGCCGCAAGTGCTGTCCAAATGTGCAAGCGAAGCATCACCACGTTGCCGCGATGTGTCAACGAGCTGATCCGGCCTAGCATCGCAGGAGCATCAAGCTCGATTCTATATATTCACCGCATCTTTCAGCGGGATTCCCCACATCCTCCCAGCCCATTCTCACTCCGGGATGCTCCAATTGGCGGCAAACCTATCTAGCTTTGTCATATTCCTCAACCATGCAGTCTCCTTACAAGTCTGCCGCATCTCCCTCGTCGCTGACCGTGTCTGGGTCTAGACGAAGCCGCATCAGCCAAGCGTGCATGGCTTGTCGCCGAAGGTGAGCCCTTTGCCATCCCTGCATCTCTTTATATACACAGCATGCTCGAAATCTGACCACCTTCCTTGTTGACCAATGCAGGAAGATCAAGTGCAACGGCGACCTCGATGGCTGTGCTCACTGCAAACAAACGGAGCAGCAATGCCGCTACGAGCCAGTGTCCGACGGTGACAAGCTCAGGGCGAGATCGTACAAGCGAAAGCTTATCCAGCGTCGACAGCAGACGCGGGTCCTTTATGATGGGCCGATGTACCTCGAGCCGGCCTTTTTGGCGTGTCCATACGGTATGGCTTCAACCACAGCGGGTTTCTACGCTCTGCGATCCGCTGTCGACACTGTTCCGGCGCACAGGCAGCAGTACAGCCCAATCTTTCACCCAGCCACCCCTCCAATGACGGACACGGACTCGTACACTTTCTTCGTATCACCTTCGTCAGAGACCTCGACACAGCTGCAGCCCATCAACAGCAACACATCTTTCCCATACACGATTCTGGCACCGACTCCGATCGAATCGCTCTCGTCGCTGTCATCATCACCATCCGGGTCAGAAAGCACTGTTATGACACCCATCGGCGCATCAACTCACATGCATTTCCCGGGCTTTGTAGGTGATCTGCAGGTCTACACCGTGCCCTGCATCGACACAGTTGCAGGTACCAACGATATCGCCGGACATAGTGGTTCTTCCGTGGAGTCTACACCTTCTGCATTCTCACAGGAATATTCTACGCTTTCCTCGTCCCACCTGTTCTTTTATTCCATGATGACTGAGTTCCAGATCACTGCTTCTGGCTACAAGCCGACCGTAGATGCAAATACATCGACGCTTGCGGGCGCTTTTGCTTGATACCGTCCTCGCCTTGGTCTATACCCGGATCACTGTCACCTCAGACTCTGAAATTCTAAGCGAGTGCTAAAAAGGCGACAGAGGCTTTTGAATCCGCTCGCTGTTTGAATCATGTATGCAAGATGTGCGTATTCGAAGAATCATGAAAGATACAAATACAAGCAATGCCAAGCCGCCACCCGTTCAGTCGAAAGCCAACTTCCTCGCCAATCGTTTCCTTTCTTCGATCTCCTTTGAATCCAGCGGACGCTTCTTCCCATTCCCGACGTTTTGCTGCTTCTCTCTCGCTTCGTTCTTCTCCTTGCTGTCTGAGAGCAAAGGGTGAGCCGCTGGATCTTCGGCATCCAACGCCTTTGTCGGATGTCGCGGGAGCTGTTTGAACGGTGTCGGTGGAGGACTTTGCTTGAAGTATGGGTGGTGCAGTGCTTGGTTGGCGCTGAGGCGTTTGAGTGGATCGTACAGGAGCGTACGTTGCAGGAAGTCGAGCGCCTCTGGACTGGCCGCAAGGAATAGATCCGCCAAGTTGGATTTCGGATGTTGCTCGAACGATGTATACTCTGGCAGAGATTTGTGACTCGGCCAGTCTTTCTCTGTCGGTGTACCGAGCGCCTTAAAGATGGTCGTGAGTTGTTCGGCATCCGACTCTCCAGGGAGATAAGGAACGCGCAGCATGAGTTCGGCAAAGATGCATCCCACGCTCCACATATCCACCGCCGACGAGTAGGCTCTCGACCCCAGCAGCAGTTCCGGCGGACGATACCACCTCGTCACGACCTGATGTGTCATTCTCGCTCCTGGATCTCCGTGCTCTCTTGCAAGACCAAAATCGGCAATCTTGAGCTCGCCCGAAGGAGAGATGAGCAAGTTGTTCGGTTTCAAATCCCGATGCAGCACCCAGTTGCGATGACAGTACTCCATGCCACGGCAAAGCATGGCCATCCAACTCTTGATGTCGGCCTGCGTAAAGATCAGCGCTTTGTCCTTGACGAGCGCCTCCAGATTGGTGTCCAGGAACTCGAGCACCAGGTTGAGCGAAGGAGACCGGGAGCCGGAGGAAAACACGTCGACCATCTTGATCACATTGGGATGGTTGAGTTCCTTCAAGAACTTGACTTCGCGTATCGCCGTGACGTCCATGCCGTTCTCGTTGGAGACGATCTTGATCTTCTTGATGGCTACCTTCTGTCCCGTCTTGATGTTGCGCGCGAGGAACACAGAGGCGTAGGTACCTTCGCCCACCTTCTCCACCTTGGCGTACAGGTTTGCGATCGCCAGATTCTGCGCCGCTGCAGTCTCCATCGTGGGCGACTGCCGCTCAAGCTTGGTGTGTGAGTGCGCTGTACGATCGAAGCGTCGTGGGCCGCAAGGGCTTCCGCTTCTGCTTTGACTGCCGCCGCCGCCGCCCTGGACCGTGATGTGCGGCTTCAAGAATGAGGTCTCGAGCAAAGTCGGCAAATGCTCAGTCAGATCAAGAATGCAGGCACGACTTTGTGGAGTTCTCATACACGCGGCACGCCAAATCAAACCCGACTCCCGAGCGCGATATGTCAATTCGATTTCCACAGCTTCCCGATTTTTGTTCGACACGATGTGCGCTGAATACATACAAAACATCATTGCTGAGACCGAGTTCAGATGCCATCGATGCCGAGCTGCTTGAGCTGCTCAAATTCCTGTCGGAAGAGCTCGATGCGACCGAGAGCGTACCGCAAATTATCAAAGGTCTCGGCACAACCTGCTGAAGCGACCAGTTGTGTGCTTTTTTCGGACAAGACTGTCTCGCCGACTCGCTGGCCGTCCGCCTCCGCTGTGGCTCTGGATAGCACCGATTCGAGTTCCTCCTTTGCAAACACGATTCCCCACAAACCCCACACGGCATGCGTGGCGGAACTCCACAGATGAACTTCACGCTCGAGTCGGTCGACCTCCTTCTCGATACTTGCATCCAGGGACGCCAAAGCTAGCACTTGAGGCGATGCAGAGCCCTCCAAGAACGGCGAGGCAGCCCCGAGGCAGCTGGCCGGGGTGCTCGGAGCGGACGGATTGACAGCTCGAAGTGGGCCCGACGACGGTGCCTGCCATGATGACGAAGAGATCGACTCGGTGCTGCCTCTCCTCGCAAGACTCTTGGTCAACTGTTTCTCCACGCCGTGGGACGATGGGCCAGAAGTGGAGCCCCTTCTGATTGAGGCAGATGCGTTGGAGCTGTTCTGCGACAACGCTGGGCGATTGCGTTCTCCGGACGACTTTTCGAGAGCCGCCATTTGTGCAGCACCAGTGCCTGGCGTAACCGGCGCGCTCGGCCTTTCTGCGGTGATGGGCCCCTTGATCGCGGTGTCCGAAGGAGGATACTGTAGCGAGGCGACAGCAGGCGGCAGTGCAATGTCGCCGGGGACATCGCCGGCTGCCGGTGGAGCTGACGCACCTGGTCCGCCTTTGGTCGCGCGACCGCCCATTCGGAGCAGTCGGCCCTGCTCGACGTAAGCACGCAGCCATTTTCGACGTTGCTGCTCATCCGGATACGCGCCGTGGTGCGTGAGCGACCACGAGAGCGTGGCATGATGGTAGTCGGCGCGCCACTCCTGAAAGTGGTTGGCAATGTCGTAACCGCGCGGGTTCGGGCTGGCGTACTCGAAGTCAATGACGACGATCCGATGATGGAGCGGTGGCGGCTTCTTGAAGTTGATGCGGCTACGGCTCTTGGACCTCATGGCGATAGGACTCTGAGGATCGGCGACAGACGCAGCGCTGTCGCGTCTGCTGTCGTGCGATGCTAGCCGCGGCATTCCGGCGGGGATAGAAGGCACTTCGACAGAGGGAGACCTGGCGTCTCGCATCCTTTGCTCCGTTTGCGCGGGGGCGAGGGATGCGAAGGTAGCATTCGTATGCTTGATGGCGAGCAGATTGCCGTACTGGGCGTCGTTATGGGCAAAAACTCGGCGCGAGGGTCCTTCGCGTCGCTCCCACCTCCTCACGAATCGTTTGTACTCCTCGATTTGGTGGATCAGCGAGACGAGGTCGATGGCGCGAATGGCGCGCAGCGTGTTGCGCAGGTTGCCTGGAGAGGGGCCAATCGTGGCGGTGGACAGGGCGTCGGGACCAGCCTGCATCTCTTGACGGATCGAGGGATGGCCCGAGAAGCATATAGCGATGGCCTTGGCACCGCTTTCGGTCTTGGCGAACCTATCGACGAGCTCGATCACCTTGGCCGCCTCACGCGACCACCTCTTGAGTCGTCGCCACACGCCGGGGTAGGGTCCTCGCGACGACTTTGGCTTGTTGCTGGATCGACCCTGCGGCGCCAACGCAAGCGGACTCATGGGTCCGTCGGTGACGGGTGGGAAGTAGGAGTTGGGCGTGTCGGTGGCGGACGAGCCTGAAAGTGAGGGGCTTGTTACGCCCGTCATGGCAGGGCTCTCCCCGAAGAAGCTGGACTGTGAGTTGTAGCTGGTCGCCAACGAATCGAGCGAGACGGCCGAACTATTGCGATGCGAGAATGCGTAGCTGGGGCGCGCGTCCATGCTATCGGTTGACGAGACCTCGTCGGGGCCCATCGGCGCTGGACTTGCGCGCACCACGCCGCGGTTGTCGAGACCGTAGACGGGAGAAGTGCTGGCTTTGTCCATCACGCTGGACTGGTGTCGATGACGGACCCTGCGACGTGGACGATGCGAGCTGGCCATGATGTGATTCTCAATGCCCCTTCCAAAACCCTTCTCGCTTGGACCGCGCAGGTTGCCCTGTTCCAGCACGGTGCGCATCACTTCGAGCGGAACCGAATGCAGCTCGTTCATGCGGCGCGCTACCCAATGCGCACGACCTTCACGACCCTTGACGACCAGGCTTCCACCTGGAAGCATGTAGGCTTCCCTGTCCCCAAAATCGCGCATTCCTTCCTTCTGGATGGGGTCGCAGTCGTAAAACTCTTCGACGCGACCATTGGCGAACGTGCCGAGGATGTGCGGACCTATCTCGTAGAGGCTGGACAAGGTGTGCAGGATGAGAAGTTCGGCACGACGAGAAAGCAGCGCCTCTGAGCTGGCGCCATAGACGCGGAGCAGGACGGTGGGAGGTGGTGGGACGTTGCTGCGCGCAGACTCGGGTATCTGGTAGCTCGCAAAGAAGACGGCGTTGGTGAATGCACCACTAATTCGCTTGAGACCAAGCTGTTCGGGTTCAAGCGGCCAGAGGGAAGCATCAACGGTCTCCTGAGTCCAGCCGAGAAGACAGAGCTGGTCGGAAAAGAGCTGCAACACCTTTGCGCGAAACTGCTTGGTGTCGGCTTGACGTGCATCCAAACGCCAACCGCGGGCCGCTGGAATGCCGTCAGCGTGCATATCTTCCTCATCGACATCGAGCGTATCAAACCCGTCTGCATCAGCTCCACGTTCGGCGCGCTCTTCGTCCGAATCTGGCGGCGAGGGACGTTGGGCTGTGGTATCTGGGTCGGTGGAGGTGACGTGCGACGACGAATCGGATGCTTCTGACGCGTGCCTCGGCGATAGTCTGCGATACAGTGACGAGAAGGCCGAAAGTCCTGATCGGGTGGGTGAAGGGGACGAACCTGTCCGTGACGTCTCCCTGAACCGAAGGGACGCGGATGACTGGGAAGCTATTGGTGTTGCTGCTCCGCTTGGTAGGCCGGACTGTCGAGGATCGAGGTCAGCATTGGTGAGGCCACCATGGGCGAGGAAGGGCTGGTCTTGCGACCCAACGGTATCGACCGCGAGGTGATACTGAGGTTCGTCAATCTCCTCAAGCGAGAGAGCGTTGAAGTCCGGATCCTGGTCCTGGTCCGAAAACTCATCGGCGCTAGATGTGGAAGAGTACGAGTAGGCAGAGAGTGCAGGCGAAGGCGTCGGGGGCGGCGATCGGAAAGGATCGAAGACGGGCGATGCAATGTCGCCGTCCTGTACCCTGTGCTGCTGCTGCTCCTGCTGCATGATGGCACAGGACGTTGCGCTGCGGAACTCCCCGTCGAGCTTGCCCGCCGCCACGGAGCTGGATCGGGTGGAGGGAACGAAGAGGTCGACACCACGCTAAAGACGGATGCGGTCAGAGTTCACTTGGTACTGTCCATGCTGTGAGGATGACTTCACTAAGAGTATCGCTTGGTTGCTTCCCGCCTTGAGGTCGGCTTGGCTCGATCTTCTGCAACTGCAGAGCTGGGTCGGATCAAGTTGCTTTGGATTCGGATTTGCCGATACGTCTGCAACGCCGTGTTTCTATCGATACAGGCGAGGACCTTTTTGATGCGTGTGAGCCAGAGCCGAAGCGGTGGAGTAAATGATGGTCAAGTGCAACGTCGGCACGAGCGTCAGAGTGCAACTCACATGGATTGGATTGGTCGGTCCATCCGTGGCTTGTCGCCGAACGCGAGCGTGCGAGGTGTGTGCTTCCTGTGAAAAAGGCCCTTCGCTCACCTCGCCAAGTCTCCATGCCTCAACTCAACTCAATTTAATCTGCTGTTTGCACTTGATTCTAGTTGTTCCATCGGCAGTCGCACATCGTCATCCCGAAATTCTCTCCCCTCTTCGCTGTTCGCTGTTCTCACTCCACTTTTTAGCGCTCTATGTTGGCTGGCTCGTCTGGCGCCACCTCTGAGCAGGTCTAACAGACCACGAAAAGGGACTCCCCTCAATAATGCGGAGAACAGAGTGTTTGGACGAAGCATGATCAGCTAGCTCTCGGTTGCCATTACCATGCTCTGTTGCGATCCTCAGCATCGCCGATCCTTGATCAGACCTCGTCTTCTGTAAGCCAGCCGCTAAGCAACCTATCTTCAGCGCTCGGATCATCCGAACATACAAGCCAGCTGCCTTGAGTCCTGTCAGACCGACCTGTTGAGGCTGGCAAGGATGGGAATTTCCGACTCCTTGAACTTTACTCGCTCGATTTCAGAGAAGCAGAGACAGGCGAAAGCCACATGCAGCCACGGTTGATTGCCCTGTTCGCGTGTGCTTCTGACAAGTCGAAAAAGTAGACCCTCTCCAAAGGCTCCGTTCGGCAAGTCCGACAGTAGACTCAAAATTCCGATTGTTGCACTTTTCAGGATCTGCGAGACAACACGGTGCAGCAAGCCAGAGAGAACCGGGGAGAGAAGGAGAGAGCGAGAGCGAGAGAGAAAGCGTGACGGCGGAAAGAGATGCGCATCGTGACGGTCGTCGCGTGTGATGATGGATGGACCCTCGTCGGCTAAGCCGTCTTCCTTCGCTTCTTGGTTGACATCCTACTTCGGCACATCCTGCTGATCACTCCTCCCTTTCACTTCGCCTCACAAACCCCTCGAGCGCATTCAGCGAGGCAGAGCTGGCAGAGCACACGCATTGCAGACGGAAGCAGGCATCCCTCTGCTCTGCGGTCAGCATTCGCCAACCTACAGCTTCACCATCACGACTACGACGCCGACGACGACCACGCCCAACGCAAGCAGCGTCAGCATCGTCCTTTTTGTCGACACCTGCAGCCCTCACAGCAGCACCGTCCTTGTTCGATACGTGGCCGCTCGCTCTCCGCGCCCGCCGACTGCGTCGAGCAGAACGGCTCCTTTCGATTTCAGCAGCCTGCTGCTGCGGTCCCCTGAACGTCGGCAGCCATGTCCATCATCCTGCCCGACTGGGTGGCTCATCCCAGCGATGACAAGAAGGGAAAGCTCTCCACGATCTTCAGCGTTGCCGTCCATCCCGACTCGAGTCGCCTCGCTACCGCTGGTCTCGACACCAAGATCCGAATCTGGTCTACCGCAACCATCCTCAACCCAGAAGCAGAAAGAAACACAAACACACATCGCCTCCTCTCCACCTTGTCAAGACATACGGGGAGTGTGCTCGTGGTGCGATGGGCCAACTCCGGTCGCTTCCTCGCTTCTGGCTCCGATGACACCGTGGCGCTCGTATGGGATCTTGATCCGAGCGGTATGGGAGGAGGCAGCTTCGGATCTAGCGAGGTCAACATCGAAAGCTGGAGGCCGCATCGTCGTCTAGCGGGTCACGAATCGGACGTAGTGGACCTGGCGTGGGCGGACAACGACGAGTTCATCGCCACAGTTGGCCTCGATTCCAAGGTCATCATCTGGTCCGGCACCACCTTTGACCGGCTCCGCACCATCGACGGTCATCAAGGTTTCGTCAAAGGCGTCGTCTTCGACCCTTTAGGCCAGTACCTCGCAACAGCATCCGACGACAAGACGGTCAAAGTATGGCGCACATCCGACTGGGGGCTCGAACGCTCCGTTACAGACCCTTTCCTCGCCAGTCCATCGACCGCCTTCTTCCGTCGTCCAAGCTGGTCGCCGGACGGCAGCCTGCTGCTGTGCGCCAACGCCATGAGCGGACCCGTGTTCGTCGCTAGCGTTGTCAAGAGGGCCAACTGGAGCAGCGACATCTACTTTGTCGGCCACGAGAACGCCGTCGTGGTAACGGCGTTCAGTCCCAAGATCTTCGTTGGGTTCGATGGCGGCACACATTCGTGCGTAGTCGCCTTGGGCTCGCTGGACCAGTCCGTATCCATCTGGGTCACTGGCCTCGAGCAGCCCGTTCTAGTGGCCAGAGACGTGTTCGAGCGCCAAGTCATGGATCTGTCGTGGTCCGCCGACGGCTACACGCTGTATGCTTGCTCCTCGGATGGTACCGTGGCTGTCTTCCACCTCTCCCCCGAACTCATCTCCGACGCTCTCAGCGCAGACAGGCTCGAGCAATCGCGTGCCAAGCATGGCGTCAAGCGCATACGAAACGCTGCCTCGACGTTCAACCCGGCATCAAGCGTCGGAACCTCGGATCGACCCAACGTCCTGCAGCCACGCAAGGCAGGTCAACAGCCATCGGCAAGGGCATCCGTAGCACCTGTACCCATCGCAGGATCCGTCGTCCCTGTTCGACTCGCAGCATCTACTAAGGAGCGGCTTCAACAGACCATCACCATCACCAGGGACGGCAAGCGACGCATCCGACCCACGCTCATCGGCGATGACATGACGCCGCCACAGGCACCTGCTGCTCAGTACGCGCCGCAGCCAGTCGCCGCATCATCGCACACATCGATGCCTATGATCCAGAACCACCAGCTTCCAGCGATGCGCGAGGCGATTGGCGGAACCACGACCGACGGATTCGGAGCTGGTTCAGGCGTCAACGGCGTCCATTCAGGCTCGACGAATGGCGTCTTGAGCGAAGCAGCAGCCGCAGCAGTGGCCGCTGCGCTGGCAGCACAGCGATTGCACCCTCCTGCAGCGGCAACACCTTCGGCCGCCGCCTCGTCGATGATGCCGTACGTGCCTGTGGGCTTGCCATTCGGGATCATGCCCGAAGGAGCCAGGCCGGAAGACATGATGCAATTTTGGACCGAGTTCCAGCAGCGCTTCATGCGAGGAACGAAGCGAAAGGCGGAAGAAGTAGAGCCGGGGAGCGACACCGAGGACATCGAGCCCATCGGCAAGCTGCAGAAGGGCAAGACCAAGGCCGACATTGGCCGAACGCTCGGAGCGGAACATCCTCGCGACCCAGCTGGTCCCAAGAAGGTTCTGAGAGAAGCTCTGACGGGCGTGAGCGGTATCGTTGAGGATGGCGTCCGCAAAGGTGTACATCTATCTGTGCCCGAGACGCCTAGCATCTATCGCCGCGACGAGGATGGCATTTCGATAGAGATTCGCAATTTTGACGAGTCACGACCTACTGAGATCGCGAGGCTCGATCCCTCGGACAAGGACCGCGTATTGTGGCTCGACTTCAGCCCAACGGCGGCGACGCTGGCCACGACCACGTCTTTCTTCTCAGCAATTGCGCTGGAGGACTCGACGGTGCTGATCTACTCGTCGCGGGGACGCAGGGTGGGCAATCTGCTGCTCGACTCGGCATGCTATCGACTCGAGAGTAACGGAACAGTTCTGATGGCGGTGACCGTCTCTGGACTCATGTATCGGTGGAACATACGCGCCGACCGCGAGATGCACCGGCCAGTGTCGATGCTGAACTTGCTCGGCGATCCCGAGAACCTGTCCTCGATGGCGGTGCATGCCAACGGTGCGCCCATCGTCATCCTACACAGCGAAAAGGCGTACACGTTCGACGACAAGAAGCTGGGCTGGGTGTGCATCAGCGACGGATGGTGGGCCGAACACTCGGAAGCCTGGGACGGCCGCACCCGCAGTCGTGGCAGCGAGGCATCGATCCGTGATCCCGTGCGCGCGATCGAAGCCGAGATCAACACCATGTACGTGCGTCGCGTACACGGGGACAACCAGGTGGGCGCACAAGAGGAGTCGGACGACGACGAGTCGCCGCCGGTCGAGATGAGCGTGCCCGAGGACAAAAAGTCGGACTTTGTGATCGCCGTCACGTTGCGTCACCTGGAAGCACGGATGCTGGCAGCTACGATCCTCGACAGCGCCAACGAGTACAAGAATCATCTCTTCACGTACGCCAAGCGCATCGCAGAAGAAGGCATCAAGAACCAGGCGGAAGATCTCATCAAGTCGCTGATCGGGCCGATCTACTACAAGCCTGAGAAGGACCAGGATGCTGCGTGGCAACCAACGATCCTTGGATATGACAAGCGTCAGCTTTGCAGTCAGGTGCTGCAAATCATGGCGAGGCCGCGCAACCTCACGTCGCTCGTGCAACCCTACCAGGAGATTCTGTCCAACATGAGAACCTGAACCCAAGCAATGTGGTGAATAGACAGCCTCGAGCGTCCATCTGCCATGTTGACGCCGACCTATGTCTGCAACACGGTAGAACAGCCCGTCGCTCCTATGCGACCTACTTTCGTTGGCAACCTGTATTTGTACTTCCTACTAGCACATTCCAACTCGACGGACATTGAGTTACAGTATGCACATCATTTTGTTCTCGAAGACATTGTCAGCCTTTGTCTATGAAGCCTGAGAATGGAGGCAGGAGCCTGCTGACAGATGTCGTTCAGCGAGAAAACCCTGCAAGTGTTACATCTGCTCGGAAGGCACATCCGAGACGTGTGGCAAAAAGATGGGTGCCCGTTCAGCAGTGACTCGACCGCGATGGCGCACGGATTGGAAGAAGTCTCGAAAGGGCTGCTTTTGCGCTCTGTGAAGTCTAAATTGTTGTGGCAAATCAAACTGCGAGTCCCTCGCTTGCGTACTGATAAGATTTCCACATCTGATCTTCCGATCTTTCCACCACCGAACCATCAGCCTCATCGAATCCGCTACTGTCGCCCTCAATGTCGGTCGCATCTTCCTCGTCATCGCAAAAGCTCAAAGTCGGCCTGCTCGGTGCTACGGGCACGGTGGGTCAACGCTTCATCCTGCAGCTCGCTGCTCATCCGCAGTTCGAGCTTGCTGCGCTAGGCGCATCGTCCTCTTCGGCGGGCAAGCCGTACATCCAAGCAGTTCAGGGGAGGTGGAAGCAGATCCGCCGAGTTCCGGACAATGTGGCGCAGATGCCCGTATACGAATGCAAGCCGGAGCACTTTGCAGAATGCCAAGTGGTTTTCTCTGGTCTCGACTCCGGACCTGCTGGACCTGTGGAGGATGCCTTCCGGAAAGCCGAGTTGAGGGTATTCTCCAACGCGAAAAACTATCGCACCGATCCGTTGTGCCCATTGGTGGTTCCTCTGGTCAATCCGGAACATATGCAGATCTTGCCATATCAACGACAGCAGGTGGGAACTAAGAAGGGATTCATCGTCACCAATGCGAACTGCTCCACCACCGGTATCGTTGTACCCTTGAAGGCGCTGGAAGCCAAGTTCGGACCGCTGGACAAGATTCTGGTCAACACGATGCAGGCTATCTCCGGTGCAGGCTACCCCGGTGTGTCTTCGCTCGACATCTTGGACAACGTCGTACCGTTCATCAGCGGCGAAGAGGAAAAGATCGAGTGGGAGACGGCCAAGATCTTGGGTGGCATCAAGTCGGACAAGACTGCATTCGACTATCACGAAGAGCACCCGCTCAAGGTCTCTGCTCACTGCAACCGTGTCCCTGTCATCGACGGTCACATGGAGTGCGTCTCGGTCTCGTTCAAGAACCGACCCGCACCGTCTGTAGAGCAAGTCAAAAAGTGTCTGGAAGAGTTCACCACGGAAGCGCAAAAGATCGGTGTCCACTCGGCGCCCAAACAGGCCATCACGGTGCACGAGGAGCAGGATCGCCCACAACCACGTCTGGACCGTGACTGGCAGAACGGCGCTGGTGTCAACGTGGGAAGGGTGCGCGAATGCCCCGTCTTTGACATCAAGTTTGTGGTGCTCTCCAACAACGTCATGATCGGCGCCGCCACGAGCTCGGTGATGAACGCAGAGATCGCCCTCGCCAAGGGATTCCTCTCGTGATCGTCGCAAATCACATTCAAGAGTACGCAATACATTAAACGACTCGACAAACCAGCGTCGTGTACAAACAAGCAGTTTTACATAGTCTTGACCTCACCGCCGGGCTCGACGTATTCAATGTGCTCGTGCTTTCCGCCGGCGCTTGCAGTAGTCAGCTCGTGCGCAACATTGTCCGGAATTGTAGCGGCGAAACCCTTCACGATCGAATCAAAGGTCTGCGTGATCGTTCCACCGGCTCTCTGCAGCTTGGATTTGTACTCGTCGATGGCGGATTGAGGTGTGCCATCCTTGAAGATGACAATGTAGGGCCTGAGCTCCGCCATTTTAGCGGTGATATAGATTTAGTGTTCGTGAGTCTGTGATTGTGGTTGTGTTGCTGCACAGCCTGAGCAGGCACTGAACGATCGCATGCAACGCGATGGTCACCAACAAGGAGATGGATGTGAACAAGGGATTAAAAAATAAAGGTAAAAACAGTAGCTTCTGTCGGTTTCGATCCGACGACCTTTGGGTATCACCACCTTGCGGTGGAAAGGTTGTTTTTCATAGCAATGTATGAGCCCAACGCGCTACCTACTGCGCTAAGAAGCTGCTTCGTGAGATTAACTGCACGTTATTGAATATATAACTACAAACAAGATGGAACTGCATCTCACAGGCGCGTTTGACTGCTGCAAACTTGCGAGACCGAGACGCGTCAAGCTTGCGGCTCATGTTGGAATTTCAAAAGCTAGAAGCGAAGACAATCATTGAAAGTGCGTGCGTGCATGCGTGCTTGTGCGGGTCCGGGTGACGAAGAGGCGCAGGTGAGGCTTGAGTGTGTCACTGAATCTGATGTTTCTTCTCGATCCCATCCTCATCTTCGACCAAGAACGTCATCAAACAGCAGCGATCGTCGCTCGGTCGATATCTACGCTGGTTTTCATCACACATATACGTCTCGACATCCCACATCCACGGTTTCTGCTCGGCTTCCCGACCATAGTAACAAACACACACACGCACACACACAATGTCAACTCGAGCTTCGGCCAAGGTGCTGTCGGATTCGCCGCGCTCATCACCGCCCCCTATCGGGCCTTCGTCCGAGGCGAACGGTACCGCACACAAGACGGTGACGCGCCGACGCTCCTCTTCGCTGCAAAAGGGCCAAGCTGTGCTGCGTGCATTGTCCAGAGCTGAATCGGACTATGACCGAGACGAGCTAGACAGGAGCTCGGCTTTGCAGACGCAGAGTTCTTCAACTGCAGCGTCCGCCATCGCCGAGGAATCCGCATCGGGCGCCAACCTCAACGGATCCGTCGTCGGCGATACCGCTGTTCGCCGTCGTTCAAAAGCTACAAAGACATCATCCTCACCCAAATCAGCGCGTCCCAACGCCAATGGACACGTGGCTCCTGCAAGCAGCAAGAGCTGGGAGATCCCTCGCAAGATCTTCCACAGCTCTATGGGTCTTCTCGTCCTCCAACTTTACTTCTCCGACCAGGACTACACCACCGTCGTCCGCAGACTTTCCATCTTCCTCGGCATCGTCGTTACAGCCGACGTCGTTCGCCTCAACAATGCCAGATTCGAAAAGATCTACGAGCGCGTGCTGGGTTTCCTGATGCGCGAATCCGAAAAGGACAAGGTCAACGGCGTCGTGTGGTACCTGATCGGTGTCATCACCTCGTTGCACTTCTTCCCGGAGGACATTGCGTGCGTTTCGGTCATGATCCTCTCGTGGTGCGATACAGCCGCCTCGACGTTTGGAAGGCTGTTTGGACGATACACGCCTGCGCTGCCTAGTCCGCCATTTGCAAGACGCAAGTCGACGGCTGGATTCATCGCTGCCATCGTCAGCGGTGCATTGACCTCGTACCTGTTCTGGGGCACCTCGATCGCTTCTAGCAATGTGCGACCCAACGGTATCTCGTGGTCCGGCTCTGGTTACGCGCACCCGGCCATCTTTGGCACGGATCGCGTCGCCGGTGCCACAGGTACCGGATGGCAAGGCCTTTCCATCGGCTTGCGAGGCCAGAGCGGTACCGGTCTTCTTCCGGGCGCCTCAGGCTTGTCGGCACAATACCTGGGTGCCGACAGCATCGCCAAGGGAAAGCTCGGAACCGACGCGCTGCCCATCCACAAGGATGTCCCCGGTATGCCAATCTGGCTGCTCACGATAGGTTCGGGTGTCGTGGCTGCCGTAGCAGAGGGTCTCGAGCTAGGCGGTGTCGACGACAACCTTTCGTTGCCCATCCTCTCGGCCACGGGTATCTGGGCCATGTTTTACTCGTGGGGAAGGCTGGCCGGTGCTTGGCAGAGGTGGTTCGCATAGACGATCTCAATCGCGGTGGAAAAGCAAATACGTAGACACAAATGGCAATGCAGCACACGATTTTGTCTCACGGCAGAACAATGATAGATGACTCTTGGACGCTGCAGCCACTGCGCCTCAGTGACCAGCAATGACGGGTCTTGTAAGTAATACAAACGTACAATTGTAGCAGATGATACCCCACGATGGACTTTCTCCGGAACCGCAGGATATGGCCGTGAAGCTGAAGCCTAAGAATCGAGCTTGTTCTTGACCTTGTTTAGCAGCTTAGATATGGATCCGCCAGACCCGAATCCAGACCCGGATCCAGACTCGATTGCGGAGGCGGGGACGCTAGGCTGGTTACCGAAATGGTGCATGTCGTCTTCTTGTTCAGCACCGAGGCGCAGCCTCTTTCCGCAGTTGGGTCTGGAGGGGAGGTGCGGAGTGCCGTCCTGAGCGAAGCAGAGTCTCTGGATGCACGTCCTTCTGTTTCCTTCCTCCCTCTCCAACGCGTGGAACACGATGAAGTACTCGTCCTCGACTCCCTTGACAACTGCAGCGCCGCCTGGACCCATAACGCTTCTCGCTTTGTCCGTTTCCAATAACGGTCGATTGGGACACTCGTACGGACCGAACAGACCGTTGTGAGAGATGGCGTACGAGGTGGCGTACGATCCGTTGGTGAAGGTGCCCGAGGAGAAGAAGAGGATGTACGCGTTGCTGGGTGGATGGTGGAATAGGTAAGGGGCTTCGAGCAGACCGTTCTGATAGGCGTGTTTTGGACCTTGCAAAGGGTGCATATCTCCGACGAGCGAGAGGCCGTCGGGAGCGAGCTCGGAGAGCCAGAGCTGTGGGTGTTTGGTGTACATGCTGTCCCAATCTGACTTGTAGACGAGATAGCGTTTGCCGCTAGCCGGATCCTCGAATGGTTGCGGGTCGAGGGTGCCTCCTGTCTGGCCACGTGAGATGAGCGGTCGATCGGTGATCCACCGGTAGGGACCACGCGGATCGTTGTCCGAGTAAGCGACGCCGATGCACTGTTTCTTGTAGATCGAGTCTTGGCACGAGACGTACATCAAGTAGCCACCTCGACCTTGAGGTGCTTCGATCACCTCAGGTGCCCAAAGGAAGCCTGGCACACCGGCTTGATAGGGTGGCAGTGGACCGGGAAGACAATCGTGCTCGTGATGAGTCCAGGAGCAGAAATCCTTGGTGAAAGAGCATTGGATGTTCTTGCCATTGCCGTTGGTGCCAAAGGCGTACCAAGTCTGGCTGGCACGGTCGTAGAAGACGCCCGGATCGGCAAAGTCGTGCGAAATCACTGCAGCAAGACTGGGTGTTCAGAACGCGTTCGGCATCTCGGTCGATCATGTGATTGTGTGGGCCATATTTGCTCACCTGGATTACAATAGCCTAGATGGGGATGAGCCGGCATCGTCAAAGATGTCTCTTGTGTCGTCTACAGTGTACAGTTGTGTGGCGGACAGATCGTGGAAGGGGAGGAAGAGAGTGAACTTCAGAGGACCAAGAAGTTCGTCACCTATGCCAGGAGCCCACGGGACGTGCCGGCGGCAAGTCGAGCAAGTCGATGACTGCACGAAGCTGGGCTGTACAGTCACATACCACTACATCGTTCAACGTGCGCACAGCCTGGAGTACCAAACAGCATGAATCTCGGATCGAGGACCAAAATGACCTCAACCTACTTGTCGCTCGTCATGGGCATCGAGAGAGGGCTGTGCAGCCGCGTAGCTCGCTCTGCTTGACATCTCGGCAACCATCGTCGAGATATGAAATTGTGGAGGCAAAATGTGACCTATTCTCATTGTCAGAAAAATAGAACTCTAACATGATTTTGCTTCCACAATGACAAAGCGATGGATAAGCAGAGTCGATATCTTCCCTTTTGCTCTAATTGCTCTAATTGAGCGTGAAAAGACGGTGGCCGAGCTGCTGTGCCTTACGCTAAGCCTGTTACTGCCGGCTGCTTTCACGCATCTGCGCTATCGTGTAGGTGACAATTTCGTAGCCTTGTCCAGGCCTGAGACGTACGAACATGTCCACTTGGATGCTCTCGAAGGGTTTCGTCGTCGTCTACATCACTGCCGCAAGAAGCTTAAAAAATGATTCATCGTTCTCGCTCAGCTTTTTTCCAGAATGATAAACGTGTGCGTTCAAGAAACTGCAGTGGGCGGTGGACCTTGCCAACGATGGCGCTAGCGGAACGAAGATCCAAACAGGACCTGAAGGAACGCTTGTGCGATCTGCGCATGTTCGATGCACGATGATCCGTAAGGTGGTTGGTTGCGTTGGATGCGGAGAAGGGTCGAGACTTTTGTATTTTCCGATTGAGCTCTTTTGTAATTACATCCTTTGCTTCATTTCAAAAATACTGGCATCGCTGCTCGAAATCGATGCCCGATGACCGGATTAGGCAAAGCTGCAAAGCAGGCAAGCAGCTAGGCAAGCAATCACACGCCGAATCCACAGCAGACAGTGGGCTTTCAACATTCATTTTGGCCAACCTCTCTCGCTTGACAAGCGGCTTTCTCTCCACTCTATCCAAACTTAGTCCACCCGAACATTTTCTCCTCCAAGGCAAGTGACGGCTACCCCGCACAGCTAGGCTGTCGACTGAGCCAATCGCATTCTGTGATTGCCTGCCCTCTGATTCAACTGAAACCGGTTGCTTGCGCCCTGCTTCTATCGCCGCTCCACCGCTAGTCCGTTCCCGGTCGTGATAATTGAGCAACAACGTTGCAGTTCGCTTTCAACCTGTGACCTTTGCATCCACCGCTTTCCCTCCCTCCACGACCATCTCATCCTCGTTTGGCTGCGTCAACGTCATACACACCTGACATTATCACCCCTTGCTGGACAACATTCCGACTCCACAACACCTTCCCTGTCTTGTTCAAGTCGGTCTTCTCGCAACCTATCGAGACAAACTAGCCCACCATGTCGTCTTGGACCGACAGCCTGACCATGGACACCATGGCAAAGGAGAGGGCAAACCCTCCCTTTGACGTTCGCAAGGTAGGTACTTTGCTTTGTAGCCGCTGTGCTCTCAACTCTCGCATCTCACTGTTCCGGTAATGCTGACCTTGCTCGCTCCCTTGCTTTTTCCTCCTGCTGCTGCGACAGATGTCCATCGAACACCACGGCAGCGAGAGCGATCTGGTCAAGAAGGAAAAGTTCATGCTCGAGGCCAGTCGCGACCCCGTCTTCTATTCAGGCGACATTTACGATCTCACCAAGGATCAGATCCGTGAGCGCACCATGCAGCGCATCCAGCGCCTCGCACACTACGTCACCAGCGAGTCCGTCGACGACTTCCAGAAGCGTATGGAGCTCATGTCCATGCTCGATCCCGGTCTCTGGACCCGTCTTGGTGTCCACTACGGTCTTTTCCTCGGTGCCATCCGATCCGGTGCAACCCCCAATCAGTTCTCCTACTGGATGGAGAAGGGTGTCATCGCTTGCCAGGGCATGTTCGGATGCTTCGGCATGACCGAGCTCGCCCACGGCTCCAACGTCGCAGGTCTTGAGACCACCGCCCACTTCGACGGCCAGTCCGACGAGTTCGTTATCCATACCCCCAACCTCGGCGCCACAAAGTGGTGGATCGGCGGTGCAGCCCAGACCGCCACCCACTGCTCCGTCTTTGCTCAGCTGATCGTCAAGGGCAAGCGATACGGCACAAAGACCTTCATCGTGCCCCTCCGCGACCCCAAGAGCTTCCAGCTGCTCCCCGGCATCAACATTGGCGACATCGGCATGAAGATGGGTCGCGACGGCATCGACAACGGCTACATCCAGTTCACCAACGTTCGCATTCCACGCGCATACATGCTCATGAAGCACACCCAGGTCACCCGCGAAGGGGAGGTGCGCGAGCCTCCTCTCCAGCAGCTCACCTACGGCGCGCTCCTCCAAGGCCGAACCGCCATGGTTTCGGATGCAGCCAACACCGCCAAAAAGGCGCTCACCATCTCGGTCCGATACGCCGCTGCACGACGACAGTTCAAGTCGGACGCAAAGGCCCAGCTCGAGACGCAGATCATCGACTATCCCATCCATCAGCGTCGCCTCATGCCCCTCGTGGCTCAGGCCGTCGCCTTTGGCTACACCTCGCTCGAGCTTCAGCGTCTGTTCGAGGAGACTTCACAGGCGCTCGAGAGCCTCGAGCCCGGTGACCCCAACCTCGATGCCACCATCGAGAAGCTCAAGGAGACCCACTCCACCAGCGCCGGTCTCAAGGCCTTCTGCACCTGGGCCACTCTGGAGACCATTGACCGCTCCCGACAGGCGTGTGGTGGTCACGGCTACTCGAGCTACAACGGTTTCGCGAACATGTATGCGGATTTCGCAGTGCACTGCACATGGGAAGGTGACAACACGATCTTGGCCTTGCAGTCCGGTCGATTCCTCATCTCTGCATTCCAGGATGCTCTGGACGGCAAGAAGCAGGTCAGCCAAGGTACCATGTACATGAACAACCTCGACAAGGTCTTGTCCGCCAAGTGCGAGTCCAACGAAGCGCTCGACATCCTCGACGGCATCGATCGCGGTTGGGCCACCGTCGCCGCCCACGCCGTCAAAAAGGCCTCCGAAGACTACCAGGCGTGCCTCAAGGCCGGTCGCAGCAGAGAGCAGGCGTTCGAAGACTGCTCGCAGGTGCGCTTCGTTGCTGCCAGCGTCCACACCAGCGGCTACATCTTCCGCCAATTCCGATCGGCCGTCGAGCGTGTCGAGAAGAGCGATGACGGAGTGCGTGAGCACCTCGAACTGTTGGCCAAATTCTACGGCCTCTGGCAGATGGAGGAGAAGGCTGCCTTCTTCCTCCGCAGTGGCTGGCTGACACCGGAGCAGCTTGACTACGCCTCGGCTAGGGTCACCGAGTACTGCGCCAAGACGCGCACCTTTGCCATCCCCCTCATCGACTCGTTCGCCATCTCGGACCACGTGCTCAACTCGCCCATCGGAAGGTACGACGGTGACATCTACCGCGAGTACTTCCGCATGGTCCGCCGCAACAACCCCCAGCTGAAGGAGCACCCATACTTTGAGCGTCTCATTCGACCTTTCATCGAGCGACAGCTACCTGACGTCGAAGACTTCGACGAAGCCATCGGCATCGATGACGAGATCGAGGAGATCAAGCAGGACCGCGAGGAGGCTGAAGCTGAGGCCAAGGCACAGGCTGCTGAGAAGAAGGAGTAGATGCACCTCCTTCGAGTCGTCCTGCCCGTTGCTCTCGCCTCGACCTCCACACGCACATAAAGCATACATGCCTTCGTCAAATTGTCTTCTGTTTCTCATGCTCTCGTTGTAATTGGATACCGGATATGATCATGATTGCCTTGTTTGCCAGTGTCCGAAGTGTGGTGCCGCAAAACTGGATCTGGCCTCAGGAAACCATCGCGTATTGCGTCTCTGTTTTTCCCTCCATATTGTTAGGTCTTGCTGCTCGCTGAATTTTATCGTGCGTGTCGGTCGACTTCATCGAACCCCGCCCGCGCCCATTGTTTCCACGCTGGAAGATTGCCGGCCATTTCTCAGCTCTATCTGCCACCTCCCTCGTGTGACCCATTGGACATCCCGACCACCACTGTTGTTTTTCCGCGACCGATCGCATCGTCCTCACGGCAGGTCCCTACGGAGAAGATGGGCAAAAACGGCATCTTCGGCCAGTTGAGAGGCATCGATGCCTTCTCAAAGGTAGGTGCGCTGGTCCGTAGATTCGTGCTTCGGGGCAAAGGAGCTGACAGTTGACCCATCTTCCTGTTCACAGACCATGGATGATGTGCGCATCCGAACCAACGCGGGTGCGCTCATCACGCTCATTTCGGCGCTCCTGATCGTGGTGCTCACTATCGGCGAGTTTGTCGACTACCGCACGGTTCACCTCAAGCCGGCGTTGGAAGTGGATCGATCTCGAGGCGAAAAGCTGACGGTCAACATGAACATCACCTTCCCACGTGTACCCTGCTACCTGCTCTCGCTGGATGTGATGGACATCTCGGGTGAGCACGTCAACGATATCCAGCACGACATCGAGAGGACACGCATCAGCCACGACGGCAGGGTGGTTGAGCAGGGCAAAAAGTCGCTAAAGGGTGAGGCAGCCCGCATCGCCAATACCAGGGGCAAAGATTACTGCGGCGACTGCTACGGTGGTCAACCACCTGCAAGCGGATGCTGCAACACGTGCGACGAGGTGCGTGAAGCTTATGTGAGGAAAGGCTGGAGTTTCGCCGATCCGGACCACGTCGATCAGTGCGTCGCCGAAGGCTGGTCCGAAAAGATCAAGGAGCAGAATCAGGAGGGGTGCCGCATCTCGGGCAAGCTGCACGTCAACAAGGTGGTCGGTAGCTTCCACCTGTCTCCAGGCAAGGCGTTCCAGCGCAACAGCATGCACGTTCACGACCTCGTCCCTTACCTCTCCGGCACCGGCGCAGAGCACCACGACTTTGGACACATCATCCACGAGTTCAGCTTTGGCTCCGAACAGGAGTACCACGGCCTGACCACCGCCAAAGAGCGTGCCGTCAAGAACAAGCTGGGCGTCAAGGATCCACTGGAAGGGGTACGTGCCCACACATCGCAGACTCAGTTCATGTTCCAGTACTTTGTCAAGGTCGTCTCGACCGAGTTCCGACCGCTGTCAGGCGAGACGCTCAAGACGCAGCAGTACTCGGTCACGACCTACGAACGCGACCTGTCGCCCGGAGCCAACGCCGCCGCGCTCGCAGGAATGTCGAACGAAGGATCCGGAGCACAAATCTCGCATGGCTTCGCCGGCGTACCAGGCGTGTTTTTCAATTACGAGATCTCTCCGCTCAAAACGATTCACTCGGAGTACCGACAGTCGCTCTCGCACTTCTTGACGTCGACCTGCGCCATCGTGGGTGGTATCTTGACGGTCGCTGGCATTTTGGACAGCCTGGTTTACAACTCGAGAAGAAGGCTCGGCATGAGGGATGGCAACGATCACGACGCAAGGGAGGGGCTGGGATACACCAGCAAGACGGGCAAATTCCTGTGAGGCTCGAGCCTGGATATGGCATCTGCTCTGTCCACGGGTTGTGGTTGTCAACTGAGTTCAAATGCACCTCTTTTCCTTGAAAGCATGCTGTGTTTCCGAGTGTGAAGGCATCTGCTGAGCAACCACTTCTTAGCGCCATCTCATTGCTGCATCTCATCGAAGTCAGGTGCGTGAAGCAAGCCGAAGCACGAGCCCGTCGCTGCTTTCATATCCTTCACGCCCGTTCGAATCGATGCAACACGACACCATTCGGGCCCTACGAAGTCGCCCGGACGAGTTTGTTTGACCTGCCGTGCCGATCCGATCGAGAACGCAAGGGTCTTGTCGGATGCGATGCCGTCTCGCCTGCGAGAGCGAGTTGAAGAGGCGAGATTCGCTGGTTCCTAGAGCAGGCCACCTGCCGAAATTTCCCAGTTGCACGTCAAGTCCGAGGCCGGGTGCAAGAAGACTGACTGATGCGTGTCCCTGTCTCGGATTTGTCAAAAAGTAGCACAGACGCCAGAGGGGGAGCTGCAGAAGCACCTACAGCCAGAGAGGGAGAGAGAATTGGGCGAAAGTGAGACGCGACTCGAGTCGCGTTCCCTTTGCGCTGCTGCACTTCGGCCTTTTTCTTCTTGTACGCTTCTTTGAACGTGAACTGTCACTTCGGTAAGCGAGAAAGCTCAAAAAATCAAATAGATGGGGAGGCGTGTGCTCTGCAGCATGAGGAGAGAGGGGCTCAGCCGTCATTTACCAAGATTGCTTGAATCGTCACATTGTGCATCGGCTGGACCGTTTGAAGCAGACACGAACGCGGACCACCCGATTGCGACGAGGTCTTCCGAACGACCAACTACATCACGAGCGGTACCGGCATCGCTGCTCCACGGTGTCATTATCGAGCTGCTCGCTTGCAACCGACACACAGCACAGAGCTTGATCGCATCGACTCCTACCCTGCTCGAAACCATCACCGCCATCATCGGCCCATCCGTTAGCGGCCTCTTCTCGACAGCTGATCCAGCATTGCTCGGTCATCCGACCCATTTTGTCTTCCTTTCCACAGGTCACGTCCCGCCGCCCTTTCATCTGAAGCAAGCTCGCTGCATCCGCGGCAGACGCACCCATCCCCGGCAAACGGTCCAGTGCCTCGCTGCGCCACACGCACCTCGACATCGCCTGACTCGACCACGATCACATCAGACTCGATGCTGCTCTAGACCACTCACCATCCGACTGTCTAGTCCACCAGCCGCATCAGCTCGTCGTCGCGTGCCTGTCTGCGTGCCTGCTCCTATTGCAGCACAGCCGTCCATGTTGGACGCGGCCAGGAGCATGGCGCGCCTTCCTTTCGCTTCCGACAGATGGGCCGACGCTCCCGCTCAGCTCGTCTCGTCTCGTCTCGAGCAAGGCGCCCGTAGCGGCTCAACGCCATCCAGCAGCATCGACTCCACCAACTCGTCATCACGCTGGCCAGAGAGCTCGCTTCGCGCGCTGCCGGACTCGTCATCCACCAGCCATCGTCCAGGTCCGCGCCTCGAACGGGCCGAGAGCTTCATGAGCACCGCTTCCGCCTCATCCAGCATCTCCACGGCAGCGACCATCGCGAAAGCGAGCACAGCCACCATCCGCAAACTACAACGCAGCGACGACGCATCTGCCAAGACCATCCGCTTTGCGAAACACAGGAAGGATCCCGATTCGATCACTCCTTCGTCTTCCGCAGACCGCATGAGCTCCCAGAGCACCGATGGCGCCGATGATAGATCTTCTCCCATCTTTCCTGGCGACCAATCGCAAAGCACCGTCACCACCTCGTTCGACACCACAGTTCGCACTCCCTCCGACTCCCAGCCCCACCGTAGCGCAAACAAGTCTGATCACGAATACGATCCTGCATTACCCAATGGCATCACCCTCAATCTCGTCGAGCCTTCCTCCTTCTTCTCTGATTCCTTATCCGGCGACGACTCTAGCAGATCCATGTCCGCCGCCACATCCTCTCGGCTCACACCTCTTCATTCAGAAGCTTCAGGGTCAATCTCAGCTTCGCGTCGCGGTTCTGATCAGGCAAGCAGCGATGCGGGAGCAAACATGTCGCGCTCCTCCTCGTATCAGAGCGCCATATCCACGCTCGCACCCTCAACCGATTGGCTAGCCCATTCATCGCGCTCACAACGTCTTCACAGGCCTCCGTCGGCCAGCAGCAACAAGCCGGGACACGCTGCAAAGTTTGGTTTGGGCATCCAAACCCGAGGCTCTTCTCAGCCTGCTGATGCATCGATGGCCGCTTCCCGCTACCTGGCCGGGCCTTCGCTGGAGGTCGTACCCGAAGCACGCGAGTCGCCCTACATGGGCAGTCGCACCAGTCAGGCCGCCTCGACGCCAGATATGAACAATCCCTCCGGATTGAGCGTCTCCACCGCCCTTCCACCAAATCGCGAACCCCTTTGGGGCGAGAGCGCTTCTGCCATCTCGCCTGGCTCTGGCGGACGGAGCGCAGGCGTTATGACCTCCTTCTCCTTTCCTTCGAACGGTCCTTCGTCTGCTGGTCTTGCCGACACGTCCAGAAAGTTGAGCCATCCTGGACCGTTGTCCGCCAAGTTCCCACGTTCTCCCGGCAGTGCTTTCCACTCGTCCAACCCCTTCGTCCAGTCTTTTTACCCTTACTCCTCCAGGGCCAGCGACGCAGGCCTCCTGCATGCCTCGAGCTGGTCTCACGCGCCGCCATCCTCTTACGCCGGCTCCATCATCAGCTCGAGCGGAGCTACATCGATGCTGGGTTATTCCAGCCTCAATCCCACCGATCGCGAGGGTATGCTCCATCAACTATTGCTCGACCAAGCACGTGTCGACTGTCAGGAGTATGGCACGTTGAGCTTGGAAGAGGTGGCCGAGGCGAAGCGCGACCTCAAGCACGTCGAACGCAAAGTCCAGAGTCTGCGCACCAAGCTCAAGGTCGAGATCAAGATCCGCGACGCCGCCGTCGCCCTCCGCAAAGCCCATCGTACCACAGCTGCGTCCGCTCATTCGCCCACCTCGTCGATCAATCTCGCCGTCTCGCCCACCTTGTCCACCTTTGCAAATTCCCACACGTCAGGTGGTACCCAACCTTCTAGCGCGCCTTCCTCCGCTTCCTCTTACGCTGCCCGCAGTCGCGCCTTCAGCATATCGACCGGCGAAGCCAAAGCCGACGAGGACGTCCACGTGGCCACTGCCAAGGTCGACAAGGTGGCTCATGAGCTCTTCAAATGGAACGAGCGCGCCAACACGCTCCGTCGCAAGCTTCTTGAGCATCAGGCAGCCACGCTCTCCGAGCGCGTCCAACATCTCGAATCCGACCGCCGCGTGACGGAGGAGAGCCTGCCTACTTTTCCAGCTTCCACCTCCTTCGAATCGCTCGCCCCATCGGCATCCGCTTCTGCTGTCGGTATCAACCGCTACCGCCGCCCCGAACATCGCTACCAGCCTTCCACAGACGAGCCCTACCACCCCACAGGAGCTAACGATCCTGTCCGTCACAATCGTCTTGAGTCCGACATAAGCGCCATCAGTGGCTTCAGCTTTCTCGACGCCGCCGCTCCCGACAAAGTGCGAAGACTTGCAGAGGAACTCGGAAGGAAGCGCGAGACGCTCTCCAAACTCGAAGCTGATCTCGAGTCAGCCCGAGAAGCAGCGCGCCGCAAGGACGAGATCTCGAATCGTCTCACCCAACAGCTCGAGGAGCAGTCGCGCGAGCGAAACCGCACTCTTGAAGAGCTCCGCACAATGACAGAGCAAGTCTCTCGTCAAGAAGAGGCTGCGCGACAAAGGCAAACCCAAGCCGTCAGCGACGCCATAGCCGATGTTGAGCAAAAGATGCAAAGGCAGCTCGAACAGAGCCGCAGCCGCGATCACGAGAGGGACGACGCTTTGGTCAATTCCAAGGCCGAAGTCATGGCCGGCAAGCGTGCCATGACCGACTTGCAATCACGTTTTGACGCTGCACAGAATGAGCTGAAAGCATTGCAGCTACGTGCGGAAGCTGCAGACAAGGCATCGCAGGACCACAGACGTACTTTGGACGAGATGCAAGGCGAATCGACGCGTCAGCTGACACGAGATACGGAAGCCTTGGCGTCGGTTCAGGCGCAACTCATAACGTTCAAATCGGCTCACGACAGAGCCAGCGCGCTGGCTGCCGACCGTGCCCAGGCGATCGCTCAGCTCGAAAAGGACCTCAAGCAGGCCCAAGATGCATTCGGCGACGAAAAGGCCAGGCTTCTCGCAGACCACTCTTCGGCGATCGGTGTGCACCAGAAGCAGCTCGAACAAGCACGCAGCGACCTCAGCTCAAAAGCACAAAGGTGCGCCGATGTCGAAAAGCAGGTGGCTGCAGCTCAGGAGCGCATCGTCGAGTCGGAGGCTCGCGCAGAGCAGGCTGACAGCAAGCTGCGGGAGCTCGAGCTCGCTGTAGGCGCGGAGCGACGCATTATGGCCGAACGCGACGAGCTCTTCCACGCCTTTGAACGTCGTCTGGAGACGGCAGAGAAGCGTCTGCAGGAACAGGACAAGCGATGCGCCAGAATGCTCGGCAAGCTCGAGGGGCGCGAGGAGATGGACGACCTGCTCGAGCGCATCAAGGCTGGTGCCGCCGGCGTCGCGAAGAAGAGCAAGACAGCAGGTCAGGACATCGCAGCCTTGCTGTCCAGCCTCGAGACGCACATTGGTGATCTCGAGCTCGAGCTTGTGCGCGCCAACGAGCAGGTTTCTGCGTCACCGCGTGGCAGTGTGGCAGCCTCTGACTCGTCTGCGTCGAAGCAGCAGCAAGAACAGCTTCAGGCCGGCAATCAAGAGGCTCAACGATGGAAGGAAGAAGTTCAACGTCTCAATGATGCGCTCCAAGCAGAGAAGTCCAGAGCGGCGGAGGCTCCGCCACAGGATCGCAAGCAAGCACAGGAGCTCCAGGCCCGAATCGATTCGCTCACCGAGCAGAACGAAGTCATCAGAGCTGCAGGTGAGCAACGTGCGTTGCAGCTCGAGAAGGAGGTGCAAGGTCTTATGCAGAAGAACGAGGACTCGGATCGCCAGAGCAAGGGGCTCGTCGCTCAACTTCGAGGCAAGATCGAGCAACTGGAGGAACGACACGCTGATCTCGAGAAGAAAAGTCGAAATGCGTCCAGCCCAGCATCTCCAGCCAACTCGATCGATGCATTGCCGCCACGGGCGAGCAAGGCTGCTTCGCCGCTGGGTGCAAAGTTCGCCTCCAATAACAAAGGTGTCGGCAATCTCATCGACAGATTCGGCGGTGGACATAGAGTTGCTTCGGAGTCTCGCGCCGACGACTCTCCCACCATGTTGCACGCGTGCATTCGGTCTGCCGAGAACCTTCGTGCAATGCTGCCAGATATTTCGGCTGCCGCAAAAGGTTCTGCAGATCTACATGCGTTGCGCGACGCTTTCCAGGCAGCCAATTCTCAATCAACCAGCCCCACAGCTGTGAAATCGCCGACATCGGTGCGGTCGACGCTCGGTAGTGCCGATCTACAAGCTGAGCTTGACGCGACGGCGGAGCGTTTACGAAGCACGTTGGCGATCAGCCGCGCAGTGATCGATATGGCGTTGGAGGCAGAAGCAGACAAGGAGAATTGCGGTCCTTACGTGCGAAAAGAAGAGCAGAAAGCCACAAAAGACACGCAGGCAGAAGCGCTGGCGTCACAGCAGGCGCTTGCCACGAGGATCACCTCCTTGACTGCCAAGGTCAAAGAGCAGGCAGATCGCGAGAAGCGGCTCGAGGCGGAAGTGACTGAGCTACGCCAGCAGCTGGAGGAAGCGAATGCAGCTGAACGTGCGCCGTCGTCGCCATCCGGTTTGACGCTGGAAGGCGGATCGATATTGGGCCTCTCTACATCGCCTGCGCGCGTGCCCGACATCAACTCCTTGGGCTTATCGAGAAGTCTCGGCCGCACCAGCTCGAACAAATCGATGCGAACGGTGATGGGCGATAAGCCGAGCCCCAAAATGTTCAACGCTTACCTTCCAGGTGGAGCCACGTTGGCCCCGCCGCGATCACCGGCTGCCATGGACGCGATGCCGTCGCCAACGCGATCCAACACGAGCCTGAATGCGTCGCCATCGATTCGATACATTTCGCCTTTTGCGCCTCCGTCTTTTGACAATCGCACGCATCAGAGACAGGCGATAGAGTCACGAGCCGTAGGTCCAGGAAACAGCACGAATAACACTTCGTTCTCGGACATTTCGAGGGCGGTTGGGATGTCGGACTCTGTATCTTTGCGATCGGTCAGCAGCCCTAGCTCGACGCACCTGGGTCTGCCGAGCTCGGCTGTCAGCCTCGCGGAAACGTCGTTATCATCTGTATCGATCGACCACAGGATTCCAGATTCGAAATGTTCGAACAAGCCGGTCAAGCGAACCATCACGCTCGGAATGGACGTTCCGCAGCTCGTTTCGCGGGTTCGCGAGCTGGAGCGACAGCTCTCGCAGACAGCTTCGATACGCCAGCGCGCTGAGCGGGTGTCGGAGCTGGAGATCGAGGTGCGGAAAGCGAACTTGGCCTACTCGAAGCTGCTCGATCGAATGGAAGCCGAGCGCGATGTCGGGACGCACCAGAAGGTCGAGATGCTCAACGAGCTCAACGATGCCCAGGCCAAGCTGCAGACGACCCAGGCTCAGATGATGCACCGTGCTCAAGCGCAGTCTCCCCTCCTCTCGCCCCTTGTCTCGACAAAGCCCCTGCCTCCTCCCAAGGACTAGCATGGGAGGATCTCATCCCAATCGTCGGTGCGGCTGCCGAACCGGGACGGGCGCTATTGTTGGTCCCGAGCGTCGCCTATAGATTTTTGAAATGCCGCTTATCTGTCTACATACATTACTATCTGCCTCGCACACTTTTCAATCTGTAGACGTTGACTATGCCAGTGTCGACGACGTGGGCAATTTACACATCATAGATCAAGTGACTCTAACCCGGAAGCTCTGCGACGTGGCTCGATCTCGATGAGTCGCACGTTTGAGCGTGTCACATCGCCTGATCTTTCAGCTCTCGACAAGCGAAGCAGGCTTGGCCGTAACTTCGACACAGCAATCGATTTTTGAGAATATCAACACGAAATAGGAAGGCCAGAATAAAAGGGCGCCAAAAAGTCCAAGTGCTTGAAATGTTGAAATCGGGACCCTGTTAGGAGAACGTTCTAACAACGATTTTGAATACACGCTTTGACGAGCGCCAAGAACAATGGCCGCGCGAACCCAGGTTCTGGGATTCACACGCGGGAACCTTCGAAATCATTTCGTATTTGTTTGCTGTTTCGCCGTCGGATGTCGTTTGGCCTGCAGAATAAGAGGATTCTGTTCGGTTCGCCCAGCTTGATCGTCTAAGACCTGCACGCCCAACAAACCTTGCTACGGTTCCGTGAAATTTCCTTGCGCTGACGAAGAAGCACATGCCGCGGATGCTCCCTTTGGCAGCTCATGGACCTTTCATGCCGGGCGCGGAGAAGTTGAAGCCCTGTACCAAGGACGAACAGAAGCGTCTGACAACGGCGCCTTTGTTGGATCTGCATGAGTGACGATACAGGCGCGACGCAACCACTAGAGGGGCAAAGTCCGTCCCGACATTGGCGATTGAAGGAACGCCAAGACTTCGACCAACTGGTGCGGCGGCGCAAACCAGGGGAACGACTGGCTGCCTGCGGAACAGTCGACTGCTGGGTTGCTGTTCCCGCGGGGTGGTTGAGACGTCGAGCGGGATTGCAGAAGCAACAGCCCGTGGGGTCAATGGCGGAGACCCCCGAAAGAGAGTGAGGCTGCAGTATATGCGCGCAATTCAGCCCTCACGCCTTAGAACTCGTGCTTGACCGGGTAAAGCGACATGGGGCGCGGTTCAGAATGTTCTGTAAAATTTAATATAAAACAGCGAACGTAAATCAATTGTTCATTATGACTGACGGGAAACTCAGCCATACCCATTTCTGCAGTGCACAGTACTGGTGTACTGCACCGTGCAGCGGATATTCAGTGCGCCGCGTCTCTTCCGTTTGCTCTGGAAATTCGACGATCTTTTTTTCGAATGTATCAAGGTTCTGTTGGCGATCCTATTGTCGCGTAGATCCTCGCCAAAAATTGGGTGCAGGTTATCGACAGGGATGCCCGGACCTGATGATGGCTGGTCCTTGTCGTCTAGCCACGATCCCGTGTGAACGGTCTCAGTCGCCCTTGGCACTATGAAGTCGACGATCGGAAGTCGGAAGTCTCGCAAGCGAGTCAAGCTCGCGCAAGCCGGGAACTTGTGCCAACCCAACCATGCTGTTCCCCGCCGCGCTATCTGCATCAGCTAGAATTGAAAGAGGGAGGGAGCGCTGATAGGCTTCAAACCTCGCGCTAGCAACCAGCCGAGTCGATCCGGCTCACCTCGCTCCGCACTAGACCGAGTGGGTGAAGGCTGCGATGAGCTCACATGCGATTACATCTTGTTTACCCTGCTAACCGCGTCGTACCTGGCAGGGTGCTAAAAAGCGGAACGACGGGATGCAACGAGAAATGCCATGTGGGCGTGGACGGGTGTGAGAAGCGTCCCTAAGTAGTCGAAGAGGTCTGCACGAGACAGACTGTTTGGTTCCTGAGCCGTCGGATTCCACGCCACACTAGGTCGCCCACGCAAAGTGCATCTCGCATCCGAAACCGAAAACAAGCCACGGGTCAGGGTCTTGACGGGATCATCGGAGTGAGGTTCCACACCGAGCTCGTGGCTCACGCCCACATAAGAGAACTCCGTGTTCTTAATAATGAAAGAATCGACCGAGGCAAAGTGCAAACAAGACTCGTCGGTCTCGAAAAACGCGGAAGCGAGCGTGAAACATACATCCTTCATTCCAGGTCCGAAAGTTGGTCGAGCTCAACGTAACGCGACGCGAATCCAAACTTTGTCAAACTTTGACAAACTTAGGTATTCTTTCTGGATGTCCACCCTTGATTTCCAGTCACAATTCATATTAATGACACGCGAGCTAGTAGGAGAAGAGATACTTTCAGGTTTGTGAAACTTTGAGCAAACTTTGAACAAAGTATCTAGACCCAGAATGGCGCTAACAGCTGAGTACGCTGAAGCTGCAGCTGCCACCCTTATACCACAAATGCGTTGGTGCAGAATTGCCGAACAGCTTCCTCAGCGTCTCAGGGTGCCGCCGCGACGGCGACGCGGTGAGCCACGGGCATGTCATGCGTCCCTCGTGGGAAGAGATCGTCCTATCACCGGAAAATCCTTTTCGAGCTCATACGCCAGTGTAGGTCAAATAGAGTTTGTTGCTAGTTCCACCGCCGTCGGTGCCCAACTCAGCAACTTGATATCCAGTTGGCAATCGCTGCCATGTGGTTACCTTCGGACTGCTATCTGAGCTCTCCGACTGCGCCAGCAATCCTGTGCGTCCGCGTTCGCAACATATTTTTTCCGCTGCAGGGCATGACGAAGCTTTCGGCCCGCGTTTCAGAATCCAAAGACGCAACTGAATACTTCTTGCATGGGTCGATTCGCTTCACTTGTCTTGAAATGCTGAATCTTCCCGTGTCTGCGCTTCATTCCTAATGGCATTCAGATCTGGGTATGTCAAGCAGAAGGAAGCTGGCGAAACAGAAGCGAGACTATTCCCGCTCGTGACTTGACGTCCCGACAGAACTTACCTCAGTCTCCCGTCCGTCGTGGGGAAAGACGATCTGACACCACGATTGCTCGATCAAGACAGACGTCGACAAACGCCGGCGTGGCTGGAGACCATGCCACGTGCGAATCAGGCCGCTATACGACCAGATAAGGAATCCGAGCATGGATCCTAATTGAGGGACTAGTGACAAACAACACATGAATGATGACCACTTCGCAGCAGGTTCCTCTTATCATCAGACCTCATCCTTATGGCGGGACGGATCCTCATTCAGAGTCCCACCCATTAGGTACCTGTGTTTCACACTCGAGACAACTGATTCGTCAAGATCCAGACGTGGTGCAGGGTTCCCGCTAAGTTTGGCGGGCGTGTCTCACCCAGAAGACAGGCATTCTGCTCTCAGACACGGAACCTCGTGGGCGAGTGAGACCCATGATGGAGAGGAAATTATGACTTGTCTTGGTGGAACAAGCAAAGTCGGAGTGCCACAAGGCGTTGGAGTATTAGTGAGACGTGAAACATGTTTGAGAAATCGTAGGCAAGGCTTCCAGCGCATTGCTGCAGTCGTCTGAGCCGACGACAGTGTGGAGTCCCTTGAACGGTCACACCAATGAAATTTACTTACGACTGACGACCGACGAGCTACACCACAGTCTTGTCGTCAATGGTACAGCACGGCCAACGCTTGGTACGAACAGGCAAGAATAGAACAACAGTCTAAGTATTCTAGAATAGATACACAATGGGCGGAACGAAGCAAGGAAAAGATTCTATCAGGACAGGTAGTCCAGCTGCGAAGGACGGACGAAGGGGAGCGTCGCGTTGAGCGTGTATAGGTTCAGGCGACTTGAGCCACCACATGCGATGGTCGAATTGCCGTTGCAGGGCTTGTTGCAGCCACGTCCGAGCGAGTTGGTTTGACCGGTGCTGGGAGCGATCTGAGCCGTGCTGGGGAGCTGCCAAGCACCGTAGCATTCGCCTCCGTATTCGACACCGCACAGAGTCAGGTTCTTGGCATTGCAAGCGCCCAAGCAGCCTTCCACCGTTGCATTGAGCGGCGTGAGTGTGACGTTCAGCACGCGGCTCTGCGTCGAGTCCACGTAGCAGTCGGCAAATCGCCACAGCGCCGCTTTGTTCACTGTGAAGAAGCTCTGCTTCCACTGCGTATCCTGAGCAATGTTGATTCGGTTCGATCCACCGCACATCTGCTTGCTGTCTCCACTGCATGCCATGTTGCAACCGGATTGACCTGAACCGGCAGTCGCAGCACCACCGTTGAGCAGGTTGTCACAGTAGCATTCGTTGGCGTACTCGACACCACTGTATCGGTATCCCTTGGACGAGCAGGTGAGCGAACAGCCAACCGGCGTGTTGGTGGCGTTGTTCTTGTATGCGAGAACGCTCAACGAGCGCACGTTCGAGTCCTGATAGCATCCGAGGGCCGTTACCGTAGCAGGAAGCGTGGCAGACGGCTGTGCACTCGACGTTGTGCTCGTGCTGCTGCTGCTGCTCGAGCTCGAGGTTATCGTGCTGGCGGATGAAGTGGCCGAAGAGGCAGCAGAAGACGTTGTCGACGACGTGGTGCTCGAAGACGTGGTGCTCGAAGACGTGGTGCTCGAAGACGTGGTGCTTGAAGACGTGGTGCTGGAGGATGAAGTTGTGGACGACACGCTGCTGGTCGTGGTGCTCGAAGTAGTAGAAGAAGTAGAGCTTGAAGACGAAGTTGTAGTCGATGTCGTCGTAGACGACGCGGTCGAAGTCGAGGAAGAGCTCATCGTCGTGCTGGTCGCGGATGACGTGGAACTGGTGCTCGTGGCAGCTGCGTTGATCTGATACACTCCAAGGCGGCTGCCACTGCCGCAATATTGCGTTCCATCGCCGGCGCAAAGCTGGTTGCAGTCAGACGCCGGGGCCGTGACTGCATCCGAGCGCATCGTCATACCACAGTAGCATTCTTGGCCGTATTCGACACCGAAAAAGTTGTAGCCAGCGCATGCTTGAGAGCACGAGGTGATGGACGTCTTCGAGCCCAGTTGTGGCACTTTATCGTTGATGACACGGTTGGCAGTGCTGTCGACATAGCAGCCGAGCGAGTTCCAGCTGCCTACTTGAGCAGGCTGCGAGACCATGGCTACCTGGGCGGCATCCGAGTAAACGGACAGTCTGTTACTACCACCACAGATCTGCGAAGAGTCCGCATTGCACGGCAAGTTGCAATCGGTATCGGGTTGGATCGAGGATCCTCCGGCCAGGGCGTTTCCACACCAGCATTCTCCGTAGTACTCGAGACCAGCAATCGAATAGCCTGCAGATGTGCACGCAGAGCGGCAAGCTTGGACTGTTCCACCTTTGGCGCTGAACGGCAAAGCACGGCGAACGGTCGAGTCAGAGTAGCAGCCCTTGTAGGCGGTGTTGGACGGAACTGTCGATGTTGGTGCGGCAGCCGAAGACGTGCTCGAGGCTGTGGAGCTGGATGAGGACGAGCCCGAGGCCGTGGAAGTGCTAAACGCCGATGCGGTCGTCGTGGTAGAAGCCGGAGGCGGAACGCCGCCGTTTACATTCCCGTTGAGAGCGTACAGGTTTAGTCGGGATGGTCCACCACAGTATTGGTTCCTGTTGCCCTTGCAAGTCATGGAGCATCCGGTTTGGTTGAACTGAGCTGCAGCGCCTAGGGCGTTGCCGCAGTAGCACTCTTGAGCATACTCGACACCAGCCAGCGAGAAACCTCTCTGAGAACAGAAGCTGACGCAACTGTCCACCGACATGGCTGTTGAGCTTGTGTACGCAGCTCCAGAGAGCGATCGATTCTGCTGGGCGTCAGATACGCAGTCGACAAATTGGTAGTTGCCAGAGCTTGGCGCAGTCTGGGGACCTGTGTATGCCCCAGGTGCGAAAGTACCCGTGGCCGCGTTGTAGGTGGTAGAATCATAGAAGATGTTGAGATAGCCACTCGCGCCGCAGTACTGGGTTGAGTCGCCCACACAGGGATAGGTGCACATCTCGTCCGAGACCTTGAGCTTCGGATCTGGCACGCTAGCTCCAGCCCAGCATTCCTGAGCGTACATGGTGCCCACGAAGTTGACGCTGTTCCCTTGACCCATAGCCAAGGTCTGGCATTGTCCGTTCTCGAAAGTGTTCTTATTCGAGGGAGTCAGCTGGGTGGGAAGCGTTCCCCCGTTCGCCTTGTTTGCGAAGCAACCCAGGTACTGGTATCGTGCTGTTCCGTTGACATCACCCGGAAATGTTGTTGCATTCAATGGTCCCACCTGTCGTGAGACAATACGCGCCGACATGTTGACAAAGTGGACGCCAAAGTTGGGGTCGTTACCATTGAGGACCCAGGCACTGGAGACGTTGTAGGGGGCGACGTTGACCTGCGATACGGGCGAGGAAAGTTGCACGGCGGCCGATTCCGTTTCGCCTGGCTCAAGAGCTTCGCCTTCGGTCAGATCGCCAGTGGGGTTGGTTGCGTGGAAAAAGTCGCTAGTCGGCGGCTTGCTCTTACTGATGATGAGGGCAGATTCTCCATCGTTGGTCACATGAAGAGATTGAACGGAGATCGAGCCAGCCAGGCTGTTGCCATAGTCCATGTAAGGCACATTTTTCAACACCGTTCCATCGTACTGGTCGGTCGAGTACGTGAAGACGGCAGCGCCTGCTGCACTTCCGGTGATGACCACAGTCTGATTGCCACCAGTCGTGAAAATCTTGAGAGAGGCGGTAAAGGATCCTTTCACAGTGGGGTTAAAGTTGATAACCAATGCAGTGGAAGACTGGTTAGCGATGGCACTTGGCATCGCGTAGAGGGTGAAGTTACCTGTGGTGGTCTTCTTGTCCATCTCTCCATCAACGTCACCAGCAGGAGCTGGTGTGTTGTTGTCATCATCATCGTCAACCTCGCCGTAAGTCTCATCAAAGTCCCACGAAGTAATTGTCAGGGGTTGCTGACCAACATTGCTGAGAGAGATCGACTTGTTGAGGCCGCCAATCGAGTCTGCCGCGCCAGGAACGAGACCGCCAAAGGCGACGTTGTTTGGGGTCACCGCGAAAGATGGGCCGCTGGTCACCGCGTTACCACGCAGGATCACGGGAACGGTGTTGACGTAACCATTTGCGGAGTTGGTCGTGTTGAACGTCACAGTGCCAGCGACGACACCGGCAGCGGTCGGAGTCCAGGTCACATTGAAGGCGAAGGCCTGGTTGGCCATCAAAGGCGTCGTCGGGATCGTAGTCGTCTTGAATACTGCATCCGAGATCTTGACGCTCGATACTTGCGTGTTGATCACGGCCTGACAGGTGACTGGCAATGTAGAGCTGTTGCCGATCGTCACCGTGCCAAAGTTGACGGACGACGTGCAGTTGAGAGGAAGGTTGATAGGCGCACCAAAGGCAGCAACGTAGCCCTGTGTCGACACGATGAACATCCTTCCGTTGCCTGGGACGGGACGCTGATACTTCGCGCCACCAGCCGGGATGTTTCCCGCGAAGATTCTGTGCAAGAGGCCGTCAGCAGCGGGGATAGCCCTGTAAGCACGCAAGTTACCGTTTTGGGTATCAGTGACCCAAAGCAGACCCGTTCCGGCTTGTCCATTGTTGGAAGTGGTAGTGGTGTGTCCTACACCTCGAATGTTGGTCGATGCGTCCTCGGTCTGACCGACCTGGGCAAAGTTCGGATTGCCGCTAGCATCGGTGCCAAACTTGAGCGCAAGTGTCGGTTGGCCCGTGGAGGAAATGTAGACGTAACCGCCTTCGAGTGGATACGCACCTGCCGTGGAGAATGACTGGCCGCCAAGAGGAATGGTCTGAAGGTTGCCGTCACCGCCGCCATTGCCGGTCTTGTATCCTCCCAGGTTATCGGCGTTCATGATGTAGGCCTTGGCGTTCTTGCCGTTGGCGATGGCGATACGACCAACATTGCCAGCAGAGAAGCCTTTGGGCAAGAAAGCTACACCTGAACTGCCGAAATCTTGGTCTGCTGCATCGATGGCTCGATAATCTGAAGGCGCGAAGAAGTCGACCGCAGTCAAGTTTCCGAGTTGCATCTTGACTACGGACATGGCAAGAGCACCGGGGGGATTGCGTCCGAGACGAGGGAGATTTCCCAGCTCTTCGCCAAAGCCGTTACCGGTCACGAACCACATGTTGGTGCCGTCGTACGAGAGACCTCCACCAGCCTGCCAGACGCCGGAGCCGGTCTTGCCATAGGGTCCTGACTGAGTACTGAACGAGGTGACGTACTTTCCAGAGCTAGCGTCCATACCGACTATCCATCCGGTGTAGTTGAAGTTGTCGCAGTGGCCACCGAAGCCGGCGTAAACGATACCGTTGGCCAGAAGCAGGCCGGTGCGCTGCAGGTTTTTGCCACCTTCAAAGTACTGATCAGGGCGATTGCCAGCTTGGGTACCTTGAAGATCGACGGGAGGGAATCGGTCCTGTAGTGTTACGGGGTCGACACCGTAGAAGCGATAACGACCATTGTCGAGACCGCTGGTGGTGCCGTCGGCGTACGTCTTGGACCAGAAGTAGAGGGTGTTGCTGGAAGGATCCAACACGGGCGTTCCCGTGATACCGATGTTGGGCGTCAGATCTGCGCATTTGGTATCGACTGCAGCAAAGGGAGAGTTGACAGTGCGTTGTTTGCGAATCGCACCGGTGGCAGCATCAAGGACGCTGACGATGTTCTTCTCCGAGGCAACAATGACGCTCTGAGAACCGCCGGACGGCGTGTAAGTGATTGGCTGGGCGAGGATCTGATCACCCTGCGACGGCTGAGCGTTCCACACCTGGCCGAAGGTGGGGCCGCCGACGATGGCGGGGTCGAAATTGTACCCTTCCAGGTAGCCTGATTGACTCGGAAGGCAATTTTCCATCAAGCAGTCGCCAATACCATAGGAGGAGGGCGAGTCAACTGCCCACGTCGATGGGACTCGCGTGGACAAGAGTGCCGCGAGGAGCGACAGGCTCTTTGGGAAAATGGCCAAGCGCATCGTGCAGCGAGTTGAGGCGACAGCGATACTGGCACGTTATTGCGGATATGAAGGCTCAGGCTCCTGTTGGCAAGGGCTCGATGATGCTAATGTTTGGAGGAACGCATTGGGGGGACCTAGCGATTGTGACCTCGACCTTATAAGCCGGAGGGGAGAAGAGATAATGAATCTCTAACGCATGAATTCCGTGTGATACAGGCAGGTAGGAGAGCCACAACAGCAACTTTCAGAAGCGGCAGCACGTCCATGAATCTACGTTCGCCAGGTTCGTGCCAGCATGGCGCCACAGGCGCAGGAGCAACGGACGTCTGCCAGATCGCGAAATAAGGAACGGGAAGGACTCACATGTTGCAAGATCCCGCTCGTTGCAATATGATCCACTGTTCAGATGCGAAAGATAAGCTTCGAGAAGACCGGAGGGGGAAACGTCGAGCTCCAACACAGCTGGATCTATGTGAGCCCAGTGAGCATCTCAGACATGGGATCGGAAGCTGCTTGTCAGCTCGAAGGGAGGGAGGAGCAAAGAGTCACGACGAGAAGGAGAAAGAGAAGGTGAAGGAGAGAGAGAGAGAGGAAGACGAGCGGGACTGTGGATGCAGCTTTCGGCAGCAGGGAAAAACCCCCAAAAAGCCAGTTGTGTCCATTCGTGCTGGCGTGTTCGCCCAAGCGGCACAAACCCAGTCATGAGCGGGGGCAAGCGGCATTTAAACCGTGGCTTGCTCGGTTTCCGGGTAGAGGCGAACTTGCGCACCACGGAAAAGGAGGCCGACGAAAACTTTCGCCTGACGAACACCCATTTAAATATTTTCTAAATTTTCGTCTGTCTATGGTTTCATTCTAACGCACAAGAATTTTCCTGGATTTCCTGGGCGCTCTAGTTTTCGTTGCCGAATTTACTGGGTGCCGGCGACCGGGAGGGATGAGCTTGTACGTTGCCTTAAGCGTGCCCACTGCTGCGCAGGGAGCTGTTGCCGTCAACTTCAAGCTCGCAGATGCGTCGTATCGGCAGCACGAAAGACGCTGGCATTCAATCATCGTCAGCGGACAAAGACGTCCGTGTAACTCTGGCTGATCGCGCCTTCGAGCCGAGCGGGCTAGAGCGGTCCCGTTTCCGGCCCGCTTGGTAGGTGAAGAAGGTGAGACACTTCACGCTCAGGAATCTCAGAAATCTTCTTGCAAATCTCCCCGCGTCAGACATATGCACGACCGATGTGCGAATCAAGGTCGGAGATTGATCGAGTCCATCAGAGCAGCACGTTCTCGGGCTCTTGGGCGCAAAATTTTCAGCACCAGTAAGCAAGAGATTCTTCGATGAATTTCAAACGAACGTCTTGCGTGTCCGATTATTGATCAGTAAGCGAAAAGCAAAGGTAAGGACGACGAGAACTCGAGACGATGATAGTGGAACCCTTCTCGGTGTCAAACGAGCACAAGCAAGCGGCGCGTTCGTCTGCGTAACCAACTTCGGAGGGAAACACATGATCATTCCTGGGGGCGGCAGATTTACGTAGCAAAGAGAAGCAACAAATGGCCGAAGGTACATGGTCGAGCGACGCTCGGCGATGGACTATTGCCAGATACTGACAATCAAGAGCTGAACGTGACCCTTTGGGCGGGACTGGGAAGAGGTGGTCTGTGTGAAAATGACAGTACTGTGAGAGAAAACCCGGATGAGACAATGGGCGAGAACAAAGATGTTGGTGGCGTCGGCGATGTCTGGAAGAGGACGTAGGACGGCGCGATACTACGGGGGCATACGAATCGTCAAGACGCTATGATTGTGCGTTCCAGGTTCTGCGAGCTTCAGTCTGCAGACTTGAAAGCGACTGCGACCTGCGTGGAGATGGCGCCGGTCGGGACAAGATCGGCGTCATCGCGTCTGCTAAGTTCAGGAGCATCCGATACAGACCCGCCGATGGTCTGCACCTCTCGACGAGCGTTGGGAACAGCGTATCGCGTGATGACAAGGTTCCTCATTACCACCCATCCACCTCGGCCCGAAGGATTGATGAATCGGAGCCCGTCGATCTTCTTGAATCCAAGGTCGAGAAGTCCGGTAGCGTGGATCATCTGATCGCCAGCATTGAGGGGAACTGCGACCGGATCGGTGCATTGCCCCACAACTTGGCCGTTGCGCAGACCGCAGACAGACAAAGTGTCTCCCGCCTGCATGCTGTTGACAAACCAGGTTGCCAAGTCGATGGACTCAAGGTCAAATACGAAGCCAGCAGCATTCCACTGGAATTGGTTGTTGCCGTACCCGCGAGCCATGCCAAAGAAGCCATCAGTGGCCAACTTGGTTGCATCGAGTTGGTTCCACTGGTTGTTGTGGATGTACCATTGAAGGTTACTAGGGTCGGTGAACCCGATCAGCTTACTCGTCTGGTATTCGTAGTGCGTTTCGTCATAAGCCAGTCCCTTCGAGCTCCAGGGCGTGGCGAAGTCGCTTCGCTGGTCGGCGGTCTTGAAGTCTTCGATGCATCGAACACCGAATGTGCTGCTGTCGCTACCAGTGCACGTGGGCGGGGTTATCTGAGGCTTGGTGTTGACGTAGGGAGCCACAGCGTTGCTGCCGGAGGTGACGTACTTCCAGCTGGCAACCACGAGCTTGTTAGGGCCGCAGTTGGTGTTCCTGCTTGCATCCAGGTCCTTGGTCCAGTACTGGCACTGCCAAGCGTCCTTTCCGTTAGCGCGCAGGAGGAAGAGACTGAACATGTTGCAGTTCAGCTTGATGCCCGACACGTCATCGGGCTGTCCACCAGAGGTGATCGACTTGCAGGTAGAAGCGCAGAAGCTGGGGTCAATGGCAGTGGTCATGGGACCAGGTGTACGGGCAAGGACATCGGCGTGGAACTTGCCAGCAGCAGTCTGCACATCGTCGCCATCCGCAGTCAGACCCTGTGGGGCACAAACTCCCCAGTCTCCCGTAGGGCCAGAGAAGCCATCGACTGCGGCCGGCACAAAGGCGTCCTTGTTGAAGAACTTCACCGAGGTCTGCACAACGTTGAACTTGCCATTGTTCGTCCACTGACCCTTGTTGGTAGCATCGCTGGCCGCGAGCTTGAACGAGTAGTACAAGCACTTGGTCTGGTAAGCGGCATCGGTGGAAGGGCTAGGGCACGTGTTAGCGTCGTACTTCTGAGTTGGGACACGCTCGCGCCAGATTGCGAAAGAAGCACAGCTCGAGAGACTGTCGCACTTGGCCTTGCAGACGTTGGGGTCGTAGCTGTTGTAGGTGACGACGCTGAGCAAGCCGTTCTTGGGTCCAACAGAGTTGGTACCTTCATAGATGGGGAGTCCATAGGTTCCAAGGGCGCCCGAGGCAGCCTGCCAGGGCTGGTAGCTCTGGAAAGCAGACACGGTGCCTGGAGTGATGTCCGGGTTGGTTTGCGCGAAGGAGGAGAATGGCTGGCAGGAGCCCTGACGCTTGCGGAGAGGGATCACGGTCGGGGTACTTCCGTCGGCGGTGACGCTCTGCTGGATTGACAGCGAGGTGGCAACAGCGGCAAGGTTGACAGAGGTGGAGACAACTTCCACAGGAACGGCAGTAGGGGCCGGGAGATCCAAGAAGTCGCCGATGTCGATCTCTCCGATCACATCGGGGGAAGGGGCAGCGAGCGCCAGAGGCAAGAGTGCCAAGAGGGCGGAGAGGGAGAGGCTGAGCTTCATGGTCTCTTTAGTGAGGCCTTGATTGGTGTGATGATTGATGATGAGGACAAGATCGATGGGGTATCCGTAGAACAGGCTGTACTTATAGACAAAGACAGAGCTTCCGCGACGTTGCTGCTCTGCCTCGATTCAGCCTCTGATTCAGTTTGTGGATCTGCTTGACCGTGCGCATTGTACTGTCTGCGATGGATGCCTGCAACAGTCAGGGTTTTCTTCTTCCCTGACGGCAGCGCGGGAAGGCTCATCGAGCATGTGCGAGCCTCAGTCACTACGACGATTCTTTGCGACTGAATAAGCTTCACTCAAGAAGCGATGCCTCGTGGCCACGTCTACTGCTCTGCAATATCTTCTCAAGGCATCATCTCCCGCAAGGACACCACACAAAGCTGAGATTTCGTGCACAAGCCCGTCATGCTCCTCGGGCTTACTATTTGACATCCGCATCCCGTGATCCATGAAACCTATTGACGGGCCGCAGCGAGCATGAAATGAGGAGCATCGAGGAAGCAAGGTCTGGGCTGCGTGGGAGAATCCGTCCGACTTTTTCTAGCTTCCCTTGTAATTTATCCCTGGCCCGTCATTCAAGATCCGCTCGCAGCACATGAGGAGGCAATGATGGACAAAGTGGTCGGCATGAACGACTCAGGCGCCACATTCTGCCCACAAAGGGGTCCCGTGGGGCTGACGAAGAGGACCGGGCTCGGGATGTCTCCGGTGCCTGGACAGGAACGAGCAACGGGTTTGGATTTGTCAGTGGTTGCACGATCTCAGAGAGACTGCAATCATCTCCTAGTCCCATTTACTCGGCTGTGCTCGATCGTCCGAATCTATGGTAGCCACACTTGCAGATTTTGCCTGGAGAATTTTCTTTGCCTCGTCATACTCAAGAGCTGACGACAGGCACGAAGAACCTCAGATTGGACGAACACGGAAGATGCAGTTGCGCAATGCCTCAGGATTGTCGGAACTTCACAGTCTCTGCGAGAACTTGTGTAATGCGCAAGGCGTTGTCAAGGAGACGCGGGTTCGGAGCCCGACTGGCCCGTGACACAGCGACCAGTTGACGGGCACATGCCTCTTCAAGCTGCTCAGTCTGTCTACATCTACATATGCTGATCTGGACAGGGACGGATAAAGTGGGCGGAGTTTGTGCCGCTTTCTTTCTCAAAAATCGTGCGGTAGGCGTTTACTGCCTCCGCATTTTGGGAAGAGGGCGGAGGTGGCTGAGGGGGAGGTTATTTGCTTCTTGTAGCTAGGTACATTAATATCATCAATCGACCTGCGCCACCCTCGAGATGCAGCTGCTGCTTGTAGGGCCCGTCTCAAGGAGATGAGCGTTCGATAGGTCTGCTCACGGGAAGAGCCACGGGAGACGGATTCAGAATGCTTCTCCTTACAGCGAGAGAGGCCAGGCTATTGCTCTCGCTGCCCCTCTTGTCAGACTGAGCCAGAGACTGTTGCACCTCTGTTAGCTGGCATGTGGGCAGTCGAATTTGCGCGTGTCGAGTTGAGTGACAAGTTGATGCGCTAGAAAGCTTGTACAAAGTGACACGAGACCGAGAGATCAAGGTACCGTGCCTCAGACGCTAGCGCAGCCTGATATTCGAGAGCGACTTGGCCAGCAAGGTAAGTCCGAAGCGGAGGGAAACTTCGTCAAGTACGGTCAGGCGCTCTCATGCTTCAGAGGGCGTCAGCGATTTGACTTTGAAAGACCGATCGTGGTGGTCGAGCCCGGGTCCCGCCAAACTCGTCGATATGCGCGATCCCGCTGCAGGTCCCCGCTTGGCACAGGACTCAATGGATAGTCCGAAAGTCCCGCCGCTCGAGCTGAGACCTGTTCCTGCAGATCAGCCATCCTAGGCCGAGTGCCACCAGAGACATCGCCGGGCATTTCCGAGACAATGCGCTGAGAAGTGGAAATTTGTGATGGGGGAACGGTGATTCCTGCGTGGCTGCACGGGACGAAGTCCTCAGTTTATCCTCAACATACTCTTCTACCCACCGTCCACGAGCGGTTCAGCTTTTCCGCGCGAGAATTCGGTCGTTTTGAGACGAATCTTTAAAGGTTCTATCGGTGCTCTATTGGTACACAGGGATTGGTTCCGAACGCGTGAAACGAAGGAGGGGAAGCTGAAAGAGGAACAGCCGGCACGTTTCGACGCAGCTGCTAGCATTTTTGCCACATCTTAACATAGTCGACGGCCATACCTCGCTTCTTTGGGTCCTTGGGCCATGTGTTAAACCACGATTCGCGAGCGCTCCAGAAGTCAGCCCGTGGGTTGGCGCCCGAGTTGGACCACGGCTTGTCCGGCGTCGCCACGTCATTGTCAGCAAAGTAGCCGTTGGTGCCGCCGACGGCGACGTTGAGAATAAGATAGAAATCCTGATCAAAGGGCGCGATCTTGGCATGCTTGCTCGCCTTCCATGGATTGTCGACTACGGTGCCGTTGCTTGTAGAAGTCTGAAAGTGCGAAGAAGACCACATGTCGCGATCGAACTTCTTCTCGAGAACTCTGCGGGCTCGACTCCCCCTCCACGTCCAGATGGAGTCCTCATCCCATTCAAGGCCAAAGGTCTCGAACCCATCGTAAAAGTAGTTGCGAAGGATTTGTGAAACTGCGGTTGTGCTGTACCAATGATCTTGCTCCGAGTTAGGTCCGTAATGAAGTGTCGATCGGATCACATTGCCAAAGTAGTCGCGTCGCGACTTGACAATGTTACCTTTGGACTCGACGATGTCGATCTCCCCTGAGGCGGGCCATTCTCCGTACGTGTTGTCCCGCGGCATCATCCAGATGGCGGGCCAAGTCCAGTCGCCCTTGGAAAGCTTGGCGCGTACTTCCACACGGCCGAACTTGATGGAACGAGTGCCTCGGGTCGTCAGGCGTGCGCTCTGAACAGGTGGTAAGATGGTTCCAATGGTCGAGTTGGAGGTCGCCGCGCAATTCGCATCTGTTCGGTTCGAGGCTGTGCAGGTACCCGCTTGCGTCAGGTTAAGCTGGTATCCGTTGGTGATAGCGGCCATACCAAGCTGGTCCGAGGTCAGGGTCGGTACAATGTAGAGATGTCCATCCTCGGTCTGTGCGTCAGACGGATAGCGAGAAATGAAGAGGGCACGTCGCGGCAAGGTCAGCTGCATGTTCATAATTTGGTTCTGTTCAGTTGGTCTATGTCACTTACGAAGCTGTTGTTAAGCGAGTCGGTGGTCCATTGGAACTCGTGGTTTCCGAAGCCGCCTGTCTGAAGTTCGTGCTTCCAAACGGAAGTATCGAGCGGTCCGTCAAAGTTGTCTTCCAACACAAGACAGTAGTTGTTCTTCTTGACGCTGAGAAAGCCTTGCACGAGGAAGCCTGCACCTGCGAGGACACCAATTGTTACTCCGACAAGGAAAAAGATGTAGTTGCGACGGCCTGCTCTTTTACCAGCACGGCTCTTGGTCCACACCGTCTCCGAGAGGAGGCTATCCGTTTCTTTGAGGCGAGTTGAGCGAAAAGATGGTCTCTTGCACTCTGCAATCGGCGTCGAGCCAACCGCTGGCGAGTCGAAGCCAGTGTATGATTGGCTATAGTGAAGTCTCGGGCTCCAGCTGGCTTCGCCCGACTCGGAGTTGGCAGACGAAGCATGAAGCCCTGGGCTGGAGATACCTTGAAGCTGGACCATTTTGAGCTGATTGTCACGTCTGCGCAGAGGAGATTGCTGGCTGAGATTCGGGAGCTGGTTGGGGGTTAGGACAAGTGTGGCGAGCTCCAGGCTCGGTCGCTATTTAGGTCTGAGGAGGCTTCAGCTCAAGCACAAGAGCGAGTACAGCGATAAGGAAGTGAACAGCAAGCTGTTTCCCACCAAGTGCCGCTGCTCGGCGCCAATGTGAAAAGGAACGGCGAAGATTGCTGCTGTGGTCTGCTGAGCCCAGTCCCGGAAACACTGCATCGAAAGTTCTTCACAAAGATTCCATCAAGTCGGAACTATAGACTAATCTTGCGTTCGTGTCCAGCTTCTGGACATTGGATGCAGATACAGCATCTGCGCCAAGTTGCGAGCGTACGGAATCCAGCAAAGGAGGGACACATAGTCCCAAAGTCCCAATGCGCGGGACGATGTGTCTCGTTTGCAGTCCCGTCCCTTATCGCTGAGCGAAACGCAGGCCAAGGAGACAGAAGTGACGAAGGCACGTCAAGTTCGAGCGCGGATCGACCCTGAGATAGAGTGAATTCTTCAATTGATGCTAGAAACGAGCGAGCATAGCGAATAGAAGGCTGTACGTGGGGTCGGGCTGCAGACTTGGAAGAATCTGGTGTGTTTTCCAACTGTGCCCGCGTCGGCCGTGCGGGCCGCGCTGTGTGACAGTTTACGGTTTCACCCGCTGCTCGCCATCCGGAAATTCAAAAGCTAAGAGAATGGCTTCGCAAACAAAACCTTACGCGCTTTTTTTTCATTACCTCATTTACTGGGAAAGAAATATCTACTGCTGGACCCATATTTACACGCGTGGGTGTAAGAGCGCTGCCTCCCGAACCGGTCCCGAGGTATGCGACTGAAACATGTCTGTTAGCTGTAGTCTTGCGGGGACAGGCCATGATTCCTGCGCCCAGAGAGCGGGGGCTGCGGGCTTGGTTCTTCTACGCCCTCCATGTATGGCGCCTGCGGATGGGCAACGGCCTCACGCCTACGCCGAGTGCAGACTCGACAGGTAGCACGCGTTCTGGGCTTGAACGGCGATGCAAGATCCCGTCGGATGCCCAGGCGCACCGAAACGCACTAATGTCGTCTACTAGAGAGCTCGTGCTGCCTCATCCTGAACGCCCTGACCTTCCTCCTCCTCGACCAATCAGCAAATGACACTGTCGCTGCCAACCATACCCACTTTTCAGAGAACAAGAAAGCAACCTTGGCCAGCATTTGGTTTTGTGTTCCCACAGCGGGAGTCTGACGCGTACACGGGACGGCCGCACCATGGGTATGCATCCAGGGCGCGCGTCTCGACCAGAAGCATCCACCACCAGCGATCAATCAGTCGATCCTGGTCCTTGGTCGGCGCAGAATACCTTGTAAGCGGCACTGAAGCAATCCTCACGGCAATCTGGCGACCAGTGAGTTTGCGGTCTCACGCGGTCCCGTTCGCCATGAGCATCCAGCTGGTCAATTGTGATGAGCACTCACACTTTCGTTGGAAGCGTTGGTCCCGTCTGGTGCGTTTATCTCGAATGCCCTCTCTGGATTAATGCAGACATAGGACCATCGATAACGACCGTCGGGTTCCATGGTCCCGTCCGTCGCAGAACTCTCGCGAATTTGCTTGTGCATGCTGTAGGGCTCTGCTGCTTATCGGACTGTAGTACTTCAACAATCCGGCTGAAAGGTACCTTGGCCCGTTCGAGCAGGTGCTGCGTCGAAAAATCGAGTTCGACGTCTTCGCAGCGAGCAAAGCTAGAGAGCGGCCCGTGACGGTTTGCTCGCTTCAACGACGTGTGATCCATAGTTGCACAGGGTCAGACACGGCTGCTCATACAGCTTGCGCCAAAGGGTCAATGCTTCCTCGGCATACAAGAACCGAGCCGTTGCGATTTCCTCCTCGACTTTTGACCCACAATCAAATCGTCTGCTCCTCGACAAGAGATCACACCTTCCTCCTGCATTCTTCGTCGTCGTCGCGACCGCTTGCACCACGACATGTCGCTCCTCTCTCAGTCAACCGAACAAGACAACGCTCAGGAAGAGCTAACATCAGTATGCCACACGGCTCCACCCACGCCAAGACAGTTTTTCTTTGGCCGCGGTGGTCACGAGACTCCTGCTCTTGGCTCGACTTCGACGCACGATGATCAAAGCAGGGTGGACTCGCTCCCCTCTTCATCGTCCGGAGGCTCTCTCTCTAGCAAGCTCGAGAGACAATCAGCTTTCAGGCTGGTGGCTGAAGCCCTTTTCTGGAGGGTCAAACGCCAACGTCTCTTTGCCGAGAACGGTCTTGTCCCCAACGGCGTGGCGATCCGTGCGGGAAAGGGCGATTACGTCCATTTCCCCCGCGACGACCCGCGCCTGGAGCCGTGGGTTGTTGCCCTTCAGACTCTCAACTGCGAAGCCGCGTTCACATTGACTTCGAGCGTCGCAGCTGGTATCACCGCGAGTCTGCCTCCCGGTACTTTTGAGGTCCAACTCACTCATGAGGACCGCATTCAAGTGGTCGAAAGCATGCAGGCGCTGTCAAAGGCCCGCCGAGCCCAAGGCGCGTGCTTCGTCCGTACGCAAGGATGCCTGATCGTCTGGGCTGATGACGTCAAGCACCTCATCGATGCTGGCAACAGTCTCGAAGAGAAGATGATCAATTACATCTGGGCGCACACCAAGCAAAATAACGCCGCATCCAGCATGTCAATGTCGAGTCTGCCGACATCCAAGTCGACATCGTCAACCAACTCCAACACATCGAGCGCTTCCAGTCTCAAAGGAGTGAGCTCCAAGGATGTAGCTTCGGACGAGGCGGACTCGCAACTTTCTTCGGTCGGAGGCCGGGTTCGTAGATTTTTCAGCAAAAGCGCAAAAAGTGGATCGAATGATGCCCGGGACGACGAAGGCGAGAAAGGCGAGAAGGACGAAGCCGTTTCGGCCGAAGACCTTGTGCATCGACTCGAGTCCGGCGAGCCGTGTCTGGAAAAGGGTCGGAGCATCAACATGTTTGCTCCTCTTTACACGGGATTGGGGCTGGGTCTCAACGTTGCTCTGATGTGCCTCTTCACCAGACGCCTGCTCATTGAGTCTCTCTTGGACGGGCAATGGATGCGGATGGCGCTGTGCGCCACCATCCCTGTCTTCATGCTGATCATCCAGTTCATGTGCGACAACGTCATTGGAGTCATCGCCCAGATCTTTCTGCCCATCTCGCAGCTCAACAGGAACAGCCTCTACTACAGCGCCAAACGTAGTGCTCGACTACCGGCAGGATACACCCTTCCGCACTTTACAATCGCGATGCCCGTCTACAAGGAAGGTCTCGAATCTGTCCTGGCTCCTACCATCGAAAGTGTCCAAAAGGCAATCGCCACCTACGAGCTCCAAGGTGGAACCGCCAACATCTTGGTTTCCGAGGACGGAATGCAGCTGCTCACTCCTGAGCAGCAGGAAGTGCGTCGAGACTATTACGAGCGCCACAACGTGGCCTGGGTGGCCAGGCCAGGACATGGAAAGGACGGCTACATTCGCAAGGGCCGATTCAAAAAGGCGTCTAACCTCAACTTTTCGTGGGACCTTTCCTTGCGGGTAGAAGAAATCATGGACGAACTACGCCCCGAGGCCATGGCTGCTCAAGAGCGCACTTCCGCTACCTGGTACGAAGACGACGAGAAGGCCTTGTACGATGAAGCGTTCGAACGCGCCATCACCGAGTCTAGCGGCCGCGCCTGGGCTTCCGGTGACATTCGAATCGGGTCCTACATTCTCCTCATCGACAGTGACACGAGGGTACCTGCTGACTGCTTCATGGACGCTGCTTGCGAGCTCGAACGTTCGCCCGAGATTGGAGCACTGCAGCATTGCTCTGGTGTCATGTACGTCGCAGACCACTACTTCGAGCGCATGATCGGCTTCTTCACCAAGATCGTCAACCTCAGCATCTCGTGGTGCGTGTCCAACGGCACCATCGCACCGCTGGTCGGACACAACGCCTTCCTCCGATGGCAGGCCGTTCAAGAGGTCATCTATACTGATGTCGATGGCGAGAGGTGCATCTGGTCTCATCAACACGTCTCAGAGGACTTTGACATGGCGTTGCGTCTGCTTATGAAAGGTTTCCTCGTCCGCTGGGCTACCTATTCGAACGAAGGGTTTATGGAAGGCGTCTCGCTAACTGCAGACGACGAGGTCAACCGCTGGCAGAAGTACGCTTTCGGCTGTTCGGAGCTGGTATTCAACAACCTTCGTCATTGGCCGACTCGAGGACCGCTCTCGCCCCTCTTCCGCAAATTCATCTGGTCAAACTGTCCAACGTCGTACAAGCTGAACGCTTGCTCCTACATCTTCTCCTACTGGGCCATCGCGGCAGGTACGATCTTGACCATCAGCCTTTTCTTCGTGCAGGGATTCTTCTGGCCCTGGCTTGATCAGGTCTTCATGCCACCATTCCAAGTCTGCATCACCGCTCTCTTCATCTTCGCCCTCGGAGGAACGGTGGGACAAGTCGCCTTCCGAGCACGCTCCGGTAAGGCTTCGCTACTTGGCGCCGCGGTCGAGCAGATCAAGTGGCTTCCTGCCCTGCTGCTGTTCTTTTCGGGCTTGTCATATCATGTCATGCTCGCTTTGGCAGCTCATCCATTCGGCTACAATATGACGTGGTCCGCGACCGTCAAGGATGTCGAAGAGTCGAATTTTTGGAAGGAGATTCCGTCCATCATCCGCAGATTCTGGCACTGCTATCTGGTCATGTTCCTCTTTGCCGCTGCCATGATCATTTTCAGCACGCCTCTGATCCCTCTCGAGTGGCGCATTGAAGGCTTCACCATCTTCTGGCCCGGCTCGGCGCTGATCGCGGCTCACATTCTATATCCCCTCGCACTCAACCCATGGCTGATGCGATTCGAGTTTTGATGTCCTACAAAGTCACAAAGTCACGTCCGCTGTACATTAGTCTCTCGAAAGCCGCGTTTGACAGAAACTGTATCTGATCGACAATCGTCCGTGATCGGAGAGTCGAAGTCGCCATAGTGACGGGATTGTGACGGTCATGTAGTGTCGCTTTTCGTATGAAAGGGGACATGCTGCTCAGTAATTTGCTTCTGGTTGAACAAAACGTTTCGTGTTGAGAGCCGGCTCTGGCAGGCGTGCCATTGTCAAACATGGTGTTACTTTCATGGAGGCGCTCCCTACCACATGACTCAAGATTCTGCTCGCTGCAAACGCATCCGACGCTACACCATCGCGGAACAAACAGCCAATGATCTTCTTTGACCTGTTTTTTTTCCGTCAATCCGGACCCTTCTCTTTTCTGAAAGCATGCATTCCACTCATGCTTCAGCTGCTCTTTCCAGCAGTACAGCTGCTGCGCTCGGACAAAGCTAAGAGATCGTCGAAAGGGGCGAGATTGAGCTGCATCCTGCCTCTGTGCAGTACTCTCGGCAGCAGGGTCCGCCCAGCTTAGTACAGGCCCTGCCGAAACAAGGCCCACTTGCATGGACGGTCCTCAACTTCACTTTGATTGTTTATCGTGAGCTACGCTTGTTTCATCATGGTCTGATCGGTGTGAAAATCTCTAAATGTGCCTGAGTTTCCACCGCTCAAGACGGCTCGCAAAGACAAAACGTGCTTTATCGAGTTTTGTCGGCCAGCCTTCCCGTGATTCAGCGCACGAGTGTGTCCTTGGGATAGCGCGGAAGCCAGAAGCTTACCTTTTTTGGATGTACCCTAGGTCTCGGGACGGGGAAGCAGGCTGCGTTAGAGGTACGACCGGAGCGCTGCGTGGATACATATGATCTAATCGCTGGAGACAGCATCATCCTTGGGATGCAAATGCGAACTGAAAGGAGAACCCTCCTTTCGAACTGAGTTCTAATATGGCTCATGTGTGAGATCCAGTATTGCTCGAGTCATGGACTAGGTCTCAGAAGTCTGCAAACATACACGGCTGTGTCAGTTGCGCCCAGGAACCAGGGCTCGGGACCAATTCTGGATCGACGCTGTTGGATTCACATCTGATCGGTGCCGGGTCGGAATAACAGCAGTGACGGCGAATGGCCCCGCTCTAAACGTACAGCGGTGAAACAAAGCTCGCCAAGAAAGAAAGGCGTGAGACTTACGGACTCGCCTGGGTCCAGTTGCTAGATGTCGACGCCAAAGTCGACGCACGCCAGCACACCCAGAAGCTGACACCAAAAAATAATATTTAGTACAAAAATAAAATCAAGGCAGACATGAGCCTAGCAATCCATTCCGAGGAACTCGACGGGCGTGACGCGCATCCAGATTCTCAGACCTCACTTTTTTTCCGTAGCGGAAGAGAGACACATCCACCTTCCCGTGCAGAGGTCAGTCCAAGGAGCTCTGCTGTCCTGGAATAATGCAAAACGAGTAGCAAGATGCTTGGTAGAGGTCATGCTACTCAATCTTGAGAGGCATCGCGACGGCGGATAAGAGAACTTTGAGAGAAATGTTTCGTACCGTCGCCTACGAGTCCCGCGTTGCTCGGAAGCCTTGCTCGCCGATGAGATGCTCACTTGCCGTACAGCACGGGATCGAGTAAAAGAGTTGGGAGAGAGGCTTGTTGGAGTCCGGTCATCAGCGACAAGCGATGCGATGCAGCAATTCTGAAATATCGTAGTAGCCCTCAAGGGACTATGCGAGCTTTTACTTTTACTTTTCGACTTTGCTTTCGATGCATGCACGTTCGCCTTCGTTGGCGCAAGCGAAGAGAACTCGAGAGCGGGACCCTCCATATCAAGTCCATTTTTTCTGGCGGTAATCTGACCAAGGAGGTGTCTGGTCGAGACTCACCCCATACAGACCCCCTCTCTTCCCATCACGGAAATGCGCCGTCAGAAAGCCGTGCCCGGTGTGGAGAGCCTGTTCGAGCGCAGTTCGACAAAGCACAAAGATCCAAGTCTCATGGACGGGATCTTTGTCCTATCCTAGCAACTCATGTTCCATAGTACCGACACGATCAATGCAGCAGCTGATCAGCCAGCATGCGCATCAACATATCGGAGCAACTGGTGAAATTCAACTCCGCGAGACAAGGGCGACCCGCTCTTTGCCACGCTTCCCTTCCGTGTCTGACCTTGGCGTTTCTGACTGTGTAGCCCTAGCATCCTTTGGTATCGCGTGTCGAGATCGACTTCGATGGCAACTCTCAGAGCTTCCGAACAGGAGTAGCGCCATGCGACAAGGTCTGCGCTGAAAGGTTGCTAGAAAGATGAACTCGCCCGAATCGATATTCTATATCTACCAGCTTGTTCTCCGACAACCTTGCTAGCCGCACCAAACCCTGCTCGCTCTCAATATGCTATAGCTCAGCCGAAGTTCTCAAAAGCACTCGACAGTACCAACAAGACTACGTACAAGCATCCGCGACGCGCTTCACTCTACACAAAAGCAAGTCGCACCGTAAGTAAAAAAAAATGCTGTACGATCCTCAATCATCTCGTTCAGCCATCTCACTCTCGAGAAGGTCTCGAATCCAAGTTGCCTGCATAGATTGTCGAAAGAGGTTAGTTCGTCAAAGTCCGAAGCCAAGCAAAACTGCGCTCGTCTTCACAACATTTGCTAAAGCCCCATTTTTGTGTCTCTGTTCACGATATCCTTCACCGTCATGGCAGGAAAATCAAGTGCAGTGGAAACCTCAGAGGCTGCGATCACTGTGAGGAAAGGGGTCAGCCCTGCTTCTACACACCAGTGTCCGATCACGAAAGACGAAAGGCGAGCTCATACAAGCGCAAACTCAAGCTGCGGCAGCAGCACGACCAACTGTCTGTCGACCTCTACGGAAGTTACTCGTACTCCTCGTACTATCCGACAAGCCAATTGATGGCCTCATCCGAGGGTCTGACGCCTTCATGGCCGACATCAGCCACGTTCCAGCTTTTCCCAAGTCCGCCTCTCACGGTCAGCGAGCCTCCCACTCCGGCTTTGCCGAGCGTACAGAGCACCTACTTTGCACCGCTGTCCCCACATCAAGCTCAGTGCAGCGTGCATTTGCCGTCTGCGACGGGGACATGGGAGCCCCAAACAAGCTGGGTGCTGCTCCCTGGAGATCACAGTGCGCAGAGCTTGCCGCAACAACGCCAACTTCCGGTACACGGAGCTCACTTGACGAATCTTGCCAGTGACAAGCAGGCCCTTCCTTCTTCTCCGTGTACCTCGGAGAGCGACATGGAGTATTGCCTGAAGACCAATCCGATGTTGCAGGCGCAATCGAACTTATGTCGGGGTTGGTACAATGATCTGTTGTGGTGGGAAGCACCAGCAGATCCTCGAAGCCTCGGACAATTGCCACGCTGAGCGATCCATCCATAATTGCAACCGCCTAGGGCTAGTTGTCTAACACTACCTGTCTTCATTCACTCATCGCCCTCTATGCAGTCAACGATACTTTCTTGCCTTTACGAACATTATGAGGCTACAAAGCTGTGAGGTCTGCGACCGATATGATACGTTCGTCACTCCTTTGCGTGTCTCCGTCTCTTCTATTAGTGTTTGGAAGGTCTGTTTTGTCCAGCATGTGCTGATTGAAGAGTATCATGAAAGGTCGAACTTCTCTTCGTATCAGGCTTCGACGTAGACGAGTTGCTGTGTACTGTAAGGCGATATTCTCGTGGCTGTCTTTGCCGTCGCAGGTAACTCGGTGAAGATGCTCCGCACGGGAGAGCTTTCATGCTCACCTTCAGCAAGAGATGATCAGCGCATCGAGATCACGGCTACGCGAAAAGACTGGCCTCGCTCTGTTGCACTGAATGCTACAACCCATCCAGCTGTGCTCGTAGTTGCATTTGCTAACGGCCACTAGCTCTCTTTTGGGCGAGCCTCGAGCCGTGTTCTTAGCCGTAAACGAGGTTGGTGCCTTGTTGCGTCGCAATTCCACATCTCTCTCATCTGCGTGAGGACGAGACGGCGCGGGAAGCAAGGAGAAGACTCATTCACCGTGAAAGCGTTAGGAAGCTGCGCAGTTCGGGTAGCACACAGGAGCTCCTGATAAGCGCCTTTGTACATTTCAACATCGTTTAGCTCGGATGTCGCGACGAATGACGAGCTGGCAGACCGCGTTTGGGAGAACCTGCTGTCATTGCCACGCGAGATCCTGGACCTGGGTTTGGATCGCAGACTCGGCTCGTGCAAACCGATGCGACCTCGATTGTGTATGAACGAACATTTACGCGATTGTCTAGGGTATCTTCGAAGATCAGATTTTTATGATCTGAACGCTGTAACGGAATATTCGGGATACCGACAGTACACAGCTCATGCATCGGAGATCAATTTTTAAGAAAGCGCGTCGACTTCCTGAGCAAAGGCAGTTGATCCTCCTGGATTAAATCGACGCCAGAGATCGACGGAATTTCGGATTAAAACCTGGAGAGAGTCTTGGCATTCGCCAGCGTGCATTTCTAAGCTTCCCGTGCCACAGACAGCCATACCAGGGTGCCTGGCTCTACACCAGTGTGCACAGTGACTTGCCGCGAAGTGACAGGCAGTCGCTTGCCTTCCCGACGGCTTACGGCCCCTTCGCCGGCTATTCGTCAGGACATGCATGCGCAGGCCCCGTAGCTTGGCAGAGACCGTCGGGCTAGGGATTCAACCGCTTTGCCGGACTGCCACCGTTGCCTCCCTTCCACGCACGCTTCGTCCGCCTGCTTGGGAGTCCACGAAAAGCCAGTTTGTGCAACCATCGAATTGTCCGATAATCTATCTCTATTGTGGCTCATCCGCAGATCAAATACCAACGTTGTCGCCGGCAGCCTTTGCATTACATGTCACTTCACCTTATGAGATGACGGAGCTGATAGGACAAAGATTGGCTTGCCAGCAACCTACCTCACTTTGCCAACCAGGCGCACAAACAAACGCCCTCGTTCTATGTCAGCACAAAATCCCGCTCAGCTTCCCGCTCGTGCAGCAGAAAGTCCAGATTCATGACTTGCATGCTGTTTCGAAGCGTCCTGCTGTGAACGTCGACTCAGCTGCATATGGGCGCCGTGCTCACAGCTCATGACTTCCAGCACCGGCGCCAGCATCTCGTCCACGTCGCATCGTCTTCGAACCTAGATGCGAGAGCGAGGACAAGGTCCGTCGACATAAGTTTTTTTTATCCGAGCCCCTGTGTCCGTGATTGATTCCAAAGCGAAGCGCAGATTTGCACAAGGCACGTTAACGAGAGTCTGTCCTCTATCGGAACGAGCGGGCGGTTCAAATCGTGGCTGCTTGCAAAATGCCTGCATCTTTCTTTGTGTGGCCGTCTTGACTCACTGTATGTTGAGTACACATCAATCGATAAGCTTTGGCAATGCTCGTATCCACCAACATTGACAACCAATGAAGCGCCGCCAGGAAGCGCGATTTCATCGAGTCTGGACCGTCACCGCCAACTTGTCTCTGCTTCTCGTCGTCAACACCACATCAGCTCTTGTCCTCTCTCTACCGCATCCCCGACTGCATATGAAGGCTGAATTGTCACATCAAGTATAAACGGACGCCCAATTGCGAGCAATTTGCACGATCTTGCACGACGATCGCTCACATGCTACTAGGGGATCCAATCCGCGTAAAGTGAGTAGATGGCTCTGTCACACTTGTTGCAATTGACGTGATCATGCTCCTGCGTCGCTCGCACGATCATCCTTGCACCCCTTTGGTGATTAAGAATGCGCGCTACAAAAAGGCTCTTCAGATGAGACGGACCCGTGATCAGCTGCAGCCGGGGACACAAGCACTACGAGCTCTGTGAGTGCGCTGCAGTGGACAAGGGCGATCGTTTCTGGTGGCAGAACCGTGTGAAAAAGCCTACGGTGCGGTAAGAAAATTTCATCTCAACGACGCGAGAAATCACCAGGCGCTGTGCGTCGGCACCAAACATCCTTCTTAGCCAATCAGCACTTCTAGGTCGATCACTCTTTTGCCGACATTGCTGGTCCACCACTCTCGGATCGCGCCCGCGCTATCGGCAGAGGAAAGTCAAGATCTGTGCGTTTGGCAGCCGCCATCTTTCCAGGTCATCACGACGACGTGGACATACTGATTTACTATGCTCTCGGAAAAAGAGCTTTGCCATTCTCAAGGCAGGCATCATTCCTACACCCCAGAGAGAAACTTCGAAGATCGCCTCGGGACACGTCATTGCTGAAGAAGCAACTCACTCTTAGCAGATTCAATGAAGAAGAAGCAGCAAGCGAGAGCTTCCAAAGCTCCGACAACTTCACGAACGTCACATAAGGTGCACCAGCTTTGCAAGTCGCAGCAGTTGAGGCCATTTTGGGCCTATATGTAGGAGCTGCCATGATGACCCGGTGTCCCTTGTGGGACGTTCGATGGCGACAAAGCATGACCACCGCCGAGGATCAGCTGGACAAGGAGTCCCTGAATCTTAGATGTTCTGACTTCAGCGACGACACTACGGTGGTATGAGATCACGCACAGAGTAGCTGACGCTTCGAGAATGTCACTCGGTCAGCTGAGGATAAGTCCATCATTGTGTGACGCTCGTCCATATTGGAGCACCGGCAACGATATCGTTTTGCTGGCATGGCCGGTAGGCCAGTGCGCGATCGAAACCGGCCCAAAGCGGACCGAATTTGGATGGCTTCCGTGTCGCTTTCAGACATACGTTGATGTCTTAACAATTCCTTTGGCCATCTCTTATCCAACTATTGCAGAGCCGCTCACAGATAAAAAGGGAAGCTTATCTAGGGGAGGCACGCTGCAGTCGTTGCATTGCGGTGCGGTCAGCTTTCTGCGGAGTCTACACCTCAAAGATCGTCTCACTTACATTGCGTATCTTTGCACTACATTCCGAGAAATTAAGGAGCGTCTTGCCCTTTGACGAAAGACCTGTAAACAAACCCTTTCGGAAGCAGGATAGTTTGACGATGGAGCGCGACGGGAAGCAGAACGCCAGCGCTGGCTGCGGCATCACTAGCGCGGGATCTGCTTCTCGTCTTCAAGTCAGAGTAAGAAATGCAGAATCAGAGGAGCCGAGGTCAGAATACTGCGACGCCGGCCGCAAACACCTCGCGAAAGTCCAGGTGGCCGGGCCAACGCCTCTTTACAGCTTCCGTCGGCAAACAAGGCTCGTTATGAACACACTTTAATGGAGCTGTGAAGCCATCGTTGTCCTGAAATTGTTATGGCTCCGATTCAGCTCTCAGAGACGTTAGTCTTCTGTGGTCTCGAGTCTTTTCAAGAATCGGTGTATGCTTTATTCTATTCGCTGATGGTCTGCCCTTTAAAATTATGCTTTCTTATATTCACCATGATCTGTAGCAGTGTTTCGGATCGCAGACCGTGCGACTATTCTCAGACGGAGGGTAAGAGGATGCCGACGAGCATCTCACCGAAGCTCGCGATGGTGATGTCATTGCATACTCCGAAATGCTCGCAAGCCTGGACCCGCCTGTAATTCGGGCAGAACTCGCCTCTTGAGCTGTCGAAGCGTACTTGTGATATCTGAGGTAGAGATGCGATATCCTCTCTCAACGATGCCACACGTCCCTAGAAAGCTCGGCTCTCGAATTAGTGATCGCCGTGAAGCTCAAAATGAGGAGCGCGCATGTCTGAAGCTTGTCTTCGTCTACTTGTGAAAATAGGCTTACAACGTCGAGTGATCCCGTCTGACCAACAGGCGACTGTTCCGATCCAACGCTCAGAAGCTTGTCCGTATTACCGGCCGTATCGCTGTCAGGTGTGTTCTTTTCGATCGAACGTGACGCTTGTGGACGAGAGTGTAACAATCGACGGATCGGGAAATGTGGACGATTTTCCTATACGACGTGGTAAGCGCTGAAGGAGACGTTAAGAACCAATTTAACGTCGGAGTCAAGATATTTTACCGAGTCCTCGCCGAATTGCCTCGGCGCCATCAAAACAACGACAGCGCACCGCAAAATCTCTGCTGATCAGGGTTCCCAGCGCTAATTTGTAGCCGAGACAGCCCTCAAGATGCGCCCTCTGTTACTCGCACAGAACCGAGGCGCATTGGCTGGGGGAAGACCACGTCTTTAGCCTTTCGCAGATCATTTAATACCTCTGACACTTCCGTTTCCGGCAAAAACGTCTCTCAGCTCAACCTTTCCCTTCATCCCGACTTTCCCTGAAGTCGAAGACGCCGCTGGTTGGCGTTCGCCTCTTGTCTCACAGTCTATATATACTCACAGCGGCACTACATCGCTTCGCAAGATCACGTTCTTGAGCGCTTTACGACGACCCATCACACACTCTTTTTGCACCATTTGGACCCACCTTCGGCCGTGTCGTACGACCACTTCTTGATCGCAGAAAAGCCTCGCTCGTCGCACTTGTAGCGATCACCAGAGCATCGATGTGGACGTTTTCGTTCGGCATGAGCCTGGCTCTCAGACTCCTTTACATCCTCCTTGCTGTACAAGGGACAGTGGCGACGACCAAAGATCCAATCTTCTTTATCCTCAGCCATGGCCGAATGAAGACGTCGAGGGTCGATCCAATCGTCTCACCGGGCCAGCTGTCATCGCACGTCCACAACTTTGTCGGTGTGAACGGTGTCGACGCCAACACCACCACGGTGGAAGCGCTCGACGAGGCGTCGAGCTGTACCACTGCCATTCTCACGGACGACAAATCTTCCTACTGGGCGCCTCAACTGTACACGTACAATACCAACGGCACCTTCAGCCCCGTCCTGCTTAGCTTCGTCAACACGTATTACCTTATGAGAGGCAACACAGACATCACCGCCTTCCCAAGAGGTCTCAAGATGGTAGCCGGGAACGCCAAGGCCACCGGACCCGCCGCTACAAAGCAGCTGCAGGATGCCGTGTCGTTCGTCTGTTTGGATTACACCAGCGGAAGTAAACGCACGGGCAGCTTCCCTCAGACCGTCTGTCCGCAGGGTCTGCGCACCCAGATCGTCTTCCCTTCTTGCTGGAACGGAAAGAGCATGTACGAAAAGGACATGTCCCACGTCGTCTATCCCAAAGGAAATGCCGCCAATAGTGGCACATGTCCCGACTCGCACGCGATTCGACTGCCTACTCTCTTCTACGAGTTCATTTGGAACGTCGGTAAGACAAATAATCTAGACAACTCGTCTTGGGTTCTTGCCAACGGTGACGCCCTCGGTTACTCGTTCCACGCCGACTTCTTTGCCAATTGGAACGAGACGACGTTGCAGGCCGCCATCGATGAATGCTCAGGTCCTTTGAATGGCAATATCGAAAAGTGTCCACCGCTGGCGCGTTCCATCAATCGCAAGGCGGCTTCCGCTTGCCGAGGACAGTCGACCGAACCGCTTACAGGTGCTTTGGCCTATTTGCCTGGCTGCAACATCGTCTACAATGGGCCCAACGCAGGTCGAGGCTTGGCACCGGGATGCGATCCGAGCAAGGTTTCAAATATGCCAGCCGGCGGAATCGCATCTGGAAAATCGACCGGCAGCAACGTTGCTGCCAGATCCAATGCGATTGCCAAGCTGCAAGCCACGAGGTCCAGCAATCGAATGTATACTATTTCTGCTAACATTTCGGACTCGGTTACTCAGGCCGAGAGCCACTCGAAGGCCAAAAGGTACAACGGCACGTCGAATCGAAAGAGGCAACACGCAACGCGGTTGCCCAACAGTCACTGATTCCTGCTCAGCGTTTATGCTCGACCAGACGCTGCCGCCATCGTAGTGCAAGTGGTGTTGTAGGAGCGCAATCTGATCAACGTGGCGTCGTGCTTTGTCTCGATTAGATATGCAACGTCCTTCATTTGTGAGCTTATACGGTTTTGAGTGATCCTTTGCGACGAAAAATAGATCATCGGTGATCCCATCCCTGTCGAGACACCTTGTGCGCTGTTTGAAAGGTTGCCGTGTCACGATCTCACCTGCCGCAATCACCGTCGGCAGGGTGGTCTAAGTTGAAGCGTGTGTGATTAACGCAAGGAAAGAGACGCGTCATTTTCCAATGAAATGTTACGTTTCCACTCAGGGGGCGTTGCGCTGGGGGCGCCACGCTGACAAAGCACAAACAACAACAAAAACAGAAGCAAGGTAGATTTGATGATGGGGAGCGTGATGAGAGTGTGATTGGCAAGGGTTTGATTGCATCTGAGCGGCAAGCGCAGGCAGTGAGACGCGCGCTCATAACTATTTTCAAGACGTCCACTACAAATTTCAGCGACACGTTGTAGTTAGTTGGAATAACCTGGAAATACTAGGGTTAGGGTTAGGGTTAGGGTTAGGGTTAGGGTTAGGGTTAGGGTTAGGGTTAGGG